TTGCACACCTCCAATATCCGAATGTCGTGACTAGGTAGTTTTCAATTTCGCTCCTGCCAGTTTTCAATATCGCCAGTAGAGTAAGGTAATTACTTATGCATAGATCCTGAATATCGCGGTGTAAGTTTATGAATGACGGATGTAAGGCCCCATAATTACGTGATTTTATATATAAAAATAGCGTGTATTGTATACTAAAAAAGACCTATAGAGTTAGTCTCAATGACTCGAATAAAATAAATGAATTTCCTTCCAGCCTCGGAACGAAATTCGTGGTAGAAAATTAAAATTGGCGCACTGCAAACAAAGCAAAAAGCGCACACCGTAACAGATTAATATCGGGCGAGTTGATGAATATCGCTGTTGTACTAAATCAATATCGCAAGAAGAAGTCGTTTTTGTCGCATAATGTGGACTAAAGAGGTTTCTTTTCTAAGCAAGTAGAGAAGCAGTTTTGGGAGTGTTTAATACTATTTTGTATATATTCAAGTGGTACAGAATTTACAGCCTCTTTGATACGCAATGAAAGAGTCTCTCTTTGGAGGAGCTTTCCCCTCTTCAACCTACTTTTTACTTGGTAGGACAAGACCTTTGATACCTGCTCAGCGAATGCAATCGTATCCACGATGTTAAAAAATCTTGCATTTCTGAAACTACGGACTATTATACTTATATTCCATTCTTCCTTACTCTTCTCCCACAAGCCGGAGTAAAGTGAATGACGCTAGTACAGCCTAATTCCTTGAGGCCATTGTCCTGATTTGGATAATGCATTTTTACATATGCTATCCAGTTGCCACTGTGGTCAATTCTGACACAATAAATATAGCAAATGTTGTTATGGTTATCAAGGAAAGTCCCCAATACACCTTCCAAATTCCACGGTTGTTCAGTAGGCGACCCTGGAACTTTGATCTCCCAGTACAGTTCATCTGAATGAAACGTAACTAAGTCGTTATCATTATGTTTGAATGACCAACCCCCTTTACCCCCAACTCTGTTCATCAAACTCTTTAACCATATCTCATAGACTGCTGAACCAAACACAGTATCGTTAACGGCGGCATGATAATCGGTGCAGTTGGTGGCCACTTTATTGATGGTGTCTGTGGCGAAGGCGTTTATATTTATTAAACTAACAAAGAGTAAAAACGGGAATATTAGGAACATTAGAGTAGAAGTAAAATGTGTATTACTGCGAGATTCAAAATTTTCGTGGCCCCAACCAAAATCTTTGTGCGCTATTGAATTGAAGAATATTGCGACATCCAGATAATGAGGGTGCAGTATTCAAACCGGTACAGTAATAGCATCACCGAGCTGAGCAATAATATTATTGTCGGTTGCTGTTATCAGATCGCACACGATGAAACGAGATCAACGGTCAGGTACAGTTACATTCAGATTTCGCACATCATAATCAAGAGAATGACCCTTGTAAGTCTGACAGGGAAATAGCGAGGCTGATAATGTCATTTCTTAGTTATCACTTGATGCATTATTAATTAACCTATTTTACCCTTACACTGTCTTGTTAAACTTTCGCAGAATAAGTGTTAGAATTCGGACATGTTTATGCTGAGCTTGCTATGTCTTACCGGCGTTGAAGGCCTTCCGGCTGTTTGCCTATCTAGAATTATTTGTGATGGCCTTCATATTTGGTTAAGCTCACTGGTGAGGTGATCTCCGTACAAGGGCAGTAGAACTCTGAGACATCCTGTACACCGATATAACGATTAAATTGTGGATGTTGTGGTCTTGTGGAACCCAAAATTAAAGGAAAAGTCCTTGGATATAAACAGTTAGAGGACTTCTGTTACTGTAAACTCTATACACTTACTAAACTGAGCGACTGGGGAAAACTAGCTGGTGTGTTTTGAGAATATTACCAAACTTTACGCACTCAGATACTGTTCTTTCACCGGTCGTAGCGGGTTTCATGTCTGTCAGTAGATTATATGTAGTGCGTACCACCGTAGTACTAAATCAAAATTTCTAGCGGCTTTCTCCTAGCTTTGGAAATGTAATCTTAATCTTATATTTCAACTTGCAATGTAATGAGAGAGCCAACTTTCACATGGAAGCATATAACTTGTTCTTTCTAACCTGACAATGATGTCTCATTGGCTCAGGATACTTTGGCCAGCGTACAAGGATTTGAGTTGCTGTAAAGGCTAAATCATATGCATGGTATGCGACATTCACCCTGAACAATTGTGTACAACTAATGAGCGGTAGAAAAATGTCGCAACCATCGCGACGTCGCAGCTTCCGTTTGTGTAATTTCACTCGGCGAATTTAAGTAGCAATTTCTCATAAACTTCTCAACCACCAAACACTTCTCTAAATGTCTACTCCTCCAGCGATTGTGTTTACAGACTGGGATGGAACTGTCACCCTTCAAGACTCTAACGATTACTTGACCGAGAACCTCGGTTTCGGTTATCCCAAGCGGAGAGCCATCAACGATGAAATCTTGAACGGGTCCCTCAGCTTCAGAGACGGATTCCAAAAGATGTTAGATTCCATTGATACGCCCTTCCCAGAGTGTATTGAGTACTTGAAAAAAAACATCAAGTTGGACGAAGGATTCCGTAAGTTTTACGACTATTGTACGTCCAAGGGCATCCCCGTGGTGGTTATCTCATCGGGAATGAAGCCAATTATTTATAACTTATTGAAGAGCTTGGTAGGCGAGGATGCAGCTGAGAACATCGAAATTTACTCGAATGAGGTGGTGATCAAAGACGACAACTCCTGGGACATTGTATACAGAGATGACTCAAGTTTTGGCCATAATAAGGCTCTTTCCATCAAAGAGTATTTGGCTACCCACAAATTCACCAACCTACCACCATTATTTTACTGTGGTGACGGAGTTTCTGACTTGTCTGCTGCTAAGGAAACCAACTTGTTATTTGCAAAAGAGGGAAAGGATTTGATCACCTACTGTATCAGAGAAAACATCCCGTACACTGAGTTCAGCAATTTCTCTGAAATTTTAGACAAGTTGACCAGTATTGTTGAAGGTAAAAACCTTATTTCCGACTATGTCCAGAACCTGGACCTGAAGTAACGGTTGGAGATCAGCTGATTTCCTGCCTATCGATTTTGGGCGTAGCACTTCCATTCTGGGATCTTCCTATAAATAGAGTATAGACAAGCTCCTTAAAATAGACAGATACGAACTATGTTCTACAGATACGTATATGTTGCCATTAGATCCCTGGCACTTGTATTTCCGGTGGAACCACAGGCTTTGAACTTTTGGGGCAGAGGCTTGGTTGGCGGTGGTAGAATGCTAACGCCAAGTGCGCTGAAAAAAAGAGTTGCAAAAAGTGCTCACGCAAACGCATGCAAAGCCAGCGTCTTTCCGAGTACTCTGGGCAACCAAATCACATCACTCACTTTGGACGACTAACCAAGTATCTGCATGTCTGTGAAAAGTATAGCCAATCAGGTGCACCCCACGTAGCCGTATATTAGGTATGGCTGTGCTGCACAAAAGTGGTTATGGATCTAAGACTTGCAGTGCGGCGGAAACCTGGGTCAATAAAAGACGCACCTTTTCCCCCTACTCAATTTTTTTACCACCAATGCTTTCTCAAACATTAACGAACTTCATCCCCATGGGCGGTACAAGCTCCTCGACGTCCTCCGTGTCTACTTTAACCCCCAAACTGACATGGCAATCGCGCTGTAAACAAGTTCTCAGTAAATATTGCTCGTTCATAGGACCTGGGCTTATGGTTGCAGTCGCATATATGGATCCAGGTAATTACGCTACAGGTACCACTGCTGGTGCCTCCAACAGATACTCGTTACTTTTCATAGTGTTGGCGTCCAGTATCATGGCCATTTTCCTCCAGAGTTTGTGCATTAAATTAGGCTCTGTTACAGGATTTGACCTCGCCCGGTGCTCACGAGAATACTTTCCCAAATGGCTTAACATCATCTTGTGGGTCCTCGCTGAACTTGCTATCATCGCCACCGACGTTGCCGAAGTCATAGGACTGGCTATTGCTTTGAATATCTTGCTCAAGATCCCGCTTCCTGCCGGTGTGGCTATTACTATAGTCGATGTGGTGTTCGTATTGGTGGCATACAGAGCTGACCATTCATCCACGAAATTCATCCGCTACTTCGAGATGTTTGTAGCGGCATTAGTATTGGCAGTTACCGTGTGTTTTGCGGTGGAGTTGGCCCAGTTGCCGGTCGACGGGGCTGAGGTCAAGGCAATTCTCAGAGGCTTTGCACCTTCTGCACAAATGCTTGAAGGTTCTGGTGTTTCTATTGCTGCCTCCATCATTGGTGCTACTGTCATGGTCCACTCGCTCTTCTTGGGAAGTGGACTCGTCCAACCCAGGTTGCGGGAATATGACGTTAAAAATGGGTATGTGAACTTGAACACATTAGACGAGAAGTCTGAGACTGAGGAAGACTTCTTCTACCGTCGGTACCGTCCATCGTTCCAGAGTATTAGGTACTCGTTGAAGTATTCGATCATTGAACTCACTCTCACGTTGGTGACGTTTGCGGTGTTTGTGAACCTGGCGATTTTGGTGGTGGCTGGTAACACTTTGTACGGAACGGAAGAAGCAGTTGATGCGGACTTATACACCATCCACCGGTTATTGCTGGACAATTTGGCCCCCACTGCCGGGACTGTGTTTATGTTGGCGTTGCTTTTCAGTGGCCAGAGTGCTGGGATTGTGTGTACTATTGCCGGCCAGATGGTTAGTGAAGGTCATATTAACTGGACCTTAAAGCCATGGGTTCGTCGGTTGGTGACGAGAGGCATCTCCATTGTGCCATGTTTCGCTATTTCCGTCGCTATTGGCCGTCTGGGCTTGGGAACAGCTTTGAATGTGTCACAATTGGTTATTTCTCTATTGTTACCGTTCTTAACTGTGCCATTAATCTACTTCACCTGCAAGAAGAGCATCATGAGAATCGAAGTTCCAGAACATACAAAGGGGGCCATCAAAGACGAAACCGATGGAAAATGTTACGTTTACTTCCACAACAATTGGATCACAACCTTGGTGTTGTTGACTATCTGGGTGTTCATTTCGGTTATTAACATATATGCCATTTACGACTTGGCCAGAAACGGAATTATGTGAGGATTGGCGCTATTCTTGAACCGGGCCCGCCTGTGCTCTCCCCATTTCTCGCTAGCGCTGCACAAGTTAGTGGCACTTGGGCCACAAAGCAGTAGCACTCTAACTAGTTATAGACCATTGCCCTACTGGTTGCAAGGCCGTAATATATATTTTGTTGGTACTACTATATACATCCCCACCATATTCACCTCCACCATGTCGCATGACTCGTATCGTCGTCCGATCTCGCTTCCTCCTTTCGTTTCATGGTTCCCTCGCATTCGCATTCGCACTTTTTCCATGCCCCTTGCCCATATTGCGATCCCAGGGTTCTCTCCAATTTCAATTTCACTCGTCAAGGGTTAGTGTTCCCAGTTTATCTCATGGGTCATACCAATCTTAATCTATTACAGAAACTTCATATCACTAAGTCTGCTGCCACCCAAGAAGTGACCCAAGAAGTGACCGTTGATTCCTTGAATAACGTCGCCGCAATGGATTATTACCACTCGCAACAACCGCATCTTCCCCAACAAGAATCACATTCCACCCAACCCCATGGTACTCAGGCCCCTTCAATGCACACTCCTGTGAGTGTCCCTACCCCGGTGCATGTCCAGACGGCTCAATTGCCCATCGACCGCACCAGTGAAGCCATCAAAAGATCGTTATTACCACAACGCTCCACCGTGTCGAAGGGGAAGTACTCTCTTGGAGATTTCCATATCATGAGAACTCTTGGAACCGGTTCATTTGGAAGAGTACATCTTGTTCGGTCCGTGCACAATGGCCGGTATTATGCTATTAAGGTGTTGAAAAAACAACAGGTGATTAAGATGAAGCAGGTGGAACATACAAACGATGAACGAAGAATGTTGAAATTGGTCGAGCATCCGTTCTTGATCAGAATGTGGGGGACCTTCCAGGACTCCAAGAATTTGTTTATGGTGATGGACTATATTGAAGGGGGTGAATTGTTTTCGCTTTTGAGAAAGTCCCAACGGTTTCCAAACCCTGTGGCCAAGTTTTATGCAGCTGAAGTCACGTTAGCGTTGGAGTACTTACACAGCCACGACATAATTTACAGAGATTTGAAGCCAGAAAACATCTTATTGGACAGAAACGGCCACATCAAGATCACTGACTTTGGGTTCGCCAAAGAAGTAAATACGGTTACTTGGACATTGTGTGGAACTCCAGACTATATTGCTCCAGAAGTGATCACCTCCAAACCCTATAACAAGTCTGTAGACTGGTGGTCTTTGGGAGTATTGATTTTCGAAATGTTGGCGGGTTATACTCCATTCTATGATTCAACACCCATGAAGACTTATGAGAAGATTTTGTCAGGAAAGATTCACTACCCCAGTTTTTTCACACCCGACGTCATTGATTTGTTATCTAGTTTGATGACGGCAGATTTAACCCGGAGATTAGGAAACTTGATGAACGGTCCAGCTGATATCAGAAATCACCAATGGTTTTCTGAGGTCATTTGGGAGAAGATTTTGGCTAAAGATATCGAGACTCCTTATGAACCTCCTATCACCGCTGGAGTAGGAGACTCGTCGTTGTTTGATCATTATCCAGAAGAACAGTTGGATTACGGGTCTGCTGGGGAAGATCCATATTTCCAGTACTTTACAGAGTTTTAGTGAGCTCACCAAGTTCGAGATGATTGGGGATTTAGTGCCACTGTCGGAGCTACTCTACTCGAATCATTTGTGATATATACATTTCTTCTATAATACATATAAAATACGTTCAACTTTTTTTCACTTATGGTTTTAGACCCCAAACACTTTTTTACAGTTCAAACACACATAGAACAACAACATCGACGTATCTTTTCTTTTCTGTTGAGACTGGAAGAACACACAGTCTCGATGATTACAATGAGGACACTCCTTATCACTTCGTGGCAATGTTGGATCACTACCAATATCTTCCACCACTCCTGCAGTTTCTCCGATATTGGTAATCAACTCATGACGGTATACCTTGGGGTTTTCGGCCAACTCAGTATAGTCACAGTTCCTGCATGAGTATAATAGCCGCAGGTTGTCTCTGTCTTCACGAGGATACAACATATTATTGCACTCAGCACAGAATCTAAACGAAGCCATTGCCAAACAATTATTTGCTCCACCAGCCGTCGCGAAATCTACATACTAAAACTCAGTCGTGCGCACCCCCCAACTCGTACTCGCACTTTTTCACGAATTTTTTTTGGCCAAAGAAAAGTGAAAATTTTGAAACCTACAGACACATCTAGATACCATGTTGCGTCAGTTCGTGAAACCTTGTGCTAGACTTGTTAGTCGCAGAGCAGTCCTCCCAGTGGTAAGGTTTAACTCCACCGCTGCCGATGCTGCTACCGCCTCTCCAAAGGCTGCCGTGGACCCCAAGATCTCTGCCATAGTGGACCAGATCTCAACTTTGACCTTATTGGAAACCTCTTCCTTAATCGCCGAATTGAAGGAAAAGTTGAACATTTCCGACATTGCATTACCTGCTGCTGGTGCCGCTGCTCCCGCAGCTGCTCCTGTTGAAGAAGAAGTCAAAGAAGCTCCTGAAGAGAAGACTATTTTCTCGATAAAGTTGGAATCGTTTGACCCTAAATCTAAACCAAAGGTTATCAAAGAAGTGAAGAGCTTGTTAGGATTATCCTTGGTGGAATCCAAGAAGTTTGTTGAGTCTGCTCCTAAGGTATTGAAAGATAACGTGGCTAAAGAAGATGCCGAAAAGATCAAGGCTACTTTGGAAGGTGTAGGTGCTAAGGTGACTTTGGATTAAGTAGGGTTGATGCCTGTTTTACTATCCCTGTATATATACTATAGCTATTCGAATAGCAAATACATCAAAGTTTCAACTTAGTCTAAAAACACATTACTGGTGTCTATGGATTGGGAAAAGTCTCTTATGTCTCGAAGTTCTCTCACTGGCAGCGACCCAGTTCGAAGAATTGAATTGATACGTTTTTTGAGCTGTTGATTGAGACCTGGTGTTGCAAAGTCGAGGAAGTTGACCGGGTCAGTGATGCTATGCATGGACTGGCCCATGGCGTTTTCTCGTGTGATAGCCGCCTGAGAAATTGAGGCTGACCGAGCCACAGGGTTCTTCACGGGACTACTGAACGTCGAGCTGGCCCCGGTTATATCTGGCCTCGTGCTGTCGGGCTCCGTACTGTCAAGTGGTTGTATGTGTTCCGTACTGTCAAAGGATTGGTGGTTATTCGATTGTTTGTGAAGTAGTTTTTCAAAATTGACAATCAAAACCGTCATACACGCCACTACGTCTGGCGGAATCATACTTCCTTTATATTGATGCTCCAATTCTTGTACAACTGCCACCAAAGATTCCAAGCTGACATCGACATATTCGATTTGAAGCACCTCTAGATGTGAATGCTTCAAGTCTCGCTGTATCTGAAAAATCCGTTCCACCAACGACTCAGCACTTTCAGTGTGAGTACCCTTGTGACTATTGTGGATATCACCCCCCACATAGTGTCCCTGGGACTGGCTCCCACCCTGACGTCGTACTCTATTCATGGTCTAAATGTATATCCGATCTGGTGATACGGTTTTCGCGACTGAGTTATTTCTTATCGTTTCCCGACCACACCAGTCCTGTCCCATTACACACTACTCCCGTGCCCCAACACCTACACCTTCCGCCATGCCCGGCTCTAGCCAATCCGAGTATTCGACGCATCTCCCGTTGCACGACTTGAACCTTGGAGACCAAACTTTCATAAATAAACTGGATATTAAGCCATGGCTTCAGGAGCGCCTACTTACAAAAAAAAGGTATAAAGATCATCATTGAACGGTCCGATCGACACAAAGTGATTTTCCGGTGTCGCCACACGCGTGAGAAGAATATCAGTGAAGGCCATAACCGCCGTCATGTCACATGTCCGTTTAAGATAAGAGCTAATTACGCCATTACTACCAGCAAATGGAGCTTGGTGGTAGTGAACGATTGTCATAACCACGAACCGCACACTCCCAACAGTACCCTCATGAGCGTGGTGATACCTTCCTCCGCCGCTGGCTGGCCCCACAATGGGACCGCTACCACCATACCAGCGAAACCACCTTCTCGAAAGCCAGCTCGTGTGTCCAAACCCCGAAAAGAGAAGCACTCACCTCAGAAGTTTGATGCCATAAACTACGAACGCAATGATGAATTCAAGTTAGACTATGAGCTAGCGTCCAGCATTAGCCTTCGCGTAAACCAACTCATCAAAAGACAGGTGTTGATGAACTCCTTGATTAATGAGGACTCTCGCGCCAATATCATTCGTTTGATCGCCAACTCGATTCTCCTGGAACACAAAGAAGTCATTGGATTTGCAGACCCTCGTCACTTCAATACCTGGTACTCGCTGTCACCAGGGCTGACGGTGAACCCGAATGCAAATCTCATCCCATTATCACCACTACTCAATGACTCGGATGCCGAATATCCTGCTCTGAACCCCTCGCCAAATCCGAACCTGTCGGCGTTAGACTCATTGACATTACCTGGGATCAGTACGAATCTTATGTTTGTTCACGGCAATAACTTACACAATGGCTCAGGAAACACGGTCAATAACTCATTTGTGATCCCCAACCAATTACTGCTTCTGCAGATCCAGAACCAGGGAAAACAGCTACCCTCGTTTAACTCTATCCAGAATAGTTTACCGTTGTCTCCGACTGCCAGTGCTGCCACTCTATTTGGTGCTACGTCGTCGCTACCCAACCCGAATGGAATCATCACCGTGAACACCGTGAACACAAATGGTACCGTCAATATGAACTCTGCCAGTACTCCCAATACTACTTACGGTGGCAGTTCCAACTCGAGTCTACAGAGCAATTACACTTCGTCCACTGGAACTAGCTCCACGTCCAATACTTCGTATAACAACTTCAATACGTGGAATCCTACGCTCAATCCATCAAATTTGCTTAAACTGAACCCGAATAAAAGCCTGGGCCATTCGCATGCAAATAGCTCCAATTTCACCACCATTGCAATGGGATATGAGTCTACTTCAGGCTCATCGAAAGGCCCGGTAAATCTGCAGTCTGGCATCTCCAATAACAACAACTACTTGGGAGCACTTTCAACGCTTTTGAACGTCCCAGGAGTGTCATCGCCCAATAGTAACTCCAATATTCCCGGTCAAAATGGCTTGAAATCGTCACCTTTCATAGGAAACGACCTCCCACTCCCATTCAAGCTCCGGACAGAGAGTGATAGCGAATAGTGAAATAGCTACCGCTCTGTAGCCCTAAGGACTAGTAGATCTAGGCTCCTTAACTTTCAATTCTTGGTTTATGCATCTTCTACTTAGAGGTTAATAGAGAAATAGATAGGTGCGAAAAACTCTCATTGTGGCAACAAAATAAAATACTTGATCCAAATGGCATACGTGAAAAAGACGTACCGTGATCTCGAGGTAGTGCGTGGAACGACGTTGGTGGTCCCTTCGGTATCCATTGGAAATGTTCCACAACTCGCCACTGACCTTTTAATACACAATTTGGCGTTCGAGCGAATCGCTCACTTGAAGGACACTTACTTGTATCCATTTGCCTCACCGGTAGATTATGCTACTGGTACTTCCATTGATGGTGCTACCACCGGTGCAGGTATCTCTACGGCATTGGAGGTATTTTACAGTGCCAAATTCAACTTGACATTGCTCCAGCAAAGATCCCCCATCATTACCACCTTTACTGACAAGTTCATTAAAGAAATCATCACTCCATTCGTGAACGATAACGAGTTTGCTGGTGTACTCATGTTGGATTCGGGTGACTCCGGACTTAGGGAAAGTATTGTTCAGGGTACGGTGGAAACATACACCAACGAAGATCTTTTAAGCAAATCGATTGAGTCGTTGAAGCTCAATGACCTGATTAAATCGCTCCGAGACGTTGAGTATGTGAACTCCAAATACATCAAGAATCTCAGTGGCTCTCTCGGGACTGACTGGTTGAATGTGCTTGTGATTTATGTTTATGAGGGGGAAAACTTCATGGAAGCCAATATTCTTGCTCAAAAAGTGGTGGATAAATTAGAAATTAAGGTGGAGGAGTGGGTTAAGCCTGTTAGTTGGAAAGGTGTTTACGGGGATAAGCCGGTGCCAGTGGCCATGGAAGAAGGAATATACGGCTAAGTTGAGTGGTTGCAAATCTATAGTCTCATCTGTAAGTATCTTTAGCAGTCCATATATATAAACTAACTTGTATTATATTATACGTATTTGATCTACTGAAACGTTCACACCATTTCTCCCTCTAATTAAATGTCGGCACTATCCCTCTGTCTGCTGAAACTTCCACATCACTGGTTTTGATAATTCAATGCATAGGCAATGGAAGCAGTGTAGCCGTACACACCCAACCCTGCCACCACTGCTATGGCCTTATCACTCAAGTAAGAATGGTGTCTGAAAGGCTCTCTTTGGTGGATGTTGGTGATGTGAACCTCGATAAATGGAATGGCTGTAGCCAACAAAGCATCTCGAATTCCAACAGAAGTATGGGTATAGGCTCCAGCATTGATAACAATAAATCCGACTCCTTCTAGACGGGCTTGTTGGATGCGATCTATGATGAAACCCTCGGTGTTGTTTTGGTAGACAAGTACTTGAGAGCCATCAGATTTATCTTGTGCTTGCTTTACCGCTGCGTTCTCAATATCTGTCAACGACGTAGTACCATATTTTTCGGGTTCCCTGGTACCCAAGAGGTTTAAATTGGGCCCATTGATTAATAATACTTTGTTCACCATTCTGGAATGTAGGGGTAGGTTTTACACTGGATAAGTTAATATATGTGGTTAACTAAGGCAGTCTCCAATAGAAAATTTCCTAAGCGGTCTTACTAGGGTGCGGGATGACTCAAGACTGTCAATAGTCCCCCAACCTGCAGAATATATACGGCCGCTAACGCGAAACTGTTCTGAGGTACACTTAATAGTATTACAAATATATTTGCAGCTGATGACAAAGCTCCTGCTCGGATGTGGCGGTTGATGGTGCCCGGGCACCTGCCCTACAGGAATATATATTTACTCCCACAGTTGCACAAAACTATTACAAATCGCGGATAAACAAATTACTACCGACAATCATGAGCAGCAACACTTTTTGGAACGAAGGCCCTAACCCTGACTGGGTGCCTGGCCAAGGAGCCACCGACGATGAGTGGAAGAACCACAAAAAGATTGCCATCGACCCGTTTGAGTCTGGCAGAACTCGGTTACACAATTACCGTCTTCTTCTGTCAGCCATCACCCCTAGACCAATTGGCTTTATTAGTACGATCACACCTGAAGGGGTCCCCAATTTGGCCCCTTTTTCCTACTTCAACGTCATCTGTGCCGACCCTCCGTTATTCTCGGTTTCGTTCTCGGGTGATAGAAACAAAGACTCATTGAACGGGATTCTTCACAGTGGAGAGTTGACTATTAATGTGATCTCGGAGTGGTTTGTTGATGCTGCCAATGCTACCGCTGTTGCCGCCCCACCTGATGCTGATGAATGGGTGCTCTCGGGTCTTACGCCTTCTCCATCCGAAAAAGTGAAACCAGCTCATGTGGCTGAATCTGGTTTTTCGGTCGAAGCTAAGCTTGTTGATAGTAAGACCTACTACTCTCGCGACAAGCCGGGGGTGGTTTCAGGAGTGGTGGTAACTGTGGAGGCTGTAAATTTCCATGTTAGAGAAGACCTTCTTGAAGACGAGGAAAAGATGTTTGTCGACACTGGTAAATTGAAGCCTATAGGAAGACTTGGAAAGAATAGTTATACCTCTGTGAACAACGGGTATAATCTCAAAGTGTACAACTATGAGAAGGATTTCCCTGATGTTTAGTGTGGACTCATGTAGTTGGAATCCAGATTTATTTATTTAGAATTATTTAATTGGAACCCTAGAGTTTTAATATGTACAAGATATATCTAGCTAGCTTCGGTGAAATTTGCATTTTTCGCAGCAATAGAATACTACCTTTAAACATGAAGATTAGATATGTGTAGGACCTGTTCAGCACCTGTTGACAGAAGGCATGAGACGAAAGATATCGACCACCATTACTACGCTATATACCTAAGTATATGCATTACCCACCCGTCCACCAACTTCTTTGCACTATTTAAACCTTCTCTGGTATTACTCGCAAAATCATCGCATCTCAAAAAAATTTCAAACCTCAATCATGTCAGTGGTAGGATCTCTTATATTTTGCACAGACTGTGGTAACTTGTTGGACAAACTCGGGGCCAAGGATACTATAGATTGCCGGATTTGCTCCAAATCGTATCCTGCCTCCAAGTTTGCTAACTTAAAAGTGGTAACCACGTCTGCAGAAGATGCTTTTCCATCAACCTTAAAGATGAATCGATCATCTGTTAAAACCACGTTGAAAAATGATGATTTGGGTGAAGGGGCCACCATCAAAGAGAAGTGTCCAAAGTGTGGACACGACGAAATGCAATACCACACTTTACAATTAAGATCTGCTGATGAAGGTGCTACTGTGTTTTACACTTGTACCAGCTGTGGATACAAATTCAGAACCAACAATTAAACCCACAAAAGCATTTGACTAGACTCATCACTGTACTATAGCGTGTGTATTTATTACAATTACAACATCCAATATTCTCCATATCCTACGTGTATTCATTAGCTTGAGCTTCTTGTGTCTCAAGGTTCAACCATATCCAAAGCAACAATAGCTGACTCCCTCACCACTCTCTCATCGTCATGTAAGAATGACTCCAACACTCGCGTACACTCGTCAGTACCAATAGCTCCCAAGGCTTCAGCAGCCTCGTGTCTAACCATTCCAGCTTCAGTTTCTCTTTTCAACACGGTAATCAAAGCAGGAACCGTCACCGGGTTGCAAATCTGACCAAAAACATAGGCGATTTCGTGCTTAAATAAGGCAGATGGATCGTCAAATCCAGAAGCCAAAGCAAGACATGCTTCGTCGGTTCCCAAGTCTCTTAATCTGAACATGGCTCTGTATCTCTCAAATAATGGAGTATCCTGGTCGTTCAAAATCCGTTGCAACTTCTCCACCTTCGACTCCACATCGCTAGGCATAGGAGGAGCTGGGTCAATAGAAGTGTACAACGACTTCTCAATGTTTTCTGTCTTGGACTCTTCAGATTGTTCCCATTTGATTCTCTCGATAGCCAACTCACAGGTTTGTCTGATTTCAAGCGATGGGTCGTTCTTGTAATAGTCTTGCAATAACGCCAACGAATCCTTGTCTCCCAAAGCGCCCAAAGCTTCGGCAGCTTCGTGTCTCACCATAATCTGCTGGTTATTGTCTTTCAAAACTTGTCTCAAAGGTGGAGCAGCCACAAGTCTGTGGGTTTGTCCCAACACATAGGCAACCTCGTGTTTTAACAATTCAGATTCGTCTTGGAAACAATCCGCAATGTACGTAATGGCCTTTTCCGCTTCTTCGGTATTTGTGGATTCAGCCCCAATACACTTCAAGTTAAACAAGGCTCTGAAACGGTTGGCAAGGAGTTCTTTACCGTTGACATTACACAAAATGTCTCTTAATTGCTCTAAACTAGCATTGTCAATGTCGATTTCGTCTTGGGACATGGTCACAGAAGCTTCAGCGGAGCTGGAAAAAATAGAGTATCGGCACAGTGGAGTGTTTTATATTTTTCACGATGAGGTCGGAGATGGGACGGACTGCGTGCAAGGGCTCAATTGGACGCTGAAGCGAGAGTCAAAGGTTATTAATTTGGGAGATGTGGGGAGTTATGGATATACGCAAGAGAGTATTCGGGAAGATAAAGGCGGCGAGACTACAGGAGTTCTTTTTTCCCCAAGAAAAGCAGGCATGGTCGTCTTATGGAAGGTACTTAAGGGCTTTGAGAACATAAAATGAGTGAAAAATTGATATAATAGGGGCACTATAAGCCTGAAAAAATGAATCTTGATTGTTTACACTACTTATAATTCTCTGAACTCGTTCTCAGTTCCCAGGAACCTGTCTAGTAGTTCCACATTCTTATCGTTCTTGCTCTAAATGTATCTAGGCGTCGCAAAAATTTTCAACGCGAAAAAACCAAATCAATCAACTAACAAAACTTCTACTCAATAATATGGCAGCATCTATGCAAGGCATGCCCGACATGTCCAATGCCATCGTGGCGCAGGATGAAATGGGAAGACCGTTTATTATTGTCAGAGACCAAGGAACTAAGCAAAGGAAGCACGGTGCCGAAGCCACTAAGTCCCACATTTTGGCGGCAAGAGCTGTGGCCTCCATTGTCAAGACGTCTTTAGGTCCAAGAGGGTTGGATAAAATCTTGGTGAGTCAAGACGGAGAGATCACCATCACCAACGATGGGGCCACCATCTTGTCACAGATGGATTTGGACAACGAAATTGCCAAGTTGTTGGTGGAATTGTCCAAGTCTCAGGACGACGAAATCGGGGATGGAACTACTGGGGTGGTTGTTTTGGCCAGTGCATTATTGGACCAGGCTGCTGAATTGATAGACAAGGGAATCCATCCTATTAAGGTTGCCAACGGGTTCGATGAAGCATGTAAAATTGCTGTGGCAGAATTGGAAAGAACGGCCGATTCGATTGATGTTAGTGCTGAGGCAACCGATTCCAATTTATTGAAGGCCGCTAAGACCTCATTGGGATCCAAGATTGTGTCCAAGTCGCATGATAAATTTGCCAAGATGGCAGTTGAAGCTGTATTATCGGTAGCCGACTTTGAGCGTAAAGATGTTGACTTTGAATTGATTAAGATGGAAAAAAAGGTCGGAGGTGCTATTGAAGATTCTTCCTTGATAAAAGGAGTATTGTTGGACAAGGACTTCTCGCATCCTCAAATGCCCAAACATATCGAGGACTGTAAGATTGCCATCTTAACATGTCCATTTGAGCCTCCAAAACCAAAAACTAAACACAAATTGGACATTTCTTCAGTGGAAGAATTCAAAGTTTTGCAGGAATACGAACAAAAGAAGTTTCAAGAAATGATCGACTATGTGAAGAACGCTGGGGCTAATGTGGTAGCCTGTCAATGGGGTTTTGATGATGAAGCAAATCATTTATTGTTGGCAAATGGGCTCAATGCCATCAGATGGATTGGAGGCTCTGAATTGGAATTATTAGCAATCGCTACCAATGGACGTATTGTACCCCGGTTCGAAGATTTGTCACCAGAGAAGCTTGGTCATGCTGGAACGATCAGAGAAATCGAGTTTGGTACTACCAGAGACAGAATGTTGGTGATAGAAGATTGTTCTAACACCAAGGCTGTTACCTGCTTCATCCGTGGGTCCAACGAGATGATATGTGCCGAAGGTATACGGGCCTTGCACGACTCTGTTTGTGTGGTGAGAAACTTGATCAGAGACAACAGAGTCGTCTACGGAGGTGGAGCTGCTGAATTATCGTGTTCTTTGGCAGTCAGTGATGCTGCCAATCAAAGAAAGGGAATTGATCAATATGCGTTCAGAGCCTTTGCCAATGCCTTGGATGTGATTCCCTCAACCTTAGCAGAAAATTCGGGATTGGATCCTATAGAAGTGTTGTCTACGTTAAAATCCAAACAAGCCCTTGAAAAGTCATGCCGGTTGGGTGTTGACTGCTTAGGAAAGGGCACCAACGACATGAAGGAATTATTTGTGATTGACCCATTGATTGGAAAGAAACAACAGCTTTTGCTTGCTACCCAGTTATCTCGGATGATTCTTAAGATCAATGATGTCATCATCAGTGGTAAGGATATGTATTAGTCTATAGTATATAATGCCCGCCCGCACACGACCTACTAAATCAATGTACACACAGCTCAACTCGCACTAGGTTTTTCGCACCGACAAAAAGTCTACTGGTAACGCCTATTTGTTTCTCACCCTTTAATTTTGTTGGAACCTCACGGCAAACCGATTCAATCAATTGACAATCAACCCCCTCATTCAATTATAAAACATTACTCATCATGGCTAGCATGGGAACACCTGCGGTTGTCATGGATAATGGAACTGGGTTAACCAAGTTGGGATTCGCTGGTAACGATTCTCCATCCTTTATATTTCCAACCGCCATTGCAACTTCCACTCTTGGTGGAAAGTCCACCAAACTGTCCGCTTCCAATTCATCCTCTTTCTTGGCTTCCAAGAGAGGGTTGGAGGACTTGGACTTTTTTATTGGTGATGAAGCGTTGAGTGCTGCTAACGGGTCAAACTACAGTTTATCTTATCCGGTGAAACACGGTCAAATAGAAAATTGGGATCACATGGAAAGGTTCTGGGAAAACTCCATCTTTAAGTACTTGAGGTGTGAACCTGAGGATCACTACTTTTTGATGACGGAACCTCCTTTGAATCCTCCTGAAAACAGAGAAAGCACTGCTGAAATCATGTTTGAATCCTTTAATTGTGCTGGGTTGTACATTGCGGTGCAGGCAGTGTTAGCATTGGCGGCCTCATGGACTTCCTCAAAAGCGAACAGAACTTTGACCGGTACTGTCATCGACTCTGGTGATGGTGTTACCCACGTTATCCCAGTGGCAGAAGGATATGTGATTGGTGGTGCCATCAAAAATATTCCTTTGGCTGGTAGAGACATAACTTTATTCATCCAATCGATATTAAGAGACCGTGGAGAAGTTGACACCACATTACAAACAGCCGAAAAGATTAAACAACAGTTCTGTTACGTGTGTCCTGATATCGTGAAAGAATTCAAGAAATTCGATCAATATCCCGAAGAAAAGTTTGCCCAGTACATTGTTGAGTACACTGACAAAAATAAAACCAATACTGTTGATGTAGGATACGAAAGATTCTTGGCTCCTGAAATATTTTTCAATCCAGAAATTGCCTCATCTGACTATTTGACTCCTTTGCCCACGGTGGTGGACCAAGTCATCCAAGCATCTCCAATTGATGTTCGTAAGAATTTGTACAAGAATATCGTTTTATCAGGAGGTTCCACTATGTTTACCAGTTTTGGTAAACGACTTCAGAGAGATTTGAAAGGATTGGTTGACGAAAGAATACAGCTCAGTGAAAGATTAACTGGAAATAAAAGTTCGGGAGTTAAGGTTGAAGTCATATCACATAAAAAACAGAGAAATGCCGTCTGGTTTGGGGGATCATTGTTGGCCCAAACTCCAGAATTCAAGAGCTATTGTTACACCAAACAAGATTATGATGAATATGGGCCAAGCATCGTCAGAAACTTCTCGTTGTTTTCAGTTCCATCTTGATAAAAACTAGACTAACTAAAAGAAACTAAGTATTCAATTTTATATTATTACAGCCATATGCTAGAGACTATCGTAACAGACCACCTGAGCAGAATTGAACCTCTGTGTGGTATATTTGGTACCATAAAAGTGCTTTGCCCTTACCCTGCGACATTAACATTCATCATTTCAGTGCCCTCACCAGTCGCATCCGGAAATTAAGACTAAAAAAAAGATAAGCACACTATTATTCAAACCTAAGAAATCCAGCTAATGTCCGTATCACAGCCGCAAATCGTGGATGGAATCGAGTTGAATCAGATATTCAAGGGCTTACGGTCGAACAGTGAGGATGAGCGGAACCGATACGCCATTGAATTAAGAAATCACTTGGATTCGGTGGCTCGAGATTTGACGCTCGAGCATTTCAACAGATACATAAATGTTATTAATAAAACTATCTTTGAGCTCTCCAATGCTCCTGACAATGCTTCCAAGTTTGGAGGTATTGCTGCCATTGATGCCTTGATTGATTTCAACTCTGGAATAGGTGAAGAAAATGCCACCAAAACCGCCAGATTTTCTCACTACCTTTACCCATTAACATTATCCAACGATTTGGCTGTTATGAAGCAAGCCACCAAAACTTTAGGGAAGCTTGCAATACCTGGGGGTCCCTTGACGGCGGACTTTGTCGAATACGAAGCAAAAAAGGCCATTGAATGGTTACAGAATGAAAACAATCAGCATGACCAAAGAAGGCATACGGCTATATTGATGTTGAACTCCTTGGCAGACAATTCCCTGAATTTATTATACAATCTTGTGGGCCAGATCTTGGAGCAACTATGGACGGAATTGAAGGACCCCAAATTAGATATCCGTGTGGATTCTGCTGCCACTTTACAAAGGTGTTTGGCCATAATATATGATCGAGATGTCAATGCCAGAAGATTTTGGGTAAAACATTTCTTTGATGTGGCCTCCAAGGTCTTGAACGATACTCCTTCAACAAATGGCGTCGACCATAGCAATGGTCTGAATGGTGATAGTAATGGCTACGCCATGATACCCACTCCCAATGGAACTCAATCATTTGCTGCTATTCATGGTGCGTTATTGGTATATCGGGAGTTATTGAAGTATAAGAACGACCAGTTTATTGCTTCTCGGTTCGAAATGCTTTACGAAAACACAATAATCTACAAATACCATAATAAAGCTGTGATTAGACAGGAGCTTACAAATATTTTTCCTTTGGTTTGTCTGGTTAATCCAGAGATGTTTGTTGAAAAGTATTTGCATAAGATCTTGTACTACTATTTATCACAATTGAAGAAGCTCAGAAAGGAGTATAAGGAACCTGCTTGTCTTGAGAAGAGTTGCATATTCCGTAGCATTGGTTCCATTGCATTAGAAGTTGGAAATCAAATGGCCACTTACTTGGATGCTATTTTAGATAATATCAGAGAAGGACTTTCATACCCAACCAATTCAACAGTGCAGCTGATTTTCACTAACGCTGTTTCTAATGGAGGTGAGAACCACTATAATGGTAACGGGTCTATGTCACCTCAGGCGGGATTATCATTACAATCGAGTGTTCTGTCTTCCAAGTATAGGGCCAGTAGGAAAGAAACTGAACCAGCAATCTTCGATTGTATTGGGAAGTTATCGATATCAGTTGGGCCAGCTTTGACAAAGCATTTGCAGAGAGACATTCTTGATATGATTTTCAGCAATTGTTCCCTTTCCAAGCATATGCAAGATGTGTTGCAAACCTTGAGCACCAATATTCCTGTACTTACCAATGTGATTAACACAAAACTTTTAAACTTATTGAATCTAGTGCTTTCAGGTGTTACGTTTCAGCCCCCAGGGTCTCCTTATGGTACCACCAAAATGAACGAGTCTTTGGCCAAGGATTATAGATTGATTATGATCTCAAGGGATACAGGAATGAGCATCAACAGTATTTTGAATAACCAAGAAGTTTACGAACAGTACGAGTGTAACATTTTAGTCCAAGCACTTCAAATGCTTGTGTACTTCAAATTCGAAGGATACCAGTTGAATGAGTTTGTCAGGTATTGTACCATTACTTATCTCCAAAATCCTATCCCCAGGGTTAGACAAACAGCTGTTGTGGCTTCTTGTGAAATATTTATTAATGACCCCATTTGCGAACAAGTGAGTGTCAATGCGTTAAATGCTGTGAATGAAGTTCTTGATAAGGTTCTTACCATTTCCATAACTGATCCATATCCAGAAATTCGTTTGGAAGGGATAACTTGCATAAGTAATGCTAGATGCTTTGACCCGCAGTTATCTCAACCAGAGAATCTTAGGCTTTTATTTATTGCCTTGAATGATGAGGTATTCAGTGTACGAAAGATTGCCATCACACTTTTGAGTCGACTTTCTTCCATAAATCCAGCATATATTGTCCCTTCATTGAGGAAGACTTTGATTCAATTATTATCTCGACTTGAGTATTCCACAGCTAGTAGAAAGAAAGAGGAGAGTGCTACTTTGTTGTCATTATTGATTGCCAATTCGAAAGACTTAACGAAACCTTATGTGAAACCCATTGTCGAAGGGCTTTTGCCAAAAGCGAAAGATCCCAAGTCTTCGGTGGCTGCAAGCGCTATAAAGTGCTTAGGCGAACTAGCTGTAGTAGGTGGAGAAGACATGAAACCTTTTATCCCCGATTTGATGCCCTTGATCATCGATACCTTTCAAGATCAGAGTTCCTCATACAAGAGAGATGCTGCTTTGAAAGCATTAGGTCAACTTGCAAGTTCTTCAGGCTATGTGATTCAACCTCTTTTGGACTACCCTCAATTGTTGGGAATGTTGGTTAACATTCTCAAATCAGAAGCATCTCCAACAGTAAGAAGAGAAACGGTTAGGTTATTGGGAATTCTTGGTGCTTTAGATCCTTATAAGCACCGTGAAGTGGAACAAAGTTCAAAGACTATTTCTGCAGAACAGAACGCTCCACCAATTGACGTGGCTTTGTTGATGCAGGGAATGTCTCCATCCAACAGTGAATATTATCCTACAGTTGCCATTACCAATTTAATGAAAATTTTGAAAGATCCTTCCCTCAAGATTCACCACAGCAAAGTTATTCTAGCTATTAGGTATATTTTCCAAACTTTAGGGTTGAGATGTGTTTCTTTCCTTTCCCAGATCATCCCCGGTCTCATAAATGTCATGCATACTTGTGAGCCGGCAATGACCAAATTCTATTTCCAACAGTTGGGTGCATTGATCCTCATTGTTAAGCAGCACATCAGACCATTTCTTAAAGATATTTTAGGTGTTGCCAAAGAATTCTTCGATTTGAACGATGAGAATAACGTTGCTGTGATTATCATCAATCTTATTGAATCTATTTCGAGAGCATTGGATGGGGAATTTAAGATGTATTTACCAGAAGTGTTGACTTTACTCTTGAACGTCTTCGACAAGGACAAGTCTCCAGAAAGAGAAACCACTTTGCAAGTCTTAAAATGTTTTGTTATATTTGGTGGAAATATTGAGGAATACGTCCACATTATTATACCTAGTATTGTTAAGATGTTTGAGAGTGGCTCTGTGCCATTGAGAAAGGCAGCTATTGAGTCAATAGGAAGACTTTCTAAGACTTTGCTTTTGAATGATATGGCTTCGAGAATTGTACATCCACTTATTAGGGTGATGAAACAGGATAATGAGGAATTGAAAACTGCCACCATGAATACTATGTGTTACTTACTTGTTTCTCTAGGAACGGAGTTTACTGTATTCATTCCATTAATCAAATCGGTCATGTACGAGAATAAGATTACCTCACCAACTTTTGATCAATTAGTGAATAAACTTGTCCATGGAGATCCATTACCTGCTCAACTTAGCATCTACAAAGATTATGAAATCCACATGAGCCACTTTGATGTACCCAGTTCAGATGTACTGCTCAAGAAACTAGCATTCAACCAAGCTGCTTTGAAATCAGTCTGGGACCCAAGTCAGCACAGAACAAGAGAGGACTGGCTGGAATGGATCGCAAAATTGAGTAAGGAGTTACTAAGGCACAGTCCATCGCACGCTATGAGAGCATGTGCTCCTTTGGCAACTGATTACTATCCGTTAGCCAAAGATTTGTTCAATGCCAGTTTTTCGAGCTGTTGGAATGACCTTTATTCTCAGAACCAAGAGGAGTTAGTCGAGTCTTTATGCATTGCCTTATCGTCTCCCAACAACCCCCCTGAAATTCATCAAATCTTATTGAATCTTGCTGAGTTTATGGAACATGATGATAAATCCTTGCCGATCGCCATCACTACTTTGGGCCAATATGCTCAGAGGTGCCATGCTTATGCAAAGTCATTACATTACAAAGAGTTGGAATTTTACGAAGAGCCAACCACTTCTACAATTGAAGCTTTGATTTCCATTAACAATCAATTGCAACAGTCAGATGCTGCTGTTGGTATTCTTAAGCATGCTCAAATGCATCATGATCTCCAATTGAAAGAAACCTGGTTTGAAAAGTTGCAGAGGTGGGATGATGCTTTAAGAGCTTACAATGAAAGATCGAAAACTGAACCTGATAACATGGAAATCACTATGGGTAAAATGAGATGTCTTCATGCTCTTGGAGAATGGGAGCAGCTCTCAGACTTGGCCCAAAGTAAATGGAGTGGAACTTCTAGTGATACACAAAGGAATATTTCCCCATTGGCAGCAGCAGCTGCTTGGGGTCTTGGCCAATGGGACAGAATGGAAGAATACATACAAGTTATGAAGTCAGAATCACCGGATAGGGCTTTCTTCAATGCAATTTTGAGCTTACACAGAAACAACTTTGAAGATGCTTCTAATCTAATTCTCAAAGCCAGAGATTTATTGGTAACAGAAATAACAGCCTTGGTAAGTGAGAGTTACAACAGAGCCTATGGTGTTGTAACACGAGTGCAAATGTTAGCTGAGTTGGAGGAAATCATAAAATACAAATGCTTACCTCAGGGATCTGAAAAGAGAGCTGTCATGAGGAAAACATGGAATACAAGATTGCTTGGATGTCAACGGAATGTTGATATTTGGCAAAGAATGTTAAAAGTAAGAGCTTTGGTAATAAAACCCAAACAGGATATGGAGATGTGGATCAAATTTGCCAATTTGTGCAGAAAGTCAGGAAGGCTTAACTTAGCTGAGAAATCTTTAAACTCCTTGTTGGAAGAGGGATCACCAGAAAACCCTCTGAGAGCCCCACCTCAAGTTGTATATGCTCAATTGAAGTATATGTGGGCTAAAGGACAACAAAAGGAGGCCTTACGCCATTTGGTAGATTTTACTACGAGGATGTCTCAGGATTTGGGGTTGAATCCAAATGATTTGATAACTCAACCACTTCCTTCTGAAGGCCCTGGTATTCCAAAACATGTTGAAGAGTACACAAAACTTTTAGCCAGATGTTTCTTAAAGCAAGGTGAATGGCAGATAGCTTTGAATTCTCAGTGGAAGTCTGAACTGTCAGAGATTATTTTAGGTGCATACTTGTTGGCTACGCATTTCGATGATAAATGGTATAAGGCATGGCATAATTGGGCGCTTGCTAACTTTGAGGTTATTTCTTCGTTCACGGCCCATAACAACAATATAGCTGAGATTCAACCGTCTGCTGAACTAAGCAATGAAGATGATCAAAACAAAGAGCATCCTCAGAACCAACAAGAAATCAGAGCTACCACGATTCCTATGGAAGCAGTTCAAAGACATGTGGTTCCCTCTATCAAAGGGTTTTTCCATTCCATTGCACTTTCAAGTTCCAATTCCTTACAAGATACTTTAAGATTATTAACATTGTGGTTTAACTTTGGTGGTATTCCGGATGCAGCTCAAGCGATCAACGAAGGATTCAATATGGTAAAAATTGATACTTGGTTGGAAGTAATTCCTCAGCTTATTTCACGTATTCATCAACCCAATCCTGTTGTTAGTCGTTCTTTATTTGGTTTGTTAAGTGATTTGGGAAAAGCTCATCCACAAGCTTTGGTTTATCCTTTAGCTGTGGCAGTCACGTCTGAGTCTATCAACAGAAAGAAAGCAGCTATGTCTATAATTGACAAGATGAGGATTCACTCTCCATTACTTGTGGAACAATCTGACCTTGTTAGTAATGAGCTTATCCGTATTGCTGTATTGTGGCACGAACAGTGGTATGAAGCTTTGGAAGATGCTTCCCGTTTGTTTTTTGGTGATCATAACACAGAAAAGATGTTTGAAGTTTTGGAGCCGTTGCACTTGATGTTACAGAAGGGACCAGAAACCATGAGAGAGACGTCTTTTGTTAATGCTTTCGGTAGAGAGTTGGCTGATGCTTACGAGTGGATATTGAATTACCGTAAAACAAAAGACATCACTAATTTGAACCAAGCTTGGGATATCTACTACAATGTTTTCCGCCGTATTGGTAAACTGCTCCCGCTGTTAACAAGTTTGGAATTGCAATATGTTTCTCCAAAGTTGGATGAAGCTCGTGATTTGGAATTAGCAGTTCCGGGATTCTCTGAAGCTGGTAAACATATTACTAAAATTGCAAAGTTTGAACCTACAATTCCTGTTATTTCATCTAAACAAAGACCTAGAAAAATTGAAATTCGTGGAGATGATGGTAAACATTATTTCTTTGTCCTTAAAGGCCACGAAGATAATCGTCAAGATAACTTGGTTATGCAGCTCTTTGGATTGGTAAATACCTTACTTTCTAACGATCCTGAATGTTTCAAACGTCACTTGGACATTCAACGGTTTGCTGCCATTCCGCTTTCTCCAAAGGTAGGATTACTTGGATGGGTTCCTAACAGTGATACTTTCCACGTATTGATTAGAGAATACCGAGAATCAAGAAAGATTTTATTGAATATTGAGCATAGAATCATGATTCAAATGGCACCTGATTATGAGATTCTTACTCTTCTTCAGAAGGTTGAAGTTTTCACTGGGGCATTGGACAATACTAGAGGTCAAGATTTGTATAAAGTTCTTTGGTTAAAGTCTAAATCGTCTGAAGCTTGGTTAGACCGTCGTACCACCTACACAAGATCTTTGGCCGTCATGTCAATGGTAGGGTACATATTAGGGTTGGGAGATCGTCACCCTTCGAATTTAATGTTGGACAGAATTACTGGTAAGGTTGTCCACATTGATTTCGGTGATTGTTTCGAAGCCGCCATTTTGAGAGAAAAGTATCCTGAAAAAGTTCCATTTAGACTCACAAGAATGTTGAACTACGCTATGGAAGTTAGTGGTATTGAAGGTTCATTTAGGATTACTTGTGAACATGTAATGAGAGTGTTGAGAGACAATAAGGAGTCATTGATGGCTATTTTAGAAGCTTTTGCTTATGATCCATTGATAAATTGGGGCTTCGACTTCCCTACCAAAGCTGTGGCTGAAGCAACTGGTATTAAGGTGAACCAAGTCAACGTTGCAGAGTTATTGAGAAGGGGTCAAATTGATGATGAAGAAGCGGCGAGATTAAACAAACAGAACGAGTTGGAAATCAGGAATGCCAGAGCTGCTCTCGTCTTGAAGAGAATTACTGATAAATTGACTGGTAATGACATTAAAAGATTGAAAGGATTAGACGTTCCAACACAAGTTGATAAACTTATTCAACAAGCTACAAGTGTTGAGAATTTATGTCAGCATTTTATCGGGTGGTGTTCTTTCTGGTAACCTGCTCAGCTTGTTAAACTATATTCTATTATACACTAGTATACTAATAAAAGTATTTTCGTTTCAACTTAAGCAATTTTCTTTGATGCGTTTGTGAATCCGACACCTTTGATTGAAAGAATGAATCCATCGTCACTGTCATCCTCCTTCAAAAATGCCTCTGTGCCTAACACAGTCTTTATATCTCTGAGAAGCCAAATCAAGTTCTCATCGACTTGGTTTTTGTGAATCTTCATTCTTCCCACATCTTCTTTCCCAATGGCCATGAAACAGGTAGCCATCATTAGTTGTCTTCTGCCAACTACAGAACTTTGGGAAAGCTCCTCTAAAAGCTTATAGGAAACTTCTTTGGCCAAATCTTCCGGAAGGCTTCCAGGCGTCCCAACTCCATCGGTAAATATTCTCCATCCCTGTTTCAGTTCAGCCACAAGAATAAGACCAAAACCTGGAGACTTTCCACTATTGTCTCCTCTCCAAACGTCTGCTGAAATGTTCACTTGGACTCCTGTCGGACGAAGAACTTCACATACTTGTTCGATAATTCTATTCACCACTGAAGGAGAAACACGAGCACAGTGGGCAACACCACGAATAGCAGAAAACTTTGGCTCTTCGAGGGCATGGATTGTTAATGGTTGAGGTATCAACGAATTACATCTTAAATGTACTTCACCTCCTCCTACTGGAGGAGCACCTTTTTTCAATATGTGTATAGATACTTCACGAATACCGAATTTTTCCATTAAGGGAATCATCCCCCATTTCAAGCTATCGATTTCGATGTCATTGGATCCCAAACTAGTTAATCCTTTGAAAATAATGGAGAATTTCTTCTTAGAAAATGGTGCAAGCATTAACATTGGCTCTAGAAAGTAACTGATGGGTTTTCCATGGGGGCAGTTATGAGTCAACTCCCCACCAGTTATTATGCCTGGCCGAAATATCACGGTTGTACCGGTGTAAGAAATTTCAATTTGTGACCCGTTTGTGGTGGCTTCAAGTAGTCTTAAGAAAGATACTTCGTGATCTTTCAAACCTGGATTTAATTCAGTTGATCTAATTTTAGCAATCTTAATGGGGGTACCGGCCAAGGTAGCTAACACAAGACGGAATCGAAAGTTACGGATACCTTCAAACGTAGCAATTTTAGCTCCCTTATTAGACATATTAGTGTTGGAGTAGATTTTTCAATCTCATCCTCATCTCTCAAATCGCACTGCAATATGTGCAGGCAAAATCATGGAGCATACAAGGGATTTCAGAATAAACATAACAGCAATGCTTTAACAGGAAGTGAGACCATTATTGTTCTGCATCTGAAGGTGAGCTTGTCTTACAGAATTAGAACAGTTTGGTCTTTCCTGTAATCTAGGAAGAGCCTTATATATGGCTTTAAATTGGTATGGTGCATTTCAAGGAAACCATATCTGGGGTGAGATATCCGGCTTTATTTATGATACAGCCTTCACACTCGTGTATTCAACTTTCCATGATTCGTCCAAATAAGTGTAGCTTTGATTTTGGATACTTTGAACCATTTTGCAACTTGCGTGTACGGGCGTGAATAATGGGCTTCGCGAACATCACCGGCCACAAAAACTCCAGTGGCATATACCTTTTGGAGCATAACAACACTGTACTAAATAAGACAGATAATGGACCAATCCGCCGATTCAGTTAAAAGATCGAATGATCAACTGTCTAGCAGGCCCAACCTGACCAACAAACGATTGAAGACGGAAAATGACGATTCAAATGAGTTTACAGAAGATCTCACTCAACCAACTTCAGAAATCCCCTCAAGCGACCCCCTAAATATCGACTTCAACAATATTCCTGACGAAATTTTGGACTCTGTAAATGCCTCGATAGCCACGCCTGATGTATTAAGCTTGAGCCGGTCTGCTACTCCTATCAATAACACTCTTGACTATGATGATACAAAGAGAAGTAGTTTATCAAGAAGTGCACTGAATATCAATAACGGGAAGCTTTTGGTTCCTTCAATCAGTTCATCTGCCGTGTCTCAGCTCCTGGCCCCGGTGCAACCGCTGAACCTGTCTCAGCAACAACAACAACTTCACACAAATGACCCTTCTAAATTGAACGATGCTTTGGCAGCTGCTGGAGTAGACATCCAGCGTGAAGAAGAGCTATTGATGCAACAACAGTTGAGTAGAGTTCCTCAACAACCACAGTTCAATCAGCAACGGGTGGCAGTGTCTCAGTTCTTGAACCCATATCATGTAAACACATATATGCAAAAATCTGCCAGAGAGAACGGTGTGCTTCAAAACTTTCTCCAAGATCCCGAAGTTCTTGAAATCATGTCAGCTTCTTGTGAACGTTGGATCTCAGATATCGTGGCCAAGACCATAGTGATGGCTCGACATCGCCAGAACTCAGCTCCAATTGGAAAATCGAAAACAACCAGTGGGAAGTCTGACATGTATTCTGAGCTCCGTGGCTTGGCCAAGAAACATAGGGAGTTGGAAGAACAGAGGGTCGAAAGGAGAATTGCCTTAGGGTTAGAAAAGTCAGATGATAACGGTAAATATGAGAATAAAGCCGGATCAGAGGAAACGTTACACAGAGCTGCTAATGCTACTGCTGCTATGATGACGCTGAATCCCGGTAGAAAGAAGTATTCGTGGATGACTTCGGGGGCAGGTGGTCCCAATGGAGGAAGTGCTGGAGTTAGTGAAAAGGATAGCAATAGTAAAAGAAGCCATCTTCTTTCCCTGCGTGGAGATAATGGAATACGACTTAACAACACAAGAATCACCCAGGCAGTGACAATGAAAGATCTTTTAGCCGCCATAGAGGATGAGAGAATGAATGTCCAAAATGCCCTTGTTAAAGGCTACTCCAAGCTTAGAGACTAATGTTGTCAAATGCCTAATGCCAATATACTTTACATACTTAATGCTATGATGTGCGTGCGCGGCACATAACGCGCACCAGAATCCATAAAAATGTAAACAATCCATCTTGATCTTATGCATCTGACAGTATGGCCGACTTCAATTTGACAGCTTATTTCAATAGTTTTGATGTCGAAAAGCTCTCAGATGATCGTTTACCCGACCTGAGTAATAGGCTTGAATCTCTCATAGAGAATTTGGCTAACAACCCCGAATCACTTTCATATAACAACGATCTATTTGAAGATGCAGTTGAACTCACGCATGGTTTAAATGGATTACAACTCAACCAGCGGAAACAGTTATCATACCTCATGGCATCCTCATTCAAGTCTGTGAGCTCCAATATTAATTTGGCCATCCAATCAGGTGACTTTGTGGAATCACTCCCCAATTTCAAGACACTCTTGGAGAAATACGGGTACTTTCTCTTTGTATTGTTTACCATCCTTGGAAAAGAAGACTTTTCAGGGATTTCTGTAAGCAAAGCTAAAAGTAAGAATGCTGATCAGCAAGCATGGCAAGCGAACCAAACCCAAGTACAAGATTTGTTGGATGCGGCCGAATCTTGCCTAAGTATAGACTTGTCTAAAGTGTTTGTAACAACTCCAGAGAAGTCTGCATTTATTGAGCTTTTCAACAGACCTATTTTCCACTTGATGGAGACTCCAGAAAGAATGAAGGTGGCGGCAACCACTACATTGATGTTCAGATGCATTTGTATGATGGTGAAATCTCATAATCATGGAAGTACTGTTCAAAACTCGATTATACAATCATTGACGTACTTTATACACTTACCACCATACATGGGAGAATTACTCCACAAATTGGACTCTGAATACGATTATGGGGCATTAACTGAAGATGTGCTTAGAGAGGTTTCACAAATTGAATTCAATTCCAATGATAGCAATGGTCCAAAAGCTGTATCTGAGTTCCTTGTTAGTCTTTCACAGTTGAGTCCACGCTTGATTTTGAAGCAGATGCCTTCAATTGCGCAGCTTCTAGACAATAGTAATCAGACTTTGAGGTGTTCTGTGGTCGAATCTTGTGGGAACATTGTGGTAGATATAATAAAATCAACCGAAACTTCCCAAAGCCTGACAGAACAAGAATCGGCCCACCGGAATGAAAATGGTACTCACCAAACAGAAAGCTTGATTGACTTATTACAAGAGCGTCTTTTGGACCAGAATCCGTACGTGAGAACGAAGGCCATTCAAGCATTAAACAAGATTTGCAGTCTTCCGGTGAAGTTCACCAGGCGAAGACAAATAATCATGGCTCTTACTGTTCGATCACTTGAAGACCGTAGTACTTTGGTAAGAAGAAATGCTGTTAAGTTAATGTCCAAATTAGTTCTTAACCATCCATTCGCATCTATTCATGGAACACAGTTGTCTTTGTCAAAATGGCAGAAGCGTTGTGATGAGGCAAACGAAGCATTGAAACAATATCTCCCTCTTATCCCTGAACCAGAAAAGGATAATGAAGATCGTGAAGAGCCAGACAATAACTCCAAGGATGATGATATGGAGATTGACAATAACGAAGATAGTGACAGTCAAGACTCAGATGCTCGAGAACAACTTAATACCTCCATGAGAGAACAAGAAGGGAACTTACCAAATGCAGAAATTCTAGTTAAGACCAAACTTACTGCTCAATACTATGAAGATGCAGTAGACTTTATCACTGTTGTACATAAAGGAACGGAGCTAGTATCCAACTTACTTTTCTCCAAAAATAGAAATGAAGTGCTAGAGTCTATGGACTTTTTGGTGTTAGCAGATGCATTTGGAATAGATAATGCCAGTTATGGAATCAAAAGAATGCTTCATTTAGTGTGGATGAAGGGTTCTTCTGATGAAGGGAAGTCAATCGCCTCGCACTTGATAGACTGCTACAAAGAGCTCTTCTTGACAGTCCCTGATAACATTTCTTCTACTCAGAAAGGATCATTGGTTGCCAAAAATTTAATCGGTATCACGCTAACATCAACGCTAGCTGATTTAGCATCATTCGAAAAATTGCTTTGCAATATGTATTTCGAAAAGTTAATTAGTGATGAAGTGATTTCGATTCTTTGGCAAATTTACGGCCATAAAACCGATGATTTGTCCGAAGAACACTTGGAGTCATCTCATTCTCAAAGGCGTGGGGCCATTATTGTTTTGGGTATGCTCGCCCTTGCTGACTACCAAGTGGTATTACGGGGACTTGACCTTCTTCTTAATATTGGTTTGAATGTTGAAGGTTATGAAGATCTGGAGTTGTACAAGTATAGTTGCATCGCCTTGCAGAGAATAGTGCCAACTCTTTCTAAAAGTAAGGATACAACATTCTATAAGGTTGAGAGAGAAGAAGAGATTATTGAAAAACTCGGCAATGTATTGACTACCGAGTATGAAGATCCATCTTGGTATTCAGTCGCTGAACAAGCGATTTCTAGCATATTCAGGATTTCAAACTCTCCGGATACTGTGTGTACCGAGATAATCAACAGGAGATCGGTTAGCCTTTTTGCTAATGGGAACCCGTCCACACAAGTTCATTCATTAGCTCAATTACTTTTCATTGTTGGACATGTTGCTATAAAAACTATTGTGTATCTTGAAAAGCTAGAGACATTCTTCAAGAAAAAGAAGCAAGATAAAGAGGTGAAGGGCTCGAAGGCCGACAATGATGATGACAACGAAGAGAACGAATTGGAAATGATTGGTGGTACTACTGAAGATGATTTTGCTGACGCAGTTATATACATCAAGGAGAAAGAGATATTGTATGGGGAAACCTCATTGTTGGCTAGATTTGCCCCTATAGTGAAAGAAATCTGCTCCAATAACAAGTCCTATGATAGCACAATTCTTCAAAGATCTGCGTCTTTGTGTATGGTAAAACTAATGTGTATTTCATCCAAGTTTTGTGAGGAAAGTCTTCCATTGTTGATTACCATAATGGAGAGGTCACCCGACCCAATTGTAAGGTCCAACTGTGTTTTGGGACTAGGGGACATGGCGGTTTGTTTCAATAATCTTGTTGATGAAAACACAGACTTCTTGTACCGTCGTCTTACCGATGAGAATATCATGGTACAAAGAACATGTTTAATGACAGTAACATTTTTGATTTTAGCAGGTCAAGTCAAGGTCAAAGGCCAACTTTCATCAATGGCTAAATGCTTGGAGAATGAAGATCAGGGGATTAGTGATATGTGCCGGTTATTCTTTACTGAGTTAGCTACGAAAGATAATGCTATCTACAATGGATTCATTGATATCTTTAGTGGTCTTTCCAATGATGCTACTCTTGAAAAGGAGTCGATGAAGAGAATCGTCAAGTTCCTTGTCAGTTTTATTGAAAAGGAAAAGCACCAAAAACAGTTGTCTGAGAAGTTGTTGGTGAGATTGAACAAAACCCAATCGGCTGATCAATGGAACGACGTTGCATTTGTGCTACTGTCAATTCCATACAAAAATGAGAGTATTACCAAGGCACTAGAAGATGGCTTCAAACTTGTTGAAGCAGGTGGTAGGTAAATGTTAAATATCATAATATAAAATAGAACGAGTGCACGACCCATCATGGTTATAGATAATGAGTGCGGATCCATCAAATAAGTTGTCTTTGACATTGCTAATAAGGATGGGAATTCATTGGATTCAAGAATCGATTCTTTATGTCCTGGAGGCCAGTGGTATAGATTTGGCCAATTTTAAAATATTATTATGCACGTTACTATCGTTCCCCTTCAGTGGAATCTACAAACGTTTACCTGATCATAGGTACACCATGAAAAACATTTATATTGTTCTGGTATCATCATTTTATGTGTTTTTCATCTTGGAGTTATATCTGGGGTTAGCTTCGTTGATGGGGGCTTCTCTAGGTACTTACTTCATCACCAGATATCTCCGGACAGACTCAATGCCTTGGGTTAACTTTGTGTTTTTAATGTTGTACTTAAGTTACCATCACATTCGGGAGCAGTTCTTCCTGGTTTATGATCCCCATGTTGTTGATATCACTGGAGCTCTCATGGTGATGGTAATGAAATTGTCATCTTTTGGTTGGAGCGTTCACGATGGAAGAAATTCAAAAGACTTACTTACCTCCTACACTAAGTCAAGAATTATCAAGAAACACCCTAATTTATTACCATATTTGGGGTATGCGTTCTTTTATGCGTCCTTGTTGACAGGACCTGCCTTTGACTACGCTGACTATGACAGGTTCATTCATAATACATTGTTTGAAGACGTACCTGAATCAAGAAGACCGGGTAAGAGAAAGAGAAGAATCCCACGAAGTGGAAGAGCAGCCTTGAAAAAAACTCTTCAGGGATTCTTTTGGGCATTTTTGTTCACACAGGCCCCCAAGTTCGTTACGCTTGAATACGTGTTTCAGCCCGAGTTTGTACAGCAACATGGATTTATCTACAGAATATTTTACCTTTGGGTGTTGTACGTTTCTTACAGATTGAAGTACTATACAATCTGGCTCATCGCCGAAGGGGCGTGTATTCTTTGTGGGATTGGTTACAATGGATATGATAGTCAAACAGATAGCTTTAAATGGGATAGAGTGCAAAACATTGATCCTTGGGCTTTTGAAACTGGTCAAAACGTCCACACTTGCTTGGAGGCCTGGAACATGAACACAAACAAATGGTTGAAGCACTTTATTTACATGAGGCTCGCCAAGAAGGGCAAGAAACCCGGATTTAAGAGTACTTTGGCTACTTTTGCAACCAGTGCGTTTTGGCATGGAACCAGACCCGGTTACTATATGACTTTTATTATGGGAGCGTTCCTTCAAACAGTGGGAAAGATATTCCGCCGGAACTTCAGACCGATTTTTGTTGATAAGGATGGCAACAAATCCAAAGCTAAACCTTTGTACGATGTCACATGTTACTTTGTCACTCAGCTTGCCTTTTCATTTGTTACTCAACCATTTGCTATACTCGAGTTCTCCAAGTCGTGGCACTGTTGGTCAACTGTTAATTATTATGTGATCATTGGAACTGCCTTAACATTCTTGGTATTTAGAGGTCCTTGGAGTCATCAAGTGACTAAATTCCTTTCCAAGTACCATATGAGTGCACCAAAGCCTATTCACAGAGACTCTCAATTCAACAAAACAGAATCCGAAAAGGTTGCCAGAGCATTGAATTCCTACATTTCAAGGGACAGAGACCTTGTGGATTCACCTACCTTGGGTGTTCCTTCGTTGGACTATCTCGAGAGTTTTGAAGGAAAAGATATCGATGAGGAATTGAAAGAATTGGTAGAGACATGGTATAAATTCAAAGAGACCAAGGGTGATTTGGGATTGAAAGTCGCCTATAACAACTTTGTGGCCGAGATCCAAAGAATTGTGTCAGATACAAGAGCACAAGCATCAGAAGTTATTGACTCAAAAAAACAGCAATAATTTAATGTATATATGCCTATGTCATAGTTGTGTGCGCACCCCATAGTTTGAAAGTATAAATTTGAAGCAATCACTGATATTTTTTCGCAGTAGCTGAAATATCATACGGCTCATAGGCATATATCATGTTGAAGAGATTAGTACCTACAACCACCCGTTTCGTGCGGTGGAACTCGACCGCCATCAAACCCAAGACGGGGGTGGTCTTCATGAATATGGGGGGACCTTCCACCGTGAAGGAGACCCATCAGTTTTTGTTCAGACTTTTCTCTGATGCAGATTTGATTCCGTTAGGTCCTTTCCAAAATATTGCTGCTAAATTCATTGCAAGACGGAGAACACCAACCATCGAGAAGCACTATGAGGAAATCGGTGGTGGATCACCTATTCGTTACTGGTCTGAGTACCAATCAAAAAGAGTATGTGAAATTTTGGATAAAACCAGCCCAGAGACTGCTCCGCACAAACCTTATGTTGCATTTAGGTATGCTGACCCTTTAACTGAAGAAACTTTGGTCAAAATGAAGAAGGATGGTATAACTCGAGCAGTGGCATTCTCCCAGTATCCCCAATACTCCTGTTCAACAACTGGTTCATCTATGAATGTGTTGTACAATGCAACTTTAGAGTTGGATCCCGAACGGTCAATTGAATGGTCATTTATTGATAGATGGCCAAAGTTGGACGGATTCCTTGAAGCATTTAAAGAACATATTGAACAAAAGATCAACGAGTTTCCAGAAGAGAATAGAAAGAACGTCGTCGTTATCTTCTCGGCTCATTCCCTCCCAATGCAAATTGTAAACAGGGGTGATTCTTATCCTGCCGAAGTAGCTGCCACTGTTTATGCGATTATGGAGAAATTGAAGTTCAAGTATCCTTACAGATTGGTATGGCAGTCCAAGGTTGGGCCCAAACCATGGCTTGGTGCCCAAACTGCCAAAATTGTTGGGAAATTAGAAAGAGACGAAGCTATTGACGGAATCGTTCTTGTTCCTGTTGCGTTTACTTCGGACCATATTGAGACCTTACATGAACTTGATATTGAGTTAATGGATGACTTAGTTTATCCTGAAAAGGTGAAGAGAGCTGAATCCATGAATGGTAATGAAACTTTCATCACAGGGCTTGCTCAATTAGTCAAAGATCATTTGGCCTCGGGTGAGTATCACTCCAGACAGTTGGAACTCGACACCATTTTGGGAAGAGAGTTTTCAGCCAACTCCTTGCACCATCCACAAGAGATCTTTGGCCCCGCCAAAAACGAAAAGTAGACAACATTCATATGGTGTTTTTAAAATATGGTTCGTAATATTGTACATAGCTAATCGGAATCATCCTCATCATCGGGATCAAAAAGGTCTAAGTTAAGTGTTGGAGCTGCGGCTGCGATTGTTGCGTCCAGCAGTTTATTGTGATTTGCACCTTTTGGTGCTGGTTTTTTGAAAGTATCTTCATTTCCAGCAGTCTCTATATCCTCCATCTCTTCCGTTGGAACATTATCATTACCTTTAATACCTAACTCTTTCTGTATGATTTCGTCTCCTTTTAATGAGCTCATTGCAAGCATTCCTCTTCTCAAAGAATCCTCTGCTGGCCAAATAAAATTGTTTGGATGTATTTGATATACCATTCCACTGGCCGAGGGGGGAACTTTTGTAAACTTAGACAACTTCATTCCGTACTTCAACACTTCATCGATGTCCATGTCAGCTAAAGAATCTTGAGGTTCAGTCTTGTTGGTGGGCAAAGAAGGTAACTTATTCAACTCAGATCTGAACTCTATCAACAGTTTCAATATACTTCTTGACCTATCGGCTAAGCCAACTTTCTCATCTTCAAGAGCTTGAATTGTTTCCCCTAACTGTTTGTGTTTTCCGAGCTGGTCAATTTGTTCTATTATTTGTTGGTTGATATCAACTAACGAAGAGATTGTGTCCTCAAGTCCATCAGCTTCAAATGAACTGGCCTTTCGTGAAAGATTGGCCAATTGTTCCTCAAAATCTCTAACAATCTGAACAATCTCAAGGTTATTGAATTTCTCTTCAAACTGTTGATCTTGAATTGATTTAGGAGGAACAGACCTGCTGGACGCTCGTATAGGATTTAATGATGAGACTTGATAAGCATTGGGTGTTGAGGGAAAAGAATTGAAATTTCCCGGTGAGTTCAATTGATTTAGCCTTGCAGACGATCCAACTCGTGAAATTGGCACCGATAGGTTATTCTGCTCTTTTCTAGGAAGCATTCTGTCTGTGAGTATCAGATTTTTTTCTGATCGCGAATTGTATTCGTACATTATAATAGCTGCAAAGGCAAGCTGTCTTCATCTTCTATATAACTATGGTACATACTGGGAGCTGGTTCGGACATTTCGTGAACTTGAGGTTTCCATTGCTTTATTTCCTCGGGGCTCATTTTGTCAAACCGAGTCAATGGGCCTTTTCCTAGGTATCTGGGAATTTCACACCTCTGCAGCAAATTGGTGTTAAGCTTAGAACCTTGAACTTTTGGCTCACCCCAAGTGACCCTCATCTGGCAATCGTTTATAGTGAACAGGTTCATTAATAGTATGGCGGCTTCGGCATCTTCTCTGATTCTGTACCTAATCGAACAAGAATCAAAGTTTTTCAGTATAGTTAAAGAAATGATATCACCAAATGACAAAAAGTAGCACTCGACTTCAGACTCCGTAAATCTAGCTGAAAGCCCTGATACTTCAATACATGTGTTTTCTGGATCAGAATACTTGGACAACTTTGGTTGTGCTTGTGGCAATTGAATCACGTTCAAATCCACAGAATCGCTCAACACATCTTGATTTCTTGAGTTGACTCCAGAGACAGTAGATCCCAACAGAATTGGTTTCCCATTCAATATGAAACCATTCATCTCTTTACAAACTATTTGCTGAGTGGCACTGGAATTGAACTTGGCGAACCCAAATCCTCGAGATACTCCGGTTGTTGTATCAACAATAATCTTCACTTGTCTTACAGAATTTGGATACCTCGAATTGAATGCATCAAACACTTGACCCTCTGTTGTGTCGAGCTCTAATCCACTGATCATAAGCGAGAAGTCATCCTGTGGTTTTCTATTAAACCGGTCGTTACTGGTGATGGTTGAAGAGCTACCGGATCCACTTCCTGTTGCATAGTTCAATTTGAGTCTTTTGTCAGTGCCTGGAACAGAGCTTCCATTTTTCAGAAAAGCAGATGCAATGGATGCCTCATTTGCAAAGCTTACAAAACAATATAATGGTTTCCCTCTCCCCGTTGGATCCTCTCTATCTCTTATAAGCTTCACGTTCAATGGAGCTTCACCCAAGCTATTCCATATACTGATGATAGTTTCCTCATTCCAAGATGAATCGAGGTCGCCCATCCAAAGCTGTAGCAGATTCAGCTTCTCGGGTCTATCGTTGCGTCGGCCTTGAAACCCACCTCTGGTGCCTCCTCTGGGGTTTGAACTGTATCCACCTCTTCTGTTATTCAGATAATTTCCATACCCGCCGGACTGTCTCCCGTTCTGATATCCCCCATATGATTGGCTCCGTGCTGGAGAGTCTCGGCTGTCGTACGCTTGTGTACTATTATAAGGACGCTTTCGACTATCCTGAGGATTAAACGACATCTATCGCATCTATAATTTTTTGTGTGAACCGAGTTCTGCGGTTTTTAATCTCTAGATATAATTTCCCGGTAGAGATTTTCGAGCTCATCCGATCTTTAGGCAATCCACAATATCGTAAAACATTGATTTGTGCAAGGTCGAACATCACAGTCACGTTCAATTAAAGTCTGAACAAAGTTTTTGGCCAGCATACTAACTGACCCCCAGGGACAACCTTCCATATCCAATTGAGCATCACCCACTAGCTTGGGGATTTTGCGGCAATCAACAGAGAAGAAAGGTGACACTGCACTGAGAAGAAAGTGGGTGATAACGCCAACAGACCAAATATCGCATTTGTGGCCGTATCCGGAGGATCCATTCAAAATCTCCGGTGCCATGTACTCAGTCGTACCGGTTTTGGTGAATAACTTGTGCGATGGAGTAACCTTCCTCCAGTACCAAAGTCGCATAGCATGATTCGGGCCCCAGGAATTGGTAAAGACAAAAGGATGTTATCTAACTTCAAGTCACGGTGAATAATCTTGGCCTCATAGTGTAAATATTGAAGGGCTTTGAGGATCTGATACACAATAATAATCACTTCTGTTTCAGCAAGCGCTCTGAACGTTTTGCCATTAGAGATGTATGAAAAGAGATCTCCTCCACATACCAAGTTCTCGAATATGAAAAATCTATTTCCGGCGATAACCAGCTCATGGACTTTGATAACATTGGGCTTGAATTTAGTTAGTAGCAGCTCTCAACCCCTACTGTGTATTTTTACTTACATGGTCGAGGTCAAGGAGAACCTTAGCCTCTCTTTTGATACGGTCAATTTGATTCCATTGGTGACAGGCAACCACTTTAACTGCATAGGGACGAGGTCCCAATTCTTGTTTACGGGTGGCGATATATACGGAACCAAAAGTGCCTTTTCCAATTAGCCTAGGAGATATCAACCACTTTTCGGGTACTGGCTGAAACATGTCGACATCATCAGAAGGATTTATAGAACACCCAAAACCTGGCTCTACTATGAACTGGAACTTGACTTCGGAACGGATGCTGATTTCATCGTTGTTGCTTAAGACTTGTACTTGATTCATTCCCATTAATTTGCCGTTGATATAAGTTCCATTGAGTGGGACGTCTTTCAAGTAGAAAAGTGGTTCGATGGAACTATCAAACTTGATACACTACACAAGGAAGTGCACTGTCGAAGTTGAAAGTGCTGGAATTACTAAATTACATAATTTGTCTACTCTTCCAACTCTGAACATACCTCTAAGAGGAAGGGGAATGGTTTTATAAATATGGTTAAGCACTTGAGACTCCAGCTCACGGCTTAGGAAGACTGTTGGGTTGGCCAAAACAAGCTGTTTATATACTTCGGCAAACCTAATTGCAGTAATTTTGAAGGAGTAAAATCTGGACTCTGACATGGTTCTAATTGTTTAAAACTTGTAAGTATTTGCAGCTCTCAATCTCTATGCGCATTTTAGCAGCCATGACATCTTAAAAACACGGTCGTGTAGATACCATCCACACCGGCCAAACAAGTTGATTCTCATTCCTCGCACAAATTCTTTCAATCAATAGAACACAACCAGAACCCAGAACAAAAATGTTTAGACTCCTGAGATCATCCCTCCAGAACTTTAAAAGATTCAACAGCCACTCAGCCCACCCCGTCACTCCCACGCCCTCCAAGGCCCCTTTCAACAACAAGTATAACTTCAACACCAGTCCTCCTCCGGTGCATGAATACTGGAACATACGTAATACCAGTTTTCTTTTAGCATTCATTCCCCTTTACTTTGCCGTTAGTTACGTGACAAAGAACGGAGTGCAAGAAATCGAAGGATTTGGTGGTCTTGTTGAGTTTGCTAAGGGTGAAAAGTCTCCTTTGAAGGAAATCAAGTTTGGTGAACCCCAATTACCAACGAAAAATTGAACCCTCCAATTCACTGTAAACTAGTCGACAACTGGCTGCAAGTGCAGTTACATTTCCAATGGCATAGTAGTGTTCGAATCCGGTACGCACCCGGTATGCTAGGAGATATTGATATTTATTACACCCGTCTGCATTAATAGGAACCATACTAAAATATATATATACATTCAATGTTCAAGCGCCCTATATACTACAGTAGAATGCTCTTATAATGTACTAACGACACATGCCACTCAATCATATAAGGAAAGTAACATCTAACTTTTACTGTTATCGCCTCTACATATAGTGTGTCTCCCACCTCTGCTTACACTCCAAAATTTCTCGCGCTTTTTATTGGTTTAAAATTTATTCATCTATTCACCATTCACAAACATGCTCAGACAACTCACTAGATCTTCGAATATGTTGAGTTTCAGGGGTTCTAGTATGGGCTTGGTACGCCTGTTGACCACCAAGACTTCAATAGTTGAACACACAACCGGTAGAATCATTACTTTAACCGATCCAAACCGTCCAGAAATTGGTGACTATCCAAACCCTCCTCCAGTGTTGGCACAATCAAAGGACCCATACGCAAAGTATGACGATCAGCAGAATAGAAGAAACTTCAATGACCCTGTCAACATCGATGACGATTACTATGACATGTGGTCTCCTGATTACTTCCAACCAGTGTCTGACAAAACTGCTTTAAAACACAATGGTGTATTTTTTGGGTTATTCATTAGTTTTGGTGCAGTCATTGCCTACTTCCAATTGAACCCAGAGAAGCCTGCTATGCCTAGATCCTTCCCTGGGAATGGCTTGGCCAAACTGTTAGGATCTGGTTCTGATGAAGATGATGGGTTTTACCAGGTGAAACCTGACCTTGAAGCTGAGAAAGAACTCGGATTCCTTCCAGCTGATGGTGACCTTTCCGCCAGTATTGAATCATACAAGAAAACGCACGCTGATTTCATTAAACAGTAGGTATTCCACTCAACACTGTCTTATTTATCATGCTCATGTATAATATACATATCTCATAGATTTACTTAAAATGACTCTAGTGTGGTGAAACTGAATAGTTCATAAATGTTCTTCACCCATAAACGAACCTGTTCCTCCAATATGAGGTAGCTTAGATGCCTTATTTCCAAATAGCACTCGGTCCATGGATTCTTGGGATTCGCACGCACCGCTCGAAAAATGCGACCTTCCTTGTAACTATTGAGAATTGCAAGTACTTATAATCAGTCTTGAAAAATTCAAACATCTAGCAATGTCGTCAAGCAAACGCAGATCATCATCCAGGCTACAGAGTAGTTCCTCGGATGACTTTTCTCCGGTACCAGTAGCGGGAAAGAAGAAAGGCAAAACACCGAATAATAAGAGGCGAAAAGTCACGTCCCAGCGCCAAACATCAAACAAACTAGTTGATTTCATCACTGATTACAATTTAGCGGTAAATGAGCTTTTTCAGCTTGAAGAATATGGTTCGATTGTCGAATGGCAGCCTGAGGATTTCGCCAGTTACCAAAAGGAGAAGCCTCAGTTGCTCGAGTACTTTTTATCCGAGAATAAGATAGGTTTATCGTGGCTCGAAAATGAAGAAGATAATCTTAGCTTGGACGACTTGCCACTTCGTTTACAAAAGAAAAAGCTAGCGGAAAGGGAACAGAAAGTCCTTGAAAAATATCCTTTTCGAAACGATGTCTTGGAGGAAGCTAGGGCGTCTGAAGAATATATCATACGTTTGGTAAGTAATGTAGTTGAAGAACCTGTTGAACCAGCAGCGAAAGCAAATAATATCAAGCCAGAGAAACTCAAGAAGAGTAAAGTCAAAATAGAGAAGGGAGTCAAACTCGAAGATGATGATGATGATATGGATGACCAGAACCAACAGGATAACCTTCAAATAATGGCAGTTGTGGATGGAGAGGATGTTTGGGAAATCAAGCAAGAGGAAGAAATATTGACGGAAGTTGAGTATCCATCTGACTTGGACGAAGTCGATACGCATTATAAGCTTAAGGATGTGAAGTTCTCCATTCCTCCTCCAAAGATCACGCATCCATCTCATATACCTTTGTGGAAGCCGCCCAAAGGTGATAACATTGAAGATGCAGAAGATCAAGAGATTATAGAATTCAATCCTATTCCCATTGAAGTCATCTCCACCAAGGGAAAGCTTATAGTGGCTCCGGAGGTCGAGCATAAGCTAAGAGATTTCTTGGAAACCAAGGTCAAAACTGCTATCATTGATGAAACCTTGAATGTAGATTACGGCAATACCGCCGAAGAATATAACGCTGTACTTGAACAGCAAAAGAAACTCCTTAAAGTCATCTACCGCAAAGTTACAGAGGAGAACAGCTTTGAGTTAAACGGTGAAAAAATTGAAAAGAGAAAGTTGACTCTACCTCAAACTAATTTCAGACAACTAGCTGACCCTTTTAGGTCTACTGGATCTATTATTGCTAAAGCTCAGGGACCTACAAACACCACACACATTGATAACTTGCTCCTCCAAGGTGCTTCATTTGCAAAGATTCATCAACTGGTAAGAAAACAACGTCAACTAAGAGTTAGAAAAATAGCCACTATGGTAGATCAGCATTTCAAATGGAAGAGAGGAGAAAAGGAGAGAATAGAGAGAGAAAGAGAACAAAACTTGAAGAAAATTAGTCGGTTGGCTATGCAGGCTGTTAAGAAGCGATGGTCCCAAGCAGGCAAAGTATACAAGTACTTACAAGATCAGAAAGAAGAAGAGCTCAAGAAGATTAAGGGTAGAGAACATTTGAGTAACATGTTGGAACATTCCACCCAACTTCTTGAAGCACAATTAAACAGACCCTCGCAAGCTAACACGGATGACGATAGTGACAATGATAGTGGATCTGATAGCAACGATAATGAGAAGGCTGACGATACTATGGACGACCAATTAAGTGTGTCAGAACTTAGGGAGAAATACGGTAATATGAGTGAATTGTCTGCTGAGGACATGACTAATGCGTCATCTGTTTCTGAAGATGAAGAAGACACTATTAGCAGCCAAGATGGAAGTGACGATGATGACGAGTTAGGCGGAAGTGGACTTGCTGCTCTTTATGGTGGTGTATCCAATGTCCAAAAAGAAGTTTCGGAATCTCCAATGCCTGATTCTGAATATACACCTGAGCAATTGGCTGTAATCAATGCAGCTGAGAAAGAAGAGAACGGCAACGGGAAAATGGTCATATACTCAGACTCAGATTCTTCTATTCCAGATGAAACAACTGATGATTCTGAACGTGAATCGGATGCAATGAGTCAAGATGAAGACGGCTCGTCTGAGGAAGAAGTTGAAGAAAATGGTTTAGCTTCTCTTCTCACAAATACAGAAAATACCAGAGATTCAGATGATGAAAGCGTCCTGGAAAGTGTAGGTGAGAACTCAGATGACGACCGATTATCAAGTACAGATGAAGAGGACGAGCCGAAGACACCAAAATCAGATCCTGAAACGTTTTCCAAGACGGAGAAAGAAGAACTACACGAAGAAATTGTCAATGGATCTAAGGTAAGGGATGTTCCTATCCCATCTTTGTTGCGTGGTAATTTACGTCCTTATCAAAAGCAAGGTCTTAATTGGTTGGCTGGTTTGTACAGTAATGACACCAATGGTATTTTAGCTGACGAAATGGGTTTGGGTAAGACTATTCAAACCATATCGTTATTGTCACACTTAGCAACAGAGTACCATATCTGGGGTCCTCATCTAATCATTGTTCCCACCTCTGTTATGCTTAATTGGGAGATGGAATTCAAGAAGTTTGCTCCCGGTTTCAAGGTGTTAACTTACTATGGATCACCCCAGCAAAGAGCTCAAAAGAGAAAAGGATGGAACAAACCTGATGCTTTCCATGTGTGTATTACCTCTTATCAATTGGTCGTCCATGATCATCAATCGTTCAAGAGAAGAAGATGGAGATATATGATATTGGACGAAGCTCATAATATTAAGAACTTTAGATCCAATAGGTGGAAAGCGTTATTGAACTTCAATACTGAAAACAGATTACTTTTGACTGGTACACCACTCCAAAATAACTTGATGGAATTATGGTCTCTTCTCTATTTCTTGATGCCTTCTTCCAAAGTCAATCAAGCTATGCCAGATGGATTTGCTAATTTGGAAGACTTCCAAACCTGGTTCGGAAAACCAGTGGATAGCATTATGGAAAAAGCCAATGCTGCTACTGGGGATATTATTGACGAAAATCAAAGTACTGTTAAGGGAATGGATGAAGAAACCAGGAACACTGTAAAAAGATTGCACCAAGTTTTGCGCCCCTATATCCTCAGACGGTTAAAAAAAGACGTTGAAAAACAAATGCCCGGAAAATATGAACACATTGTGTACTGTCGTTTATCCCAAAGACAGCGTTTTCTTTATGATGATTTTATGTCTAGAGCTAAAACAAAGGAAACGTTAGCGTCTGGTAATTTTCTTTCCATCATTAATTGTTTGATGCAGTTGCGTAAGGTCTGTAACCATCCAGACTTGTTTGAAGTCAGACCTGTTGTCACCTCCTTTGCTGTTGAAAAGTCAGTTCCTGGGGAATATTTGAGTACTGATACGGCTGTCAGGAAACTAAGTGAAGCTTCTGATATTTTCTCCAAGATTTCATACGAGGTGTTGAACCTCAATATCACAGCTAACGAGGACACCAACTATTTTGTCTCTCAAATAATCAATGAGTTAAGGTCAACAAACTCTATTCGGAAACAAATCCAGCAATTAGATGATTTGATTAACATTAAATCTGAGATCGAAAACGAAGACAGTTGCTTGGACTATTACACTGAGTTAAAAAGAGCTCAACAAAAGAGTTTGAAAGAGCAGTTGGAGCAGGCGGTGTATTTAAATGAATTAAGATGTTCAAGGAATCCCATTTACGGGGAATCATTGTTAGCATTCTTGAAAGGCGCAACTGATACTAAGATTCCTGACGACTCAATACTATCAAAAATGATGATAAACATTGAACAAAGAGTTCAAGGTATGAGCAAGGAAATCGAAGAGTTTTCCGTACTAACTCCAAAGGTTGTTTCCTTAGATATGAAAGAACACTACTTTCCCCCTGAGGTTAGAGACAGAATATCTCATGAAGTTGCTGAGAATAGGTTGGATAATCCATTCCACAATTCTCAGATGAAGCTTTCCATTGCCTTTCCAGACAAATCATTATTACAATATGATTGTGGAAAGCTTCAGATGCTTGACAAGTTGTTGCAACAACTTACTAGTGGAGGACACAGAGCCCTTATTTTCACCCAGATGACTAAAGTGTTAGATATCCTAGAGCAGTTCTTGAACATTCATGGATACAGATATATGAGACTTGATGGTTCTACTAAGATTGAAGACAGACAGCTTTTGACCGAGAAATTCAACAGAGATGATAAAATTCCTGTATTCATTTTGTCTTCAAGATCTGGTGGTCTTGGTATCAATTTGACTGGTGCTGATACAGTTATATTCTATGATTCTGATTGGAATCCTGCTATGGACAAACAATGTCAAGATCGTTGTCACAGAATTGGACAGCTGAGAGACGTGCATATTTATCGATTCGTTTCGGAACATACTATCGAATCGAATATCTTGAAGAAAGCTAACCAAAAACGACAATTGGATAATGTCGTTATCCAAGAAGGTGATTTCACCACCGATTATTTGGGTAAGTTTTCCGTTAGAGATTTGGTCACAAACAGCGAGATTGCAGCAGAATTACCAGAGTTACCCGACAAGCCTCTTGCAGATGGTAATATTGAGAGTGCGTTAATGCAAGCTGAAGATGAAGATGATAGGAAAGCTGCCAGTGCAGCTATGCGGGAGACTGCTGTGGATGATGAAGATTTCAATGAAGAGATACCAGGACCCGATGCCGCCAAAAAAGAGGGAGCTGGAGAAGATGTTGATTTTGATGAAGGTGTACGTCATGTGGATGAGTATATGCTACGGTTTATCGCTAACGGGTATTATGAATAGAGCGTACATATTGTATATAAATGATCAATGGTCGTGCGCACGTGCCAATTCTCGGAGGGCTCCAGAAATTCTCAACTTTTGCGATAAACGAATTTCAACGAAGTCCCTTACGCAAAACCCCATAGACATGTCTTCAGGAATTCAAGCCTTATTAAGGACCGAAAAGGACGCCTCTGAAATTGTCAACGAGGCTAGAAAGTACAGAACCACCAGATTGAAGTCTGCCAAAGCTGATGCCCAAAGCGAAATTGATGAATACAAGAAACAAAAAGAAGCCGAATTGAGCACCTACGACGCAGAACATGAAGGATTGAATGAACAAGTCAACAAAGAAGCCGATGCTCAGGTTGATGCTGAATTGAAGTCCATCAAATCCAAATATGCCGAGAAGAAGTCAGCTGTCGTTAAGTTGTTGGTAGATGCCACCATAAGTCCTAAACCTGAAGTTCACACTAATGCACAATAAGTAATTGTATCAGATATTTCAGTTCTAGGGTATTTCTTTCCATTGATATATACGATAAAAATACACTTTTATTTCTAATTGGATGCTAATTCACCTAACCACCTTGAGCAAGTTTTTTTATAGACTGAATCACCGTCCATATTTTATTGTCATAACCTGCAGAATTCAATGCTCTCACAAACCCCCATGCTTTCGTCCCATCAGCAATAGGGTAGTCTAATGGAGGAGGAATGGCCGTTGCCACACCCAACATCCGGAAAAATGGCTTATCCATAACCACGGATTTGGTGACACACAAGCCAGTTAGTCCTTCTTCTCCACCAAATTTCCCATATCCCGACTTTTTAATACCACCAAATGGTAACTGAGCCACGTAGAAAGTTGCAAAATCATTGATAGCTACATTTCCACTTTCAAGCCTGTCTGCCACTTGGCTGCACACACCAAAGTTACCTCCAAATATCGAGTTTCCTAACCCATACTCTGTAGCATTGGCCAAGTCAACAGCCGTATCAAGATCAGAAGCCTTTACCATAGTCAAACATGGACCAAATACTTCTTCGCTAAAAATCTTCATGGTTTGATCAACGTCAATCAATAAAGTTGGTTCGAAATAATGGCCCTGAGGGTAATTTGGGTGTTGGTATGGTTTTCCACCATGTATTAACTTGGCACCTTTGGAAACAGCATCCTCTATCAACTCCTGGAATCTCTCAAACCGGTTATCCGATATCATAGCACCCATGTCTATTTCATCCAATTGGTCAATGTCAGATCCCAATCTCAACTGCCCAACCCTTTTGGAAAGAATTTCCACTAGGGTCTCATAGGCTTTTGGCAAACAAATCACCCGTTCAACTCCAATACAATTTTGGCCACCACTTTGGAAAGTGCCTCTCATGATAACAGAGGCCAAGGCGTTAAGGTCCTTCACATCATCAAGTACAACCACTGCATCTTTTCCTCCCAACTCAACTACACAAGGAGTCAACTGCTTGGAGGCACTTTCAACTACCTTGTGAGCAACAGGCTTAGATCCAATGAAAGTAATATGATCAAGTCCAGGGTGAGAAGTGAAGTGTTCAGCATCTTCAGGGAAACAGCAGCACAACTGCACCAAATCTTCAGGAATATTTAACAGCTTTAAGATGGTTCTTACAAGCAAAACAAACCATTGAGAAGACCATATTACTTGTTCAGAACATTTAATAACAATGGCATTTCCTGTAAACAAGGCAGCAATTAGCGGACCCATTAAATTGTGGAATGGGTAGTTCCAGGATACAATGGCAGATACAACACCCATGGGTTCGTACCGAACCTCGCCACTCTTCATCATTCCGATTAACAAGTTTGAAGGTCCAGGTCTTTGGGATGGTCTTAATGTCTTTTCACCATTGGCGATGATCCAATTGATCTTTTCCAAAGTAACCATAATCTCACCCATCAGTGCGTCCAACTTAGTCTTTCCGCTATCACGACAAGCTACTCTTGCAATATCTTCTTGATGATCCAAAATATACCTGTTAAGGGTTCGCAAGAGCTTTCTACGAAGTGAGAAAGACGATTTGGCCCACTGCTTCTGGGCAACTTTGGCAGCTTTGATTTGTTGGTCCATCTCTTCTTTTGACGTAGTTGGAAACACTCCTAAAGATTGGGATGTCGCTGGACAGTAAGACTGGATCTTGTTTGGCTCATCTGGGATCCTCAATGTGGGGGAGTACAACCTCTTACCTTTCCAATGAGGTTTGGCTTCATCGGGAATTGAAACATTCAATTTAATGGGTGCTTCGATCTTGTTGTAGCTGTTGGGAGATTTGGAAACATACCGCTTGTAGCAGTAATATAACAAGGGGAGAATAACGCAAATAAAAAATGTTGTTGATATTTGATACTGCCATTGGGTCCCGTTGAATATAAGATCAATGTCAATCATTGCTGAACAGAGTAATTTGCAAAAATGGTGGTGTGCGGATTTATTCACTTGTTTTAGATACTCTATAGACAGTAACGCGAAAAATGTTGGATTTGATTCTCAAGCCCGGTTTCTAATTATTGGGGCCTTCCGGTTGTTGTAATTGTTCTTCTTGAAGCTGCCTGACAATGTCTTCAAACTCATCATTCTGAGTCCGGTTTTGAATGATTGAAGCAAGAACATTCTGATCCACGTAGTCTAGCGCACCATCTATGATCTTTGTACCTTCTTCAACTCCGGAGATAGCACTGTATCCAAGAGTGTCATTCAGAGGTGGTAAAGGATCAAATTCGTACACATCATCCCTGCTCCAAACCTCCTGTGGTACTTTGGCCATTATGCTATTTTCACCCGACAAAATCGCAAACCGAAGAAGATTAAATGGTAGTTCTTTGTGAGCGTTGGACAGTGGTGGAGTAGACAAGGTTCCAAGTAAGTTCAGGAACAATGATCGGACACCGCTGGCTTTGGTGGCCTCCCGGTTTAGGGTCCCTTTGTGTGCGTCAAAAAGAGTGGTCAATTGTTCGTTCAAGAACTTCCGTTTGTCTTCTCCTTTCCAAAGCTCTTTGGCACGAACCATATACGTCTGATTGGCAAGAATAATCTCGTCGTTTACAAATATGTCGGTCTCCCTAACTGATATCAGGGTGGCTAAGCCAATTGTCTCAAGCATCTGAAATGCTGTGTATGGATGAGCCAAGAATGCTTTCTTCAAAAGGTCTTCGGCTTTTTGGGTATCATTCAAGTGAAGATATGCTAACACTGTAGAGAATGCAATTCCTGGAGTAAACCACTTGACGTATGAGGTCACCAATGGCGACTCAACTAGGTAAGTTAAGAACTTGTATTCTTGACTCATTATGGCATAATAGTCAATAAAGTATCTTACACCAAGTGGATCCTCAGCTGGCGAAAAAGACAATAAAAGCTTACAGAAACTCAAGCTGGTAAAATAAGTTGCCCTTTCTCCAAGATTGGTAATGTATCTGAAGATACAAAGGTAGAACTGGCGATTCATGAACGACTCATAAGGTAGTCTCACAAGACCGTTGGAAGCATCGCTTAACAAGTCGTGAAAGAATTTGTGAAAGCATCTGTCAAACACAAACAAGCATTTTTCGATTAACGCATTACTAGTAGACTTATCACTACCTTGTCTCAAGAGCACCATACTCACTTGAAGTAATGTTTCAACATGATAAGGATAATTTCTTAGAAGTGCAATCAACGCATCATGATCTGGTGAAATAACTACTGAAGCATAGAACTGAGTATTAGCTACTCTTTCTTGAACAGTGCTGTTCTTCCTAAATGAGAAATATCTGACACCAATTTTCTTCTCTTTGCGGATCTTGAGCTCAAGTTCGGAGATTTCTGCCACATTCTCTTTATAGTCCATAAGATCCAATATCTCTGAACTATCGAGTTCCTCCATCTGCAATGGTTTCTGCTGAGTTGGCAAGTAATCATCTTTGATTCTAGTTAAGAGTAGCTTCCTAGTAGTTCCTGGAACACTACGTTTATCTTTGCCACCCCACCCTTTTGTCAATCTGGCTAATCGCTTGAATTGCTTCAACACTTCAGGAGACACAGCAAGAGATGTGGTAGTGTTAGCATCTTCGATTGTCTCTAATGAAAGATTTCCAAACAATGACTTCAATTCTTCATCCGGATCAAGATTCTTTATGGATCCTATTGAAAGTATCGATAATGACTGCTGCAATCTTTCAGTAGTGAAGTTTTTGAAGTTGGGATCGTACTCCGGTAACGGCTCTATGTCTTCGTTATATTCTTCCTCGAAATCATCTCCGTCTTCAGCAACAATGACTTGAGACTCGTGAGTTTGTTCTTGGGTGCCGTACTTTTTGAGGTCTTCGGCCTTGGCTTCTGCAAGGATTCTATCAAGTTCATCATCACTATTTTCTGGAATTACAGCTTTCTTTCCCTTCTTGTTATTTTTCTTGTTCTTCTTGGGTTTGCTTGACAGTTTTGGTAAAGACTCCGGTTCTGTTATATCCTGGATGTGCTTGGCCACTTCTTCGCTGTCTGGTTCTGAGTCACCATCTTCGAGAAAGCTAAAAGCGTTGAATGTCTTGGCGGTTACAGGAGTTTCATTTATTTCCTTGACATTCTCGGTAGCTTCTGGGGTTAGACTATGTTCTAATCGTTGTCTTTCAAGCTTTCTTAACTGTCTGGAGCTCATGATGACTACAACTATCAAAATGCGTTTTGAGAATTCGGTCGCACTTTTTCTACCTTTGTGGCTGCAAATATCTAACGGCAAATATGTCAAATTCTCATATTGATGAGACCATAGATGACCATAAAGGAGACAAGAGCTTAGGCTACGATGGCCACCCTGTGATCAATGGGGGTGGCCCAACAACGTTGTCTCCCATGGTAGAAGCAATTGAAGATTCAGTATTACTGTTAGAAGAAAAGAGACTGCTTGTAACATCATCACCTTTGTCTCCTTACTCTTTAGTATCACCCAAGCCGTTCACCAACTATTCTCCAATTACAGTGAATGATACACAATTCAAGATCTACTGTCTTACACAAGAGATTCTTGAAAGTGAAACCACCTACTACAACCTGCTTGAAATCCTTTTGAAATATTATATCTTTCCCCTTAACAGCTTTTCCACCTGTGAAACTTCAACTGCTACCCCATTAAAGGTTATGAATTCTGTAATCGAAGATATGCTTAAGTTACATCGGCCACTATACCTCTTTTATTCCCAGAAAAACCTCAATTTAACAACTATTGATTCTATTCTAGAAGAGATTATGGGTAAAATTATGGTTATTGTCCGGAGCAGTTACCTATATACAGAGTATTCAAATATCTATGAAGATGTATTGGAAATTTCAAAAGATCCCAGGTCTGTTGAAATTACCACGTTTAATACCCTACTCGTGTGTTTGAATCGGTATCTTGAAGCCACCCAACCAGAAACAAAAAGACATGATCTTTCGTTTATTTCACTCATCCAGAAACCCATTTCCAGGTTCGGGAAGTATAGGCTTTTCATTGAAACGCTTTTGAAACTAGTAAGAAGCCATAAACTTGAACCGGTTGTTTTGAATACACTTAACCTTGTCAAAGAGAAGCTCGAAATTATCAATAATGAAACAATTTACGCCAAAGAGGAAGAGAGAACCAAAAGAATTGGTATTATTTGTGGAATTCAACTGGTATCATATTTTGGTAAACCTCTCCTTATTGGATCTTTGATGGGCTTTTGGATTGAGAAGGACAAGATCCGGTGCTCGACGTTAGCAGCCGTGTTATTCAAAAGCTATTTGATTTTGAGTGGGTTATCGTTTTCCAGTTGGTTCGGTAAGGTGAAATTTGTGATTCCCCTTGCCCAGTGTAAACTTATAGAAAATATCTTGGATTCTACAGGAGGTATTTTTTGTTGGTTTCCCCAAAGTTTTAAAATGATTTATGAAATTGGCAAATGTCAGTATGAAATAGTAATTGCGAATATCACCGAAAGTGAATATTCTACATGGTTATCTACTTTACAAACACTAGTCAACTTTGTGAATGGGCCCTATACCATGGACTTCTCCAACCTCAATGATAACTGTGAATCCGTTGCATGTGTTCCAAAAAACACTAGTCCTTATAATATTTGGCCTGAAGCTGGAAATGCGATATACCAAAAGAGCTGCTACTACAACCAGCCTATGACCGTGTCAATATGCAATTCAATTTTCCAACAGAACACTGCGGGGCCAAATCAAAAGTACTATGACCTCTACAAAGAGATGAGCAGGTCGGAGCGTGTGAGAGCGGAAAGGAGGATTGGCAATTTGTGGAGCCCAGAGCTTCCTCAAATTATGTTTTTGCCCAAAATAAGACATAAAAGTTTGACAAGCTTCAGGTTTTCGCCTAGCTGGAAGACAGCCATTGAAGAAGATTCAATAAAGAAGACTATCATGTTCAGAAGAAGTGAGTCCACTCCAAATATCAAACTCTTCGAACAGCTATGCGAAGAAGAGCCTGAGGCTTCAGAATTTGTGGTGACTGTGAAAACGCACATCAGTGGGGTTTCTAGAGGTTCGAGTATTAAATCGGCACTTGCCGGGCTTGTTAAAACCCATTCAAAAAACACAAACTAGAGATATAAGAATAAGGTTGTAATTTTATGTATTGTGCTAAAGATCTCAGTTGGTAATGGCATCTGGGCCCATTGAATCATTATGAGAGTTGAACTTTCTATTGTTAATGGAGGCATTCAGCTTGTCACTACCTTCGAGTACAATTTTTTTGATCACTTCGTCAGTGTTTTTGGTGCCGAATTCGTTTTCCAACTCGGTCTTAGATGCTTGAAGTAATTGACCTTCTACCCCACCTTGTCTATTGGTGAATACTTGGAAAACTGAAATCACATCTACCAAAGGGATGGAGGAATCCTCTCTGAACTTATCTAGGGCTTCACGGTCTTCGACGAATACCACGAAATCATTTTCTTCACCTTTGTAGAATATCTTATGAGGACTAACCATTTTTATGTTATGATTTTTAATCTAATAAAGTGGAGTCGCTGCTGTATTTATAGGGTGATCTTCGTAGCAAGGTTGCTGCAACTTTTCAACTTCAGATTACCTAATCGGTGCACCACAGAATTCGCAAGAACAAATTGGTGACAGTGTGAACAGACAAAAGCAACTGCAACTGTTGTCAACTTCCCAAATGGTGCATACATTCCCTTAATATGTCCACTAGTCACGTCTCTGTTGGCTGATGGTGGTATTACATCATAGAATGGGATTGGTGTCTTAGCTGAAAAGTTGACCAGACAATTTGCTACCAGCAGTCCAGAATCAATCACGACTCTGGTGATTATTTTGCCAACCAGTGGTCTTCCAAGGCAGTTGTGGCTGGTTCTATGACTACAAGTATCTGGGGTTTAGAATTTTATTTTTCTGAACTAACTTTTAGCTTAGATGCAAATATTTACCACAATCAAAAGCATGAGAAAAAAGTACCTATGCGCTAAATAATAGTACTTCCAGAACTTTTCTTAAATCTTTCTTTCTGTATCTATTACGAAGCATCTAACTTAGAATAGGGTTTCCCTAATACAGCTCGGTAAACGATGCCAACTTAAAATTTAGTAATTGGAGGGTTGGCCGAGTGGTCTAAGGCGGCAGACTTAAGATCTGTTGGAGGGTTCTCCGCGCGAGTTCGAACCTCGCATCCTTCATTATTTTTTTTCTTGATGTCACAAAAGTAGTGCGCGGGTTACACGGCTGAGGCGGTCCAGATCCGGAACACGTCGGTTATTGCTCAATCGGCCGGCAGCAATTATGATTGTTTGAAATAACTCTTTAGTAGATGAACAGCACAGAACGATAGAGCTGGGTAGATATCAATATGGGAGGACACCCAGAGACTCAAGGCCGATTTGTTTGATGAAACTACCACTGGTGAGAGTCGAGAAAGCCCGGTTTTCGTTTGAGATGAGAGGGGTCGGTATCGGCATGCGCATATGACGGTAATAAACTAAATCACCCTTTTTTACGGCCGTTAGTCCTGTACTGGTTCAGGTCGAATTTTGTTTGAGATTGGTGACGTCGGTTGCAAAATCATATCGGCATGTGCTGCTGACGGTAATAAAGCATACTGATATTTTTAGCCGTGTCGAGTATATTTAGTTGTGAAAGTCCCATCAATCTAAGCTTTTCATTATAATAATGGTTTCCGAAGTTGATAATAATTCTGATAACAGCACCGAACCAAAGACATATCTTGAAAGAAGCAGAAGCCTCGAAAGTAATGAGGGGGTTCAACGGATTATAAGTAACCTTTCTCAGAAAGCTGGTACCTTAGGTGAACTTGAAGAAGGTTACGATTTACAAAAGATCCACACGCATGCCAAACCAGGATCAGATGTGCACAAGGAAGATGAATGGCAATATCCTATTGATGAAGATACAAACTTGAGACTTGTGGTGTTCTTGGATGGTGACAAACAAAATCCAAAGAACTTTTCTCTGGGTAGGAAGTGGTTGTACACGGCTCTCCTTGGGTTTGTGTGTTTTGTGGTTGCTCTTGGGTCTGCTATTGTGACCGGTGATATGGATAGACCAAGAGATTATTTTGGTGTCAGTGAAGAGGTGATCATTTTAGCCTCTGTCACTACTTTCGTTATTGGGTTTGGGGTTGGTCCTCTTTTGTTTGCACCTTTATCTGAAGAATTGGGCAGACAACCTATATACATGGTCACTTTGGGGCTCTCACTTATTTTCATTATCCCCTGTGGTCTTGCTAAAAACATTGGTACTTTGTTGGTGTGTCGATTAATTGACGGAACCCTTTTCTCCGCTCCAATGTGTTTGATTGGAGGTTCGTTGGCAGATTTATTCGAAGGTGATCAAAGAGGTGTGGCTATGGCCATCTTCTCTGCTGCACCATTTATGGGTCCTGTCATGGGTCCAATCTTTGGGGGATTATTGGCTGACAATGCTTCTACTTGGAGATGGGTCTACTGGACCTTTTTGATTATTGCCGGTTTCATGTATGTTATATTCATGGCAATTGTCCCTGAAACTCATGGGGCAACCATTTTGAAGAGGAGAGCTGCTAAGTTAAGAAAACTCACCGGTGACGACAAGTACTACACGATAGCCCAATTGAAGCCTCGTACCTTTAAGGAGGTGGCTAAGCAGTCTCTTTTGAGACCATTTATTTTGTTGTCGGAGTTCATTGTGTTCTTGGTCACCATTTACATGGCAATCAACTATGGATTATTGTACATGTTTTTCTTTGCAATCCCAGTGGTGTATCAGGAAGGTAAAGGATGGTCCGCTTCAAAAACAGGAATTATGTTTATTCCCATTGGTGTTGGAGTTCTTTGCTCAACTGGGGCAGCCATCTATATCAACAAGGACTATAACAGAAGGGCTCAAAAGTATAGAGATAGAGGTGAGATCCCTCCTCCCGAATTACGGTTGATTCCTATGATGTTCTCATGTTGGTTGGTTCCAATTGGATTATTCATTTTTGCATGGAGTTCATACCCTACAATTTCTTGGGCCGGTCCATGCTTCTCAGGATTTGCGACCGGCTTTGGATTCACCACTTTGTATAATCCCGCTAATAATTACATTGTGGATTCCTATCAGCATTACGCCGCCAGTGCATTGGCTGCGAAAACTTTTGTGAGATCGATATGGGGTGCCGCAGTCCCATTATTCACCATTCAAATGTATCACAAATTGGGATACCAATGGGCTACTTCATTGATGGCCTTCATTTCCTTGGCATGTTGTATCATTCCATTTTTATTCTTTTACTTTGGTGCCAGAATCCGTGCCTTCTCGAGATATGCTTATTCTCCTGAAAAGGATCAATAGATAGAGAAAATACCTTAAACTAGTCTAATATATTAAATTTGTATGAATTATTTCTTAGTTTTACCATCTGGAATGGTGAACAATTGAGGGGTTTGGGACGTTCCGAAAGGCTTGTCGACTCTGTAGTAACCCTTTCTTTCAAACTGAAGAATATCACCTTCCTTTAATTTGCGCAAGTTGAGATCAGCATAAGCATCGGAGTGGAATTCGGTTTCTGGAGTAAGGAAGTTTTCAAAGTTGTCTCCTTCTTCGAGTTTATCCTTGGTGATTAAGTGATCGAAATCAGTCAAGTCCACAAGTACCTTATCGTCAGTGTCAGCTAACCAAGTAAGCTTCTTTGAGGTTTTACGGAAATCACCTTCTAAATGAAGTTTGGCTTCAACCGATTTGACTATGTCACCTTCCTTGGTAATCGAGTTGATGATGACATTACCCCAGTCCATAAATGTGATTTCTTCACCTTCAGCCAAGGTCTTGGCGTCTTCTTGCTCAAGCAAAACATGCTTGTAGTAGATGACTGGCTTCACACCTACATCTGGGTTCTTCTTGTGCTTAGGCTTTTCTTCCGTCTTTGGCTCTTCTGGACCATCCACCAAGGTCACCTTTACAACATCTTTGGCAGAAATTGCAGTAAATCTTGGAGCGATAGGATCAATGATCTTTTTGTTAAGACTCCAAATAGAAGACCAGTCTAAGTTGATAATATTCTTAGATGGACCTTGGGAAATAACAAAGTTTCTCAATCCTTCAACAGTCATACCTCTTCTCCTCACACCTCTTACAGTTGGGAATCGAGGATCATCCCAGTTGCCCACGTACTTCTTGTCGACAAACCATTGTAACTTTCTCTTGGACAACAAGGTACGGACAAAGTTCACTCTACCGAAATCCCAAATATGGACCTTACGAAGGTGTAAGGCATTAAGCATCCAATCATATTGAGGATTACGGTCTCTGTATTCAATAGTTCTCAAACAGTGAGTAACACCTTCGAGAGCATCCACCACAGGAACACAGAAATCGTAGGTTGGGTACATCTTCCAAGCATCCTTGGTTCTGTGATGAGGAGTCAAGTTACATCTGTAGATGACTGGATCTCTCAAAGCTTTGTTAGGGTTTTGATAGTCAATCTTGGCCCTGACACAGTTCTTCAAACCTTCTTCAGTACCGTTCTTCATTTCTTCGGTGAATATTTTCAAATTTTCTTCCACGGTTCTGGCTCTCCTGGCTGACGCATCACCAACCATTCTTTCTTCTCTCATCTTTTCCAATGGAGTGTCATCGCAGTAAGCTTTGCCTTCTTTGATCATCTGCACGGCCAACTCATACATCTTGTCGAAGTAGTCAGACGAATAAGTGATTAGATCTGCTTTAATTCCCAACAATTCCAAATCTTCAATGATGGAGTCTTGGAACTCTTCCTTTTCTTTGGAAGGATTTGTATCATCAAATCTGACAATCAACTTTCCTTTGTAAGCGTGAGCAAAGTACTCGTTTAAAATGGCAGCTTTGGCATGTCCGATGTGTAAGTATCCAGAAGGTTCTGGTGGGAATCTGGTGACGACCTTACCAATTTCAGCATCTGGCAAGTTGATTTCAAAGTTGGCTTTATGGGTCTCTTTCTTTCCATTGCTGGAAGCGGCTTTGGCAGACTTCCTTAATTCATTAACGGATTTGGTAACCATTTCCACAGACTTTTCAAACAGTTCGTTGGCACCAGCAATAAAGTTATACCATCTGGTGACGTTGACGTAAACCCCACTTTTAAGGATAGAGCCCATCAAAGCATTGGCTCTCAAGACACCCCAAACCGCTACATCTCCCAACGACAAGGCGTATCCGGTGATGTAACTTCTGAAGTTCAAGTGAGCATCCAACTTTTCCAAATCGACTGCTAATTCTTTGAAGTTCTTGACAGTCAACTTCTCCAAGGCAATCTTGAGCCATTTTTGCGATCCTTCCTTGTCTTGGAAAACCAAAGGAAACTTGTCGGCGAGTCCATTTAAGATGGCAAGTTGTCCAACGAGAATCTTCCCGTCGTTAGTCAACTTAACGGAGTCACCTTCAATGTCTTTCTCATCGATAAATTCAAAGTTGATAGACTCATCTGAAGACGAGGCGTTGACCAAGTTGGCAGCAATTACGGAGGAGTACGCAACGGCTGGAGCTTTCGCAGCAATAGTTAACGTTGTGGTAGACATTATCAATGGTGTATAGCACTCTCACTGTAAAGGAATGAAAATTTTTTGGTGAGTGATTTCGTTCCCTTAACCAAATTGTGCGCGACAATTTCTACTCTTGGTTAGTGCAGCAGCATATACATATGAGCAGCTCATCGTCGAGGCGATCAGGGTCGCCTAGATCTACTGTACCCTTGCAAAAGCCAACAGCTAAACGTTCTCCTTCGATTTTGGTTACCGATGCAAGAACCAATTTGCTGAACGGTGCAAGAGCTCCTTTTGCAGGCCAAAACTATAAACGACAACAGCAACTCCAACAATCACAAAAACCCATATCATCTATATCGTTAAGAAAGCGTCTTTTGACAAGGCCAACTCGATATGCTGATATCTCTGTCGACAAGTTGTTGAGCAACTCAAGCGACATTCCTTCGGGGCAAAGCAGGTTTCCATTAAGTCCTAGTATGCCTACATCTCCAAATATGAACTACAGTAACTCCAACCACAGTTCTCCACCACCTAGTTTAAGACTTTCGGGGAGTACTGTCGATAGAAGAGCAGGTAAGGGGCTGGCATTACCTTCTAGGACTTCCAAAACTTCCCAGAAATTGGTGTTGATTCCTGATGAATCCATTGACCATACTATGGTTCCGTCAAGGGGAGCCTCGGCTGACTTCCCCCAAATACTGAGGTCTCGTGCTGAGTTAATGCCCAAAGACCGACGTGCCCAAGAATTTAGCAGAATGACAGCTTACTTCATCTGTGAACAGTTTGACTTAGAAGTGGTTTCTGACTTTCTTAGTGATAAACATGAAGTGAAACCTCGTCTTTATGACGAAGCATTATACATTCCATATGCTTTGCCACTTCTACCAGGAAGTGATGGGTTCAGAGTCAAATCGAATAATTCAGCAAAGTTGTTGCCTAACCAGCAATACATGGAGAAGTTGATTAACAAAAGTGAAAGAGCTGATTACTTGTATGAATACTATTCAGGCGTGGAAACCCCCGAAGACGCCAATAACTACTCCATGGATCCTGAGGTAGAAAATGACAGCACTCCGTTCGATCCCTCTGAACCTCAGTTTTTTGCACCCAGTGACCCAGGTGAGGAAGGTGGCGAATCGGAAAGTTCTCCACCCCCTAATCGGGAGTCCCTTATTAGTAAAAGGGACACCAATGATGAATCTATTCATGACTTTTCCAAGCACCATGGTGAAATGTTCGTTTTCGAGTATGGGATTGTGGTATTTTGGAATTTTTCAGAAACTCATGAAAAGAACATTTTGGCTGATCTTTCCTTCGCATACAACGAGTCAGTCCCATTAATGATCAACCCAATAAAAGAGCAGGATATTGAAACAGAAGAATTTCACTTCGATTATGATGAAAATGTCCACCGTCCCAGAATCTATAATGATATGATTACCTTAAGATCTGCAGACCATTTGATTAAATTGACGATGTCTCACGCCATTGCTCAGCTGACTAAACTAGGATTGTTCGAAAGTCGCATGATCAATGTTTTGCAACTGATCTCTAGGTTACCTAAAAAACTAGCATTAACAGGAGAATTGGGATTAAGCAGGGGTCAATTGTTGAAAAAGTCGGGAAAGCTATTCAAATTGAGATCGGACGTCAATTTATCAAGTTCAATTCTCGATACCCCTAATTTCTTCTGGTCCTTGGAACCAGCTTTGCATCCGTTGTATAACGCCGTCAGAGACTACCTTGAAATTGACCAAAGAGTTCAGGTGATTAACGAGAGATGTAAAGTATTCCTAGAGTTCCTGGATATCGTCAATGATAGTATTAATGAGAAGAGTACCAGTCGAATCACGTTGATGTTTATCATTATTATATTTTTGAGCTTACTGGTAAGCATATTCGAATTTTTCTTAGAGATCCTATAACCTGCCGAAAAACGTATCATGCATCATTCAATCCTTGAACTACCCTGTTGGTGCTGGGGTCTCTCGTACAGTTAGTGCAACGTACATATAATTAATTTCCTCAGTATACCCTATCGGTTATATAGTCGCATAAATGCATTTGATTCGCATCAGAAGTTTTTGCAACCAATCTAAAAAACAATGGCAGTGGGAGTGAGAGAAAAGAACGGAAGATTTTCAAGTCAGACGAAGGCAAGTTTGGAAGAACAGAATACGCTTGTAGGGCATAACCAACACCAACCTGTTAAAAAGAATTGCCCACTTATTGGTTTCCATGTGAGAGATTCTAATAATCAATGGGTTAAACGTAAACTACCTTCAAGCACTACATTCAATATTGTGTTTTCGAGTCAGCCAACCTTCTGTGTCAGGACGGTAATAGGAAAGCCATCACATATTGTCAAGGAATCAACACCCAAACAAGCTGCTTCCGCCAGCAAGGACGCAGCAGAGGGCAAGTATTCTATTAGTGAGTTTGACGATAATATTGATCCCAGATTTCAATACTTTGCATATCACTACGAACATCATGCTCAGTACATTATCCGCTGTGATCACGGATGCTTTCACCTTCGAAGCTTGAGGTTCAAAACAAGACAGAATGCTGAGAAGTTCTTCAATAACTTACTTCAAAACGATATTAATTTGACTCCTCGCTTGATCAAACCTGGAGATCGCTTCCAAGTGACTTTGGGAGAGTTACAAACCTGGTTGTCGAATCCTAGTATGCAATTCCTATGGACAAAGGTATCCCTTGATTTGATCGAAGATACTTATAATAGCAATGGATCAAGTACTCCAGATGACAAATGCATATAAGTAAGTGATAATATTGATGAAGAAATATAAATGTATGTATTTTGAAAGTGCGCACAAAATCACGATGTCTCTACCTTCCAGGTTTGCACCTGGAGGAATAACAGATGATGATAGCCGAAAGATAGTAACCATCGGCCGCTATGAGAAGAAACCTATAGAGTATACTATCAAGACCATCGAGGAAAAGGTTGAGAGGGCAGCTAGCCATAGCACAAACAAAGATATAGAAATGGTCCCCATGGACAACTACAACGAAGCACAAGTAATTTCCGAGTACATAACTCATTCCAGATCCCTAGACGAAATTCCTCACGACTCCATGGAAGTTGATGGGGAGTTCAGCAATGTTACAATTGAGCCCAACACGTCGTACTTGGTTATCGATACCAACTTTGTGCTTTCTCATCTTAAAGTTCTTGATGATATTACAAAAGTCTCAGACCTTTACAGACTACGAATAATTGTTCCTTTAACAACCATCAGGGAATTGGACGGGTTGAAGAATTCATCAAGAGTAGTAGAGTCCGAGGATAACAACACGTCATTGAACGGTAAAACAATTGGCCATTTAGCACGATGGGGAAATGATTGGATCTTCAGACAATTAAGCAACGTCAACAGTCCAGTAAAGGGACAGAGTATGAAACAGAAACTCGACAGAACGTCCATTAAAGATGACTCTATCTTGGATTGTTGTCTCTTCTTCAAACAAAATTATCCTGCTAATTTAGTGGTGCTTTTATCCAATGATAAAAACTTATGTTTGAAAGCATTATCAAATGAGGTGCTAACGGTAAGCTATAGACCTACCATGAGTGCTAAGTTGATTGGCGAAACGATTTACGGTGAAAGCGTTTCTCGGTACGGAAAGGAGTCTGGTCCTGTGTTTGTAGAAAAACTGCCAACACCCGTTCCTCGGGTATCTGTTTCAAATGAAGAGCAAACTGATTTCCATTCGGTGGCCCAAAAGATCTACAGCGAAGTATTTACACTCACCAAATCTGCAATAAATCATGTAATGTTAGCAGTATTTGAAGAGGATATTGATCTAGTGTCGAACTATGAGCCAAATAAAATACAGGACTTAAGGGATTGTGATTCTACAATCAGAGTTTTCTGGATTTCTGCTTTTAGTGAATACTTGCAACGCATCGATTACAAAAACAGTGTGTTCATAGTTACTCTACCGACTGGTAAACCCGAATTGGAAAAGTTTATTGAAGAGTGGAGTCTGTTGTTACAGACCGTCTACAGAAAGCTATTGAATGAACAGCAAAACTCTGCATTAAAAACCCTTATTGAAAGGTGGAATACTATGATTTCTTCTTGACCCTAAACATTCCTTGCCGTTTGCGAGGTGATTTCTTGGGGTGTGTCAATTGGTTGTTTGTTTCTGCCTTGGTTTCTAGAATCAATCCCGCATGTGGTTCGAGCTTAACCGACAGTGAGATAGGCTCCTGTTTCAAAGCTAGTTTTGAGGAGCTCAGTTTGAACTTTTTTGGAGAAGGTCCTTTTTCTGCATTATTTGACCACCGGCTACCAACCACCTTCCCTATTAAGTCCCAAATTTCTGTGTCATTCGTTTCTGTTTCCGAAATACTATCATTCCATTTCTTTTCATCATAAACACCAACGGCCTCTTTGTGCCGGGGGTTGATTTTGTTGTATTTTTTCAACAACTCGTCACCATTAATCACCTTATAGCTCTCTGTAAGATACCTAATATAATGATCTTTCTGGTGGACCAAGTCGGATAAGGCATCTAACTTGTTTTCAAGACGGCTCATGGCTGCAAACTGACCAATAATAAATTTCTGTAAATCCAAGTTCTCTTGGCTTTCAGCCAACCAAAGAGTCCATTTCAAATCATGAGACTTTATATACACCTGAGCAGTAAGCTCCGCTGTGGTTGTGATGTCTTCCGTACTCAAAATACTGACACTTCCATCATAGATGCTGTCTCGCAAGCCTTGCAAAATTATTCGCAATTTGTCCTTATCTAAATCGAGAAACCCTTCCAATTCTAAAGCTGATCGTGTTGATTTTTCATTTGAAGAAGTAGACCATAACTTGGGACCCGATATATCTACTAGTACCACTGAGTAGCCACAATTGTCTGAATCGATTGCTGCCCCCACCAAGAGCTTTTTCAATCTGTACCCGATTGCCACCCAAGTTTGTGGAAACATCGCTGGTACCATAAGAGCCAAACCGACGGAAGTCAACGACAATTAGAATTATGGTCAAGAACGAGTACCTGATAAATGATATAGATCAATTGGTTGACAGGATTATTTGTCTTTGTGGTAGTAAGCCTAAGGATGAAAGACTAATAATCGGAATTGCTGGAGTTCCTGGTTCAGGTAAAACAACTTTAAGTACCAAATTGAGTGAGCAATTGAACCAACAAAAATACCCAACCATAAATTTACCCCAGGATGGATTTCACTCCTACCGTCTGGAATTGATCTCTATGCCTAACAGTGAGGAAGCGGTTCGAAGAAGAGGTGCTCCGTTCACTTTCAACGCTTCCAAATTCTTGCAATTAGTCAAGAGCTTGAAATCTCCTCAACTTAGAGACAGAGACTTATATGCTCCATCCTTTGATCATAGTATCAAAGACCCTGTTGAGAACGATATAAAGATTCTGAAAGACACAGATATAATTATCCTCGAGGGAAACTATTTGGCTTTAAAAGATGAAGTTTGGTGTGAATTAGCCAATTACATGGACGAGATATGGTTTTTAGAAACCAATTTTGAAGTAACAAGAAAAAGACTCATCAAACGGCACTTGCAAGCAGGAATTGCCAGAACCGAGCTGGAAGCCATTGATAGAGCAGATAATAATGATCTTGTCAACGGCCAATACATTATAGACAACTCAATTTGTCCAGATGTAACAATAATCACCCCCGTATAGATAGAAGGTAGAATAGACACGAAATATGACTTGACCTTACACAAGAGTGAAATATTAGACTTTTCATAAATGCTAAACAATATAAATACAAATGCTCTTTTAAACTCATCTGGGTTGAACGTTGTACTTCAACTTGATGCCCATAGCTGCCAATTCCGAATCCAAATATTTCAATACAAATGGAATAGCAACCGTCGTCGTATTTTCACCTCCCACAAACTTCTTTCCTTGACCATCTTCCCAGATATCAGATTCATTGATGAATTCATTGGAAAAGCTCTCCAATTTCTTGGAACAACTTCTACATCTGATGGAAGACATGGAGCCAATTCTAGGGACAGATGCTTGAGTGGTCAACAAGGAACCACAGTCTTTACACAAAGACGTATGGGTGTAGTCGGAGCAGTTCAATAATCTATCTTGCAATAAGAACGCAGTACCATGTCCAATGAGGGCATCCCTTTCCATTTCTCCCACTCTGATACCACCAGATCTCTTCCTACCTTTAACAGGTTGCATGGTCAAAGAGTTGACAGGACCAGTGGATCTGACCTGGAACTTATCGTTCACCATGTGTCTCAATCTTTGGTAGTAAACCACACCAATGTAGATATCAGCTCTCAACTCTTCACCAGTGACACCTGAATACATAGGCTCGTTACCGTGGTAGTTATATCCAGCAGCCAATAATTGGTCACCGAAGTAATCTGCTGGAGTATCAGATTCACTAAATTTCCAAGGGGTAGCATCGTGTGCCATGCCGTGCAAAGCACCAGCCTTTCCTGCCAAACTTTCAACAAACATACCGATGGTCATACGAGATGGGAAAGCATGAGGGTTAATAATAACGTCAGGCTGAATACCGGTTTCACTGAAAGGCATGTCAGTTTGTGGCCATTTTCTCGAACAAACACCTTTTTGACCATGTCTGGAAGAAAACTTATCACCAATAAGGGGTTGTCTGGTAATTCTATACTTGATTGAAAGTTGCTGACACTCACTGTTGGTATCATCAGCCAACAACTTGACTTCTTCAATATAGGCCGGTTCACTGGAATGGTAGGTTTTCACCTTGGTCTTTCCTAATGTGTCATCAAAGTAAGCGATAATTGGATCACCTTCTTCAACCTTGACACCAATTTGTGGCAACCCATCGGCATCCAATTTGTTCTGCCAGATTTCGGGCCAGTCGTCGTCTCCAAAACCAATGTGTTGAGTAATTGGATCACCTCTCCTTCTACTCATTCCCAAGTCCACTTTTTCGACCTTGTAGACTGTACCATAACCAAACCCTCTTTCGTCTGCCAGCTTGTTGATAATCATAGCATCATCCATATCATAACCCGTGTATGAGATAACTGCCACAACTGCATTAGTCCCGTTAGGGAAATTGTCCATTCCATAATCATCATACAAGTTAGCCTTGACAATTGGAGTCTGGCCAGATTGTAATCTGTACAACTTGTTATCAGATCTGTGAACTAAACCAACACCAGGAGTACCCATAGTTTGTTTACCCATTTGACATTGATACATATTTCTTGGAGATTGGTTGAAATCTGAGAATGGAGTCAAGTTTGCCAAAATCGACAAGATGTTTGTGGGAGAAAATTCAACATGGCTGTGGATGTTATTCGTAATCTCTTCGGGTGTTACAGCAATATTCATGTAAACTTGTTCAAATGGACCAACAATATCGGTCTTGCCCAAGGGTAAGTATTTAACAGGTCTCACCATTCTGGCATGGCCTCCGAAAAGATATAATCCAGGGTATTGACCCTTGTTACTTGGGGGCACGTACCCGACTTCCAAGTCCAAAGGAATGTTGTGAGAACCTTCAATCTTCCAATATCTTAAAGTGTCAGCCACAATCTTGGCTTTTTCATGGGAAGTCCATCCAAGAATCTTACCATCCAATTGCACACAACATACACCAGGACCGGCAGCAAACGAGTTCACAGAAGATATTCCCAATTGTGACAATGCACCAGGGACTCCAGATACATCCGACTGTTTGGTGGTAATCTTACACTTGTGAGCCAAGTGATTCAATAAACCACATGGAGAACCATCAGGAGTGTGCACTGGACATAAGAAACCCCAGGATTCGGGTAACAATTTTCTGACGGTGGTCGTTTTCAACTCAGCGAAGAAAGAACCTCTATGAACCATCCTGAAATGGGAAATGAATCTGTGGAAATTAATCTTTTCTGCTACAACTGTGTAACCACTTACTTGTTGCAAATCTAAACCAGACTGTGAAACCAAATTACCAGTAGACAAAAAGTACTGCAACTTTTGACCGATATTTTCATTGATCCTTTGGAACACTCTTGAAATATATTTACGTTCGTGGAAGTTGACTTTCAAGCCTCTATTCAAGTCGGACAGAACTTGCAACTTGAAATTGTTCAAATATTCTTCGATCTTCTCTTTGACAATCATACCGTACAAAAATCCACCCAATAAGACTTCTTGATGCTGAGTGGCATCAGGATTATCTGGACAACAGTCTCCAGCAACCAAGGAGTATAGTTTTCTGATCATGAATAATAGCATTCTGAACTTATCTTGGTTAGAGTCCAAGTGCACCAACACAATTCTCTTCAACACCAACTTACCAACTTCTATATCGCTCATATCAGGAGTTCCATCAAACACCACTCTGAATTTGTCTCCCAAATATGCCAAAGTTTCTTGATTGGAGTAAAGGTTGTAAGACTTGTTGTAGGTTCTCAATAATAATTCCAATCTATCAGTCAAGAAGGAGTTGGAAAGATCAGTGCCAATGATTCCATCGAAAATCTCTCGATCACTGGTTTCCATAAGGGCCTTCAATATCATTTGAACAGGAACCAAGTACTCGTTCTTCTTCCAACTAAATCTAAAGGTGACGTTACCATCACTAAGGTAATGCAATACGTTAGTTTGAGAAGTTTGGTCTGGTCTGACACATCTGATTTGAATACCGTATTTGGTATATGAGTTGCCTCTGCTAGCAAAACTGGGTCTGATCAAGGCCATGGGGTGGTTCCGTCTTTGCACAATCAACATTCTGATCAACTTCTCAATACCGTTTACAATAAAGTAACCTCCAAACTCATCACTTTCTTCCTTGTGCTTCACCAACTCATCAGGAGATAAGTTCTGAAGGTGGCATCTGCTGGATCTCAACATCACTGGCAAGAGCCCACAGTCTCTGATTTCAGACATCTCTTCGCCATCGTTAACGGACCAAGTGACTTTTAATCTCAACTTGGATCTGTAGCTGATCATTCTCTCTCTGCACTCATATGGTAAAGTGTTTGAATTCAATGATAACTTATCGTTGGTGGGTATTGAGGGCTTACCGATTTCTACAGAGTCGACCTTGATCATCAACTTGTTCCCTAACCTATCGGTGGAAGTTGAATCAAAGATGGTTTTGGCCCCAATGTCCTTGACAGCCAAGTTCAATAGACCACCATGAGCACCTTCAGTTAAGGCATTAAACGAGCCAATGTGGGGCTCAATGGCTTCGTACAACATGGGATATGCAGACTTATCCTTGGGAGGGTTCTGAAACCGCTGCTCCCTCTCCAACGTTCTGAATTTGGCGGTGGACATGCTTTTGTGGTGGCTGGAGTATGAATAGTATGAGAAAAAATTTTTGATTGATGAGATGGTGAGAAAGGCTTTAGGTGTATGCAGGTCATCGCATCCTTGTACGAAATAACGGGTATATCGATTTCTCAAACGAAACCACAATGGCCAACAGCAAATACGAGTACGTAAAGAAGTTCGAGAGAGAAAATTATCTTCTTCCCGATACTTATGTGGTGATACGAGTTGATGGCAAGGGGTTCCACAAGTTTTCAAAATTCTACAACTTTGACAAGCCCAACGACCTAAAGGCCCTAGAGGTGATGAACACAGCTGCATACAATTTAATGAACCAGTTCGGAGATATTGTCATGGCATATGGGGACAGTGATGAATACTCGTTTCTTCTAAAGAGGTCCAGTGAGGTGTACCAGCGGCGAGAAGCAAAATGGGTAAGTCTATTTGCATCGAGCTTCACCGCCTACTACTTGATGGAATTCTCCAAACAATTCGATCTCCAAAGCAAAATGGTGCCAATATTTGATGCCCGAGCGGTGGTTTATCCCAACCCACAGGTGGTACAAGACTATTTCCGGTGGAGACAGGTCGATTGCCATATAAATAATTTGTACAACACAACCTTTTGGAAGTTGGTGGAATCAGGAATGACTAACCAGGAAGCGGAAAACCGTTTGATTGGAACCCTTTCAGCGGATAAAAATGAGTTACTTTTCAAGATGGGTATAAATTACAACAATGAACCGGAGATATTCAAAAAAGGTACGATTTTTGTGAGAGAGCCGCGTGAGGACAAGAAACGCAAACAAGTGGTTAACAAGTATCATATCGACCTTATTAAGGACGATTTCTGGCATTCTCGAGAAGGCTTGCTCCAATGACTGTCAGTAAGGATCCAGAGAATTGTAGGAACTTGGTTGCTCCAGGGAATAGTAGAAACAGGTGCTGCAGCCAGCAAATATGAAGTTTACGTTTATTCATATCTAATATACGAGAACAACTTACTAGAACCACTGTTGTCAATGTTGTTTGTTCATTTGACTTTTGTCACTTTATTTGTCCACTCACCTGACACCTTTGGAAGTGCTGCTTTGTTCATGCCCACTATCTGATAATATTTCGATAGCTGCGCATAAAACCCAAGCCACTTATCGGGCGAACTTCGCCAATATCAAAAACCCCTTACACTGATGAAATACGCTCCGTTCTTCAAATACTTGGCGGCTGTTCTTTTCTTCACCAACTCGGTGTTGGTGTTGTTGGTATGGAACTTTCCAGCTTCCTCTCCCTCCCAGCCCATGACTCAACTGAGTTCAGATGTTGGTGCTTTCGAAAATTATCAACAACATCCAATTGACCTTGCCAATGCTTCGGCCATCGTCAATGCGGTTCAAGGGGCGTTGCGACAAAAGTCCTCCAACATCCAACCGGTGGGAGTGACCTTTATTCCTGCTTATATTCCTCCTAATACTCGTTTGTACCACTCTCGTGGAGACGGAAATATTCCTAAACTGTTTGAGTGGGTGGCATTCGACTATGAATTCAGCTACAATTTCGCCGGGTTTTCTAGGCGTATCAACTCCACTGATTCACATAGGGATAGAAGAAATGGCCCTGCCCATTTACTTACGTTCAAAAATACTAAGGCTTTTGATAAGGTGATTTTCTTGGATGGGGCATCTGCTGCAAAAATCGTTCCGGAAATGGACCAGCAATTGATTCTATCAAATGGGACACAAGAGTTGGGATGGTTCAATGAGAGAATTGCGGCTGATAAAATATGTAAGTGGGGAAAGAAGTTTGGTTTACATGGTTTCATTCGGTTGGAAATAGGATATGAAATGGTGCTATGTGATTTTCATAAGGACTTGAAGCTTATCTCAAATATCACTCTTCCTTACGCCAACGACATGCTTGGATTCCCCGCTGACGACCCTCAATACCTTCCTTCACCTCCAGACTGGGCTCCACCGGGAGGGAATGATCCTGGCGATGGACCAGGGGGACCAGGGGGACCAGGAGGACCTCCCAAGCTGGAAGAAAATCAATCTCCTTTCTACTTACAAGAAAGAAATCTTGGAGTGCAGGAGGTTGTCGACTACAGTTCATCCTCCTTCAACAGATCTCTTCTTCTCAGCCATATTCTGTCTGCAGTGGGGTTTGAGCATGTGCAAATATCTGGATACTCGGACCTTCTTGAAGAAAGAGTGTTACTTGATTTCTCCAACATGGTTACGCCGTTGAATAAAACATATATCAACCCAGATCCATACGCAAGAAACATAAGCTACATTTCTCAAGAGATCAAAAACCTGATCATCTACGATCTCGAACGTATCTACCAACAGCCCACAGACCCGCTGCGCAAAACCAATTGGCAAGCAATTATAAACTTGATGCAGTTTAAGTTTGGTCCATTGTTGGTGAACTTGAACTCGACTTTATACGAAGAAGACATAAAGGTTCTAAGTGACAATATCCAAATACTCGCTTTCAACCTCATCAGAAGCCACACAGATAACAATTGGAAGACGGAGCAGGAACAAAGACAACATGCCATCAAATCTTTGGTAGACAGTTATGTTTACCATTCGTACCCATTGGTCAACTATGATTCCAACATCTATTCTGCATTATTCAAAGTGCACAATGAGATCCTAACATTGATTTTCGATATATTCGAGGCATCCAAGAGATATACCAAACAATTATACGTGGATGAGAGTATTCCCACCTATAAAGATGAACTTGATACTTTACGAAGCAGAACATCCAAGTTAATGGAGTTACTTAACTGGGCTGTCTTCTACCAGTGCTCTCGTAAATGTAACCTGAATGAAATGTGTTTTACACCAACATGGGGCCCTGGGCCGTTTGGTGGAATGTTTGAGAGGAGCGATGAAATGTTTGATCATGACGGAGATATTTACCGGATTAAGCACGAATTGAAATGTGTAAGCTATAAGCTTGCTGCTGAGACACTTCCTCCTCTTAACTAAGGTTCTTGCCACCTACATCTATGTGTTATAATATTTCTTCTCGCGGGTATATAATCGTCTGAATATCACAAAAACTGCCACCCATTCCCGCAAATGGAACCAGTAGAGTTCCTTTAAGTAGGACTCTTGATTTTAGGAAGCAGCAGAACGACATTTCATTTACATGCGCATACTCCAAAATCAAAACCTTTGACCTGTAAATTCAACCTAGTAAGATTCTCTACCCCCAGTTTATAGTTCCACCAGATTTAAAGCCATACAGCCACCTAATTTCTGAACCATACACCTGAAGAAATCTGACCCACAAATCCATTGGCACAAATATACTAACCTTCTACTCGGCCCAATGTTCACCCATTTTGCAGCCACTTGGGCTGAGCCGCATAATTATCATCTCGCAAAGTCACCGGTCAAGACGCCCTACAAGTTGCCTAGAAACCTTGCCACCTTTTGTTATACTCGTATGCAAGGCTACAGAAAATCATATCATCTGCAACAATAGACGAACCCAACACATTTCGTATTAAAAAACCCCTTGGTGCTTTCGCATGCAAGAGGGTTTCTAGCCCCTAGCGATCGTCATCTCCACACCAAGAGATTTACACCACCAGCAAAGGTAAACTCCGGACCGGTTGTCGCCTCACGTAAACTCTACGATCATCGGGTCTCTTTGTAACCACTCATTGACTGGTACGTTGGTATGGAAATCCTTTGTCGGTGCACGGGGTTCTGTTCGCCTAGGTGGAAAAATTAATATCTGCTTGTTTAGCAATCATGACCATTAATTTTAAGGACCGGTCAAACCGGAGCCAACCCACAAAAATATTTTTTTAGAGAACGTACTGGTTAGGATGTGTGTGTAACCAGAACGCAATAAGCCAAGGCAGTGCTTCAAGTGGAAGTTATACATTGTTAATACATATATACAAATTGAAACAAGACTGGCACCAACCAGTCAAGGGAAAAAATTAAATGAAAAGAAAACCGGTATTTAACATGATAAGCTCCATAAGCTTTTGTGTGATTGTGATGTGTGAATATGTAAGGCCATTAAATCAGAATTTCGTCACTCAAAGAAAAGTAGCTCTGAGATGGTTCGCCATGGAAACAGTAATTCTGTAAAATGGTTTTGTAGTCGGTACTGATAAACTTATTGAGAAGCAGATCCACGTACTCAGTGTCAAGGTAGCCCCCTTCTGTACTAGACTTTTCGGAGACCTCCGTGTTGTAGTCATAGTCTATGTCATAGTTCAAGTCAAACACATGTCTATCCAAGTCATGATGTTGCAAAGCACTTGACACCGTCACCTTGTAGTTAGAACGGTTGTTATTATCCCAGTAGATCTGGTTGTTGACCTTATAACTCAACACAAACTCGAAGTCCTTCGTGACATTAAGAGGCATTTCGAACTTAAACTCATCGTAGTCCCCAACGGACCTGGTATACTTGAAATTAGAGTTGAAAAGAATTGATGTTTGCCAGTGATTGAAGGTTAGCTTTAATTGAAAGCTCTTTTCGTAACCAAGGTTCAAACAATAAAAGTAACCCACAAGTTTATTGTCATAATAGTTGATGGACTTTAGATGGACGGGGTTGTGCGATGTGGCAGATGTGTTGATATTGTGGGACTTAATAAAGTACTGATACTGTGGGTTGGGGTCTGCGTAGAACGGATTGGGGGAGTTGAACGGACTATCCAGTGGTGACTGGTTGGGGGAGTTTTTGCGGCTGATACTCAGGGGACTCTGTGTTCCATCAAAGGTTTTGATGTCTAAGAAATTATTAAAGGAGACATTCTTGGTAAGTGCAGGGCGGGACTTCAAAGATGACTTGAGGATTTCTCCACTCTTCTTTCTGATCAACATTCTGTTTGAGATATGTGCTACCAGAGCTGGGGAAATGAAAGTATCACAGGAAGTGAAGAAGTATATATAATAGACAAAAAATATTACTCAAATGCAATGAGGCCACTATTTAACCCTTTTGCTAAAATGTGGTCGCCTGAGATAAAGTGAAAAACTTTTTTTATTTATTTACCATCCCTTTTTTTTTTTGTAGGCCACTTTTATTTCCAGTGTGGAGACGAGTGGAGGCGTCACTTTAAAGGTGCGTGAGGCGGTTAGGATCCACTCTTCCAAGATGGGAGTTGGACAATGAAAGGTTCATCTTGGGTGCAACCAACAAATTCAAGTAATTGAAGTGTGGCACTTTGTGACTCCGAGATCCGCATTTTTGCCATAAGGTGATTCTCAAAAACCGTATGTTATTTGTGGTGATACTCTACATAATCTTTGCCTCACAGTTTCCCACTTCCGGTCTTTCCCCAGATTAGGTGGTGTATCACCCCTTGATCGTCTTTGGGAGATCAAGTTCTTCCCCATCTGCTTCCCCAGAAACAGAATTTTCTTCTCAATAAACTTAAACCCTTCCAATTTCAAGACGCGGTGCCTCTAGCAATTACTTCTAATTTAGGTAAATTGGGCGCATCCGCCTTAACAACCATCACCACCATCTGCAATGGAATCAGAGATGTACATGTCGCTTGTGACATATTGAAGCACTGTATGGATGTTATCGCTACGTTTGTGTTCGTGTTTGTGTTTTAGTTTGTGTGTGTTGCTAGTGGTAGTCTGGCAGGTTCTCGAGTGTGTATTTTAAAGATGATAACCTTATTTCCGCGTCTCCCTTTTTACGCATGACACCAGCCAATGCACTGGGTAACTTGAACCCTGACGTTGCTTCCACCCCTCTTACACGCTTGAAAACTCTACAACCTTTATAAACAATAGAAGATTGCTCCTGCACTTGTAGGCGATGCTCCCTGGATTTATATTGTTGGGTAATGATAGGCGACGCAAATACGGGCTAATAATCTATCTGGGGAGAAGGCTCGGTGTCTGTGCAGGCTTCGCAGCCATGATTTGGCCCAAAAAAAATGTGTTTATAAATGGGGTCGTGCCCGGAACCCGATGACATGTCTCACATCTATCTACGTATTATACTTTGGCAGAGTCTTCCTTCAACGTGACAATCCGGTTCAACACCAACTTGTCGTCGGTGCTGTCTTTGTCGACACCAAAATATCCCACTCTCAAGGCTTGGAATCTGACGGTTTCGTTACCGGCTGCCTCCTTAATATTAAACTCACTCGATGGGTTAGGAACGTTCAATGGAGACTTCTCCTTTACTAGTTCGAACGATTTTTCAACAAGAGCATCTTTGATAATAATCTCACTGTCGGGATTGATGTCCTTCAAGAATCCATCAGGGTGAGCTGAAGGATTTTCACTGTGGAACAATTGGTTGTAGATTCTGATTTGATCCACCTTGATCACTTCATCCTTAGGTAACCATTGGATAAATGTCTTGGGTTTCAGCTTCTTTTCATTATCGTAGTTACAGTGGATCTTGGTAATGTTACCATTGTCATCCTTGACAACCTTATTGACACTTACGTTGAATGGGACCTTCATTAAACCAACTGGTTGGCCGGGAGCCAATCTGAAATACTCCTTGGATGCTTCATCTCTGTAGTCATCGGCATCAATATAGAAGTGCTTTGTGAACGTCAACTTTCTAGATGACAACCCCTTTTGGAATGGGATCTCTACCTCTTCTCTGAAGTCGTCACCAACATTGTCCAACTCTACCAATATCGGGTGCAACAACATCATCAAACGAGGAGTGGTGGCATCCAAATATGACCTAACAGCACTTTCAAATCTGACAATTTGAATATTTGTGGTCGAAGTGGTCACACCCAAGGTGTTGATGAACGACAAAATGGCTCCTGGTGGAATACCTCTTCTTCTAATGGCCTCTAAGGTGTACAATCTAGGATCATCCCAGCCTCTAACGTAATGGTCATTAACCAACTTAGCAATCTTTCTCTTACTCAACACAGTTCCTGTCAAGTTCAAACGGCCATATTCTCTTTGGGCTGGTCTATAAACCTTCAACTCGTCACATAACCATTCATAACTTACTCGGCTCAATCTGAATTCAGTCGTGCACAAAGAATGGCTAATGTTTTCAAAAGAATCAACCAAACAGTGGGTGAAATCATAGGTTGGATAGATTTTCCATTTGGACCCCGTACGGTGATGAGGCTTGTCTAAAACACGATAAGCTACCAAATCCCACATTTGAGGATTTGGTGATTCCAAGTCTTGTTTCATTCTCAAGAAGGCTTCTCCCACTCCGTATTCACCATCTCTCATCTTTCTGAACTCTTTTAAGTTTTCGTCGACAGTCCTACTTCTGTACTTGGAAGCAAACCTTTCACCTCCCAAAGTTCCATCATCTTTGAGCCCTCTTTGAGCTTTGATTTCCTCTGGAGTTGAGTGGTCCACGTAAGCTCTTTCAGCCTTGATTAATTCTTCAGCCAAATCGTATAATTCATCAAAATAGTCTGAAGAGTATGTAATCTTCCAAGGAGTATATCCCAACCACTTGATAGTTTCTTCAATTTTGGTGAAGTAGATTTCCTCTTCAGCTTCTGGGTTGGTATCGTCGAATCTCAAGTAACACTTACCGCTGTGGTACGCAGCGTATCCAAAATTCACCATAATAGCCTTGGAATGGCCAATATGTAAGTATCCATTTGGTTCTGGAGGGAACCGTGTGAGAACCTGGCCCTTAGTGAACTCCAAGTGCTTCTTCATCAACTCGGGATACTTTTGTGGGTTTTCACCGGGTTTGTGCAAATCTCCTAAGAATCCTTCAGTAAACATCGAACGTTCTTTCTCCACAACACCCTTGTTAGAAGAAGCTCCTGCAGTTGGAGCTTTCTTCTTCTTTTCCTTTTTCACCACGTCTCTGTCGTCTTTAGGACCAATTTTAGTTAAGAAGTATTCATCAATAATAGGCTTGAACAAGCTTGGTTTGGCCCATTTCAACTCAGAAACCTTTTTCATATCGCCCAACATTTTGGGTAAAATCAGGTACCTCTTTTCGACGATTTCTGCCTCTATGGCATCCAAACTTTTTGTTATGATGGACTTGACTTCGTCATCACTCAATTCAATGCCCACGCCTGATGCCACTTCCAACTCTTCATTGGTGGCAGATTCGCCCTTTTCCTTCACGTACTTGGCTGCTTCACTGATTTGCAACAGCAGTTTCAAACGACCGTCTAAGATGGCGATGACAACCAAATTGATCTTAGGAATATCACTTCCCTTCAACTCAGCTGCCAATGCGTGTAAATTGATCAACTTCTTCTCATCATCAACATGTGATTCTGGAGATACCGCAGTGATATCTTCAAAAGACTTGCTGACTTTCTTGTTCTTGGTGACATCAGCTGCCCGTTTATCGTCCAAACCAAACTCCTTGAACTTGGTAATTAATTCAGTTTCCATCTGTACTTGTCTATGACTAAAAATCCTTGTCAGAAGTCGCGAGCGTCAATGCCCAAGAAGAGCTGCAGTCGTGCGCGACCGCTACTTACCAGTGAATCCCACGCTGACCGCGAAAAACTGCTTACTCTTTCTAGCATTCATCTAATGGCAGTAACGAGACAGGAAGTAGTGACCGTAGTGAAGACGGCTAAAAAGGTTGTGAAACCAAAGGCAAAAAAGGCAGCCAAACTGAAACGAACTTTGTTTGAAGAGTCCTTGGACCATATTGATATATTACCAGAACACGCGTTGCCCGCAACCTTTGTAGAATACCATACTCCACAATTCATACAGGGCGTTAAGCACGTTCTTTCGGTAGATCCGAGCTTGTATCGACCTATAGTTCTGCAGAACTTTGAGCGGTACAAGAAAAATGTTACCGAGGAAAAGAGAGAAGCTGAAATTATCAAATCCTACTGGTTGAGTCTAATTTCCAGTGTAATCTCTCAACAGATCAGTGGAAGTGCTGCTGCTGCCATTTATCTGCGCTTCGAGACTCTTTTTGAGAAAGAGCCCAATCCAGCTGAGCTTCTTACAAAGCTGCATGAGCAGTTACGAGAGATCGGTCTTTCAAACCAGAAAGTTAAATATGTCACACATATAAGCCAAGTGTTTGGTGACCCTGATGATAACTTAACTAGTTTGAGCTTTTACAAAAGTAATCCTGAAAGTGTTGTAGTACAGGAGCTTACAAAATTGAAAGGAATTGGTGAATGGTCAGCCAGAATGTTCACATGTTTCACACTCAATCTGCTTGACGTGTTTGCTCATGATGATTTGGGGGTTGCTAGAGGTGCTTCTTACTATTTTAGCAAGAGGCCCGAGGTTTTAAAGAGAGTCAAGGCGGAGGTCAATGCCAACGAAGACATGAAGCTCCTACTCAAAAAGAAAGGTAAGTTTGATAAGCCGAGCTCAAAGAGAGATTGGGTTCCATACCATGACCAATATCTTATTCAATTGGCCAAGGACTTCGCGCCATACCGGTCGCTTTTGATGTTGACCTTCTGGAGACTATCAGCTACGAATATTGAGGTTCTTGATGATTCTAGCAAAAAAGATTAATTGTAAATGCTAACTGCAAATATAACTGCAAGCAAATATATGAAAGTATGACCTTTATGTGTATGTGCAGCGTCTGAGGTTTCACCACCAATGTTTATGTTCTTCTCTCTCTCTCTTTGGTTATCCTTGATTTTGTTCAATTCTCTCTCAATTTCTTCAAGCCCATAGTCTAATTCAGTTTCAATGAAACAGGCTAGATCTTGTCTCTTAAATCCTTCATATTTCACCAAGTAGTCCACCAAATCAGGCATTTCAAATTGAGGGTCAAAATTCAACTTCTTAACCTTCAGGACTGGTTGGTCCCCAAACCTTCTGAAACTATAGTCACTGAATTGGCGACCTGCTTGGGACTCCTGGACCACTCTGTTAGTGAATTCTTTCAAATTTTCCGGATCATTAAGGGAACCTTCATAGCTAATGAATGATGTTTCAAGTTTAGGATTTGGATCCTTCACTGCCTGTGACAATACCTGCTGTTGCTTGAAGTTTAAAAACTCTTGGACGAAGTTTCTAGCAGAACTGAGCACAAACTTGGTAGGAACAGAAGATTCAGACGAACTGGTAAAAGTGGATGTCCTAACCTTGGATTGAGCCACCTTTAAGTCCTCACTCATAGATGGTTCATATTCAGTAGCCTTTAACTGGTTAACAATTCCGTTACTGGATCCTAACTGATTGAATTTGATAGCCTTGTCTGCAAATGAAACCATGCTCAGCTGCTGTTGTTTCGCTTGCGAATTTGATTCTAAGCTGCTTCTTTCAAGAACTTTGAACGAGCTCTTGTAGCGTTGAGAAATGGGAATGGAGCAACACACAAGCGTAAAAAGGCAAAGCAAAGGGTATACTTTCATAGCAGTAAAACGATATAAATAGTAATGATTGCAAAAAAGGAAAGCCGCAAAACGAGTTTACAAAGTTGCGAATTTTAGAAAAACAGAGAAAGGCAAGGTGAAAAGCATACACCTGCCATTACAGTAATAAGAGAAGAGTTGAAAGAACGCCATATTTCTTAGAAGCTGTACCTCCAAATAGGATACCTTATCCATTTGTCAGCTTCGATGGTGCATGGGCAGATAGCATCACGTGACCAGCATCTTCGATAGATGAGTCGTGGAAAACGTAAACACAGCGCGATGGATTGTTTCAAAATACAATTTAAGCGAGCGGTAAATTTCTCCGGTAGCCGCAAGCTAGCAGAAGAGGAAATTATGTCGCAATATGTCGGGCCAAATTAACGAGGCGGTGCGATCGGCCGGGCTCTGACCCATTCACCCTCATACCGGTGCCAATCTCCCTCTTTTTGGCTGAGCATATCATTGGCAAAAGATTAGCTTCAACAATAGGATTGTCCTAGCAACAAATAAATCAAATATAGCCACTAGACGCAAATTAACAACACCAGAATTTAACATCCGCCGTACCCGCCGCCGTCCATAACTCTTAGTAAACACCAGCGGACATTCAACCATCATCATTGTCGGCTGTTGTCGTATCAGTCAGTACCCTCTCCATTTGCGCAGTTCTTAATTTGGATTTTTAGTTGCCCCTTGCCACATATTCGCATACAATACGGGTTAGGAAGTTTTGGTGCGGCAGCACGACTTCAAAGCCCTTTGAGTCTCAGGGAAAAATTTTAGACATTATTTGTAAATATACTTACACAGAACCTCCATTGAAGTAATTGGTTTTATCTTGTAACTAGTTCCCAGTACTGTCATTATTGAACGGTTACACGGGTGTTTCTTGATTCCAAATCCAACACTTCCTCATTCGCTTAATAAATCTCATACTCCCATTGCATTTTGCACTTCGTTCCAATCGTATTAATCCTTTACGGGTATAACATTTTAGATCGATACCATTAACTTCGGTTCCTTTTTGCATAAACCTTCATCTTTCTCCTTCGTTGGCCCGAGTTTTTCCTCCTTCCCTCCCCGAAATATGATGGATCAGTCGATTGCTTCGAGAAGGAATTCACTCAGCTCCATATCGACAACAACCTCCAACATCTCCAATGCCACTGGAGTGTCCTCATCCAATAATCCCGGCTCTGGCGTGGGTGTTCGAGGCATGTCTACCAACAATTTGATATCTATCGATAGTAAATTTGTCAAGAAAAATATGAAAAGATCGCCTAGTGATGTCAAGTTCTACAAGGCTCAAGGTGCCTATTTTTTCCCCAACGGTGAAATTTTCAGGCCCAGAGGTAGTCCAACCCGCCGAAGCAAACCCGGTAGGATCCCCATGCCTCCACCTCCCAGCGGCAGTGACAGAAACATGTCGTACAACCAGCCTAACCAAGCGTTTGTTCCGCAAGGTCCTGTCAGTGTACCAGGAGTTTCCTCGGCCCCTACCCCCCAGGTCTCGTGCCACTCAGCCCAAGGCCAATTATCCTATGGCGCAGGGTTGTCTCGTACCACGTCGGCAGATTCATTGGTGTCGGTCGGCACCGGTGTGCTCCCTAGAACGTACTCAGGTACCAGCATTCGCAAGACAAACAATAAACAGTTGGCACAATCGTTGAGAACAAATAAAGCAGATACTCCCACCAACATCTCGCTTTTCCAACAGCATTTGAACCAACAGCACCAACAGCACCAACCCGGTCAGCTCCCCCAGCAGTACTCCCAACAGTTTCAGCAGTTTCAGCAGTTTCAGCAGTTTCAGCAGTTTCAGCAGTTTCAAATGCCTGAGAACCCTCATCCTGCTCCCCATCATCCACCTCATCGGCATACAAACCCACCTCAGGCCTACGTCCCATTGAATTCAAATAGCTCGTCCTACACTAGTTTGAAGAACTTACAGTCGAGTAACTTGATCAAGGGGTTGACATTGTTGGGGTCAAAACCGGATTTGGGCTTGGACGCTGGTACTCACTCGGATTCAAACTTGTCGAACTTCTCGACAAATACCTTGAACAGATCGACATCAAACACGCCCCAAACGTCGGTTTCTACCTCGGTGGAGGATGAGAAGGACAAGTCTGACAAGTCAGATAGTTCGAGACCTAACTCGTGTTTGAATGGAGATACGATTTTGGAAGAAGCTCACAATGAAAGGGAAGAAACTTTAACAAAGTCTACTACGCCCATTCTTATGATGACTCCAGAGACCGAGTCAGTGGATGTATTTTCAACTCCTATGAGTTCGACTGATCTGGTACAGGATGCCGACGAACAGTTTTCGACCCCCATGACTTCTCCTGTGGCACAAGATTACAAGAACAATGCTCGTGATGAAGTTGCTGTAGATGTGGGAGAGGCAAAGAAAGATTTGACTGCTAAAGAGGTATCTGCTGCTTCTTCGGTGTATTCATCAATTGCTGATGATGAACCTGAAATTCCACGATCGAGTGTTACTGATTTGGCAAGCATCGGAGAAGAGCAGGATGCTCCCCAATTAAGCCCGACAACTTTCCAATTCATGTCTCCAACAGAGAGCCCTCGTTCACAGAAGAGTAACTCAACCCATGTGGTTTCGGTGGCTGCTGATAGCGATTCTTACAATTGCTCATCTGTCCAATCTTCGACGTTCCCTTCTCCAAGTTCATCAGGAGGCAGAGGAAGTGGAGATGTTGATGACTTGCTCAATGGATATCAAAGTGAGAGTCCCTTATCCAAGCCTCCTCGTATGCCATCAATGGGTCTTATAAGAGATGACATTTTCGATAAGGTTGTGGATGAAGACTTAGGTCCTACTTCTTCTGACAACCAAATTACTCCCGGTTCTCCTCGCTCATTCAGCTCATTAGCAGGTTCTAACAAGGTATTAATCGATAAGAGAACAGAATCGTTGCAACTGCCTGTGGAATTGATGCCTTCACCAACGGTTTCAAACACAGAGGAAGTCGATGACAAGGCTGCAATTGAAGTAAGTGAAGAGGCTGTTGAGAATGTTTCAAATGAAGTACTGGACCAGGAACTTCCTGAACCAATGGAGATAGAGATTTCAACTGCTGCTGTCGAAGACACGCCAATTCCCCAGGAACCAGAACCGATTCCCAAAGTTGAACCAGAACCCATTCTTGAGGTTGAACCAAAACCCGAGTCGCTGTTGGGTGTCGCTGAGAAGCCCAAACTCAAGTCAATGTTGGACGTTGCTAGTCCCCCAAAACAAGAATCTATGTTGGAGGTCGTAGAAAAGCCAAAGGCCACCAAGCCAGCACCAACTCCTGCTATTATTGTGAAGAAGGATATACCATTGCAGCTTAGTTATAATGGCCCCAGAAGGAAGCCCCCTGCAACTAGTGTCCCAACTACACCAACAGATCCTGATAGTGGATTTGTTTCAATTGATGGAGCTACCGAAGATGAGCTCAACCAAACTGGTGACACCAACAAGTCTCTGCATAAATCTTTACCTTTGACCCCAAATTTCAGGTCCAAGGACAGGGAAATTAAAGGCTCCAAATCGATGGCTTCTCTTTCTGGTGATCCAGCTAAATCTATTTGGAAAAAGGTTTTCAATAAGAGGTCGGTTTCGAATAGGGAAGTTGGTGATCGCCAAATGGAGACTACACCCAGGGCCTCCATAGATGTGAAGTCTATCAAATCCAATACTTCGGTTACCGACAAAAATGCACCCAGCATCTATAGTTCTACTTCCACAACTACTGCGGCGAAATTGAAGAAATTATCAGGATCTAAGCGAAACTTCTCACTCAAAGACTTGAAACTTTCCTCCTTTTCCAAACGTCAAGAAGCCCCTCCTCCATTGCCAAAAATTGTTATTCCTATGGAACCTGTGCAAACTCCCGAACCAGATATTTCGTTGATTTCTGAAGAGTTGACATTAACAAAGTTACCTTCCATTGAGCGGGAAGAGAACATGTTTGATGACATGTTGACAGCTTTTGATGAGAAATTAGAGCGTGTTGGAAGAAAAAACACTATCAAACCCAAGACTCTTACTATTACCGAACCATTTTTAAAGGATGACGAGTTGACTAGAGATCAAATTGAGGATCAACAGTTGAAAGATAAACTATTATATCCGCTTTCAAGATCCAACAGTGATGAGTATATCGACGAAAACTTACAATTTTTGAAAGAAGAGTTGATATGGCCAATTGATACCGTGGCCGATGTTAAGTCATTTAGATCGGTTGAAGAACCAGCAAAGCCAGTTGAATCAAATGAATCAAATGAATCAAATGAGTCAGAAGAAGTCATCGGGGGAGAAGAAGATGTGTTCTTCATAGACAAAGAACAGTTGAACAATTTGTTCAATAACATCAGTGAAGGACAAAGAAGAAAACTCCCAATGCATTTGAAATACATAAAGCAGTTCAAAGATTTCCATGTGTTAGAGATTAACATCAAGAAGTTTGAGAATTTGACAAACACGACTATAAAATCTAATGACCAGGATGTTGCATCAATTTTGAGAAGAAGGAACCAATATGGTACAAGAAACTCATTGAGTTCAAGGGACAGGCACCTGAAGAACAATCAAATTAAGAGCACAAAGGTTAAGTTTTCAAATAAAATTTCAATTAACGAAACCTTTTCTCCTGATTTATACTCAAGATACAATCGGGCAGTCACTCAATATACCTTGACAGAACACAATGATATTGCTAAAATCAAGAATGAGTTGAATGACTACAAATGTAACGAAATGTTGGTTCACGAGCAATCTCAAAACAACACCCATTTCTTTTACTGATATTTATATCTTATTTTATCTGAATGAAAACGAAATACACAAGTTTAGGAAATCGTAACCAGTAAAATTCTCAAGAGCCTCTGTAGGTAGTATAGCTGTGGTTCGCCAATAGCAAAGGTATATGATAGTGGTTGTCTGGGGGATTGTCGATAGTGAATATGATTTCAACAAACGGGAAGAATGTCCTTGAAGTATCACTCAATTCATGGAAGTACTTGCCAGTCAAGAATTTGATCTTGTATATACCAGGCACCAATTTATCCCACTTGCTACTATTAATTCCAATGTCTGAATTGTTGACATTTGGGTTGAAGACCCAGTCTTTAATTCTTCCATCCTGATCAGTCTTGTTCATTGCAAATGGTTCTGTGCTAGCTAGATCGTAACTCTTATCATCACTCTTGTCAGTAACCAGTGGACCAATGTAGTAGATCGAGCATGTTACTCCCAGAGCAGGCCTGCCTCTCGTGGTATCCAATATGTGACATGTGATTGGGTCTACCGACATTTTTGAAGAAGAGCAAGATGTTCGTTATCACCAAATCGAGTCGGAGCATTCCGAGGGAATTCGCAGTGAAAAATAGACTGCAAAACTTTAGGATGTGTCATTAATGTATATATTTCCACTCCATACGACGACTGTCGTAACGCCAAAAACTCTCCTCTCCTTCAAGAAGGAGGTCAATTATTGCATTGAGATGTTTAGAAGTCATTCCAGTACCTATAACATCTGGATAGCTTGACTTGAATATTCTGAGGTAGTTTTCTACGTCAAATACTTTGACTCCACCACTATTTCTGATAGCATCTAAGCACCCAATTATATGATTACAAATCTTCCAGAGATTGTGCAGTTTAACAGTTTGCGATTTTGTGGTCGTTATTAATCCCAAGGACGTTTGGAGATTGTGTCTGATGAAATGAAATGTTTCATGCTTAATAGCTAGAAAGTCTTGTTGATTCTTCGACGACCTTAGAGGTGCTTTAGAAATGGCAAGGTCGTAGAGAAGAGACGCAATTCTTCCATTTTGGTAGATTTCAAGTAATTTCATGGTCTCTCCTTTCTTTGATATAAGAAGCTTTATGATTTCAACGGTTATTTGGAACTCAGTAATTACCGGTGTGCTCACCAACTTAACCTGGGTAATCTCTAGTTCCTTGGCTTGTAGGTGCGCTTCTGTGGGGTTCTGGAAATATGACGAATTTGAATACTCTTCTTCTGGTTCACTATCACTGATGTATACCACATCCTCATGAAGAATTGCGCTAGGTTCATCCAACACACTATCATGTTCCTTGACATCCAATGCAAGAATAGAATCTGCGGACTCATCGTCAGTAGAATCAAGTACAATTGGTAAAGAATCTTCAGTACCGAAGAGATCCTTGCGGCTATCAAGAAGAAAAGGAGCCACTTCTTCAGTATCTTCACCTGCACCAAACAAGTTGAATACCCATGCATTGGCCAACAATTCTTCACGAAGTGTCAAACACAGTTTCCAATGGTTCAATTGTGGAAGCAAATTCTGATTGACACCTACACAAATGATACTTTCACATTGGATTTCCCGGACATTTCTGTACACTCTGACAGTTCCCGTCACCGTCACTTCTTTTCCATACGAGTTGCACACCGTAAGGCCACCATTGATATATGTCAGTTGAGACACTAGGGTGGTGATTATCAGATCAGTTCCTGAGAAATCGTCGATTGTCACCTTAACAAAGGCCTTTTTCGATTCAGCAAATTCTTTATACTGCTCACCTACAATCTTACCGGTGACTTTGATTGACTTTAACGGGTGATTATTCATGAGGTAACAACCTGCTCTTTGCATTTGATATCCTCGTACACCATAGATTTGCACGCAATCTTGAAGATGGTGAATATCATGAATAAGGAGCGGACAAGTGGAGGAGAAATGAGGATTCAAGTGAAACAATTCAGGCACATAATATGAAATACCATCTCGTCGTACAAATATATGATTTTGGCTAGAAGCAAAATCAATTATGTTCATGAATGGTTCTGGGGGTTGTTGTGTACAAAATAATGCGTAAACAGTTAAATTGAATTGAGATGAGATGGAAAAAAAACATTTTGATAAGATATAGATGGCTTTATTTGAAGTAGAAGGCTGGGATATTAAGACCAAGAAAATAGCCTTTGGGGCAACTCGAGATGCCAAGATCGAAAAGAGGCAAGAGAAAAACCAAAAGCGAAGAGAAAAGCAGAAAGAAACCGATGAAAAGTATCAAAAGATCAGAGACCTTAAACAGAAGGAGGACAAGACTCAACAACAAAAGAGAAAAATAGAAGAGGTAGAGGCCGAAAAAGAGGAGCAACCAGAAGAGACGTTACAACCGATTCAAGAGCTGCTGCCCTTGGTTCAACCAACGAAACTCACTCCATTGCAGCAGAAAATGATGGCCAAATTATCTGGATCTAGGTTCAGGTGGATAAATGAACAATTGTATACCATCACCTCCGACTCTGCGTTGAAGTTGATCAAAGAACAACCAAGCTTGTTTGATGAATACCACCAAGGTTTCAGATCTCAAGTGCAGGCGTGGCCTGAAAACCCGGTGAATGTATTTGTGGATCAAATCAAATCGAGGTCTAACAGACCCGTGAATGCTCCTGGTGGATTACCAGGATTGTATCCGAATAAAGAAGTTGTCATAGCAGATATGGGGTGTGGTGAGGCTCAACTTTCCTTGGATGTGAGTGACTTTTTGAAAGGAGGAAACAAAAACTCAAAGAATTTTAAAGGTAAACCATCGAGAAAACCCAAAATCACTGTGCATAGTTTTGATTTGAAAAAGGTCAACAACAGAATAACTGTTGCCGATATAAAGAACGTTCCTTTACCAGACGAATCGTGCACTATAGTGATATTTTGTTTGGCCTTAATGGGGACGAACTTCTTGGACTTTATTGAAGAGGCCCACCGAATCTTAGCTCCTAGAGGAGAATTATGGGTTGCCGAAATCAAATCCAGATTTACCGAAAATGAAAAGAAGACAAAAGAAGAAGTAGGTGACGAGTTTGTGAATGCCATAAAGATGTCTGGATTCTTTCATAAGAATACCGACAATAGCAACAAGATGTTTACCAGATTCGAGTTCTTCAAACCCCAACAGGATATTATCGAAGAGAGAAATCAAAAGTTGCATAGAAGAAAGAAGTTCATTGAACATGAGACCGAAACAGAAGAGTTCAAGAAAAAGAGAGAGTCAAGGCCCGAAGGACAATGGTTACTTAAACCTTGTATATATAAGAGGAGGTAGGAAAATTTGAACAATTAAGTTGAATTAAATCTTCTATATATCTATCTATTATAATAATCCGTCATATTTAGAAATAACCAGGTGAACCAAATCGGTTAATTCTTGTTTTCTAACGTCATCACACCACGAATGCTTGATGCTGCTGAGAGCAATAAACTTCCAGTCATCAACAGAAAGACCGAAATGCTTTTGAACTGCCAAGTAGTTGTCTAAGATGTATCCACCAAAATAAGCTGGATCATCGGAGTTGATGGAGAAAGGCACCTTTTTGTCCAAAAACTTTCTTAATGGCAATTTGCCAATGTCATCGACAACTCTTAATTTGAGGTTAGACATGGGACAAACGGTCAACAAGATCTCTTCCTTGGCCAAGTGCTCCATCAATTCATCCTTTTGAACAGCGTTGACACCGTGGTCAATTCTGGTAACCTTCAAATGGTCCAATGCTTCCTCGATGTACGTGAAATCACCCTCTTCACCAGCGTGAGAGGTGAGTCCGATATGGGGAAATTTTTGCTTAAGATCTTGGTAACATTCGGTGAAAATGCTGGGGATGTTTGGAACCTCAGTGGAGTCCAAACCCAAACCATGAATAACACCTTGTTCATAGTACTTATGGGTCATCTCAATGGTTTTCAAACCCTCAGAAGCTGGCAAGTGTCTTAACAAACACATGATCAACTTGTTAGTAGTACCGAACTTGGTGGTGGCATCTTGACAAGCTCTGTTGAAACCACCGACAACGTTGTCAATGTCGATGCCTCTTTCGACATGTCCTTGAGGATCAAAGAAAACTTCGGAGTGCAAGCACTGGTCAGAATGGGCCTTTTCGAAGTAAGCCATAGCCAAGTCATAAAAGTCCTCTTCATGGATCAACACACTCATTCCAATATAGTAGTGGTCCAAGAAATCTTGCAAATTGGCAAAATTGTTGTATCTCTCATCGCATTCTTCGACGGTTTTGGGAAGCAAGTCTGGGAGAGTGATGTTGTTTCTTTCGGCCAATTTGAAGAGCAAACTAGGCTGTAAAGTACCTTCAAGGTGTAAGTGGTGCTCACACTTAGGCAATTCGTGGAGGAAATCCTTAATATGTCCGGAACAATCGAAACTCATGGTGGTGACGGGATGAGCTTTGAAGAAATTCTTGAGGGTGTGCGAGATATGGTAGGGAGCCAGAAAAAGAAATTCTCTTCTTAATAACTTTTGCAGCCATGAGGGCGATGTAGAGGTGAGTTGTTTGGAGATCTATTGTTGCTACAAATGATACCTTTGGACATGGAACTTATTGTAGGCAATGATGATACTTTCTTGGAAACAAATAACTGATCCCATTGTAGTCTGGTATACTCCCAGACACATTATGTAGTTATGTGTGATTTTGGAATCCCCTGAGGACTAAATTAGGTAAGTGATATCAGTGTGTAGTGGTAGGTGCTAGGTCAAGTTCTCCTTGACACATAGCTTTTATTGAGTTTAACAATACTTCTAAGATTATGTTGAAAACATTACATAATTAATTGACAATATCAATAATTTACTTCTTCCCATTTAAACACCCCAATAACACATCTTTCGGTTGCGGCCATATCTAGCAGAAAGCACCGTTTCCCGTCCGATCAACTGTAGTTAAGCTGCTAAGAGCGAGACCGAGTAGTGTAGTGGGAGACCATACGCGAAACTCTCGTGCTGCAATCTTTTTTTTTGGTAGAGATTGCGAGAGGGTGGCTAAGGTTTTGGTGAAGGTTTTAGGGAAGGAGACCTGTTGGAGCAATTGCTTCCCTGAATCAAAGACAGGCCTGTTTAAACAGATAGATACTTCATAGTCCGCGGTAGAATGTTGAAATAACTACAATAACCACAATTACGGCAACAAGTGTTTTGGCTAGTAATTGTGTTCAGAGAATCGACCGCCAAGTGACATAGCCGAGGTGTTTTGGGTCATTTCCACCGAATCCTCCAGACAAGATTTTGATTAAGGGGTCAGGAATATTCTGAAACATGACTGTTTCCCCTATACCATCGGGCTGTGGATGCGAATACTGTGTGAAATCTAAAATTAGAATCGCTGCTGAAAATATCTCTGATAAATTGAAAACCAAGGGCATGAGAGATTTTAGAAAGTCGCCAAGACCCAGATGTATAGCACCGGGCTTAGAGTGGAGACAGCTCAGAATTTCCTACGTTTATAAGTACTCTCACATCTTCCACTTCTTTATCTCGTCATTGAATCGTTTATCTAATACGCAACTGAAACAATTTGACACACTGTGAAGTCCCCACACCTGATCCAAGCCAACTTTAAAAGAACGTGACATACCTTTAGCATTTAATTCACGAACTAGAGATCAGTATTTCAAATACCTGCCTGTTCAACTTTTAGTTAAGCCATTTGCTAAGCCATTTGTTCAGTTATTTGTTCAGTTATTTGTTCAGCCATTTGTTTACCTTTAGGTGCGACTCGTGCAAAAAAAAATCTTGATCTCGTCTATTAATATTGGCATCTACTTAATTCGAATTCTTCACCCATTTCTAACCTGGTTTCTTCCATGAGTGGTCACAACTACAATTACAACCAGCAGTATGGGCATCATACTGGGTCTGGCTACGCGGGACCCCAGCAGTCAGGTACCTATAACTACAATCACCAAAGAATCCCTAGTGATCATTCTATCAACTTCACACAACCTCCACCCGTTTATAATCAGTCGTACACGCAAGCAGGTAATGACACATACGAAGACTTGACGAGTTTTTACAGAGACGAGAACAATGATACGTATGACAGACCGTCTCAGATATTCAACACGTCTTCCACCCATTTAAACCCCAATCAGCCGTACACAAATAACCCGTTTAATGGAGGTTCATCGAGTTTTGAAGACTTGCACAATGCTCCTGAACCGTTGACTTCTCACGACAACTATGAAATGAATCAATTTCACGGAGATAGTTATACCCAACACAATAACTTCAACCAGGCATTTGTTCCTCATGTATATGATGATGATGACGAGGAAGAACGAGAATTCGACAAAAATATCGAGTATAACGAGTTTGTTGGAGACCATTACGACTTGAATGCAGTACATGCTCCTGTGTATGATGACGATGATTCTCCTTTTGCTGATGAAGCTGAGGAATTTGAAAAGCCTCCTGAAGAGGAAGCAGTGAGATCCAAACCTCATATAGGGATTGCATCGGGTTTGAACGGGCACTTGGTATTGGATTGTCCAGTGGCTACCGAATTATTGAGAAAGTTTCCTGATTATAAGGGTGACCTCAAAGATGGCGGTTTATCGAGAGAGTTCGCTTATATGAGATACACAGCTGTAACCTGTGGTCCTTCTAACTTCTACAAGGACGGGTATATTCTAAGACCAGTACACTATCCTCAGCCAAGAGAGACCGAATTGATGGTAGTGATCACTATGTATAACGAAGATGACCTTTTGTTGGCCAGAACTTTGAAGGGTGTGTTCAAGAACATTAAACACTTGGAATCTAGAAACAGATCTTCAGTTTGGGGTAAAGATTCTTGGAAAAAAGTGGTTGTTTGCATAGTTTCGGATGGACGGTCCAAGATCAATGAACGTGCACAAGCGTTGTTGGCAGCTTTGGGTGTTTATCAGGATGGTTTGGCCAAATCGCAGGTTGATGACAAAAAGGTCAAAGCTCATATGTATGAATACACCACCAGAGTGGGGATTTCCAGCGTGGATGATACGGTTAAGTTGACTACCGAAAAGATTGTTCCCGTTCAATTGTTGTTCTGCTTGAAAGAAGAAAATACGAAGAAGATTAATTCCCATAGATGGTGCTTCCAAGCCATTAGTCAAATCTTGGACCCTAAAATTATTGTGTTGTTGGACGCCGGTACTCAGCCAACTGGTAAGTCATTATACCATTTATGGAAGGAGTTCGATAAGGATCCACAAGTGGCTGGTACATGTGGAGAAATCAAAGCCTCCTTAAAGAAGAGAGAAATCATCACCAATCCAATTACGTATGGCCAAAATTTCGAGTACAAGATCTCCAATATATTGGATAAACCTACCGAATCTGTATTCGGGTTCATTTCAGTGTTGCCAGGTGCTTTTTCTGCTTATAGATATGTGGCTCTATTGAACGATATCAATGGCAAAGGTCCGTTGGAGAAGTATTTCAAGGGTGAATTTTTGCACAGTAGTGGAGAGTTGGATCCCAATGATGATGAATATGTCTTGAAATCCCAACAGCTAAAAGAAGAAGCAGGTATCTTTACCTCCAACATGTATCTTGCTGAAGACAGAATCTTATGTTATGAGTTGGTAGCTAAGAAGAATTGTTCTTGGTTATTGAGATACTGTAAAAGTGCTAGTGCTGAAACAGATGTTCCTGACAGGTTAGCTGAGTTTATCTTGCAAAGAAGGAGATGGTTAAATGGTTCTTTCTTTGCAGCCATATATTCGTTGGCTCATTTCCCCAAGATTTGGGGTTCTTCCCATAGTATTGGTAGAAAGATATTTTTGCATATCCAATTTGTCTACCAGTTTTTGAATTTGATTGTATCTTGGTTTTCTATTGGTACTTACTTTTTGGTGTTCAGAATCTTAACTACAGGGTTATCCGACTCTAGTTTGGGATTTGCTCCTGGTAACATTTTATCGGTTATTTTCCTATGGTTGTATCTTGCTTCATTGGTTACGACTTTTGTTTTGAGTTTTGGTAATAAACCTAAGGGAACAGAAAAGTTCTATATTGTGATTGTGATTTTCTTTGCCATATTGATGGCGTATATGATTTTTGCAGCCATTTTTATGGCGGTGAACTCGGTGCAGCAGATTTATAATGATAACGAGAAGATTACGGTGAAGCTATTTTTCCTGAATTCAGAATTCAGAGACTTGGTGGTAGCAACTTGTTCTACTTATGCATTGTACTTCTTGGCATCGTTCTTATATTTTGAACCATGGCACATGTTCACGTCCTTCGTGCAATATATCTTGTTGTCTCCTTCATACATCAACGTGTTGAACATTTACGCCTTCTGTAACATTGATGATATTTCCTGGGGTACCAAGGGAGACGTTGGAGCCAAGGATTTGGGGGTGGCGAAGGTCAGAGATGATGGTACCTTTGATGTCAACATTCCAATTTTGAAGGAAGAGATCAACCAATCTTATTTGAACCAATTGGAGAAGATTAAGAAGCCAGTTGAAGATGACGGAAGTGGATATGCTTCTAATAACGACGATTATTATGCGTTCATCAGATCCATGACGGTCTTGGTCTGGATGATCTCTAATTTTGTGATTGTGGCATTGGTCTTAAAAACCGGTGGATTATCCCAGTTTGGCGGCACTAGTCAAGAAAAGAGAGAGACTATATTTTTGACGGTAATCTTATGGATGGTAGCATTCATGGCACTTTTCCGGTTCATTGGATGCGTTTTGTACTTGATCCAAAGATTCTTAAGAAGTTTCAAGCTGTCGACATCCTACCAAAGGCAACAAAAGGGCTTACTTTAGTTTCTACTAAGTATGTAAAGAATTCACATTATATGTCATTAGACGTTTCGCGTATGGTAGAGTCTGATTTTCGCATTGTTTACATTTGATCAAACAACTCCATGAATAAAAAACGTAGGAACGACGAGTTCTTAGCTCAATTGGGCGAGCCTCTACCGTTGCCCTATAAGATCAACGATGACCCATCATCAAATGCCCCCGAGTTTTCCCGAGATCTCTTAAACAGTAGCTTGCTTTATCGAAAACCCAGCACGGGCCCATCGGTGCTTAAACAGTTGGAAGATGAAATCGACGAGGAGCTAGTCAACCCAAACACGTCGTCGAATAGCCATCGGCTCATACAGCTACATAATCAGAGGCCGAACCCCATACGAAGAGAATTTGTTAAGAAACTGAGAGATCTTGATCTCATCGATTCCATCGAAACTCAGCTTGAATATGTCAAGGAACTACTCAAGGCCAACAAATTGACTTCAACTGAGGTTAGTTTCTTACATGAGATCAAGTATCAACTCGAATCCCATCTTCACCCAGCTGTCACGACTGAAAGTGAGAATCTATCTCCAATTATGCAAGAGCTTGAGAAATTACAAGAACTAGAGAAACTCAATCACGAACTTCATGAAAACACTACAGTAAGGCCAAAAGGGTTTTTTCCTATATTAAACAAGTCAACTGTGTTGCTTGTTTTTCTATGTACACTAATGTTTCTATCGATTCCATATTTGTTCAGTTTCAGCAAATATGAATACTGCTATTATTATTGTTGAACCACCATCCAGATAGAAGCAAGGATCGTGGACACCCGAAATCATGACATTTAATTCGTGACTGTAATATACATCAACCGAAAGTTTATTCGTCGTAATCATTACTTGGTGGACTGGCAGCTTCACTGTTCAAGTATAAATCAATTGCAACAGAAAAAGCAGCAAATCCAGCACATCCCACAAATGCAGCTTGTGGGCCAGCATTTATGGATAATGCAGCGCCCGTGATACACCCGGCACTGATACCGTTGTAAATATCATGTTTGGCTCTTAAGCTTTCTATTGAACATTCCACACCCGAGTACACCATTCCAATGTATCCAAAGTTCTTAGCAGAGTTCCAAGACCTTTTTCCCATATCTGTGAATTGTAACTTCATCTGTTGTTTAAGAGGTAACTGACTGATATGATTGACGGCAGTGGTTCCGACGGGAACATCATACGCCATCGAAGCCATGAACAAACCGAAGAAACCACCTAAACCAAACCCAGAGACTCCAGCCATGGCAGTTTTACCGGGACAGGATTGCATAAAGGCGATCATCAGCTTAGCACCTTGCTCTGCAACCTCCTCTTGGGTCATTTGCTCCTGAGGCTTTTGCGGAGCAGTAGGATCATAGACGCCAAACATGTTTACTTGAAATTTTTGCTGAACTGAGTCGCATTTTTTTAAGCGGCTGAGATGTAGGAGAGGAACATCGCCAGAAGAAGGAGATGAGATATTAAAGTTACGATGAACGTTGTCATTATGACTAGATTGCTGTCGTCCGTTATTTTTCGGCACTGGTCAATACCTTGTTTGTACTCAATGAAGTGTGAAAACAAAATGCTCACAGATACAGCACATAATAGGCCTTTCGAAAGGTCAATTAAGTGGAAATAGATCGATACTAGTTGTACGTTAGCTTCAATCAGGTGATTACGTTCATAGATTCAATATTTCCAATTAATAGAATAGAACACCTTTTGACAAATGTAACCATGAAGAGAACATTACTGGGCCAAAGTAACCTTCTTCATGCTAACATATATGAGAGCATACACTAACACCGGAGGAGGGTTTACCGCCAGATGAAATAATAACTCAAAAAGCATGAACATATAACTCGTAGGATATTAAAATTCAGACAAGTTGTAAACCCATGAGATCTTGTTAAAGGGCCAAGTTAAGGCACGTATGCTTGAAGCATGAAGCTAGCTCCACACATAAATGACTAGCTTCTTATAGCTGTGCCGATTTGTGGCCATTCCGTAGAATGTATGCAGATAAAAAATTCTTTTGTGGCTAATCTTTTGTGGAGAAAGATGGGGCTGACACATCTTATCAAGAGGAGAAGGGTAGTGCCCTACTCATTTGGAATGGGGAAATCATTCAAAACGCAAGTACCCACCATGTACCCCGTAGAATCCTCCGGCAATAGTTGTGATTGTTCAACATACCAGCATTCATCGGTGGCACGACAGACATATTCAAAGTTTATCATGGAAACTGGTGATAACCCCAGAATTGTAGAGTGTGCGGCGACAATATCGGGTGATGGCTGCAAGGGTCTCGCACCACAAAGATAGATCGTACCATGGCGGAACTTGTAACATGATTTCCTTGAGTCCAAAGGACCAAAGGACCACATACATCTTGCCTTAATTTCTGTTGTGCAACATCGTCCAATTGTACACAACACTAAAGAAAACTTGTTTGAAGGGGTAGTTGATCCACAAATTCCACTGCATACCCCTGAAGTTCCCCATCTCTCATGGTCTCCTATTCTTACCCTCTTTTCACCTTTCATACTTCTGCCCCACTAACCCCCTTACTTCCCAAAAAAGTATCTGGAGGAGGAGTCGGCTCAGAAAGTATCCTGATGTGTGGAGTGACATTTTCTTTTTTCGCAGTCATTACACTAGCTGGCCATTCACGGGTGGTGTAGCCCCATACACCGAATAGGGTAAAGTATAAAAGGGGGTGAAAATCCCTTGCTCTAGATCCTCCTTCATCAAACACTTGTGGATTTTCACACTTGTAACTACAAACAACAAACCTCACAATTATACTACACTTGTTCATAAGTATAAGCTCACCATTATACTAATCATGGGAAAGAAAGAAAGAAAAAACTCTGTCACTGTTGACTTAGAAAATTGCGACAAAATGCAGCACTTGAAACCTATTCCAAAGAGCAGATCATCTTCCATAACCTCCATTGAGAGTAACGGTTCGTTCGAGTCGGTGTTAAGACCTCCTCCAATGAAGGAATTTGATGATTTAAGAGCATTTGAGGCTTATATTAGAGATGAAACATGGGAAAATGATTTTGACTATTTACATGCCCACTTGAAGTATTATCCTCCATTTATATTGAAGGAATGCCACGAAAACTTAGATAAAGTTAAACCTACGGCCAACAAAAACAGTAGAAAGTTCAAGAGGAATTTGCAACATCATGTGCAAAGACACTTGATGAAAGAAATGGCCATCTGTGGAGGTTACAACATGGACTTCAAGCGGGTTGACGTGCGTGAAACCCCCAAGACCATGGTCTGGACGTACGAGGATAGTACTGACCATGGCTTCAATCCCGAAGAAGAGGATGCCTTCAATAGACACTGGAAATTACAGTTAGAAGTTTGCTGCAACAACGAAAACGCTATGGTCGATGTTGATTACAGGGCAATTCCTTTGTGATGCCTGATTAGAGTTGTAACCACATGCCTCGTGCCTGGCTTTGCTGCTGCCCCTATGTTTTGTTTATGTGTTTTTTCACGCCGTTATGTGATTACGATGATTATGTTGAATTTCTATTAGTTTCTGGTCAATAAATATTGCCGATTTAACTTCTTGCCAACGCATCATATGCTGGGGAAGTGGTTTCGTATTCGTTCATGTACTCATTAAAGTGTTGCTCTAGATATTCCAAAATATCTCCACACTCGCTCATCAATGTATGAATACTTGGTGCATCCATAACCGTTTCGGTCACCAATCCAGGTAGGGTGACAAAGAGTCGAAGAAGGTGTTCGAACCCGTATATGTCTCCCAAGTCAACGTCCGCCCCGTGTTCCTTCAAAATTTCCCCATACTGCACTCTCTCATACTTGTACAAAAGAATTAGCTTGACGGATGCTTTGAAATAGACTGCAAGACCACTCATAACTTCTTGTGTAATATTGAACTGCTCTAGTGTCTTGGTTTGTTCTACCTCTTCCAAATATTCTTTGAGTATTATATTGAGTGGTTTTGGAGCAGGAAGTGTAACGATCTTTCTATCCTTAGTAGTAAATTCCCAGTCATCAACAAGAAGGTATTTTAGCTTAGCAGGCATAGGAAGAATCACATCATTCTTTCTCTTTTTTTGTTTGAGCTCTTCCTTTTCTACCTTTTTCTTCACCTTGGTGTTGTGCCGATGACGTTTAGAGGGTTTGGGACTTGGCTCTGCCAGTTTCTTCTTGCTTTCATTGTAATCTTCTCTGACACGTCTTCGAAGTCTCATGTTTTCATCATTCAACTCCATGACACGGTCGTTGGCGACCCATTCGTCCCATTTCAGGTTCCATCCCATGTAATGAAGGAGATAGGCATTACACTCGAGCAAGTGTTCTGGGATTTCATTTTCTTCAACTGGCTCATGGTTTCCTTCTTCATCCACCACAAAGCTTTTACCATATTCATGAGACTTCAAAACCTTGGCCTTATAGATTAAAGGTCCATGGAATGCCAATACCAGGGCATTGGGTTTTAAAACTGGTTCACAATAAGTGGACATACGAAATTAACGGCTCTGACGAATTGTGCTTTATACCAACACGATACAATAGAATACAAAATACATTTGCGCGAGTTTTCGCTCGTCTAGGAAGAAAAAAATTTGTTTTCATCTTTGCTCCACCTTTAGACAGTTGAAAAGGTTAAAAGAATTGTTCAATATATTTAAAACAGTTTTGCTTTGCAAGCAGATCTTCTAAATCGATATTTCACTTCCCACTTAAAGTAGAAGTTCAAATCTCGAGGGGAGATTATATCCAATATATTCCGATAATCCATTTCCCTTTTATCTGGGTTCCTTATTTTGGTTATACGGGTAGAGATTATATCCCATCTCTGTTGGCGAAACCATGGCACAATCCAATCATTCCAACTTGGTTGGAGTTCATTACAAGGTGGGTAAGAAGATTGGTGAAGGTTCCTTTGGAATCATTTTTGAAGGTATCAATCTTTTAACCAACCAGCAAGTAGCCATCAAGTTTGAACCGAGAAAGTGTGAAGCTCCTCAATTACGGGACGAGTATAGAAGTTATAGAATATTAAGTGATGCCGAAGGAGTTCCAAAAGCCTACTTCTTTGGTCAAGAAGGTGTTCACAATATTTTGATCATTGACTTGTTGGGACCTTCTCTTGAAGATTTATTTGATTGGTGTGGTAGAAAGCTTTCTATCAAAACTGTGATCCAAATTGCCAGACAAATGATCCAACGAGTCCAGGTTATCCATGAACACAATCTCATATACAGAGACATCAAGCCCGATAACTTTTTAATAGGCAAACCCGGTACTCCCCAAGCCAACCAAATCTTTTTGGTGGATTTTGGTATGGCCAAACAGTATAGAGATCCCAAAACCAAAACTCATATTCCATATAGAGAAAAGAAAGCCTTAAGTGGGACTGCCAGATATATGTCTATTAACACTCATTTGGGCAGAGAGCAGCTGAGAAGAGACGATTTGGAGAGTTTGGGTCATGTCTTTATGTATTTCTTAAGAGGTTCCCTACCATGGCAAGGATTGAAAGCTCCTACAAACAAACAGAAGTATGAGAAGATTGGCTATAAAAAGCAGGTTACCTCCATTAACGAATTATGCTTTGGGTTCCCTATTCAATTTGCCCAGTACTTGAACTATGTTCGTGGCTTAAAGTTTGATGAAGACCCCGATTATAACTATTTAGTGAGCTTAATGGATAAGGCAATGGTCTCCATTAATGCAGAAGATGATGAACGTTACGACTGGATGGACTTGAACGGGGGTAAGGGCTGGGATGCTGCTCTTAACAAAAAGGCCAATTTGCATGGATATGGAAATCCTCATCCTCCAAGACCTCAACAACAGTCTTCCAGCTCCAAATTGAATAAAGGTAAAAAGGCCAACTATAATTCCATTAATCCTGATAAGAACCGTCATTTCCTCAATGCCAGCTATAATTCTGGAGGGGATCATTATCAAAGTGGAATGGTACCTATCAGGGACCATGGAAGTTTGCATTCCGAGAATACCTCTTTCAACGAAGGAAGAAGCTGGTGGTCCAGGCTACGCTGCTGTTTCTAGCTAGTACCCAACATGACTTCTGTTAACTATTCAAGATTATTTGCATGTCACTAATTTTAATTCATGAAGATGTTGATGGTTTGTCCAAGTTTTAGGGAGTCCTCCTTCCATCTGTATATTACTAACATTTCACTCCCGTAGATGACTTCAAATACCGGTATTGTTTTATTTCATTTTCACTTCAACCTTTTTGCACTAAATATACCAGATTAAATACATAAATTCATAAATTCAATCGATAATTTTTCGCGTTGGTAATGGTGTCCGATAATAAACTGGCTATAGATTTTGAAAGACGATCCAAAGCCGCTTGCGTCCGGTGCCGCAAAAGGAAGACGAAATGTACTGGAGAATTCCCGTGTTCTGCTTGTGTCCAAACTAAGTCAGAATGTGTATACCCCAGAAAACCAAAAAGAATCAGTGTTCTTGATACCGAACTCGAATCTCTACACAAGAAAGTGAAACGGTTAGAAGAAGATCTTAAACTTGAAAAACTCCTCCATCTGGATCCTGATCCATCGCAAAAGAACTGGAAGTTGTCAGTGTTGTTAAACTCTCCGTCTTGTGAACTAATCTGTTGGAATTTAATCAACTTCATGAAAAGCACAGATGAAGACATAACCATATCACCAGATTTTAATTTCTTCATCGAAGAGGATACTTACGATTCTGTGTTGTCTCAGCAGGCTGCACTAGGGCGTTCTCCGTGGGAGGTTGTGCAGGTTTTATCGGAAATATCTTTGTTTGAAGTTGAAAGCTGTTTGAAAAAGACCTCCCAATTTATGAACACCGGTTACATGACGATAAACCCAGTAGAATTCAGAAACCAGTTACAATACTATTACTCGCCAGATGGAGTCTTTACCTACCGCAAGGTAGATAGTGTGGATTACTTTTTGTTGAAGGTGTTGATGATTGTGGCCTTGGGAAATGTTTATGATGAGAAGAACTGTTTATCCCCAGGGATGCCCAAAGTTGAACTACCAGGATTGAAATACTTTAAGGTTGTGTCTAACAACTTACCTTCCAACTTCCAGCTCATTACCTTTGAAAAAAAGAACATCTCCAGTATTTTCGAGGTAATTGAGTTGTTCGGGGTAGTGTCCATCTACTGCCGAATCCTTGATAAGAAGTCAGCTTCTTGTTTTTTCACCTTAACGGCCTTACAACTTTGTGTTTCTATTAACTTACACAAGGACACATTCTTGAGTAGGACGAATAAAAGAGGATTAGACTTACTACCAAACAACAACTCCAGAGCCATTTTTTGGTCCACCTATTGTCTAAACAGATTCTACAGTACTCGAATTGGACATCCCCTACTTTTATCCTTCAAGGATGTCAACGTACAGTTTGAGAAGGACTATGGAAGTAGTGATGGGACTAATAAGAACTTCTACGAGACAAATGACGACATAAAACACTATATCAAGTTGGCCCAGATCTCTGAACTTATCAATGTGGATGTTTACAATAACAAGAGAAAGTCCCTGGAGTATATCAGCACTTTGTTTTCGATACTTTCACTTCTTAAAGATTGGAGTGAGAATCTACCTCCACATTTGCAACTTGATGGAAACCTCTCGTTATCTGCGCCATATTCAAGAGCTCTTTCAAGTCTACATTTGAATCATTTACACCATGTGTATCTCACATGTATTCCTATTCTGTTGCATTTAGCAAAGTTGAAGATATCTCATTACAACAAGACTGGGAGGTTGAGAAAGCTCGAATTGAGTTCATTACCTTTAAATGTCCAAAACTTGCTTATCTACTGCCAGCAATCTTGTCAGCAGACGGTGAACATCTTCAAGCTGCTTTACGAAAAGAAACTAGTGACGGTGTTTGGCTTTACTGATATTGATTATCTCTTCTCTGTGAGTGCCATCTCCATCATTTGTGTGATTTTAGACTACGAAAGAGATGACCGAACTCCAGCTAGCTTTGAAGATAACTTTAAAACGTGTACCAAAATCTTATCAGATATGGGGGAGCTGGGTAACCGCATAGCTGAAGCTAAGCTCAATCAGATCACTAGACTTGTTGAAGTTTTGGATCCAATTTTATCTCAACTCGAGTATAGTTTAGACAAAACAAGCGAAGTCCCCGTTTTTGACCCCACCGAAAGTAACGAAATGTTCAGCTTTGTGGATGTGTCGCAAGATATGGACCAGCTTTTCAAGCTTACAGATGCTGACTTGAGTTTCATGGAAGCTTTGCTTAACGAATACGACACTATATTGAAATAGAGACTTACGCGACATTTATACAAAATTGATGTGGTGCTAGTTATATTTTAGTCCATTGACAGTTATTGCAATCAGAATAATCAGGAATATCAACGAGCTAATTATGAACTGGTTGTTTTAAAATGTAAATCCAGTCTAAACTATTCATCAAGGAGCATAATTAAACTGCAAAGCAACATTCGGGTAAAAAGGGTATATTATTCGTTCAATGTATCGACTATAGACAAAAATAAAATTATTCAACAACGCTATTGTTCCTCGACCGAGCCATGGAATCTTCTGACAGGACACTTGAATTTCGTTCCATCTTCGGAGCACCTGCTATGTCTTCAATATTGGGCTGTTCCATCGATTCTTTGATGCGTGCGCCGGTAGGCATCCAATAATTATTATTGGTGGGTGTGCTATGATAGTTGTAAAAGCTTCCTGTGTTGACCTGGGAAGCTCCGCCGTAGTGCTGGTTGGACTTGCCGTTAACGGCCATGTTAATCTTGGTGAAAAAGTTGTCAAATAAATCTGGCATTATTCAATAGTAAGGACTCATTATGGGGGGACACTCATCCCTTTTTATAGTTGGGCACCACCACAGTTATCTGGGTAACTACTCCACTTTAGGACTTGATTATTAATAAAAACTTAGTGACTGCGTGGTTTAGCAATAGAGGGGATGTCAAATTGCAATTGCTGCAACTGCTCTTATGCACGCCTTATCGATTTTCTAGATCTGGATGCTGCGGACTTTACCTCCTTAATTCAAAGCAATGATACCATGTTCTTTAATTATGTATAAACTATTAAAATCAGGGTCGTCCCTATGAACCCGTGGATGTAAGAAGCATGTTTTGATTGAGAAATGAAAGAAGCTTGTAAAATTAAAATAAAAGTTGGAAAAATATGACCCCCTCCTCATTCTTGACCAAATCCAACTGTCTCCTCCACGGCCAACGTCAATTTCTGTTTCAAACTCTCATAATCAGTATAAGGTGGTAAATCAACTCTGTTGAAACAAGTGTGTGACTTGGGTAATTGATTTGATTCACCGGCTTTTTCAATGGTGAATCTTCTTGGACCGTCTGAACCTTGTAAGTCTTTGAATCCATTCACAGGGATTCTGGAAGTACCAGTGGTAAATTGCAATAACCTAGCCTTCTGTTCTGAGTCCCATTCCTTGATACATTGCCAGAACCATTGGATGACTTGGTCACTTTCCTGGTATCCTCTGTAATCAGTATGTTTCTTCCAGTCTTCAACATCGATCTCAGCCAAACCACCAATTAATAATTCTAATTCCCTTTCATCAAAGACATTAACAAGTTCTTGAGGAATTAATTCGTTGAATCCACTTATAAAGGCCTTGAACTGCTCTTCAACTCTCTTGTAAATCTTCCATTCGGTTATGAATTCAACGTATTCGTGCTTGTTCTCTTCGGTCACTTCAATGTTTCTACCATCTTCCTTCAAATCGACTTCAACAATTTCACCAAACCTCTCATCTTCAGCACTGAATGTCAAGTCCAACACATCAGTGATGTCGTTATCCAATATCCACTTCAACGATCTGTAGAATTCAGCATCAACACCCTCCATATCCTGCAATACAACCTTCTTGCGTAACATCATCTTATACAATGCACCGACAAAGAAAGCATCCAAGAATCTTCTGTGGAAAACACCCAAACCAACCACTCTACCAATGAACTTGAAGTAGTTCAAATGTTCTGGGTTTATACCCGAGTTAGGATTGATCTGTAAGGTGTAATTATCATGAGAAGAGTATTCGAACAAACAGTAAAATGGGTTGAACATATCGTGGGACAACAAGAAGAAGAATTCTCTGGACACTCCACCATAATCCAAACCTTCTTCTCCGTCAAACTTGATCATTAATCTCTTCTTCAAGTCTTCAGGAGTTTGTCTCATGATTTCTTGATATGAATCTTCGAAAATATGATCTCTTCTAACAGTGATATGGCATTGGCCCGGTAAAATTCTCAACGCCGGTTGAGATCTGAAGTAAATCACCTTTCTTCTGAAATCTCTCTTGTACTGAGGAACGTTTTGATCTAATGATGAAGGTAATCTAGGGTCATCCCAGGTAGTTGTTTTGGTATTATGATCCACAAAGTATACTCTGGCCGTGTTTGTTAATCTCATTTCCCACCCAGATGGTAAAGGACCCAACTGGCTCACAGGCTGTTGTTGGATAGTTGTGTTAGGACCAAAAGTTCTTATGTACTGTTGTCTTCTCGGATCCACCCAGGTGGTCGTTCTCGTATTATGGTCAACAAAATAAGGTCTTCCTTCATTGGTAAATCGTTGCTCCCAACCACTTGGAAGTTCCCCTAACCCACTGGTGGTAGCCCCGGTAGCAGCCATTGAAACAGCAGCAGCGGGACTCACGGGGGTATTGGCACCACTCGCATTCACAGTAACGTTACCACTAGTGGCAGAGCTACCCGCAGAGCTTTCACCAGGCAAAGTACGATCTCTGTGTTGTCTTCTTTCGGCTTCAGTGGTATCCTCTCTTTGTTGGCCTCTTTCTGTTTCAGATTGGTCCAAGTTAGGTCTTTGCCAAGTAGTTGTTCTAGAATTATGGTCAACGTAGTAAGTGCGGCCGAAATTGTCGGTTCTCCGTTCCCATCCTGGTGGTAATCTTCCATACTGATCTTCAAAAGAGGAGTACTGTTTGTTTGCAGCAGTTCCGGCGGCACTCGCGGTACCCGCGGCAGGAGGTGGACCAGGTGTAGGTGTGGTGGAACCGTTCGCTAAGGCCAGAGATCTGGGGCTGCTGCTTGCACCATTAGCGCCGGAAGGGTTATGGCTTATCACGACAATGATTTTCCCGCTGACAGCCAAATTTTCATTTGACTTTTTCAAGTCTCGAGTGATGGTTTCTTCGGAGTTGGGCAAGGACAAGTCTATAACATCACCAATTCTGATGTTAACAACACCCAAAAACCCCTGATCTTTTTTCTTGAACTTCTTCTGATCAAACACTTGAATGACCAATATCGAGTCTTCACTTGAACTGAATTTAAATGATTCATTCCAATAGGGGTTCAAAGTCTTCTTTGCAGTTTTGGTAGTTTTTGTCTGTGAGCCGTCGACGGTGATGACGGCAAATGGATCGGGTTGGCGAAACACGTCTCGCTTATAAAGAGATTCGGCAGCCACCACTTTCACGCTAATAGGAGAAGTTCTGGACGATGACATGTTAGCAATTGGGAAAAGAACGAATCGAACCTAAGGTATGCAAAAACAGTCAAACAAGTATGTAAATATTCTCCGGCACTAATAATCAACACAACTGATTGTTTGTGGTAGGCCGTATGGGATGACTCAAATGAAAAGGAATCCCAGCTATGCAATAAATACAAAGGATAATGAGGGAATCAACAAATCAGTCGACAGGAGTGAATTCACAAGGATTGACGAATATCTGCAAACGTCTATTGTTCGAAATAAACCAACAAATGCAATGACAAACTTTCAGAACCACAATGGAGGATAGATAGGTTGTTACGAATTTTTACCTTATGTAAAATTTGTCATTTCACCCTTTTGCGAGGTGGTCCCGACACGCCCCGCAGGTGCGAATTGTTCGGCTGAGCAAAGCCAACTGAACTGTGGATGCGAAAAAGGTGTATGCTATGCTGACTATATACTATGTTACTAAGTACGAACTGTTGATGCCAAAACTAAGGTCGTCATCGAATTGGATATCTGAAAGCGTGTACTTATGTGTGGACGCTTCTGGGACCGGTTGCTCGTCCACAGTGGTGGCCACCGAGTCGAAAGAAGCAGCAAATGAGTTGAGCGACTCGGGCGACATAACCACCAGACTCAGGCTTTGACTGTTGGACCTCGATGCTGGCCCAAACTTGAAGTCCACATCAAGTTCTGCTGTCTCAATCGGCATATTGAGAAGGGTGTCAGTAGAACCGGTGGGTACTTCAATTTCAGCGACAGAATTGGTGGACCTAATGGATGTGATGGACTTGTGAGAAGCCATCGAGGTGTTGCGGACCACAGAAATGGAGTTGTTTCTGGAAATTGATTTGGCCGACGATGCTGTGGTATTTTTCCTAGTGATAGCAAGTGGCTTCTCTAGGCTATGGATCAGGCCTGTATCATTGACCAAGGTCTCGTCCGAGCGTTCACCCATCATGACGAGGTCATCGTGGGTATAGTAGAGTTTCTGTGAGCGGTACTGTACATCCACAGCATCGTATATGCGTGAATGGAGTCCAAAGAAAGAGCTTCCATCAATGGATAAAACCTTCAAATCGTCGACTGTTTCGACTGTTTCAAGTGAAATAATGCTCGTGTTGGAAGCAGGAAGAATAGTACCACACAGTCTCTGGCCCGCGATATCGTCAGCCTGGTTGGCCACCGGGTCGAACTGAACACTATTGAGCCCTTCTTTAACACCGCACCGTTGTAAATCGTAATCGTAGTCGGTGATATCACTCGTCAAATCCCAATGAATAATGTGTCCATTACGGCCACCACTGAAAAGATCACCATCAACCCATTGCATACTGCTAACCAGGCTGCCATGCTGGGCATTTAGTGTTCCGAAACAATCTTGTTTTCTCACATCCCACAACCTTATTACTCCATCCAAATGGCTGGCTGCGAAAATATACTCGTCGTCGGACCATTTGATCAAATTGGAACCCAACTTGGTTTTCTTGCACTCATTTTCAACTGCCCTGGGAACTGAAAATTGTGGGTCACGGAGGTCAAATATTGACACACCAAACCGTCCACAGATCCCGAGAACGTTGGCATTGGGAGAAGTATCGAAATTGGCAAGTCCGTTGATGCTGGTGATCGAAACAGGTTTAGGTCTGGCTGCTGCCGTACAATCATTAACATCCCAGTTGAAGAGATTGTTATCATAGATACTGATCAACAGCCGGTTTGAGTTGAATGCCATTTTATCGATTTTAGATGAAGACTGGTGGAGGATGCTCGAGTCTTTGTTAATAGACCGTAGATGTTTTCTGTGGTTGAATCTCTTTACTATTTCTGCACTTGTTTGATTTCCAGGCTCCGGTACCGATATCAAATGGCCGTACCCCTTGCTGTTACCGGTCACTAAAAGGTTTGATGTTCCTGGAACCCATTTCATGGCATGGATGTTTGGAAGTGAAATTGTGTTGTGGTGCTTGAGATATGCATCCTGAAGGTCGACCTCATAGATGAAGAGGTTGGAATTATCGTTTGCTGATGAAATGGCGAGGGTTCCATTATTATCATTTGTTTTTATGGCCATAGCTGTCAAGTTCATGTTATTATCAGGGATTTTCCAATAGTTGGATTTGATGTTGAGTCTGTCAAGAGAGCAGATCTTGTTGAGAATCTTTGTGTCTCTGGAAGTGTTGGGGTCGAAGATCCAAGAAGGGTTTCTTGTTTTGTACTCAACCAAGTCCAAACTCAGCTGGCTGCTTTCAGGACTTCTTCTGATGGCGTTTTGTCTGAAAAGGAGGGTGGGTTGGTAAAAGTCCATGGTAATAGAAAGTGAGATAAAAAATTAGATTCTACCTGTGACGACCGGTTATATATCAGGCTGGGCGTTGCGGAAGAATGCTGGTGCCTATTACTGGATCCATCCTAAAAGTATGGCTGGCCGTTGAGGGTTCGCAGCCAGATTTTTTTTAGGACAACCAGCCAGCTAAATAATTTCGCAGTCATCAATATTGCTGCTTTTCTCACCTAGAAGGGATAAAATCACTACTGAATAGGAAAACCAACCCATCAAATTTAACCAATATGAAGTCATTAGGCCTGGTTCTGTTGATTATGTGGTGCTTGTTTACGTTGACCACTTTTGCAAATGCTCAAAACTCCTTTAAATTAACTGACCTCACTGGCATAATAGTGATATTTGAGTCCGCAGCCGGTGTCACCCAACCACTTTTGGACCTCAACCAGGAGTACATCACCTACGTGGTTAATGAGTTGGAGAATAAGATCGGTCATCAATACGATACGTTGTTTGTGGGGTTCTCAATCCAATTTGTGAACCTTGATGCTATTTATTATAAAGTGGGCAGTTATTTAGGACTCAAGGATATTTCCCAGGATGACGATGCGGTAATTTTACAAGGTTTACAACAGCTACTCACTGACTACCGGAAACTGGAATTGGAAGCATTGGGAGTTAATATCACCATTCTGCTCGATTCTCCCGTGTCTATATACGACTCTGCTAAAATAATTTAAATTGATTGTAAAATTTCAAAATACATACATAATATACCCTATAAATTTGTTCACGACTGTTAACTCTCTTAGTTGGTAAACTCGCTGAAGTCAAGCTCACTCAAGTCGATAGGGATCATTTTACCTTCACCAAAGGTATTTTCTCCCGAGTAAAGAACGTACAAGAACCCGTCTTCGTCTTTATGCTCCTCGTAAATGGTGCTCATCAAGGCAGCAGTGGGAGGTAAGATGTCGTTGATGAAGATGAAAATCGCCTTTTCACTGGGCAACTTGATTCTCTTTCTTATCACGTAAACAAATTGACCAACCGATAAGTCACCAGGAACAAGGTACTTTCTCTTATCGATTTCTTGAATGTCGGAGTTTTCAGCCTTTTCACAGATAACTGGAAGTCTGTCGGAAAACCGCTCCAAGATTCTGGTGGCTTCGGCTTTTCTCTTTTCTAGTTTTAGGTGTTAGTAAGCATAATCTTGTCTTATCGCCCTCCACAAATGACCATAAACGCCATCAGGGAAAGGGGGTAAAGCACACATACCAAAGTCGTATTCGTCTTTAAATTGTGATCTCATGGTATCTATACTATGTTAGTAGCTGGGAATTGAAGTCCAACCGGGGGTAAATAGTTGATTCTGACGGGTGCCGCTCTCAGGGGGGGTTAATTAGAGGAGGCATGCACAAGTTGAACAACAGTCATGATGCGGGTGGTATGCACCCCGTTAGTGTCGGTGTACTTGTCTGATACATACATGTTTATAGTTTGTTCTAGCTTTTGTTTGTACAAATTGGTGGTTTGGACAAAAGTATAGTACAGCAAAACAAACGTTTAAGGGTTTTGATTTTGTTATCATCATTTATAAGTGAGTGGGTCGTGGGTGAACCATCTGAGATAAACGTTTGTTTATGGTAGATGCTATCAACAGCCGAATACTGTGACTAACACATTTATTTGCATGATTAAAGACACCTTTCAGTTCCAAAGTTTACTCTTTTACAAGATTCGTTATTCTTGTGTTCTGTACGCTCCCACCTTATTTGCGTACATCACCTATCCAATACACCTTATATGTGGTCTCGCACTAAAAATTTTCAGCTTCTGCAAACTATGGCATGTTAACAAAACGACTACTATCTACAACGAGTGCAGGCCTTTTCCAGTTTGACCCACTCTATCGGTTCAAGTGCGGACTTGAAATCCATACGCAATTGAAGACGAGGTATAAGCTCTTCTCGCTTTCTCCTACAAGTTTTAACTCGGAGCCTAACTCCAAGATTAGCTACTTTGACATTGCAATCCCAGGCACTCAACCCAAATTAAACCCTGAAGCATTACTACTAGCGCTAAAGCTAAGCACAGCCCTTGGATGTCAAATCCAACCAAAATCACGCTTCGATAGAAAACACTACTTCTATCCAGATCAACCGTTAGGTTACCAAATCACCCAATTCTATCACCCACTAGCCAAGCATGGAGAATTCAAATTAACTCAACGGTATGATAACTTGGAGAAAGACAAAACTATCAACATCCAACAGATCCAAATCGAACAGGATACCGGGAAAATCATATACGACAAGCATGATGGGTTGATTAAAATTGACTTGAACAGAGCTAATGTCCCGTTGATCGAGTTAATCACAGATCCTGATTTTGAAAATTTGGCTCAGATCAAAAGCTTTCTAAAAAAGTACCAATTACTTGTCAAGCATTTAGATATTTGTACTGGTGATCTAGAGACCGGGGCTATACGTGTGGATGTGAATGTCAGTGTTAACGGTGGGAATCGAGTTGAGATCAAAAATCTTGGAAGCACCGGTGAGATTCAAGATGCCGTAATTTATGAATATACCCGACAGATTAGCGAGTTGCAGCAGTCTCGTGTCATCCAGCAGGAAACAAGAGGCTGGAACGGCAAGGAGACTGTGAGACTGAGAAGCAAAGAAGATGCGGTCGATTACCGATACTTTCCTGATTCTGAACTTCCTATCATCAATTTGGATTCTCAAATCGGACAGGATATTGCAAAAACTCTTCCTGAGTTTCCGGACCAACTCATGGCAAACCTCGTGGAGTCTCCATATAAATTGGAGTTGAAACATGCTAGGTTCTTGGTTGAAATCCCCGAGTTGCTCAAGTACTACCAAGACTTGTTCAGCATTCTCACTGCTCATAAGGTACCAGCAAAACAGATTAATAACTGGTTTATTCATGAGGTTTTGGGGGCTTTCAATAAACTTGATATTTCTGTCGACCCCCAGATTCTCCCTCTGTCAACGCTAGCTGAGCTCATCTTAAAAGTGAAGAATGATGCAATCACTCTCACGGTTGCAAGAACTGTGTTATCGACACTTATTGCAATTCCTGGCTCGTCTATTGATCAAATAATCAAGGAAAACGGTCTTGCCAAACCCCAAGTCGACAGTACGGATATGGACCAGGCAGTCACAGAATTATGCCAGGATATCGTTGATAGAAATCCAGATGTGGTGGAGAAGATCCGCAATGGAAAGAAGAACTCGGTCAACTATCTTCTTGGACTTGCCATGAAAGAGACTAAGGGGAAAGTCGGTTCGAAATTGTTTCTACAGAAGTTCCAAGCACTTATCAAATAACATATATAGAAACCTCCATGTAAATATCATCAAATTTTCTCAGAAAAATGGTAGTTGAAGTCAATGTTGTGGCTATCACCATCAGCCATGTTCATAATATAGGCAATCTCTTCTCTGGAGTCGACCTCGTGGTCATCAAGATAATCTGAAATATCGGGTCCTTTCTCCAAATCTGAAGAATTACTTGCCTCAACCTCAATCACTTGAATATCACTATTAATAATTTTGTTGAACTCAACATTAATGCCATCTGTAATGGTAGGACCGGTGTATGGGTCAGAACCTAGAGTGAAATTGCTTTGCTTGGTTGAAGTTCTGGTTTGAGTGTTGGAGTTGAAAATAGGGTCTCTAGGATCTTTGATACCCAATTTTTTGCCAACCCCTACTCTAAGTAGGCCAACCTTGTACATGTTAAGAGCGTCTGTACCCAAGCCGAAAAGTAAAAACACAATCACAGACATCCCCATATCAATGTACTTCGAATATAATGAAGCAATATCTCCCTCTACGTAGAGGGTGTCGTTCCAATATAAATAGTGGGTTTTGTCCCAGTTATACTCACCTTGGAGACTTTTAGCATCATGAACAAAATAATATAATGACAAGGGAAGTAAAGTAATAATCACCAAGATAGAAAACACCAATAATTTAGCAAACCGTTTGATGTTCAACCCCGAGTTCGTACACTTCAACAAATCCCTAGTATCATGTCGTTTCTGGAAATAGGTGATAGTTGTCAAGGTTGCAAAAACCATGGCAATAAACGACCAAATGATATTCCACATAAGGTACACGACCAAAGTCACCCAGGTAGGTTCATAGTATCCAGTACATCCCGAATACCTTGTTATCACTATTCTCTGTGCTTGTACAATGATAGTAACGGCCATCACAAACACTGGCGTAGCAAAGCACATTCCCACATCAAGACAGATTTTTTTCCATGATTGTCTATTGATAAAGGTGGGACTCGAACCTCTTAATACCAAGAATAAGTGCAATGATATACAAGCAGCAGCACATATCTTTCCCGAACTGGAACCAGCTTCTAACTTGATAACCACGTCACAGTACCCTCGACCATCGTACCCTTCATAAAAGTCGGGTCCACTCCAAATAATAGCACCTATAAACCCATCAAGGTTTGAGTACAAAAGCCAGAAAATTAAGGAAGCTGCTGGTATGTTTTTGGTTTTACAGTGCCAAATAAAGGGTGGAATAAGAATTGCAAAAGTAATAAATGAAAACCCGCTGAGAAGTCTGCCGATGTAGTCCATGATAAACTCGAACGGTACCCCTTTAATTTCAATCCAATGACGAAAATACCCCCTTATGTACCTTCAGAATTGGTTGTCTTCTGTGTGAATTCTGCAGTCATCGACATTGCCTTGTTTGTGATTTTTTGCAGATGTGTGAATATTTCGTGCTTCAGATAGCCCTTTGTGTCCCAAATGCAGTAATTTTTGGCAGCGGATTTGCAGTCGCATCGGGTAGACATACTATACTATTAAAACAACTACACGTACATAACTATACAATGACATCTGTGAAGAATGAAGAGGTGTGACTGCATCACATGCGAGCTTAGATCACGGTCTTGAGCAGCTCATTTCCGGAAACAAGACCAGCATATTTCTGCTCGATGAATCTCAATAAGTCAATAACCTTCTGTTTCAATTCAGGAGTTTCAAACTGTTTCATTCTATCAAGATTTTCTTCTCTGCCCAAGGTGGAAGTTTCCTGCATTTGCTTAAAGTCAGCTTCTTTGGCGAAAATCTTGGCCAAAATATCTACAACCTTGTCGGTTTGGCTGGTGATCAATTCGTTGTTGGTTTCGTACAATCTGAGAATCAAGTTCAATACAGGCGTATTATCCTCATATGAAGCTTCCAATGGTAAATGACTCAACAATGGAGTCATGATATGTTGTAAAGGAACAGCATTTTCGTTCTTCAAGGCCATTCTAGCAACACATCCACAGGCATTAGCGTAGGATCTGTTGATAACCTCTTTGGTTTCTTCATCATCGGCATCGGTAGCTTGCTTGTCAGTCTTACTCAACAAGTGGAAAAGCATTTCTAAGATACTGTTGTAGGCTGACGTGAAATCTACGTCAGAATTCTCGACAATAAGACCAATACCATAGGCAGCATTAGCTTTCACATCAATAGAAGTGTCATTACCTAATCTGTTGACGAAAATCTCCATTAATTGTTGGCTTAAAGCTGCGTCCCCGGATAAAACAGAAGCGAGTTCAGCCAAACATCCAGCAGCAGTGATTCTCTTCGTCTTGGACTTGGAAGTGACATTTTGGAAAATCACCTCCTTAAAAGAGTTGAAGATCTTACCAAAGTCTGGTCCTAATGCGACACCCAAGTTGACCAATACTTCCAACGCACTGTCAAAAAGAACCACTTCGGTTTCAGATGCTTCTTGTTCATCATTAGGTACTTCATCATCGTCCACTTGACATGGGTGCTTCTTGGTTAAAATCTCCATTATTTGACCACACAATTCACTCAACGATTCAGTGTCAGTAGGATCAAGAATAGCAATAGCACCAAATTCACTGATAGCCTCGTCAAACTTACCTAAAATACAGGCGACCATGGTGATTTCATATTCTTCTTTTAAGTTTTCGATAGAGAGCGATCTAACGTTCTTGATCAAATCATGGATAGAACCGTTGATGTAAACACTCTTTGGAATACCTTTAGGATACTTGAAGTGTTCACCATGTTCAGCAACGAACAGGGCTCTAACAATTTTCCACAAGATGGACATAGCCGCTTCTCTCATACCGTAAGAGTTCTCAACCTGTTCCATCAAGACCTTAACCGATTGTTCCACATACTTGTAAAAGTGCTTGCCGGTTCCAGAAGCCAACTCTCCCAAAGCCACAGCAGCAACCTCCTTTTCGTAGGTGATACCAGTGTTGACGTTGAACTTATTGGCCAAGTCATCATCGTCATCTAATTCATCATCTTCTTCGTCAAGGTTGAAAGTGAATTCTTCTTGTTCCAAACACTTGAAGATCTCTGGAACAATCTTGTCCAAGAAACCAACGAAATCTTCACCGTAAACCTTGGCAATATTGGAAATGAAAGCAAAACCAGACTCTCTCATTCTGGAGTGCTCTGAACCCAAAGCTTGGTACGCAGCTTCCGCCAATGGGTTGGCAAATCTAGCAAACGCATCTTTACCCACGGCCCTAGCCATGGTGGAAATGTTTTCGAATGTCAAAGCTCTCAATTCAATGTCATCCTCAGTTAAGCCTTCAGTTTCAGCAGCTGCAACCACAAATGGTTCCAAATACTGGATAGAATCGTTGAAATATGGAATAAACTTCTTACCAGCAGCATAAGCAGTAGAACCAATAGCAGAAACAATGGTAGACTTCAACGTAGACGAGTGGGCTTGTTGTAACATGACCAACAACTTCTTGATTAAAGGTTCCAAGTAAGTTTCAATAGAGTCGTGGCCCAAGAATTCGATCAACCCATCTAAAGCAACACAAGCATGCTTGTAAACACCCACAGAAGTAGCTGAATCGATAATGTCAATTAACAATGGCAAGAATTGTTCGTGGAAAGCAGTAATGGTGTCTTGTAACTCAGAAGTCAATTCAGCTAAAGCCTTCAAAGCTGCAATTCTAACCACAACCTCAGGGTCCTTTAAGCCACTGACAAGAGCTGGTACAACCTTGTTAATTTGACCAGCTATATAGTCTGGTGAGCCAGCAGAGGCAACTCCAAGAGACAAAATGGCAGCTCTTCTTTGGAACTGATCAGAAGAAGACAACATGGCTGGAATGTTTTCGAATATTGGGGTAATGACATGCGATGGAGGTAACTCGGCCGATAACATGGCGAGTAATCTCAATCCCAAAGTAGGAGGAGCATTCTCTTCGTTTTCGTTTTCATCTTCTTCGTTTTCCAACTCTTCTTCGATGTCGATTTCTTCACTAGCAACCTTCAAACCAATCAAGGTCATATCTGGACCAACGTTACTAGACAAGACCTTGGACTTTCTCATATTAACAGAGGAAATCAAGAATTGCAAAGCAAATACTCTGATTTCTTCATCCAATTCAATATTGATAGCCAATTCACCGGATAACTTTATTAAGTCTATCAAATGGTTACCCATTAACTTGTTTTCAACGAAGATCAAAGAGTTGAACACATTGAAGATATCTTTGGCCATTTCGATTTCATCGGCCTGGATGACTTCTCTCAACACGTTAACCATAAGAGGAATACAACTCTTGAATTTGTTAGCGGTTTGAGCATCAATACTTGGGAGGTTTTCAAGGAAAGCTGCAAGAGTGTCAAAAGCCAACACGGCGTTCACTCTAACACTTCTGGAAGTCACATCAGTTAATAAAGAGGAGAAAAGATTCAAAAAGTCACTTGTAAGGTCCAATAATGAACTACTTTGAGTTTCTAAAATGGTGTATAAGGTGAAAACAGCCATTTCTTTGGTCTGAACATCCTCACTTTGAACGTTTTCTATCAATGTTGGCAACAATTCGGGCCACTTCTTTTCATCCAAGTCCATTTCGGCAATAGCAGCAACAACTCTGGCTGATGAGTGTCTGATAAGCTTAGAAGATTGAGTGAAGGTGTTGTTTAACATGGCACTTCTTATTTGGCTTTTTAATCCTTCATCGACGCCGGCCCACTTGGTGTATACCAATTTTCTCGCCTCAACAGACGCTAATTGTTTCAACTGGTCGTCTTGGGCATTTTGAAGAATGTGAAATAACGAAGGAAGAGCCAAAGGATTGGTGTAGAAGTCCTTGGTCAACTTTTGCGAAGCCTGTTTGATGGTAGCCGTATTGGCCACCAAGGTCTGCTTCAAAGTGTCCTCTAAAGAGGTAAGATATTGGGGATCCATAGTAGTACTTGTATGTTCCCAATCCAGGGTGATTGTTTGAATAAAATTTTTTTTAGGCCTCTCGTTTTTTCCACCTGAGATGGGATCGCGTGGATGAAAACTTTTAGCAGCCATTCCTATAATCATTATTTATTATCTACATAACATCATTTACATTGGCCGGCATCTCTTTGATTTTGATGGTGTAGTACTTCTGCAAGTCTTGAAACTCATCCTCATCACTTTTGGTGAGAAGGTTGATGGCTACCCCCTTTCTTCCGAATCTTCCTGATCTTCCAATTCGGTGCACGTAGTTCTCCTTGTCAAAAGGCAAATCATAGTTGATCACCAAAGAAATCTGTTGCACATCGATACCTCGGGCCCATACGTCAGTCGATATCAACACCCGGGAATTTCCTGATCGAAAATCGTTCATAATAGAGTCTCTTTCGTCTTGCTTCATATCTCCATGCATCGCAACCACGGCAAAGTTGGCCTTTTTCATCTGGTCAGCAAGCCAATTGACCTTGGATTTGGTGTTACAAAAGATCACTGCTTGTGTAATAGTCAATGAATCATACAAGTCACAAAGAGTATCAAACTTCCAGTCTTCCTTTTCACATTGGATGTAATACTGTTTAATTCCCTCCAACGTTACTTCTTCTCTTTTCACCAAGATTTTAACCGGATTAGTTGTGAACTTTGAAGTCATTTCTATCACTTCCCTCGACATAGTGGCACTCACAACCACCACTTGAACCGAAGATGGCATATGTTTGTAGATTTCGTAGATCTGTTCTTTGAATCCTTTGGTGAATAATTCATCGGCCTCATCCAAAATTAACATTTTTATGTGACGAGCATTCAACTGTTGACGTTTAATAACATCCACAACTCTTCCGGGGGTTCCACTGATGATATGTTGGCCCTGTTGCAATCTCTTAGCATCATCTCCCACATTTTTACCTCCAATACACGCGTGGGTATTAATATTCATATATCCTCCTAAATGCTTCACGACGTTTTGGATCTGAACCGCTAATTCTCTTGTAGGAGATAGTATCAATGCCTGGCAATCTTTTGATTTGGTATCTATCACCTGCAACATTCCGATAGAGAATGTCGCCGTTTTCCCGGTCCCGGATTGGGCCTGGGCAATGGTGTCTTTCCCACTTATAATTTGCATAATGGCTCTGGACTGGATGGCTGAGGGAGCTTCAAATCCATAGGCATAGATCCCTTTCAACAAATGGCCTTTTAGGTTCATACTCTCGAATGTTGAGTGAATCTTGATATTCTTTGTCGACTTGGAGCTGAACTTTAAGTTCTTATCGAGCTCCTTTTCAAACTCCATTGCAGTAATAATGTTATAAAAGAGATGAGATGAGATGAGAGCGAGCATCTAAAACTCGAACAATTTCGAATCACCTCATGGATTTCGAACCGATACTTGTATTAATAGGGGGTGGTCATGCTAGTGGAAAGAAAACGGCAGCATCATTGCTTAAGAAGGAGCTTCAGCGGGCCTTTCTCAATGTCAAATTGGATATAAAATTACTAGATATGGAGAATTTCTTGAAGCCTGAAAACAAAATTCAGGAGAGCCTGTACTCTTCTTCTAAATCTGCTGCCATCACAGTAAAAGGCATCGGGGAGCATGACTTTCCTCCTTTGAAACCTTCACGATATGACTTTTCTCAGCTACAGATCACATTGAAGCAGGTGATGGTGAAAGGAAGAATAATCATTCTTCATGGCTTGTATGCATTATATGATAAAGAAATAAGAGCTATATCCAAAATCAAAGTTTTTATAAGCAGTGATGCAGACACCAGGTTGATTCGATGGATTAGAAGGGACGTGGTGGGAGGTCATCAGAATTTGGAAACAGTCATAAATCGGTATTTGCAAGGTGCTAGAGCAGAGATGAACGATTTCATTAATCCTACCAAAGAGTTCAGTGATGTGATCATGCCAACTGGACCAGAGTCCAACTCTATCGAGCTTTTGGTGGATGGTATAATTCCTTATATTTCCAAATTGGAAGCACATGTGCCACATCTTAGATCTTCTGGTCTGTTGGTTCCTGAGGATAAACAGTCGTTTTATGAATTGACTTGACTATGTAGTTAATAATTATTTAAGTGCACTTCCAATGGGGTCACTTGCGATTGTGTAGTCTGTCAAGTTGGCTATTTTGACATTGGAGATGACATTTCTCAAGTTCTTATCTTTAGCGAACCATTGTTTGATCAAATACACCATTTCATTGGTTCTCAAAAACTGGACAAATCCGGGATATATTTCAAAGCTGTCATTCTCGATTAATGATCTCATCACGTAATATAACTTATCATATGGTACCCCAGACTTGATAAACATGTCCACAAGGGCACCTTCAGGAACTGCTTGGGATGAATCTTCTTCCATGGCATCATGCAAATTCTTAGAGATAAGCTTGATCAATTTATCAATTGGGAAAACCAAGTCATTGGATGACAATTTGCTACCAATAGCAGTAAACTCGTTGGACATGATGACATAAAGTGGAACTTTGGTCTTGTTGCCAATCAAAAATTTGTGGAACAACTTTTCGAAGAAGTACTCCCATCTCTTTAATATGTCATCTGGGTTTCTGTGATCTGAAATCTTGAAAATCAATAAGGATAAATCGTAGTAACCCAAAGGGTCGGTGAAGTCATTGAATAAGTCTGTCAAATTCAAGATTTTGAAGTTTAACAGGTCAATAGTGGTTTGTTTGTTGGCTTGATTGATTCTGTTGTCCGATTTGATAGCCGACAAAACGTCCAACTGGATGTTGGAAACATCAAACAAGTCTTGTACTAATGCTGAAAGTTGAATCATCTTCTGTCTCAAATTTGGTGGGCATGTACAATTACAGAAACCATTAGCTCTTGATAAATACTCGATCCTTTGTACCAAATCCAACTTGAATTCGGAAATGGCTAATGAGTATAAAATACTAGCAGCATTATAGTAGTTTTCTCTCTTAGCATGGTAGGACCACAATAATTCACTTAATTTGACATCATTCACGGCCTTCTCCTCCAAGAATGGCAATATGAAGGGACTGTCAATATCTAGCAATCTTTCACCTACACCTTGCTTTATGAACCATTCATAAAATTCGTAATGGAATCTTTTATCTTTGGAGATGAAACAGGTGTCGTAGGCAGAGTTTCTAACTTCCATGATATCATTTGCCTTTAAAGTATCATTCAATTCGGTTACTTTCACCACCTTCATATCTATTTTGGTCAAGATATTGAAAACCAAATCATATAGTTGTGTGAGCTTGGTATCAGTTTGCTTGTTCGACTTTTCTAACTTGTTGGCCAATTTCAATAAAAGCTCCACTGCACCAACGTAATACTCCAACTCCAACATGATATTCACAGAGTTTTGCACATTTTCAAGTGTTAAAGACTCGTATGCTTGTTCAAAAAGAAGTACAGCGCTTTTCAAACACTTGAACTTCAAGTCATTGTCTCTGAATCCGATATTTTTGGCTCTGGTCAAGTTCTCAATCGCTTTAAAGATAAGGACATCATCCGTGGATACAAAAGATCCACATCTTCCTTGCAAAGAGCTTGCGATCAAGTCAATTGACCCACCCTTCAAGATATTCTTATTAATGATGGAACTCAATAAATCTTTAATCAAGTTTTTCACTTCGTCATTTGGTAATAACAAATCCTTGAAACTGAGGTTCAAGAGATTCAATTGGTTAGTTGGAGTCAAAAACTTCAAGATTTCATCGAAGCTCTTGTTTGATTCAGTCTCTTCTATCAATACCATCAAGAAAGACAAAGCTTCTTTCATAGAATCCAACGATTTCAAAAGAGAGGTGAAAGCAATATGTTCTGATCTCAAGCACATTTCATTTTCAACTCTAGTAGGATCAGAAGAATAATTTGGAGCATTCAAACCTTGAATGTTATTACCATTCTCAACAAAGAATTCAATTAACACAATAATTGAACCCATAAAGTATTCAATTTGTTTCTTACTGATACTCAAACCCTTGATCAACAAGTTGTCCTTGATGCTGGAAGAATCGACCTGGTTGAGGCTATTCATCTTGATATTAGGCAAAGCCAAGAACACGTTATTATTCCAATAATCTCTGAATATTCTTGAAATCAACAAACAGGTTCCATAGAATCTATCGCTCAATATCACTTGATCATTGGTTTCCTTTTGACTTAATAATGAGGTGCTTGTGTTGGACTTGACGTCAAGCAATCTGGAGTTGTTACCACAAGTTGAGAATAGCATCTGGGCTTTTCTCTTGAATAAGTCACTTGAAGAATGGTGTCCATATGAACAAGACAAGTATAACAAAGTAGAGCAAGTCTCTTCAAAGCCATTCTCATCTATGAAGTTTTCAATTATTTCTTCATTTAATGAGTTCAAAATCTTGTCAGGAGTTTTGAACTCGTAGATTTGTATTCCGAAGTTCGTCAACACGGCGAACCTCAATGGTTGTTTTGTATACTGACTGGCCAATATGTTGGCATATCCATTGGGTTGATTGGTGGCGTTCATGGATGGTGTCAATTGCACAATATCATGGATAAATGTGTTATCGTCAATCTTTAAGAATTCAGCATCTTCTATCAACTTATTGTTTTTCTTTAATGATCCGTAATTGACGGTGGACACAAAAAGTTTATCAGCATTCCTAGACCGTTTGACAACTAAAAATACACCAGGACTTAAGACTTTACTGAACTTGGTATTTTTCAACAAGTCAGATCTCTGCTGGCTTGAAATCAATTGAGAGATATACTGTTTAGATCTCGTGAATGAATCCAATTCATTATTCATCGTTGGTAACTCTTTTGAAGGGGGGAATTTGATATTTACAACACTCAACTTCAATCTATTACTTGCTTGAAAGAAAGATTGAGGACCCAACTTCAACAATATTCTAACCCCAAAATTAGTCATGGCAATTAACTGAACCGATGACGATTCTCGGGCAAAAATTGGTTGAATGTTCATGATCCTAAACTTCAGAAACGATTTGAAGTTTCCAGCATCAACAAACAAAGATGAGAGGGTTCTGTACATCTCGGAGGGAGTAATTTTGTTTGAAGATGATATTTGTGAGTCTTTCAACTTGTAGGTTCTAATGATGGATTTGTTGGATAATGAATATAAGATTTCTCTCTCATCGTCGATTTCCAACTGAGTGATAACTTCAGCAATATTTTGAGCTGGTGTGGCTGCTGAACCTTGAGATTTGGATGAGGTACCCGAAGTTTTTGACTGTGAAAGGCTATTGTCTTCGAATATGCTAGGAATTCCAAACCCACTTTTGGTGAGACACACTTTGTCACACTTATTCTTGATGAAAGAAGCCTTATTGTTATAATCTAATCTCCAAACATTTACCCCTTCAGTGAAAAATACATCACCTTTCTTGCTCACCACAAAGTTGGAAACCACCAACCCTTGTACTGATACAGACAAACTTGGGTCGAATATCTCCAAGTTATTCAATTCTTTTTTGTATTTCACAACATAAATGTGAATATCCATTGGCGTGGCCACCAACAAGATGTAGTTCACATCATCCACAAACACACCTGGTCTTGGCTTGGCCAACTTGACGGACAATATTGAGTGTCTGATTTGATCAATGGTCAAGAACTGGTTTGACTTGTTGAATGAAGACTGAGGAGCCTTATAGTTCCATAATATCAACTTGTTATCCACGATGATCCATGACCTCTCAATTTCTGGGAATAATCCCATTTTGGTGATCAACTCACTGGAGTTGTACTCGTCAAAAAACTTGTCTGGTAAATTGAACTGTTGGATTTTGTCGAACTTGGTAAAGTCACCTAATCCCTTTGCATTATAGTAGTAGCTGTCCAACACGGTGTTGTTGACCTTGTTGAGTTTCTCATCACTGTACAAATCGGTCGGAATCATGGAGTCAATCTTGATTAAATCAGTTATATATTTGTAGCTCAACTTCAATGGAGTCAATTCGTTGAAGTTTGGAACTTTTATCTTATAGCTGACATCATTGACCGAGTCCAAATCAATGGGCAACCTAGTGGAAGGCTTTATAGGATTCGTCTCGCGTTGAAACTGTAACGAATCCAACATTGGATCACCCAATTTTATCGTGGAAGAGATGTATGCCATGGGTAAACAACAACTTTTTGTAAATTTTCATTCAGAGTTCATCGCGAAGTAGTGATTTTTGGGATTGAATGAAAGACTTGAATAATTGTGAATTCACAAAAATTGGAGGAAGGCCGTGAAGTAGATGACTTTGTGACATGACCAAAGGCTAGTTTTATGTCTATAGTGAGGACCTTCTTGTAAAAAATTTGAACGTTTTATGTCACAATTGAACAAGACAAAGTTTAGTGTAATCTGAGAGTATTTTGTAGGAAATCGGGAGTTTCATTCATTGCGTTCAATGTTGTATCATCAACAACCCCTAGTCTTCTAGCATTGATGTGCAAACATGTTTGTGATCGGAAATCCTTGAATATTAAGTTGTGTACAATACTAAGGTATCAAAACATTTATTACTATTGCTACAGAATATCGATTAATCATACTAATTAACCAGACCGCTTATTCAGAAGCTTCAGCTTCTTCCTTCTTGGCGAATCTCACAACATCGTAGTTGGTTTGAGTTAAGTTGGTGACATATCTCTTGTTCTCACCAGACTCGTCAGCTACCTGTCTTTGTCTGACATCACACTCGACGTACAACTGCATACCTGGCTTCAAGTACTCATTGAAGAAGGAAATATGACGGTCGTTGAACACACTGATGTTGAACCAGTCGGTGGCTCTATTGCTTTCTTCGCTAGAATCGTATCTGTTAACAGCCAAAGAGTAGGTGATAAAAGGATTGCCAACCTTGGTTTCTCTAGCAGCAACGCTACCGACGGTTCCCAATAATTGCATCTTAGCAAAAGCGGCTCTAGTAGAGGTACTAGAAAATTGTCTGATTGATCTCAACATTTAATGAAAAGGGTGTTAGTTGTATTTGAATTCGTTCAAACGCGTATTTATCACTTAATTTTCTGCCCTTTGATATTAACTCGTATAAACCTATTAAATGTGAGCTATAAACAATATCGGGGACTGCCTTTAGGCGAACGCCCACCTACCAGTACAAATCTACTGGTGTACCAACCATGCACTCCTCCTTCCGTATGCTATTAGTGTCCGTTGTTAGTAAGTTCATATATCGTTCCACGTCTCTCCACCTCCACACAAAACCATTGACGAGGAAGCGGTTTCACTCGTCAAATCATCATAGTCGTAGTAACTGCTTATGGTGGCCTTAAGGTACCGGTTGTAGCCCATGTTGAGATTATAGGGAGGTTGTGGCCGTGATATAGTCTGTGTTGACATCTTCAGTAAAAGCTGCTCCAACAACGGGCTAGGAGGCTTGCGGTTCAAGTAGTTTCTCAAGTTGGCATGTATCTTCCTGAACTTCTGCAAGTCCTTCTTGTTCAAGTTGCGAATCAACTCGTTGCCATAAAATGGCCTCTTATCCAAAATCGAGGTGTCCAAGGAGTTGTTCGATAAGTCTTCATCCAAGTCCCACGACGCCACATTATCATCGACAACATCGCTAGTTAGATTCCAGTTGTTGATTCGGTCGTATGACTTCTTAAAAAGACCTTCAAGCCTCAGCTGGGAAGGATCTAAATTATCAATCAACGAGTCTGTGTCGGTGTCATTATCTGATTCCACGTCTGGTTGCGTCGGCTGACGAGACAGTTGGTCAGCTTGTCGACTACTTTGTGGCTCTCTGTGGTCACCAATATCTTCGTCTTGGCTTATTTCTGCGTCTGTGGATTCATCGTCTTGGTCATGATCCTGAGTAGTGCTCGATAATATATCTGAATCAGGGTTGAATAACACCCAGCTAGATTGGTCATCGGATAAGATCAGACGAACCTCGTCCTCTTCGTGGTTGACCACGATACGCGTGGTAGGGTAGTTCAACTGGTATTTGTTAAATGCCATTGTAGGTATGAAATAACAGTTAGTTGTAAAAACAATATTGTGGTGCAAACGAGACTTTGCTTTTCCGATAAGGAGACACTAGTCACAAAAGAAACTTGTGGTGTGCGGCGGCTGAGAGTCACGCGGCGGTGGGGGCCAGGGCAAGCGAACTTCGGTCGAGGTTTCGCAGAACTCTGTCGCGAGGGGCTGGCTGCCACAATTACGAATTTCACACAAATGCTTTTTTGTGGCAAGTAGAGAAGGTGATGGTGAGGCCGGGAGAAATTCAAGATTTTACCGCCCTGTGCTTCTCACACCTCAGAGAGTTTGGGAGTTAGTGATCCATTTTTGGTGCTGGGAAGTCATTTCTTCCACAGATGCGCCAATTCAGGCTTCGTCATAACTCATGGTATATATAATCTAGACCTGGGCTTCGCAATAATCAGATAGGGGTGAAAGACTATTTTCAAATGAATAAATATCTTCATAAAGTATCAGTCAGTTCTTTATCATCATCTTATTACAGAGAAAAATTTTCCGATTGAATCGCAGGCACTTAAGCAAGTGAGATGGTGCGTGCACGCCGCAACTGTCTAGATCTTGTCAAAAAAAACTACAAGTAGAAAATGGAAGTATAACCTACTTAATGATGATAATTATGTCAAGAGGATGCCTATTTGCCGTAGGCTTTGATTTCATAGCTTTTGATGTAGCAGCTTATTTTCTGTAAATTCTGTTTGTATATCTTCCTATTTCATAGACTATTTCGTAAAATTGACTTATTTTGTCATAAACTAGTATTGGCTCTATTAGAACTATGGATACGAACATAAACACCGACCGGACAAAGCATATTCATGGATAGCGTATATTGGCTCCAATTATCAATAGCCAATTACCCAATAGCTCATAAACCTAATTTGGGTGCCGGCTGTCTTACTCACTCTGACAATTTTGTTCTCAATTTTAGTAATTTGTGCTCTCCCGATTAGTCAGAGACTTGCCATTAATTGCACATATAAACCGTCTTTCCGTCTTTCAGCCCAACACATACAACATGGCCATCCACGGATTAGGAGAAGTAGACCAACAGTACGACGGATCCGAATTAAGAATCGGAATCTTGCACGCCAGATGGAATAAAGAAATCATCGAAAGCTTAGTGAAAGGTGCTCACGACAAGTTGACTGAACTTGGAGTCAAGCCAGAAAACATCATTGTGGAATCGATTCCAGGATCTTTTGAATTGCCCTTTGGAACCAAGCAATTGAGTGAAAAATATGAAAAATTGGGTAAGCCTTTGGATGCCATTATTCCCATTGGTGTTTTAATTAAAGGTTCTACTATGCATTTCGAGTACATTTGTGATGCCGTTTCCAAGCAGATCATGACTTTGAATTTCGATTTGAACAAACCCATCATTTTTGGAGTTTTGACTTGTTTGACGGACGAACAGGCCAGACAAAGAGCAGGTTTGGGCGGACACAACCATGGAGCTGATTGGGGTGCTGCTGCCGTTGAAATGGCTACCAAGTTCCGTTAAATTTAGTCGTCCGCTTCATTTGATTTTGGAGTTACACCAAAGTTGCAATATACGAGAGGCTTTACGACAGGCACAAGTGGGAACTACTGTAAAGAGAACCACGAACCCCGTCCCGTAGTTTTTAGTTCGAATTGATAGTCTCCGAGTTATTTGTCGTTATTGGAGGCTAATATATGCCAAAGTCGGTCAAGTTAAATTGGTTTAGCGGACTCACTGATAACTACAACCAGCTTTATCGCTACCAGATTATCGCGACAAAAATTTTCAAAACGTCGACAACATGAGTGGATGTATGTAAAGGTAGAAAGTTGCCACCGGCTGATAATCGGGGCTACATACCAAGAAGAGATACTAACAACCTTTTTATAGTCCGTTTACTTGATTTAGTCAAGTTTTTCTTACCAATTTTGCCCGAGGTTGAGTTGCCATACGAAAAGGTTACTTTAGATGAAAAGATAATCTTTACTGTCAGTTCTGGTATAATCTTTTTACTCGGACAGTTACCATTGTATGGCTTAAAACCTAATGCCTACTTATACATCCAAGATCCTTTTTCCGACTTCAGATCAATCTTTGCCATGGAAAAGGGTACATTGTTGGAATTGGGCTTATTGCCAGTTTTAACATCTGCCTTTATTTGGCAGTTGGCAGTTGGTTTCAAAGTCATTAATGTCAACTTGTCATTAAGATCTGAAAGAGAATTGTTCCAGACCGGCCAAAAATTGACCACTTATGGGTTGTCTATCGTTTACTTGGCTGGCTTGTTATTTTCCAACTACTACGATGAAAGTTTGAAGAGCTATGTTATTGGAGGCGTAGCCGCTTGGGGAAGCTTGTTTTTGATCTTCGTGCAAGTGTTCATCTTCAACTTCTTTGTGACTCTGATAGTGGAAGTTATAGACAAAGGCCTCGGTTTTGGTAGTGGTGCCTTGACTTTATTGACTGTGCAATACACCAGCAATTTCGTTAGAGATTTAATTGGATTGGAAATCCTTCCATTGAAAAACTCCAACAAGACCGAGTCTTTTGGATCTTTGGCCAACCTTGTCAAGAACTTTTCGTTTAACCCCAAAACTTTAGGTGGTAATGTGTTGAACAGTTTCACCAGATTTGAATTGCCTAACTTGACCCAAGCCTACATTGCGGTTGCTTCAATCTTGGTGGTTGTTGGCTTAAACAATTTCAGAATCGAGTTGCCCATCAGATCCACTAAAATGAGAGGAATGGCCAACGTTTACCCCATTAAATTATTGTACACCGGTGGTTTACCATTGTTGTTTACCGTGACTATATTGGCCAATTTGCAGGTGTTTGGATACTTTATTGCAAGCATCTTCCAGTATCGGTTCTTGGGACTGTACGAGTTGGTCAACACCTCTTTGGTATTAAACAACGGGATCTTGTACTATTTCACTAGTCCATCGGTTGTGCAAGCAGTATTGAACCCTTTGAGAACGGTTGTATACAGTTTGACGGTGGTATTTCTTTCTACCTGGTTTGCCAACCACTGGGCGCTTTTTTCGGGATCTGCTCCTAAAGATATCTCCAAACAATTTAAAGAACAGGGCATTTCCATTTCAGGAAAAAGAGATGTTTCTATCACCAAAGAATTGAGTAGAATCATCCCAGTGGCCGCTGTCAGTGGAGCCTTTTTGCTTTCGGTAACCGCCATTGTGGGAGAAGTTCTTGGTGGTAAAGGAAAAGGTATCGCTGGGGTAGTGGGAATTTGTGCTGCCTTTAGCATAATGGAGGATTTCGTTATCGAGTCACAACAATCCGGAGGCACTTCTCAATTATTGGGAGCACTTTCTGGATACCAGTAGTTTCATTTTTCATAGCCGACTAATACACATAGCAGTTGCATATCTCACGGGTGTATAAAAACAAGGTTTAAGATCCTATTAGGAGCCGGAGGGAGCCGCTACTGGGGTTGAGTTATCAATTGCTAGAGATAGAGAGGAATTTCAATAAAAAAGCGAAGCAATTCTAGCAAAGATAGAGGCCAATTTCAATAGAGAAGAGCAGCAATTCCAATTCACAGTGAAGCTGAGAAACCAAAATCCAATTCCTTTTTCCAATCATCTTGGCACCATGGCTTGTCCTAGTTTCAAACTTTTTGGTCATGGAAGTTGTACCATAAAGCTTACTCTGCCGGGTTTGTGGTTAAAAATGCGACATTTATGGTATTGTATTTTCACAGCTAACCTTCGCGGACATATCGGACACACCAATTCCCCACCATGCTTCAAGACATTCAACTTGGAACAAGCGTCCCGAGACCTACCAAATACCTTCTACGTATACCCTGCAGGGAAGAGGCTACGGCAGCAAATCCAGCCTGTCACATCGCTGCAGTTGTAATGGTGCCGTGCATCATGATTGGCTCTGTGTAGGCAGATCATTCCTGCAGATTTCATGTGGTGCGGTAGTAACAGGATAAGAAAAATTGAACCAGTTCTGTGGCCTTGGCTGTCGGCCAGACTATGTATATCGCCGATTACGGTCAAGTCATAGGTACAAACAAAAACTTCAGCACTGATCAAGAGGCAATTCTGGTGTCGTTATCAATTACGTCAAGCCACCCCTCCCGAATATGGTCACGATTGGCAATGAGCAAGATATATGCAGAAATCGTAAACCGTGCCGAAAACAGAAATCTCGGAACTGGCTGGGAGTGACTTGGCACTTGGATCACAAACCCCAGCTGCGCCGTATAAATAGGAATTTATTCCCCCATAATTCAAGCTCTTCATTTTCGCTACTTCCTTAACCCACCGGGTACCCCTCCTTCACACCTATTATTCATTTATTAGCGTGTTTGCCCCACCGTATACTCCCGCATTTACGCACGCATTTATCTTGCATCAACTATTTGTCCACCCCCATAAACATATACAGTTGCCCTTAACCATATTAACCATGTACTGCGTCTCTATCGATGCCACGTCGTGCTCGTGTCACGACAGCACCGACATCTTCCCACAACGACATCCTCTGGTCCCTGCATTTCCCTCACAAGCGGGGACTACACCCAGTGCACCCATCAACAAGTACAGACCCATCAACCGGACCCGGTCAGAAAGTGACATGTCGTCGGCGTCGCCTCCTAGCGACTGTTCGTCGAGTTGTGAACTGCTCAACGATATCTTTTCCGCCCGGGATAGTATCATCTCCGACGTGTCAGACGCGTCGATCCCTACCTACTATGAAAGCACTATCAAATGCCCCGAGTATTCGACTCTTGAAGAGCCATTGCCCAGTTACGTGCCTACGTTGGAATCGTTCGGGTTGTGTCTTGTGAAACTCGAGTTCCTTACACCGTACAAGTCCAATTCCCGTGCCAAATGGGAACCCATGATGCTTGAACTCAACTCCACTCAGTTAATACTCCGCGAGTTAAACTGCAGTAGAACCCTTAAGAACCTTGTGGTGGGGTTGTTTCAGGCCCGTAACGGCCCACAAGACAAGTCTCATTCCCACATGTGCAAAAACTTGGGGAAATTCTACGATGAACTCAAACATAACCAAATGCTATTTGAGCCGGTGCTGAACAGGGCTGAAGCTTCACTGGTACTAAACCGGTACGGCGGTGATATCGCCTGTAAGCTTGCTCTACACAGCAGCATGGTGGGAGTTGCTCCCAACGCCCAGGAACATGTCGATAAGGACTCGATCACATTGATACCATATAAAAATACTCTCAGGTTGAGGGCCGAAATGTACCAGATGTTGGTGCAAACATGGTCTTTCGCAGCCATGGTCAAATGGTGTGAGGAGCTCGTGGTGGCCCGTGATCTATGTCACAACTTTGACGGCAGCTTGGCCAAACGTCGGACATTGCCAGACTATGGTGTTTTCCAAGCCCTCAACCAGAACAACCTCCAAGACGAAGAAACCACCAATTCCGTAGTCATCAACAACTTCTCCTTCTATGTGGATGGTCGCTATAATATGACGGAGATGTCGATGATTAATGCGTGTTTGCCCAAACTCAAGTCCTACGACAACTGGAGCAATTTGGTACTTTCGAACGTGGAGGCCCTCAAGATTCATCCCACAGAAGGGAACATATATGTCAACTACTTGAAGTTGAACGCGGCTGCGGCCAAGTTCAAGCCACAAGAGGGGCCATGTCGCCAATTTTCCATAAAAAGTGAAGGGTTGGTGAGTTTGAGTCCTGGGTATGTATAGGTATAAATGACGAATGATGAATATAAGATTTAGACATCGCAGCCAATTTGCGCGACGCGTTCAAAGATCGATGAGATGGCAGAGGACCGCGTGGGATAACACGGGAAGTGCCGCGTTGCGGCCTGCCGGTGCGGTGGTAATTTTGGTGCGGTGTAGTGAGACGCTGCCGGTGGGTTAGGACTCAGCGTAATTCAACCACGGAGATGAGATTCTCACAAACAGAATATTCCTCTTCACTGGCTCAGGCACCAGTATCAACTCAAGCATCTATTACATCTATTTATGTTTTATATCCAGTATAAAACCTATGGTACAAGCATTTTACATGGGGCTTCCGCCCTCTACATCTACCTACATCAGCATGTCACCATACTCATCGTCACCCATCCCGAGATAGTGTTCCGGCTCACGTGAGTACTGGTCCATGTCGTCCTCGTAGCCCTTCACGACATATTGTTCTGTTTCATCGTAAGGACTGAGTCTGACGGACTGGATGGACTGAGGCGTCTGAGGAAGCTCCTGGAACTCTGACGCGTTCGACACGTCGCCCGAGTGTATGGCGGTGGCGGCGGTGCTGTTGCCGGTATTGGCGATACCGTTGGGGCTGCTGGTGATATTAGTGCCAGCGAAATTATAGTCGTTGAAGGCCATATCTTCAAATTTGGTGATGACTTCTCCGTTTATTTCAAACTGACGAATCGACCCCCATGGAGTAATCTTGATTATTCCGCCATCAGGGTGATTATAGATCGGCCACTCATTGGAGGAAGAATATAGTTTTTGAGTGGCCTCGTCGATGTTTTTCTTCTTACAGGTGGAAGAGTAATCGATTTTCCTTTTGTTCATGGGGACCAGGTTGGGAGATGACAGTAGAACGAGTGTAAAACAACGGCTGTAAAACCCGAGATATTTTCAACCAAATTTCGTCACACCTCTATTCCAGAATTGGGGAATTCTTTGGTCTTTTATATTTTTCACTGGTGGGTTTGAAAGCGAACCTGGAGCTTCGGGAAGAGCTCCTGCACCAAGGTAACTCGGATGGCGGGTCGTGTGCAAGGGTGGTTCATCCTGCACGCAGACCGTTTATGAAGGCTTGCTGGCGGGCCGCTTTTGGCTTGAGGCGGGAGCGCTGTGTGATTGGTCCGCCGTTTTTGTGGCGGTTCGGCCTTTTGGGCGGCACAAAGCGTTCCAGCTTTGTGTTACTTAGGCCAACATAGAGGGGCTTTGTGTCACTTAAGCTTTGTGTCACTGCCGCTTATGATAGTAATGAACAGATTTGGAAGAATAGCATAAACTACTATTCGAGAGATTTTATACATCCCTGCCAATTTGGAGAGGGGTCAAGATGTTGTGGTGAATATTTTGTGTGATTTGGACTTCTAGAACCCGAATTATGGCAATAATGTAAATAAAATAGCCAGTAGTGTCTTCAAAATGAACCTAAAATTTCCCAAATTTCCCCACCTACCACTTTACCTCTCCTTGTACAGCCCTACTTACCCAGTATGTCCCAACCTCAACTCTTACCCCATTAATTTTCAACCCCTTACGAGCCAATGCCACAAGTTGGTGGGCGCACGCGCGCTTTGCAACAACCAATCAACAAATTTTATTTAAGTATTATTCTCATTTCATACAAAAAACCAAAACCAAAAAAACTCCAACCTTGAAGTTTGACATCATGTTGAGAACCAGGAACTTGTTAAGATTCGGATCCTCGAGACCGTCAAGATGCTTGAGCACCACCCCCGCCAAGCTCCATACCATCAGCAATGACCCAAAACCATTTCTCAACTCCATGGGTAAAGAATATGAAAAGTACACCCAAGACTATGGATCATTTGGAAAAACCACCTTTTCCGAAGTGTTGGACGAAATTGACATGACTTGGGGGAAAGATGATGACCCAAAGAAGGTGGCCAAGCAGAACTCCAAGATCAGACACTTTACCATAAATTTTGGTCCGCAACATCCAGCTGCTCACGGAGTGTTAAGATTAATCTTGGAATTACACGGAGAAGAAATCGTCAGATCGGACCCTCACGTCGGGTTGTTGCATAGAGGTACCGAGAAATTGATTGAAAGTAAAACATACATGCAAGCGTTGCCATATTTCGACAGATTGGATTATGTTTCCATGATGACCAATGAATTGGTATTCGCTTTAGCAGTTGAAAAGTTGTTAAACGTTGATATCCCCTTAAGAGCCAAATACATCAGAACCTTATTCGGGGAGATCACCAGAATCTTAAACCACTGTATGTCTGTATTGTCCCATATTATGGATGTTGGTGGATTGACTCCTTTCCTTTGGGGTTTCGAAGAAAGAGAAAAGTTGATGGAGTTCTACGAAAGAGTCTCGGGGGCTAGATTGCACACCGCCTACTTTAGACCAGGAGGAGTGTCTCAGGACTTGCCCGCCGGATTGTTGGACGACATTTACATGTGGGCCACTCAATTTGGTGATAGAATTGATGAAGTGGAAGAATTGTGTACCGATAACAGAATCTGGAAATCCAGAACCCAGGACGTGGGGGTAGTCACTGCGGAAGACGCTTTGAACTACGCCTTATCGGGAGTTATGTTAAGAGGATCTGGTATTCCATTTGATATTAGAAAATCGCAACCTTATGATGCTTATGATTTGGTTGATTTTGATGTGGCTGTTGGTATTAACGGAGACTGTTACGACCGGTATTTGATCAGAATGGTGGAATTCAGACAAAGTTTGAGAATCATTGAACAATGTATTAATGACATGCCCGAAGGTCCTGTCAAGGTTGAAGATTTCAACATCAGTCCACCTTCGAGAGCAATGATGAAAGAAGATATGGAAGCGTTGATCCATCATTTCCTCTTGTTCACCAAGGGTTACGCGGTGCCTCAAGGTGAGACTTATACTGCCATTGAAGCTCCCAAGGGAGAAATGGCTGTGTATGTGGTTTCAGACGGTTCTGAAAGACCTTATAGATGTAAAATCAGAGCCCCAGGTTTTGCCCATTTGGGAGCCTTTGATCACATTTCCAGAGGAAACTTGTTGGCCGATGCAGTGGCCATTATTGGTACTATGGATTTGGTGTTTGGAGAAGTTGATCGTTGATGGGCCCGTTAACTATGTTAGCAATGCATTTAGCATATATTTATATAATGTAATTTAAAATCATTCCAGTCAGTTGTTATATTGTCTATCTCTAATTACCCAAGTACCATTTTAACGCAAGAAACAACGAACCGGTTGTTCCTCCTATTATGACCATGGCCTTTAACGTAGACCCATCATCATAGTCCGTTTCATTCTCATGAACTCCATATTGAACGGTGCTAGGCTTCTGATACATAAACGGATTGGAACTGCTCATATTGCTGGTGCTCCTGTACAAAATCAGTTCTCCTTTGGCTTTTCTATTTACCTGCCGCATAAGGTGTTTGGTGATCAACTCCTCACTAACATCCAGTAAATCGGCATTTTTTGTCAACTGCTGAAGTATGGCATCCCGTTCTTGCTTGGTCAATTTCTTGTTGATGATCCGTTGTTCGAATTTCAAGTGCTTGGATAGGTGTTCGTTATAGTTGAAATGAGGTACGTTGAATCGGTCTCCATAGTTTTTGTGTTCACCCGAAAAGGTGGAGGTTGATTCGTCCGTGTCGTTGAAGCTGTGGACCCGGTGACGCGTGCGGTTCAACCGAGATCCACCCAGGTTTCTGGATTCTCCGTAGTACAGGTTTTCCCACTCTTTGCGGGCATTATTGTATGAATAGGTGGAAGAATAGTTTTCTCGAAACTGTCCGTTTCCCGAGTGCATGCCACCATTCGTCAGAAGTGATCTGTCATATTCGGCCTTCTTGTGTTTGTCCTTGAGGGTTTCATAGGCGTCAACTATTTTCATGAACTGGTCACTATTAACTTTCTTGTCCTCGTCTTCCAAGTGATTGTTGAGATCCGGATGGTATTTCTTGCTGAGTTTTTTGAACTGTAGCTTGATTTCAGTTAGAGAGCACGTCCGAGGAAGCTCTAGTACCTCGTACAATGTACCAGCCTTCGAATGGTTGAGTCGGAGGAACTGAAGCATATAGAACTGAATCATATTCACCTGGTCGCGATGCCGATAACGCAGAAGGTATGGGTATGGGGATATGTCGCGGATAAGAAAAGGTCTCATCTAAATTTGCTGAGGGAGGAGAAGTCGACACAAGTGTGTTTAGACTATGAGGTAAATCAGCGAATCGGGGCGAGGGCTCCGGGAGAGTTCCTCATAGGTTGGCACGTGAGTAGGGTGTAGGTATTCCATTCCATCGTGATATTGACTCGCTCAACAAAGCTTGTTGCAGCTGGGAGTTAATGGAAAGGAATTCCAGATACTCTAAAACTATTCAAGCGGGGGTTCCCCATGTTAGCCATATTACACCGGTATTAGCTGCCAGATTCATTGTGTTTGCGTTGGTTAACGCCAATGGGACTGTACACCAATAGGACTGAAAATAAATGGTTACTGTGCATCTTAAGCATACACTCAGCTGATCCACCAACCCTCGCGTCTGGCGTGCTTGTATTCTAAACCATCTTTTATTGTGTGTGTGAAACGTCATGGTTTACAAGAGTACAATTATTTGAGGTTATACACGGAACCTTATTATAATAGTTTGCAGTCATTAGTGATTGCTTGGAAAAGCTCTGCCCATGCGCAGGTTGTCTGTACAATAACAGTTTGGACATCTTCAGTGGGTGTATGGGTCAGATCCTGATGGTCAACTCTCTCAATGCCAGGAATGTTTTATCAGGTAGTTTTCATCGATGAAACAGGCTCTACAACGCGATTAAAATAATGATCTAATCAAGAATAATACCCAAGAGGTATAACGGAGAGAAAAAAAGAATGGGCAAAATCATAATGGGCAATTGTAGCACATGGAACTCTTGTGCAGTTCTACTAAACAAATCAGACTTACAATGATGGTTTGAGTATTCCAGAACCTGGTACACTTATTTCCAGCTGCGAAACCAACTCAACATGAACTTGATTAAGATTAAAAGTCTATTTGTGAACGGTTGCCTTCCAAATCACAAGCAGACCCTATTCCACTCATCTTTTTACATCTACCCCTTACATAAAATGTTCTGTGCACAAACGGAACTAAAGAACCAACTGGAATCTCCGAGGGAGCGAACGTGCGCGTGTCCCCACCAACATCATAGAAATTTTTTCCCTATATAAGCTTCCGGGTCGCCACTTTTTATCCAATCTCAATTAATTCATTATCCATTACAAAACCAGTAATTAAAATGGCTAGACAAAGAAGAACCGCCCCAGCTAGAACCCAAACTAGATCGGCTCACACCGCTTCGTATCCTCAACAACATTCGGCTGCCCACCCTGCCTCTCAACCTCAGCAGAGACAGCCAGGTTTGTTTGGTCAAATGGCCTCAACCGCTGCTGGTGTTGCCGTTGGTTCTGCCGTTGGCCACACCATTGGTGCTGGTTTGAGCGGGATTTTTGGAGGCTCGTCTTCTCAGCCCGTTGATCAATACCAAGACCAACAATTGACCCAACAACAACTGCAAAACTACCAAGAACAAGCTAAGCATTGTGACGCCGACGCCAGAAACTTCACCCAGTGTTTGGAAGACAACGGTGGTAACATGCAAATCTGCAACTTCTACTTGCAGCAATTGAAGGCCTGTCAAGAAGCCTCTCGTCAATATTAATAGCATCCATATTTATTTCTTGTATATATAAACCATAGATAATGCAACCATTCTTTACTTTTTGCTCTCTGAATAAATATCTATTGTTTATGTGCTATTCACTAGGCTTTTGCCTTCTTCAGGTTGTTGTAATAATAGTAACTTCCTGCTCCCAAACCAAAAATTCCCAAGGTCACCAATACATTATTGCTTCCGGACCCCGGGTTCATCTTCTGGCCCTCATTGTGCAAATTGTCGTGGTCTAAATCATCAATAACTGCTGATGGCTTGACCTCCTCTTGTTTGTGGTCAACCACACTATCTCCCAAACTGCTAACTTCTCCCTTGTTCAAGTTGGGGTTGGCAGAGCTCTGGATATACTGGTCCCTGTTAGCAGGCTTAGAAGCCTTAACGGTTCCCCTACCACCATTGGTGATTTTAATGGGCTTGGAGCCTCTATCGTGTAACAACTCGGGTTCGGCAGCTACCGATTCACCTCCATGAAAAACAGCAGCTGAGTTTCCTTCGACCTTGATGGAGGTCGTCGCTTCTTCATTGATCATTTCTTGTTCTACGGACTTTTTTCTTTCATGAGCAACGTCCTGTTTAATGGCATCCTCACTGATGGGAGGGATCTTGGGCTCGGATACCTTGGGAACAAAGTCGTACTTGAATTCCCATTCAGAAATGGAGGTTTGGGATGGCAAACGGAACGAGTCGATTGTGGACGTGTCGTTCTTGGCCAATCTTCTAATAGAAGTGTGGATGGATCTTTGGATGGTACTTTTGAACATTGGTGAAGTGGGCGAAATTGAGAAGACCCCTTGCGAATTTCCTGGGGTCGATTGCGGGTGCGTGCACGCGTGCCCACACCGGAAAGCAGTTGGTGGGTATGATATTAATGCTATGCTATTATAGTTCGAAATACGTCTATTTACAACTTCTCGTTCCATTAGTCCGCCAATAAGTCCTCTAGATATTGACTAGGCGGCCGCTTGGGCTTCAGTTCGTTAGGCGGGGTCTCCACCGTACCAGATCCTATCTCTAGTAACGATAATGCCGAACTGTTAAGATTGATGAAACTGCTGCTGGAATCCCCGGCAAAGTTGGTGGGACTATCAGTATCGCTGCTAAGTATGAAATCACTAGTTGGACTGAAAAACATCGACCCTCTATTATTTTCCAATTTAGCATTTCGGTACGGCCTGCCAAGTGGTTGGTTCAATGTCAACTGACTCATGTTGGAAAAGGAACTTTTGCGTTCAAACACAGACGACCCGGAACTGTTGAATCCATCGTCCGGGTACTGGAGCGGAGCGTTGTAGAAATACTTTTCGCTCTGGTGTTTGGCCTTATAAACTGAAATAGCCCATGTGATGGTAAAGTAAAGGAAGGCTGACACCACCAAAAGAAGGAGAATGGAGCCAAAGATGATGAACACCAGCCCGTTCGGCATGGTTTCTTGGAGAACATAGGGATTATCATCAGCGGAATCCACTACTGGCGTGAAGGTATATGATGATTCTGCCGATGAAGTATATGTCAAGGTGGGGAGAGCCGTCAGGGAGTCATCTCTTGCCACTAGCGTGGGCAAGGCGCTGGCGGTGCACAAGCTTATTAGCATCCACAAAGACCACATTCAATAAGCTATGATAAATTCTAAACAACAGCTTGGCCACACGTCTGTATTTATTAGAGACAGGGAGGGAGTGCGTGAAAGGAGAACCCCGAATTAGTGAACAGCTCCTTTTCTTGCAAATAAACAAACAAAACGCAAAATTCGATGCATCTCATGCATTGTCCCATTGCTTTGTTTCAGGTATAACTCCTTCATGGTGGAAAACCCACAATTTGGCTTCTGATTCGGGTGTGCTAATTGGCGTTCAATCGCGAAAAACGCGTTTTCACGCCTCCAATTTAACAACAAACACCATCGCGGTTTGTACACCACCACTCTTGCCTGCAAAGCCTAGTTGGTCGCTGTTTCGGGGTTATGTATATTACATGAGTCTAGATATTTGTGGAATTGCCTAAAACCGCCAGTCCTTATCAGCTGACTCGATGGCCCAGGTGAATTTTTCACGCAACGTCTTTGTGAACAACTTTTCAATAGGAACGTCAAACCTTTTGGAGAACACAACCGTCAACCGAGGATCGATATAATTCATCTTGGACGTGCCCAACGACACCTCCGAGTTGTCCTCCTTGTCTTTCAACTGGAATTGAGTGTTCAAAATCCGTTGCTCTATCTGTTCCACTTGCAGCTTTAATTTTTCAACCGTTACCGACTTTTTGATTTCAGGCTTTCCGGACGCCAACTCTATTTTGAACTCGGCCTGTAGTTCCTTAACTTTTTGCATTCTTTCCTTCAAGTCATTGGCGGTCAATTGATCTTTACTTTCGGCCTTCAACTTCTCGTTGTCTCGTTCAAACTTCTTAGCCACTTGTTCCTTGGTGCGCTCCAAGATCTTTTCTTGGATCACCATGATGTCTTCTTTACTCAAGTCCTCGATTTCCGCAAAGTACTTGGGATCTTTACGCTTCAACTTGGGGTCAAGCTCGAGCATCATTTGCTTCAACCGGATCTTGTTCCACATCAACTCCCTCAACTTATCGTTGATTTTCTGGACACTGTTCCCGTGGGACTTGCTAACCGTACGCTGATGATTACACAATATGGCCACCGTCCGGTTGGCGGCGTTAAACCGTACCACCTTCTCGGCAACCGTGCCTTCATTTTTGATCAAATCCAACTGGTCTTGCATCGTCTTTGAAGCATTATAAGTTCTGAACACTTTGGCCGTCAACCCTTTCATATATGTCTGGAACTTCTTATTCAACAAGGGAGGACTGATTCGGTCAAATAGGTCATCTCCCGGCTGTTTAGGAGGTTTCTTGAAAATCTTCAAGTTCTTGAACACCTGCTTATCGACTTCCACCTCTTGGTAGAACCGAATCGAGTCCTTACCCAAAAAATCGAAGATCACCGTGTTGGGAGGTCGTAAAGTTACATGCTCATATCTTAAGGAACAGCACCCAACTGTGTCAGCTTCGTCGTCACCTTTCTCTCCGCCGGCTCTTAAGGCAAATATATCGATCAAGTAGGTGGCAGTGGCCATCTGCCGTTCTTGCATCAATTCAGACTTCAACGACTGGGTATAGTCTTTACGAATCGACTCGATGTGGTGTTTCAAGTTTCTGGCGGTTTCGAATTTCTTGAAGTCTGACAACCCCTTCACAGATGAGTTCTGGGCAAAGCGGACGTACTTGAACGAATCAGCGATGTTTTCTTTCCACATAGCCAACCAGGTGACGGTATTGTCGTGCTTCACGTCACCCCAGCTATGTCCTTCTGGGGGTGGTGGAACCGGAGCCCCCTCACTCAAGTTCAATGTGACGTCTTCGGGGAACACTCTCCGCTTCAACCTACCGGTCTTGGGATGGGCACCTCTTCCTCTAAACAATCCTGGAGGTTCGATTCTAAAGTTCCCGATCTTCTCCTTTCTGCCATTCAACAAACAGGTCCTGTAAGGTTCTTCTTGCCTTTCTTTATCCTCTTTGATCTCTCTCTTTTCCTCCTTGGACATCTTCTTCTTGTCTTCTTTCAACTGTTCAAAGTGGGCATACATTTTGCTGAAATCCAAGTGCTCAAACTTTTCAATTTCAACATTGCATCCACCACATTCTTTCAACACCTGCTGGAAATCCTTGAAGAAATTGCTTTGGAACACCGGGTTCTTTCCGTGATCAGTTTCTACCAAAGCTCCAAAAAATCCTGCCACCTCCTCTGCTTCCTGGGGCAAATTCACGGGTGTTCCATTATAGTATAATTTGACATGAGACGGTAATGGTTCATATTCGGGAGGAAATAGCACCCCATTGTGCACCAAGCTGTCCCATTTGATTTCGCCGTCTCGGTCTTCTTGTTCCTCCCACCATTTGTAGGTTTCTTCAGTTTCTTCTTCGTCTTCTTCCTGTTTCGTGGGTTTATCTTCCAGTTTGACTTGGAGCGACTTGTTTGGTTTTTTCTTGTCCAGAGGGGTCTTCTTGGTTCGTTCCTTTTTGGGAGTCTTGATGTTCCCGTTGGAGGAAGACTTTGATGTCCCATTGCTTGATTTTGACTTGGGGTGGTTTAAAGAAACCAGATCATCAGTTTCTCGTTTGACCTTCTTTTTCACGGAGCTTGGAAGCTGGGAAATTGGTACATCGTCTTCGCTGTCGTCTAATATCCGTTTGGACCGTTGGACAATGGGTATATCATCTTCCGAAGAACTCATGTTATTACACACGCAATCGGCTACCTGTTGTTGTCCTGGAAAATTATGTCAGTCGTGCGCGCTTCATGAACCAAGTGATAGTTTTTATTTGGCTTGTGATGCGCGTCTGGACAGAAGACACTAGGCAATCATTTCTAGTATGTCACGTGATACGCCCTTGCAGAATTGGACTCTGAACCCAGGGATGTCTCTTCCGTGTCGAGTATGCTAACAGTGACATCTAGAAGTCTCCGGGACTTAAGAGAGGATGGATTTGAAATTCTATTTAAAAGTTGCAAATTTCACACTTTATAGCGAATTAAGTTTAGAGATTGTTGTGTCCACTTAAAATAGCATTGATACAAAGTATGTTTTCTTTCCAAATAAGAATTCCTGATAATTGCATCCAAACCTGCTCTCCTTTGACCATTGGTACTTGGTTTGAGATACAAATGTGCAACTTCCCTAATGGGCTAGGCCTTTGATTCTAATTAGCTGTGAGGTGGTGTTTAAACTGCAGCCTCATGAGGCTCAAAAAACGAGATCAAAACACAAAAAACTACGGATAAGACAATGAACTTGAAATTAGTTCTTTACTAGGCTAGTAACACAATTTATTGCCTTAGAATAGACATCAAGCATCCTCAAATTGAGGTTGCTGAAATTTTGCATTGGTCGCAAAAAAATATCTCCATACATTTCCCCAAACAGGAAATAGGTAAATATTGTCGAATCTACTACTGGAATAAAATCGTTTAAAATCAAAATATTTAGGTGTTTAATTATCTGCAATAAGAAAGGTTGTAAATATGTTAGATAAATTGAGTAAAAAAATGCTTCACACATACATTAGGCTCTTGTAATTGTTCATTGCTTATATATAATAATCTTTACGGGAAAAATTCAAAAGGAGTAGCACTTTGTCTAGTTGACTTCATCCTTATTCACCCATTCTCTGCTATAACATTAGTTACAGAGATACTTGAATCGATTTGCATACCTTCCACCTTTCGTTGTAGTGAAAGTGTCTTCGGTTAAATCTTAACCTTCAGGTCTTTTTTCTGCTCCGTCACAATTTTTATTGTCCACAAACATAGACTCGTTTAATATTTGCATATTCCAAGCATGTCTGTTCGTACAAAACCTTTGCAGCCATTGAACAGTGGTCAGATGAATGCTAGAAACGCTAGCAACGTCACCCCCATCAAGTTGAAGAAATCCACCAAAGATTTCTACGAAGTTGAGCCCACTCCGGATGCTCAAACCATGTTGAAACAACACCAATTGTATCAACAAGAACAAATCCAGTATCAGCCACAGCATCAACAACAACAACAACAACAACAACAGAAGAAGAAAAAGAAGGAAAAGTTATCTGCCTTGTGTAAAACTCCTCCTTCAGTGGTTAGAACTAGAAATGGAAGAGACTATAGAAGAGGATTGTTCTTGGGAGAAGGTGGATTTGCCAGATGTTTCCAGATGAAGGATTCAAATGGACAGATCTACGCTGCCAAAACCGTCGCCAAAGCTTCCATCAAAAACGAAAAAACCAAGACCAAGTTGTTATCTGAGATCAAAATCCACAAGTCATTGAAGCATTCTAATATTGTCAATTTTATCGACTGTTTTGAAGACGATGTCAACGTCTATATCTTGTTAGAAATATGCCCCAACCAATCCTTGATGGAATTGTTAAAAGCCAGGAAGAGATTGACAGAGCCCGAAGTCAGATTATTTATGGTTCAAATCATTGGGGCCGTCAAGTATTTGCACGAGAGAAGAGTTATCCACAGAGATTTGAAATTAGGAAACATTTTCTTTGACCCCAACATGAACTTGAAGATCGGTGACTTTGGCTTGGCTTCCGTATTGGAGAGCTTCGACTCCAGAAAATTCACCATTTGTGGTACTCCAAATTATATTGCACCTGAAGTGTTAGGTGGTAAGGCCAATGGAGGACACTCGTTTGAAGTTGATATCTGGGCCATTGGTATTATGATGTACGCTTTGTTAATCGGTAAGCCTCCTTTCCAAGCCAAGGACGTCCAAATCATCTACGAAAGAATTAAGAAATCAGAATACAGTTTCCCTATTGATAAGCCAATTAGTGCTGAGGCCAAGGTTTTGATTCAAGATTTATTAGATGTCAACCCGTTACGAAGACCAACCATAGATGAGATTTTAAGTTACGACTGGTTCAAAGGTGCTTTCCCTGACAAAACTCAAGAAACCACCTTAACAAAAGAACCTGAAGGGTTGACAATGATTTCTAAGAACCAAAGTGCAATGAACTTCAAGAACATGAAGGTTAACTGTGGTATATACACGCCAAAGACGAAGAACCCGGTGGAGATCTTGAAGACTGATTTACAGAGTGAAGAGTCCCAAATGGTTCTTCCAAGAAGCTTGTCACCTAACGACACTAAGTTTAAATACAAGGAAGTTGATCCTACGATGTTAACCAAAAAGAGATTCCAATTCAATTCAAACTTCTCCAACTCGGTATTGGACTTGGACAAGACCTGCCACACTACCTACGTTAACATGTGCAAGTTGGAAACGCTCGTGGATTCAAAGCTTGATACCATGACGTTACCTAGTTGCGAAAATCCAACTTTGATTAGTAAATGGGTTGACTACTCCAATAAGTACGGCTTCAGTTACCAGTTAAACAACAATGATATTGGGGTGTTGTTCAATGATGGAAACACCATTTTGAAGATGACCAATAACGAGAAGTTCTTGGAATTGTTGTTACATGAGCAAGAAGGTTGGACATGTATCGAAAATTCCATCTACAATGCTCCTTCGAAGTGTAAAAAGCAGTTGGAAATCGTCGACTTCTTTGCCAAGTACATGAACTCCAACTTGTCTAAAGTGAGTGACGTGGAAGAACGTAAGGAAATAGTGTTTTTGAGACGGTACACCAGAACCAGCGATTTCATTATGTTCGAAATGACCAACGGCAGCTTTCAATTCAATTTCAAAGACCACCATAAGTTGGTTGTGTCGAAGAACGGATTGGCCATCACTCATATCTCCCCCACTAGAATCACCCAGACGCATCCGTTGATCTTGATCTTAAAACAGGGAAACTTCCCGTCGGTAAGCATTCCAGATTGTATGGAAAAGATCGAGATCATCAAGCAGGCTATTCGGGAAAAAGCATTTGTGTAATTGTATTATAGAATTAATATACCATGGAAAGAAGCTAATTCAGAAGAGAACACAGAACATGAAAAATTCATAGTAGAGTGGTAGTGTGAACAATTCATTATTAAATATGCATTCATTATCTAATGTACAATAAGGACAAACAAACCTAGTAGTCGTCGTTGTCGTTCAATAAAGACTTCAATGCCCATTCGTCTTTGAACTTATTCTTAATCAAGTCTAACTCTCCAATCAAATTCGTACAAGCGTTTCTTAATGCTTCCTTGGGAGTGTAGTTATCTTCGGTTTGTATTCTGAGCACAAAGTTGGCAAAAAGTGGATGTTCAACTTTGTAGGCAGCAAATAACACTCTTTCATCTTTTAAAAGTTGAGCTCTTAATAGGTTAGCCAAAGTATGGTCTTCTTTTTCGATCTTTATGATAGCAGCATTGGGTACTTTTGTATCCGGGGTGATTTTGATCTTGTCTACACCATCCGGTAAGATGAACAATTCGAATCTATCTGGAGCATTCATGATATGGATGTTAATAGCGGCTCAAGGTATTTTTTTCGCCTCAAGGTTTTCGCACCGGCGTTTGAGGATCACCAAAGTTACCCGGCGTGAAGGCTCGTCGTGCGCGCGCCGCTGGTGATTCCTCGAAACTTTTTGTGATGATAGAAAAAAACCACCAACTAAATTGATAGCACTTGCAAATTCCCCTTGTAATCCGACTTGTTCTACGTTAATAGTCGACTGTTTAGAACTTTACCCGGTGAATTATTCGTGCAAGTCTCCCATTTCCTGTTCAATCCCTAACTAAACCTGACTTTCCTTGTGCTTGCACCTGTTAGTTTCAAAAAGGGTTCACGGTGAAGCAATTTTTCCTATTCAATAAAAGCGTATCCAATCGGGTGTTTTTCTAGTCAAATTCGCCCAGAATGTCCAATCCTGACCCTTGGGGTAATCAGAATCGCCCGTTAGGTCAGAATTTCAAGTATGTACATTGGTGGTGTTGATGCCCAACCTTCCATGGTCTTATCAGTTTTCCAGCACGGCTCTGTTTTTAAAATAAAAACACCTGAGAGCTGATTGAAGATGTGATAGATCACATTGGTCAGGTGGTATCTACACTTGGCCCTGTTATCGATGCCATTTACTAACTTTATTTTTTTAGCCGCCAACACCCTCCCGTTTTACCTCCACCTGCTACTTTGGAGACCGGTACGTACTAGCAACACAAGTTGCCGATAGCTCGGCACTTCCCCCACGGCCATTTCCCGCGTCGTGGCCCCAGCCCTCGTGCGAATCGTGCGCATTTTCTAGTACCCTCGTTTACTAACATACCAATTTAGGAGGTCAAAAGTTTTATCCGCTACCAAGTTTACCAAGCTTAGGAAATGGCCAACACAATCAACTGGGCCATAGCTTCAGTATTCCCGCTTTAGGCTCTTCTGATCAAGTATGTATATCTCCATCGGCCTAGGCGTCAGCTTTCATTGGTCCGAAGTTTGGATGTCCACCCATCGGTGCACGACTTTGAGCCTGTTTTATTTTTCAGGCAAAGTTGACTGGGGTGAACAAGCCGATACGCTGTCACGACGTGCAAAGTCATCTTACTAACATTTTTGCAGCATCCCGATCACAGACAACATTCCACTAGTCTACCACCGGCAATGGCTTTAGCTGAACAGGGCCAGCATCATAGTCCTCCACATCACCAGCAGCAACTTGCGGGTCAACATCAGCCTCAACCACATGGACCTTCTCAGACCCCTAGTGCTGTGTCGTCTGCCGGTACGGTTCCAACCATACAACTGACTCAAGCAAGTACTGGTCTGACCCAGCCACCTCAACAACCATCCCTGCAGGCCCAACCGCCCCAACCTCAACCAGCTCAACAACCCCCATCTCCAGGCCAATCAGTTCAACAACAAATATCTCAAAACGTACCCAACAGATCCACCACCACAAACGTGTATCGTCCATTGAATGTAAAGGATGCGTTATCATACTTGGATCAAGTGAAGATTCAATTTTATAATCAAGCTGACGTCTACAACAACTTTTTGGATATCATGAAGGACTTTAAGTCTCAATCAATTGATACGCCTGGAGTTATTGATAGAGTATCAACTTTGTTTAGAGGCCATCCAAACTTAATCCAGGGGTTCAACACTTTCTTGCCTCCTGGTTACCGAATTGAGTGCTCAATGGATCCTTCGGACCCTAACCCAATCAGAGTCACCACCCCTACCGGTACCACCACCACCACCAAAACTGATTGGCATAGTGATGAGTTGGCTGCGTCGGATCTTGTGACTCAACAAGGTCAACAACCGGGTCAACAACCCGATGGTAATAGTGATCAAATGAATCATGCAATCACTTATGTCAATAAGATTAAGACAAGATTTGCCAACCAGCCAGACATTTACAAGCAATTTTTGGAGATCTTACAGACATACCAAAGGGAACAAAAACCAATTGCCGAAGTTTATGAACAAGTGACTGTATTATTCTCTAACTCTCCAGACTTGTTGGATGATTTCAAACAATTTTTACCCGACACAAGCGCTCCTCAACCAGCTGCTTACAACTCGATGTCCCAATTACCTCCAGTGGGGAACTTTCAACCTCCCACTGGAAATGGCCCTAGTCCTTCTAATGGTCAATTTGGTCACCACGTTCCATACCCACCCCAACAGCAATATCCTCCTGCTTCTCAATTCAATCAGCACTTGATACAGCAGCAACAACCTTCGCAACTTCAGCAACAGAAGTTTCCTGCTACTTCTTCTTTGGTTGAAGCTAGTGGTGTTGGAATACTCAATGGTGGTATGAATAACGATATGCTAACGAGAAAAAAGAAGTCCATCAGTGAAGGCTATGGTTATGACAAGAACTATAATACTGAAGCCCAATATTCTTCTATGAGAACTGATATACAACCAAAGATAGATTCTAATACTCAAATCTCATCTAAAAATGGAATAACCACTGTTACTAATCCAACATTGGTACCCGGTGTTCCTGAACCAATTCCTTCGAGCAATATCAACAGAACTTCTTCATTACTGGAAGAAATCAACTTTTTTGATAAAGTAAAGAAGGCAATTGGCAACAAGCAAACTTACAATGACTTCTTGAAGATCATCAACTTATACTCTCAAGATATCATAGATAAGGAAACTTTAATTGACAGAGTTGAGTCCTTCATCGGCGACTTAAACCCTGAATTGGTTGACTGGTTCAAGATGTTTGTTGGATTTAAAGAACCTGAGCATATTGAAACCATTATGTTCAAAAAGCATCAATTGGAATTATCATTCTGTAAAGCTTATGGTCCATCTTATAGACAATTACCAAAAGCTGAAACTTACATGCCATGCAGTGGTAGAGATGAGATGTGTTGGGAAGTCTTGAATGATGAGTGGGTAGGTCATCCAACTTGGGCTTCTGAGGATTCCGGGTTCATTGCTCATAGGAAGAATCAGTACGAAGAAATCTTGTTTAGAATTGAAGAAGAAAGATTAGAATATGACTACCACATGGAAGCTAACTTAAGAACTATTCAAACTTTGGAGACTATTGCTAACAGAATTGCCAATATGACCCCAGAGCAAAAGGCCAATTTCAAGTTACCACCTGGTTTGGGTCACACGTCTGTTACCATCTACAAAAAAGTGATAAGAAAAATCTATGACAAGGATAGAGGCTTCGAAGTGATAGATGCTTTACATGAAAATCCAGCAATCGCAGTTCCAATTGTTTTGAAGAGATTGAAGCAAAAGGATGAAGAATGGAGAAGAGCTCAACGTGAATGGAATAAGGTGTGGAGAGAAATGGAACAAAAGGTGTTTTATAAGTCATTAGATCACTTAGGTTTGACTTTCAAACAAGCTGACAAGAAATTGTTAACCACTAAGCAATTGATCAGTGAGATAAGTACGGTTAAAGTTGAGCAACAAAACAAAAGATTATATCCGTTAACACCAAAGCCCCAGGAACAGTTGAACTACAAATTCAATGACCTTGAAATCTTGTACGATATCTTGAGATTGAGCGATATCTTCATTAATAAGTCTTCCAACTACTCATCCAATGACAGAGAAAAGTTGGTCCAATTCTTCCAGTTCTTTGTTTCTTTATTCTTTTCTATTCCTCACGAAGAAATTGAAGCCAAGTTGAATGAAAGAAATTCAAAGGAAATCAACTCAAACGCAACTTCTAAAGAAGAAGAGCCTTCGGATGTCACTAACGAAACATCTGATGAAATATCTTCTCCTTCTAAGAAACGTCCAAGAGAAAATGATTTATTAAAGGATGTATTGAAGAAGCAAAGCAAGTCGAAGAAGGACGAACCTGAAGCTTCTCCTCAAAACTCTGAATCTGAGGATCAATTGGACGAGATTGAAAAAGCTAGTGACTTGTGGATTTCTACCACTGGCAGAAAGTTCTCGTTGAAAGATAATGAAGCTTCTTTAGAGAAGAGAGATGTTTACAACTTGTTTTCAAATACCACTATCTATGTCTTTTTCCGTCATTTGACAACGTTGTATCAAAGATTGGAAGAAATTAAGTTGATGAATGAAGTTATCGCTAAAGATGTCAAATCCCGGACCACCCCTCAATTTGCTAAAGACTTGAACTTAATCGGTCACCAATTGGAAGACATGAATGTTGAGATCACTGGGGATAAGAACTGTTACAAACAAGTCTTGTCTTTGACTGAGAGATTGTTGGAGGGTGAGTTAGAACACCAATGGTTTGAAGAGTCCATTCGCCAAGCTTACAAGAACAGGGCATACAAGATTTATACCATTGACAAGGTTGTCCAAGCTATGGTAAAACATATTCATACCATGACTTCTGATTCCAAGACCTCCGAAATGATGGTTTTGTTTGAAGCGGATAGGAAAAGTCCAATCTCTACAACCAAGGATCAAATCTTGTACCGTATGCAAGTCAGAAGTCATATGACCAATGATGAGAACATGTTCAAGATTGCCTATAGAGAAACTGATAGTACTGTAAACATTCAGTTCGTTGGGCTCGATGACTTGACCATCAATGACCATAAGTCTGCTGAAGAACATTATAACTATTACGTCACAAGTTATGTTATGTCACATCCTACTGAGGGTGTTCCTGCTTCCAAGATTCACATGCCTTTCTCCAAAGACTTTATTGAAAACATCGATGAAGATCAATGCAATGGCTATTCTGATTCACAGTTGAAGGTGTCCATCTGCCAGAATTCATACAGATTATTCTTTGAAGCTGATACCCATGATGAATTCACTACCAACTCGGTGTATGAAAAACCCACGGAAGACAGTAAAACAAGGGAAGACAAGTTATCGACGTTAAAGAAGCTCCTTGAGGATGAAGAACTCGGATGGAAGTCTACCTTGAGTCAGTCTCAAGCTGCTCAAGCAGACGTGTACGAAGAAAAGATCAGAAACTTGTTCGATGCCGGTATCGAAGAATACAAGAGTATCAAAATTGAAATTGAAGAACCAGAAAAGGCTACTGAAGATGTCGAAATGCGTGATGCTGCTGACGATAATAACGGAACTGTAGGATCCAAACAGAAAAAGAACTCTAAGTCTGAGTCTGCAAAGCACCCAGATATGACTATTGATGATAGTACCATGGTTCAAGCTAACGACACAACTATTCAACAAGATGGTAATGACACCACTGCTGATGACAATACCGTCAATGAGTCAATTGTTGGTATTGTCGCTACTGCTCCAAGTACGGCAGAAAATCACGAAGGAAAATGAAAAATTGCTTGAAGTTTTTTACCTGTTATAAGCTAATGTACATTTATGTTTTTGTAAAATATTCTATTGATCGTCAAAATCATCGTCTACCGAAGCTGCCTTCAGCCGCCGCTCTAGCGAGTCTCTCCGTAGCAATGCTATGTGCCAATTTTTCTCTTTGCTCGAGTCGTCTAGAAACAAACGATTTTTCATCCCGGATTATAAGTAACCTTAATATGATGTCTTCAGCTGAGGTCTGAGCAGCTATAGGATCTGCTCTGGCTTCAAGCTCCTCTTGTTGTGCTCTCTTTCTCGCTTTCGAGGTAGCGTTAGCCATTATTGTCTTATTTCTAGCCATAGTCCCGGCTCTGCTCAAACTTCTTGGTCTGCCCTTCTGTTCAGTTGCTCCTGGTTGCAGGGAATTCAACTCTAACGTGCTATTATTTAGTGGGATTTTTCCACTATCAAAGTTGTTCCTGTCTCGCAATGACTTGACAAATGCAGGCGATAACCGTTCGACTTCTTGCTTCAAATAGTCAATATCTCCGTCGTAGTATACGGGTAACAACAAAAGTGATTGATAGTGCTCGTTCTTCAAGTCTCTAATAGGAGGTCCATTACCATCATTATGGAAGAAGTCAAAGCACAAGAAGTTCAACCAGGCAAAAACCGTTTCCAACTCATTGCTTGTAAGTAGTTTTCCAAATCCACTGATTCCAATGGTACTAGTAACATTCGCAACAGCAGAAGTGACAGCAGATTGCCATCCACCTGTAGAAGGCTTTGGTTGGTTGTGAGAAGCAGCTCGGGGTCCAAAGTTAGATAAGTTAAAAACTTTAGCTGTTACCAACTTTGGTAATAAAAGTTCATCAGCGCACGCGACAACTACTTGCCATGCAGCCACCATGACTAGAAGCAATAAGTCTTTGGTCAAGAACTCCGCAAGAACCTGCAAGTTAGAGTTCAAGTAGTCATATAACGGTATCATGGCATCATGCATTTGATCTTCAGTGGGTTTAATTTGCCCATTATTTCCACAAATTGACTTCAAATTAGCTCGAGAAAAGCATAACCGTATAAACCTGGAGAATTTCTCCACAATCAACTTGATAGCTCTTTCCCGAGCTCTCATCAACGTCCTATGTGCTCTTCCCATGACAAAAATGGCATCTGCTCTTTCACTTTCAACCGCAACCTCAATTAATAATCTCCCTTGCGAGTCAAAATCCAAGAAGATTTCTTGGGGTATGCCGTCATGTTTGAATCTCTTGGGATCTAGCTGTAGGACAGCCCTCCCGCATACTGAATGAGTTCCTAACTTCTCATCCCAAACAGTGACGGACAACGTAATACTGGTGTTCGGTTGCATTGTGAGTTCAAATTCTTCATCCCATTCAGGGTTTGGTGTATGGTTGATTGTTCTTGTCTTCCCAATGGTTTTGCGAGCCACTGTATCAGTTAAGGTAACATAAGGTCTAATATTGGAGCTGTAAGAACCACCAGAAGCTAGATTTTCTGCTCTTTTCAATCTCAAGGAGAAAACATGACTGGTAAAATAATTTTGACGGTTAGGCTCAAATGACCTCACAGTCTTCAGGATTAACTCGGGATCAAGAATGTCTTCAAGTTGAGCAAGCTGTTGCAGCATTGCAGCCAAGTTGTTTAAAGCAACACAAGTTTCAGGACGGAAGTTGTAGGGTTCTTCTGCCTCAATTTTAGCCCCAGCTATTTGAATGTTATTTACTACATTCTTCATTTCATCAAACCACCCTGCACTTTTTCGTTTATCAGCCTTCAGCTGTGTTGTTTCTAGCAATTTCTTCTGTTTATCTTCATTCAATTCAAACATGATTTTGTCAGACATTGCTGAAGTGTATTTCAATACTCCATCGGAAATGCTCTTCAATAAAATAGTGTAGACTTTTGCCAATTGATACTCATTAGACCACCCCAACAGTTCCAAGATCTTAAGAAATTCTCTAATTAACGAGAAGATATCCAATACAGATGTACTGAACTTTTTCTCGTCATTTTCAATATTTACTGGCTTGAAATTATCATTTTTGATAGCTTGGTCAACGATACTTTGGATTTTCTCTCCACTTTCATTCACCCACTCATTCAAACTAGAAAAGAAAAGCTTCTCTAAATTGAATTTGAATGATACTCCGGTGGTATTCACTTGGTTGTAAATGTCCCGTATCTGACAAAGGGACTTATATGCTTCCAAGGAATCCCCATAAGATACAAATCCTCCCCTTTCCCTATTATATGCGTCAATATGCTTGAGAATATTCTTGGAATCGACTGCAAACATGGATGTCATGACGGTTGCAACAGTCCTAGGAACATGGAGGAAGCCTAATAGCGGATTCTTGTATCGTTTTTGAAGGCTTTGAATGTCCAGCACAATACTTTCAGAAATATCCAAAACATGAATAGTGCTTAAGGTGTCATCCCTGGGAAGGTTCTCCAATAATTCGGCATATCTGGTTTCTGCAACTCTTAGAAGTGTTTTGGAAAGCTTTTTCTCCCACTTCTTAGGCAATTGTAACTCTAGCACCTGTTTGAAAAAAAAATCAGACTCAATGTACTCCCCAAGAAATGCCAATACAGGCCCAAATTTGGGCTTCGTCACCTTGCTAAAAAGAATCAGGAGGTAATCTTTGATGGAGAACATGGTTGCATTATAAGAATATGTCAAGTTTTTCACCCACTCATCCTGATCCTTTAAGGGCCAATGATTCTTCTCGGGACCATCTTCAAGGATTAATTTACAGTAATTCAAAATCTGGATGGAATGGCCGACGTCAACTGGAGCAAGATCTTTAGGATCTTTTGTTATATAGAAGCTGTCTTTCAACATTCCCGACAAGTGGGCAGCTGAGAATAAGCAAACAGCTTTTGTAGAATAATCAATTCTCCATATTTTAGCACACAAATTCATCAATTGACTGGATTGTTTAGAAAACAATGGGGCCTCCTCTGAAAGCTGTCTCTCTTTGGACTGAAGTTCAAGACACAATTTGACAAGCACCACGAAGAACTTTCTTGCCAAAGAACTTCTGGGAAGGATATAAAAGTCTTCTCCCAAAGGTAGTTTCGGTATCAGCATAAGTTTCATTGATGCTGGCACAGGGTATTTTGCTATCAACGACTCACAGTTGGCTTTTTCTTTTGACTTCCATACCAGGTATACTTCATTGTTGACAAATGAACTGGGAGGGAACTGGCCTAAGTCTTTCTCGAGGTAGAAAAGTACTTGTTTTATATCCTGGTGAAGGGCCTTCTCTTGAACAATGTCCTTTACTCTGAATATATCCTGTTGAATTTTCACCAGATCAAATTTGAACAAGTCCTGGAGTAAAGTCACGGTTGCTTGGTCCAAATCGGTAATTTTAAAGGAAGGTTTATTGTATCTGACATTTGCCAGGGTCAAGGATACCGAAGAGCTTGACGATTTGGGCTTCTGAGGGTTCAAAGAATCTCTGTGCTCATTGAGTTTAGATACGATCAAATCCCTGTTTTTCTCCTTTTCTACCAACCCGATTAAGATTGACACAAACTCATTGGCCTGTTTGAACACCACATTACTAATCTCGGACTGGGGAATGGATCCAAGCTTAATGATCTCTCTATTGGAACTGGCAACAAACTTCATGAGCAAGTAGTCTGGAGTCTTATTAGCCTTCAAGTCACCCTTTACTTTTGGGTCAAGCAACTCACTGTAGAATCGGAGAAACGACCGGCGTGTATGCTCATCCAAGCGAAGTCCCTTCTTTTTCATTGCAATGAGATTCAAATGGCGTTCAAGGTTAGAATAGAAAGACGATGAAAGTTTGACATCACTGGGCGTATTGAGACCGTACACCCGAGACGACCGCTTCTTGGAAGGCGAAGTCACCATTGACAAGCTGGTAGAGCTTCCATTTGTGTCTTCAATGTCTTCAACCACTATTGGTGTTTTGAATCGGGCTTCATTGACATACTCAAGAATTACCACTTTGAGCACACATTCGTACAACTTGTTATGGTCAATTTTATCATAGGAGTCATCTTGATTCAATAGAGTTGTTGAAGAGAGGCTTCGTGTTCTGCTACTAGAATGTTGGCTTTGGAGCAGCATCACTGACATCTAAAGTTTGTGCAGCGGTTTGCGACTCTATTTCAAAAACAGACAAACAAACATCCTCCACAGCGCGAGGCCATTGTTTAGCAGAGTTATATATTGTACAGCTATGGAAATACAAACTGACGTGTTTAGTCCTCTTCCGACAGTTCTGAGAACTGGTCTTCTTCAGGAGACCGTGAAGAAGGTACAGGCGATGCCAGAGGTTCGACTGACGAATAGGCTGCGGCTGCCGCTTCAGCTGCTTCTTTCTTTTCAGCCAATTCCTTATCGTAGAACATATGCTTTACCAAATCTTTTTGCATTGCAAATGAATCGACTTTCTCTAGGGTTATGTTAGTAAACATTGTTTCGGTAGGTAACTCCCATAATTATATACGTACTTTTTTTGAAGAGATTCTCCAACTTCTCATCACAGAGAATGGTTCTTCCAGAATTGGGGTCCTGAAGCTTATTGCCCTTGATATACTGCCACAAGAGCTTGACAACTTGCCCTCTAGGTGCGCTGGTAACGCCTATAATTTCAGACAAAGGGGCAGACAATTGCACTTCTCTCTGAAACACACTCTTTCTCTTAGGTTTGTCCTCAGACGAGGTCGACTTCTTTGTTTTGGTTACCTTCGATGGCTTTTTGCGGTTGAGGGCGTTTCTTACCGGGACACTCATCTCCTTCAGGAGCTTCAACGCTAGAATGGCATCTTGTTTGATCATTTCTTCTCGTCTCTGCTTCTCACTCTTATCATTCTGTTGTTTCCTTTCATCTGCCAAGTTGTGGTACCTTTCGAGAATCAACTCGTTGATACTGCTCTGACAATGGTTAGTAAGTGAAGGAACTGGGTCTTGTGGTGGGGGGTGCACATACTTTATGTTCATCTAAATTGATTGCAAAGAGCTCTTGGAGGGCTCTCCTTATCTTCTTGACAGACACTTTTTCCAAGTCTGCCACTCCCAAAATGGCCTATTGGTAGGTTAGTAACACTTCTAGTAAGTGTCCTGAGGCTGGCAACATACGTCAATCGTAGGTAAATACTCTTTAGGTTTATATTCCGAAGTCATATTAACATTTGAACAAGTAATAGTTTCGCAGTGAGAATAAATCTCTAGCGTTGCGCCTACAACGAATAACCAAAGTGGTACGAAATGGTGACATTAAAATTCTATAAATACATAGCTTATCGTTAAATGCTCTTTCTGGTTCATTAACCTCTCAAGTTCCGCTTGTGCTGCAACTCGTTCTTCTTGACCAATCTCTTTCTTTCAGCTCTATGTAAACTTCTTGGGTCAATCAACTCATCAGGCGTATTCTTAACCTTATCATCAATTTCAACCAACCACTGGTCATCAAGCAGCTTGTTTTTACCCTTGTATCCCCATTTGGGAGCCCACTCACCGGTGTCTTCATCATATACCATTTTTCCGTCTCTAGCCTTAGGTTTAATACCTTTCTTAACGGCGAATTTCTGCCATTTGGTTAATGGTTTGTCCTTAGGAATAGCCTTCTCTCTAGGCAATAATGTGATAGGCTGGGGCAATTGCACCAATGTCATCGTGGAATCCTGTCCGGTGGAAGACCCGTGGGTGTCAGTGGTAGTCTTCAAGGGCAATGATAAGATTTGATTTATCAACAATTGCACGTTATCTCTGGTGACTGCTGTCAAGTACTGTTCCTTTTGTTCTGCGTTAGCCAACTTGTCATTTTCAAGGGGATTTGGGTCAAAAGCCGCCAAGTTTCCCAAGTCGAAGGTGTCTGGGATCGGCTTGTCGACCGTTACGGGCTTAAACTCTTTTTCGGTGTTTCCTGACATGCTTTGTGAGATGGAAAAAATTGTTTTTGATGAGATGAGGTTTTTGATGCGAGAAGCCAGGTGGTTGTGTGCAGGTACACTCACCAGTCTACTTTGCATGGTTTCTCCAAATCCATAGTGATACTAGTGTCATAATGCTGATAGTTCCACCAGCAAGGACAATGTGTTTGTACTTTTCGTCATTGATATTTTCTGGTTCCTTTTCCAAGCCGGCGGTGGCGGTACTGGGCATAGTGGCAGCATCGACGATTTGGATGAAAAGCTCGTTGAGAGAAGTAGCCCAGTTGGAAGAAATATGCAACGGAGAATTGATGGAAAGGTCCCGTGTGTAAATTTCGGGCTGGATATCACCCCGTTGCTGCTGTTTATCCAAATCTGCTTTCAAGGCGGCAAACACACACGGTACCTCGTCCAAAGTGTCCTCATACTTTAGTCTCAAATCAATCAAATACTGGAAAGAATTAGGATCGGACGAGTCGTAAGTGAAGCAGATGGCGTCACATTGGTCTAGACGGCTTTTGTTTTCTAGAATGGCCGACTCGAGCTCACCAAGTTCTTCTAATATCAAATAACACTGTTTTCCCCCTCTTAATTCGATATCTTTTGCACATATGCGAGGTTGGATCGTAGGTGAGTACATTTCACTGTAGTTACCTTTCAAGAACAGCTCGAGCAAAGACGTCTTCCCTGACTTAGGTGCTCCAATGATAAAGCAGTTGAACACATTCCGGTCAAAAACCGGCTGCCTATACACCTTATTTTGCTTTTTTCTTCTCTTTCTAGGCTTTGTGATCTGTAAAGCTTTAATAGAGCTTCCTTCATCAAATCCAAGGTACGAAAGGTACTCCAACGTAGTCCTATAGTCAAGAAAAGTGGTGAGGTTCCATTGAGCAAGCCAACCTTGTAAGGTGACATATCCAGACTCATTACACACAATCGAAGAAGGAAACTGGCAATCCCTCCAAAGCTTGGGGATCCCCGGAGTTGGATAGAACAAGCTGCTGAGTTCATTTTCACTGAGTCCCCCATCGTTGTCCTTGTCGAATTTGACAAAGAGGTCAACCATAAACCGGTACCCAAGAGGACTTAACTCTACGCTGGAATCGGGGTTGACATCGATTTTCGGAAACAAAAACTTATCGTCCAACGACAACGAGTTTGTATAGCTGAAGGACCGAAGTATGCCCCAGATGGTCTCATGCCTTCCTCTTTCGGCATATATCTTGTTCAAGAGAATAAACCCATCTTCCGAAATGCCGGGATGTAGTCCATCCTGCTCCGTTTCGGGGAATATCACGCGGTCAAGGGTCCGGAGGATATTCTCATACTCGGTTATATCAGCAGTCCTTTCAAACGCCTTTGTGTGTAAGCTGGAAAATTCCTGGTAGTTCAAGTACCCGTCCTGGTCCTTATCACATAAAAAGAACACCCGTTTCAACGCTGCCACAGCCGCCGGCTTCAAGTTTCCTTCCTTGGAATCAAATATAGGCGATATCGGATGTGTGATGGCACGTTGGCACATGTAAAAGGCCTCCACCACATTAATATTCTGTTTGGCGCTGGAACGTACACACGCCTCGATCTCTTTAAACTCATTAAGTAACGGCAAAAATTCGTCGGAGTTCTGGCTGGTGTCATCACCCAAAGTCGTATCACATTTATTGGCACATAGTACCACCGGGAGGTTCACGCCCAACGATCTGAGCATGGGCATCCAATGCAATGAGATTCTCTCGTAGGTATAGTGATCTGAGTATACCAACCAGATGACATCTCCACGCTTCAATTCCTTCTGAAGCCCAACGAGATCCGACGACATGGTATCTATAAGCACAGTAGTGTGAGGAATGTACTTCAGAACCCGCTTATCGGTGATGGAATTTCGAGATGATCCTTTGACAGGCGAATTGGATATGAGCTCTATAAGACACTCGGAATAGTCTTCATTGGAAATGGTTATTGGAGGAAGTTTCTTTTGAATGTTGGGGATGTACTCGCCTTTAACAAGAGCCGATATGAGCGTTGACTTGCCCACATTGTCGTCACCACACACAATTACACGTATACTCTCTTGCGACATGGATTGGTGAGTGCTCGCTTTTTCGGATGCCAATCAAAATCTCATTATTAATAAACTGGAAACGACAACTGTATTTGTGCACCATGTTGTTCAGATCGATACTTGCACCAGTTCGGGGCGTCAGAGGCATTGGTTTGCGCCAGACGCCGAGAGCATCCATGAATATCACAGCGATCGGGGCCCGGTTATACTCCGATGCGATGTCCTCGATGGATGAATATGAATCGAAGATATACAAGATCTTGAAACTGGAGTTCAATCCTTTGGCTTTGGAGGTCCGGGATGTATCAGGCGGCTGCGGGTCGATGTTTGCCATTTTGGTGGAAAGCGATAAGTTCAAAGGAGTTCCTATGATCAAACAGCACCGATTGGTCAACGAGGTGTTGAAGGATGAGATAGCCAAATGGCATGGAATACAATTACGGACCAAGGCTCCATAGCGACAACATCTACTGGTTCTTGTAAATATCGACATACGTTTCATAGTAATTACGTTCTCTAATACAGATTAGTGTGAGTATTTATCAAATTACTTAGTATCTACTAATAAAAAGTGAGTTATTTATTGAAGTCTCAAGTTTCAACTGTCTTATCATACAATATAGTCTACTCAATAACTTCTTCTTTCTCTTCGATGATCTCCTCTTTGATCTCCTCGATGATTTCAGCTTGCACTTCGTTCTCTGTAGACTCAACCTTTGCGTATTTCGATCTGTAGTCTCTCCATTCTTCCAAAAGCCTACGACGGTTCAAAATGGCTTCTCTGGTAGCAGTGTCAGCCTCCATGGCATCAGCTTCGTCGAATTGTGCACTGTATTCACGCAAGTTCTTTCTGACTCTCTTTCTGTCAGCAGCACTCAACAATGAAGCAGGTCTTGGTCTCCAGATAAACTCCTTGAACTGGTCCTTGGTGTCGTCCCTTAACATGTTACCGGTGAACTCGAACAATTTGTATCCGTTTTCAATGGTGTGGATCCATGCCGAAGACCAAGCAGCAACAAACCTTCCGGATGGGTCCCAAGACAAGTTGGTCATACCACCATACTTTTCGGCTTTCAATAACTTGGCCTTGTTAACGTCCTTGTTATTACCTGGCTTCTTGTCATCATCGTAAGAACAGTCGTAGAACTCGATTTCTCCATTAGACTTGCCGATGGTTGCAACAACAGCAAATCTCCCCTTTGGAGACCAGAAAATCGTGTTTGAGTACTTCTTCTCGATAGTGTCGTAACACTTGTAGCTAGAGGAAGTGATCTTGGTCTTTTGCAGCAATTCAGGAGCGTAGAACGAGATGATGTTTTTTGGAATGGCAGGGTTGTTAGTACCATCGTCCAATCTGGATATGGTGATAAACCGTTCAGTCTTGGGTTCCCAGGCAAAGTTCACCACCACTTCCTTCAACTCGAGCTTTTCAACAGGAATGTCTTTTTCGGTAGTCTTGAAAAATTCTAAATTGGAAAACACAGTCTTACCGGACTTGGTATGACGGTCGACCTTCACACACAAATACTTTCCTTCATCGTGCCAGTGCATCTTACAGTCACTGACTTGGAACAAGTTGGTGGTTCTGAGAACCTGGGTTGATGGAATTTGCATCAACGCCACTCTAGCAGTTTGATTAGAGCTTTCTGGAGTCCAGTATGACAAAAGGTATTCACCTCCTTCAACCTTGGAGTTAGCCAACTTGACACTGGCGGGAGCCCACTCAAAGTCGACAATCGAGTCGATTTGCACCAATTTTTTGTTCAACAATTGGAAAGATGGAGTCTCGTAGATAGCCAAGGCATTTGGACCTTGACGAGCACAGTACTTATCATCGTGAGACCATTTGACCAAGGGCCAAGGCATCTCCTTCTGGCCTTCTAAGTGAGGAGGCAAAGCAAACGATCTGGCAGGTTCACCGGTCTTAATATCCCAAATAACTAATTTATGACCCTCATTTTCCTCTTTGAATGGGAAATGGGCTCTTTCAGCAGCAGTTTCAGGCATGGTGATGGGCAAGGGAGACAACGTCACCAAGTAGTTTTCGTTGGGAGAGAAATCAATCAAACGGACTTGGTTATGGATGTACTTACTCAAGCTCTCAAACTCAGGACCTCCCCAAGATTGTACACCTTGAGGGTGAATGGAACACAAGTAAGTACCTTTTGGAGAAAACTTGGCATACTTGGAGGTGAATCCTTGTCTTGGTTCGATAACCTTTTCTGGGTCGCTTTTCTTCTTGTTCCAGTAGATACCAACGGTTTCAGATTGGTGTAAGAGAAGCTGATCTCTTCCTTGTTCATCCAATAACCAATCCTTCAAGAAACCATGTTCCTTGAATTCTGGGATTTCTGGTTCCACAAACTCCTCAGGGACGTTACCTTCAGAACCATAGTTTTCGATATCACTCAAACTATTGACCAATAATCTGTGACTCTTGTCCAACTGCTTTCCGTTCAATTGTCTAATAGCCTTTTTGGCCAGGTCTGCTTCTTTGAACTGAGCAAACAAGTATCCTTTTGTCTTCCCGTCTTCTATTGGCATATAGAATCCGTCATCGCCGTCTTCTAACTCACCGTAGCTGGATAATAATTTCTTCAACACTTTACTCAAAACTGGAACTTTGGCTTCGGTAGTCACAGGAGCTCCGTCAATGACAACATAGTTATCCAAGCCAAAATCCTGGTTGACCTGGTACCTGGCTTCTAAGTCAGTGTAATCGACATCGTCGACGTTGATCTCTTTTTCAAGATCTTCGTAGGTATATCCATGAACCATGTTAAAATGTGTTTAGAAAAATTCAACGCTGATGTGAAAAATTTTTAGAAGCGCGAAAGTGAACATTTTGGGGTTCTCATTAAATAGTACATAGCATTACACAAGGTATTTTTAACCAGTAAGGTTGAGTTGCTCTCGGAGACGAGTATTCTCTTGTTCTAGTTCTTTTAACCGGCGTTCAGCCTCGTGGTTTTCGTAAACTCTGGCCTCACGTTCGGCCTTCCATCTACGATTTAGCTCGTCGATTCGGAGTTCAGCTCTAGGAGACGATATGGACGATTCTGAATATTCGTTCAGGGCGTTCAGAGACTCCATCAGACGGGACAACTCGTCATTGAGACGGTTAAGCTCGTCAATTCTCTTGTGGAGTTTATTCACATACTCCCCTGATTTGGCAGTATCTTCGTTCTCTTTCAAAAGTAGCTTGACATGATCGTTAACAATAACATCTACAGCACGCGTGAAATAGTCGAATACCGCCTTGTGGAACTCTCTTATATTCGTCATGTCGGTGAAATCTACCAGACTCATATTTGAGTCGTTGGAGGAATTGTTAGGCATGAGCTTCTTGATCATATAGTCCACCTTTCTAGTGGGTTCTTTGAGGGATGCATCATCTGCAATCTTATTGAATGACTTCAAGAGCCTTTGGAACTTAAAGGTGTCGAGCTGTAAAAGCTCACCTATTTGGTATTCAAGAATGTTGATTTTCTTGGTTAAAGCGGTTTCTACTTCATCGTTTCGGGAGGTTGCTGGGTTTGCAATCGTTAAATCAGTGACTTTATCAGTAAGGTTCTGGATGGTGGTTTGTAAGGAGATCTTCTCTTTCGATAAAGACTCAACTTTGTAAGTCAACCGAATTTTTTCAGCTTTCAACATCCTCTGCTTCTCCACTGCCAAATTCAAGTCCTGCTCCATTCTTTCTAAAACAATTTTGTCTGCTTTTGAGGAAAGCGACTCTTGTTTGTTCAGCTGCAATTGGTTGGTTAAAGATGAAACAGTGTTAGAAGAGTCCTCCTTCAATTTAGTGTACTTGTCGTGCAAGTCATTATACTCTTCCTGGAGTTGGTTAAAGTCCTTGTGTGACTGTAAGAGTTCTTGATTCAATTCTGAAACATCAGCAGTATTATGGTTCAAGTGCTGGATGTCTCTTACTTCATCTTGCAAGTGGTCAATAATATGCTGGTACTCTTCATACTTCTTTTTCATTGTGTCATTGAGGACAATAAGCTGTTGGTTTTGTGACCTCAAAGAGTCGACCTCTCGATTGTCAATTAGACTCGAGGAGGTTTGGTCTATGGTATCAGATAAAGTATCCAAGCTCAGCTTCATAATGGTATTGTTGGCCTTAAGCTGTTCTGACTGCTCTATCTCATAATCGAGTTCTTCCTTCATCTGGCTTACCAACTTATTCTGTTCGTCATATCCTGTTCTCAATTGTTCCAAAGCAGACATTAATTGGTGGATGGTTCTTATGTAATTATTGATTTCAAATTGTTTTTCTCTGTCAACCACCGTGACAGAACTTGTAGAAGTAAAACTGTTTCTCTTTAACTCCTTTTCCTTGCTAGTTTCCAACTTCTTGGATAGCTCCATTTGAATGGCATGTAGCTTTACATCCATGGCATTCTCCAGGGTATTCTCAAGACACCTCACCAACGCTTTTCTTGACATAATGTCAGTAGTAGCATCACTGATCAAAGTTTGAATGATCTCATTAGCGAGCAAGTTATAATCGAACAACCGTTCCTTTAACTGGGAAATATTCTGTTCTTTCTCCTTAAGGTTTTGTTCAAATTGCTCGAGATTTGCATACAAATCCTTATTGAGTTTGAATATCTCATCGTAACTCTCCGATAAATTCTTAAATTCCACTTCTAGCTTAGCTTGCTCATTTGTGGAAGAGTTACTTCTCATCTTTTTTATAGGAGAAAACTGCTCGTTGAACTGCTTCAATTCAGGGAGATCAGGATCGTTCTGATTGAAATCTTTCTTCTCAATCAACTTTTGAAGAAGCTGCTTGAAAAAGCGGATCTGGATCTTATAACCAGTCAATTGCTTATTTAGCTCACTGATTACTTCTGTGTTTGAGGAAGAATCCAGAGCCTTGCTTCTAAGGTTTATATCTGGAGCATTAAATCGAAGTTGAGGTCCGGGAGGAATATGTGTGGGAGCAGACTTTGGGGCAGAACGCAACTTTCTCCACGGAGAGCTAGTTGAAGCACTTCTCTGTGATACATTGGAATTGGAAAAAGGCGCCGAATTTCGGCTGGAAATGTCGCTTTTATCCAAGTTAATATCTCTCTTGAGCTGTTCTTGTGTGTCATCAAACTCAGTGGTATTCAAAGATGTTTCGTTGACAAAATCAGGGTCTTCTCGAAGACTCTTGAGGCTTTTTGTATTTATTCGCATGTCTGCAAGCGATTTCTGGAGGTTCGCTATGCTCTTATCCATTTCGCTAGTAGTATCGTGGGTGTTTTGGTTTTTATCACTAGACAGAAACAGACCATTTCTGGGGCCATAAAGAAACCCAGACGGCGGTATAAGTGGTAAGGACTCTCTGCTCGATATAAAAGCTTCGAAGTGGTCACTCTCCGTTGTCAAATTAATTTTAGATGTTTGTTTAGATGAAAAGGATGAAGTGCTCTCGTCTAAAATCGAGTGATGATTTACGATATTATGAGTCTCTTGTGGCAGCGGAATGTTTGTTAGAAACGATGACATGTCTGGCTTGTTGTGATATAAGTAGACAGAACAAAGTTGAAGAACGTGCCGACGGGTGTCGGACAAATGTGGTATATTCGATGTGTGTATTTATATGAGATTGAAACATAAATAAAAGTCGCGACTGGGATTATCGAAACGAGATCGCATCCACACTACTACGAGATCTCAGATTTCTAATATACGATTGATTATTTAGGTGGCCATTTCGGTGTCTTCATCGTCGTCCTCTTCGTCGTCATCTTCGTCCTCTTCTTGTGCGTATTTGATAGCTTCTTCCAACAAATCTTCAGGGACAAACTCGTGTCTACCTTCGGTCTCCTCAAGAGAACACCAGGTAATTTCCAATTCGTAATCCTTGTCTTTGTTATCTTCATGGGCCTGATGGATGATCTTTGCAGCCACTTTGACACCTTCTCTGACCGTCAATTCGTCGAAGTTCAACTTTTCCAATTCGGATTTAGCAGTTTGTCTGCCCTTACCGGTGGCAGCTCCACTATATCCCCAGAATGCTCCACTGGGTTCAATCATGTACAAATGAGGTCCCTTTTTGTCGACGCCTCCAATAATGGCGACGACTCCAAAAGGTCTGACCGAGTTGTAACAAGTATAGTTCTGGACATAAATGCCCAATCTGTCCATCAAATGAGGAACACTTACTGATGTCTTATATATGGATTTGAACGACTTGGCTTCATCTCTTCCTCTGCTGACAAGGTGGCGCCCATCCGGTAAAAGTCCTGAATATGCCACCCCAATGTGTCTGTCGATGGTCTGAATACGTTTATTCTTTCCAGGAACTAACAACTTCGAATTTATGATTTTTTCCACCGCCAACACTATTCCGTCTTTGCACTTGATTCCAATAGAAGTGCCTCCGTTTTCAACGGCTTTCATGGCGTATTCCACCTGAAAATTTCTTCCGTCTGTTCAATGTTAGTACAAGCACACGCTTCATGAGTTTAAGAGTTAAACATACCTGGAGAGAAAACACTGTTGGATAAATCGTAACCTGTTCCAATAGATGTCTGTTATTTGTTAGTAGATGGACAATTGAAGCGACAACCAAGATGATACATACCATTGTACTGCTTGATATAAGATACAAATCTCAAGAAGTTTGAATCGCCACCTTGAGAACCGCACTGGAAAAACTCGCACCAAACTTTGTGTCATTTCGTGTTGCTTACTTATTCATAAGAAGATGGTTGCCCAACTTAGATGGCCCATTCTTGGGATAATCGTATGTGATAGATCAAGTTTTGTCCAAACCACAAACCCAATACTAATTCATTTCACAGGTTCCGTGTGTTCTCATAGCAGGCATTGGATATGGGTCACATTTGTTTGTGCTCAGACACTCGCTCTCCCACCAAAAACAAATAGCATTCGAGGTTTCCTTGAGCCTTCTCTGGATTTCATACCTATTTGCCATACATGTTGATCCTGGGTACCCTCCGGACAATTTTGAGCCAAGACCAGGCGAATGGAGACGGTGGTGTAAGAAATGTCAAAACTATAAACCCGAGAGATCGCATCACTGTAAAACATGTAATAGGTGTGTTCTCCAGATGGACCATCATTGTCCATGGACATACAACTGCGTGGGGGCAAAGAACATGGGCCACTTCATGCGGTTTTTGTTTTGGATCTTGGTGAACACTGGGTTTGTGTTCATTGAATTGAGCAAGCGAGCCATGGAATTTTACGAAGACAGAAATCTTCCAGCCTATTTAATCGACAAGAAGGAACTTGTGGCAGTCATTGTGTTATTACCATTGGATATTTTTGTGAACTTTGCCATTTTGATTTTGTTTGTACGGTGCTTGAGTAATTGGGTTTTCAAGGGTATGACCCAGATCGAACAATGGGAGCACGAGAGAATCGAGTCTCAGCTCCACACAGAAAGAATGTGGTTGCAGATACGGAAGAACTATATCCACTTGCACGGTCATGAAATGCCGGTCTTAACTTCGTGGAACCAGAATGCCCGTTTCTATCTGGAAGATAGAGGGCTGGAAGAGGAAGCAGACGAACTTGATTACGTTGAAGATGTAGATAACGCTTCTTCTGAGTATCACCAGAAGACTTCAGTGGTTCCTCAAGACTTCACTATCGATGACTTTGTGTTTCCCTATGATTTGGGTATAGTAAAAAATGCCATTAATACCTTCAACTATCCATGGATGTGGCTATTTCCCTGGACATCTGTGAGACAGTCAGGATACCGCTTTGAGAAAAACGAGTATGCTGAAGACGACCAGGTAGGATTACCATGGCCTCCAGATGGTGGACATCAAGAGTACGCTCCGGACCCTGACATCGATTTGGATAATTTGGATGTTTCTGAGTTGAGAAATCTTCGTCAGTTGAAAAAGAGATTAGATCCTAGGTCTAAGCTTGATCGTAAGGATTGGGTTAACGGATTAGGAGAAACTCTTGGTGATTATGGGGTAGATTTGGATGCAGAGGATGTAGAAAATGATCAATTGGTAATGATAAAATAGATTCTTTATCTAATACAATTTTTTGTATGGTATGTAGACAATATATGGTTTGGTAATTGTTTTAGTAAATGGCAGGAATCATTATTCATTAGCTATAAGTATAAATCTTTGAATTTGAACGCTTTCTGACTTGGATAGTACTCCAAGTAATTGAATCTATTATCGGAGAGGAAACTCGAAATATTCACCACTCTGCATCCAGTGTACGGAACCTCAAAGTTTTCAAATTTGGTATCGTTCAAGATGACAAGACTGGGCAATGGTTCAATACGCAAACTGTGGGCATAGATGGGATTCACCAATTTCAACCCCTTAGACAACGGTTGCAAATGGCCCTGGTCAAGTAAAGTTCTCACCAAGCATCTGGCCTGTTTCAACTTAGTAGGAATGTTATCATCGACATTTTCACTAAGTAATTCGTTCGACTGGTTCAAATCACTTTCAAGAATAATATCGTTTCTCTTAAACTTACTCATCAAGTCGTCCTTCAAGATTACAATCTCTTGACTCAAGTAGTTCACCCTAACTGGATTCCATCCAAGTTTAAGGTGTCCCTTGGGAAGTAGTCTTTCGAGTCTATTCAAAAAAATAGATGGAATTGATGGCTGGGGTAAGTAATTTAAATTGGAAGAACCTAGTGAATGGGTTGATTGCCATGGATCGTTAGGGCCTGGAATTAGCACGAGCATTACCTTTGACTTAATGGTTGGGAATTCCGCAATGAGGTTTGCAAGATTGTTGAAATTGTTTTTGTACAGCTCGCTGTTGGAAATGCTTGATGTGGAGCTCTGAATTGAACTGATTGGCTTTGACACAAATGATCCAGTAAGAACCAATGACACCGGAGCCTCCTCCTCTTCTTCAGTCAAATCTTTTTCTAATCGACTAAAGAGCTTCCGAAGCCCTTTCATGATCTTCAAATCATCAAGGTAGATGTTCGACCCCAAAATTATGAACTTGTGGTCCGTAAGCTGCTTCTCTAAGCGGACTAATTTCTTCCTGAAATCCTTACTGACTTTTGAGGAATGATGCAAATTAGACAAGTTCTCCTTATTGATGTTCAAAAAGTCCAAATTACCATAATGCTCAGATGATATATCTCTTCTCTCCGCTGGAGGGTGACCTAAATGAGTTACGTGAAAGATTCCATTGGGTGAGTTCTCATTGAACTGAGAATAAAGTCCTTCGGCCGTCAAAAACATTCCTTCAGTATAGAATGCGTCCAACATCTTTTGTGCTTGGTCAAGATTCAACTCAATAGAGTCTGTTGTATCTTCAATTGTATACACCCCTCTGAAATTCTTTGTCAAAAGACCAAAAATAATGAAGGACTGGCCGTTATTCCCAATGATATTTTTAATCAAGGTGATCTCTTTACTCTGCTTCTTCGACTTGATATTGGAAATACTTTGGTAGTTTGTCTTCTGAAACACCTCGTTTCTTGACAACCTGTCTCTAATAAGACTATATCTATTGTTGAAGTATTCGATGTTAGTGTCCCGAAAGTTCGACAACTTCCCTTCTCCACGTAAACCAAACTGTTTCCTTTGCTTGTCAAAAGTATAGTTTGGTTGCTCTGGTGGGTTTATGACTCGGAAAAATTCTTGCCACTGGAGTTCTTCTTCCTCATTTATGTTTTCCTTATTCTCTTCATCAATAACCCTATTAATTTTGGTTTTCTCTTCATTGTTTAACTGCTTAAGTACTTCATTAAGTCCTTCACCATCAACAAACAAGCCCTTGTCTTGTGCCTTCCAAATTTTGGCGATATCTTCCAAATATAATTGGGCTTTAGCACCTTTCCATTCAGATCCAAACTTATGACTGACTACGTCCGTCAAAACCTTCAAAGCGTCGGTTTGAATATTCAACCCATGCTTCTTAGAAAATATCCTATACGCGGTGGGTCTGAGGTTGCTAGGCTGAAGCTTTACCGGTAAATGTACTCGAGTTTCCATGGTATAGGGTGTGAAGATAGAGTGGATGTTGTGATAACGCGCGGTGGAATTTTTGATTTTCACGCGTTTTGGTGTTCCATATATATCAAGATCTCATCGAGCACATGCAACAAATTGAGACATTTGACTCGGAGCTGGTAGTTCAAGCTAAGGAAGTGTACCACCTTCATCGTCATGTGCTTGTGAGAGTTTCTGGTGAACTTTTGTGTGAGGTCCTCGTATAACTTGTAGATAATGGACTTCAAGTCAACCATGTTCTTGTAATCGAACCGATGAACATCGTCTATACTTTGGTAGCTGGCAAGAAACTCCTCGAATTCGAGGAGCTTGTCACTTATCTGGTCGTAAAACTTGAACTTTATTTTTGGATTGTCGACCATCTTGAACTTTTCATACTCGTTGTTCAAGTAAAGAAGCTGGTTTTCGTACTCCTTGGTATTCACTTGCAATTTCAAAAAGAGAGCCAAATCTCGATCTTCCATACGATCCCGTAGTAGCTGGTCGATTTTTAGTTGCAATAGGAACGTGTGGGATCTCAAGGCAGTCAACTGACGGTTCAATTCGACATTCTCTGCGTTCACTTCATCAGAAAGGGCCTGGGCTTCACTGTATTGTGCGGAGTATTTCGCCACCTGTCGCCTTAAACTAGTATCTCCTGACCGCAAATACTCATTCTCCTTCTTCATATCATGAAGCTCGCGCTTTGCCCGCTTCAATTCATACACTTTATCATCCAAATCACGCACGAGGCGATTCACCTCGTACTTCTTTCTCTCAAGATCATTGCTCAACAGCTTCACGCTATAGCCATCGGAAACAGTACTCTGTTGGACTTCAACCTGCTTGTGTTTGCGAGTCTGCTGGTTAAGGTCAGGCAACTCTCCTAAAACATATTTTCCATCATCGTACCTGAGTTTCTTAGCTTTGTTTATTACAGGATGGTTTTCATAATTGTACCCTTCCAATGGTATAGACCGCTGAAGCTCGTCAGTGTTAGTGTTATTCTCGTAGCCACTGAGCGAATAGCGGTTGAAGAAGTTGCTTAGCTTATTGATTATGCCTTTGTTGGTGGTGGTTGGTTTCAAGATCCCTCTGTCTCTATACTTATAATACTTGGACTTTCCGGAAGCGGATAGGATGGTTCGGGAGGTATTCAGCGGTAGATGTGATCTCGACTCACTTGCCCTATATAGGGATCCTTTTGCATCTACCATTATTGTGATAAACGTGAAACACTGGTTATTAAACGCGGTTTCTTTTTCGCAATCTGATGGCCCTATACTTGACTGCGGATTTATCCAACAGCAATTCTTGAACATAAATTATACTAATTATACTAATTATAAACGAAAGAACAGCCATTCCCTTAACTGATTCACAATATCCTAAAACAAACCTAACTTCATATAAATACCAATCATGACAGATTACTGACTGAAGAGGATGAGCTCTCGACAATCTTCCTTTGATCAGCCTCATCTATACACTGCAAACCTCTATCCTTAATGAAAAACGAAGACACCAAACAAACTCCTATCAAAGGAATCAATAAATAAAAGTAGTTTCTCAAGGCCTTTTCATACATGCCGATAACATGGTTTACCTGACCAGCTGACAAGCCTTTGATTTCAATTTTGGCATAAATGTTTGATTCCAAGTATTCCAAATAATCGTCGGGCAAGTTTGATAAGCCTCTTTCCGTGGCTATTTCGCTGAGCAATGAGTTGCTGACAATGGTAGAACCAACGGCTATACCTACAGCCCCTCCAAACGACCTCAAGACATTTCTGGTGGAAATCACCACTGCTCGATCGCTTTTTTTAGCCTGTGCCTGGGCTGCAACCATCGTTGGCTGGAACGTGAAGCCTACGCCCGTTCCCATAACAATAAGAATGAGAACTTCGGCATATTCGGGTAAGGTTCTACTCCAGAGAATCAAAAGTCCGTTTGACAAGCACCATAATGAGTAACCAACAATGACCGTCAAAATATAGTGCCCAGTTCTACTGATGATTTGGCCAGAAATAATCGATCCCACCGCTTGACACAATACCAATGGCACAAGAAACACAGCTGATTGGACTTCGGACTTTTGCTTGACGATGTTGAAAAAATAGGGCATATAGTAGAGAAACCCATAGTAAGCCATTCCGAACAAAAAACTCGAGGCCAAAAGCAAACACAAAGAAGGAACCTTGAATAAATGCAATGGAATCATTGGAAGCTCGGGGATCTTCCATTCGATCACCACAAACCCGACTAATGATAAGGTTCCTACTATGAACATCACTATGACTAAAGGGGAGTTCCAGGCAAAGGTGGAGCCACCCCCACTTATTGGAACCAATATCAACGTCAACCCAATAGCAGCAGTTATAATTCCCAAGTAGTCTATCTGCTTGAGTTTATCCTTTGTCGACAAGATATTATCAAGATTCTCCTTCTTCGTATTCTTGACCAAAAAGTGCACTACGGCAATATTTGCGATCATGGTAGGTGACACAAAATAATAAAAGCCTCGCCAGGAATAGGACTTGATGAACCCTGCCATTATAAAGGGACCAATCGCATTGCCTACTCCAACACTTGCACCCAAAATCCCTTGGTACTTTCCTCTTTGTTCTAAGGTTACCACGTCACTCAATATCACCATTGATAATGAGCTGACAGCACCATTTCCTATTCCTGCAAAAGCCCTGAAAATGAAAAATTGAATTCCTGTTTGGGCGAACCCACAGCATAAGTCTGCAATTGATAAGATAAACAAGCAGACGATCATAACGTGCTTTCTGCCAAAGATGTCTGACAATCTACCAAACAAAATCTGACACACACAGTTAGACAACAACGAAGCGGTTCCAGCCCAGTTGATTGTTGTTTCACAATGAAGGTCCTTACCAATAGTCGAGAGCCCAATGGTGACCCCAGTTTGGTCTGCAAATGAAAGCATCAACGTCAACGACATTGAACACAATAATATAATCAAGTTTTTCCTAGGCAATATGGAAATATGGGCATCCCCCAACCGCTCTGCTAACTCCGTCCTCTTCACTTCCATTACCCTAATTTGGATCTTCTTATCCTTTTCCATTTCTGTTCTACTTCCCAAAACATTCGAGTGGAAATGTTGCAGCTATTTATGAAATTTTCCACCACATAGCCTGAGCAGGAAACACCTACCATGTGTCTCAAGGAGTGTTTCTAGACACAACTACAACTCTATTGTTGTTGAGGTTCTCTGCAGACCTGAGCCATAACCGCTACCAGACGTTGCCATAGTGTTAGGAACGATTGACAATCGGTCAAATTTGCGTCTTTCCACAGGCGAAAGGGCAATTCCGGAGCAATACTGTGGTTAGATATACCATAATCAACCACTAGTTTAATAGAATGGTCCAGCCCATATTGTTAACTACTATAGTTAGTGTGCATATAGGCCCCACCCACCGGTTAATAGTGAGTTTTTCCGCCCCTCTTACGTAAACTTTGGTTTTTGGCGCTTTAGTACCTGCCGCATACTTTACAGAAAATAAAGTAGGCTTTTCAATTGTTCCTGGAGAACCGGAACTTTAGGCTTTTGAGTAGCCGGTGAATTAACCCTGCGAGTCCTTGCCAATCTAAGGAAATCTACATTTTATGTGAGCGTGTATCTAGATTATAAAGCAAAAATTATGGCTTGGAAATGTTTCAGATCTCAGGTGGTAGGGTTCACATCGGGCTTAATGAAAGGTTTCTGAGCGCATTTCTTTATTCATATGCAATCAATGTGTCAAATCGGTGGGTCTAAACTTACAGGAAAGTAATCTCATGTCCTAGTTGGCTAGTTTGATTATTATGGATGCCATATCTCTTGGCAATCTCCCATATTGGTGATGATAGGAATAAAAAGAAACTTTTGGCTTTATGCAATGGTTCGAGCGCAAACCAAGCTGTTTTTCCTAGGCATTGCTGCTGAAACACAGAGCCATACAATTGTTAGGCATACGGACTCTAATTAAATCCAGTGAGCATATATCCAGCCAAACCTTAATCCAAATAGCCATGGCTCAGCTTATCATATCACTTCTACATTCAGAATCACTGCCTGATACATTTTATACATGCTCGGTTATATCAAAAAACGCTCTTGGTAGTTGCTATCGATTAGGCTCCGATATCGATTTCACCACACAATTCCACTCTACGACTGGATGATCCAACAAAGATTTTATAGGTCCCGGTTTGAATAATCCACTGTTGTGATCTAGTATCCCAAATGGTCAAATCCCGATGGAGGATATTGAATTCAATGGTGGCTGTGTCGCCCTTTTTGATGAAGACTTTGTCAATACCACGCAATACCTTTGGTGGTGAGCTGACAAATGTACTTGGAAACTCAATGTACAATTGACTGGCAAAACCTCCTTTGTATTTGCCAATATTTTTAACCTTAGCTTTAACAGAGAATAAAACCTCCCATAAAGCTTGATTCCCGCCAAATCCCCCACTTAGTGGAGGACTATTTGTATTTGTTTCACTGTATCCTAATGGGTAATCAAATCTGTCATCGTCGGGCAAAGTTTGGACATTTTCGTTGTATAAGTATGGGTAAATGAACCCTGGCACTGGGTCAAACTCATCATGAGGGAACAATGCATCTTCTGGATCACAAATATCATCCTCAATAGTTCTGTAGATGGGTAAATATTCTTCAGGATAAGGTAAATATTCTGTGGGTGAGTTAATTTCCACAATTTTAAGATCACTTAACTGAAATTTTGTGTATGATAACCCATATCCAAACTCAAATCTTGGCTTTATATTGTGTTTGTCAAAGAACCTGTAATCGAGATAGATATCTCTATCAAAATTGTCTTGAGGATCATTACTATCCTTGAGACTATCAACTATTGGAACATAGTGCAGTTTTTTTCTTGCAATTGTAAATGGCAACTTCCCCGAAGGATTTACCTCTCCAAATAATACTTCTGCAATAGCCTGCCCAACATATTGACCCAAAGGGCCCGCATACACAACTCCCACAACATTTTCAAGTTCAATGAATTTTTCCATGTTAACAGGTCCAACAGAATTCACCACCACTATAGTTTTAGAACATCTGGAAGCAACATGATTAATGATTTCGTCGCCATTGTTCCATAAGGAAAAATTTTGTCTATCACCATAGTTGTCATCTACCTCAATGAATCCTTCACCACTATCGGCAGTCACTATAACAATTGCCAAATCAACTAAGTCGCTCAATTCATCCAAGCTGTCGAAATCCCAGTTATCGTTGGAGTATTCAACTAACATTTCACGTTCCCGGGCCCTCTTTGCAATTGCTTCATATGGAGATATGACAAATGGGTTGTTCACTGCAGCTGACCCCCAACCTGAAGTGAGTGGACCTTCGTAACATCTTTGGTCTTTACAGTTGTAGCCTCTTGCATCAAGGCCGGCTCCCAGTCCAGCAATCAATATCTTTCTAATCCCATCATCTTTATCAATGGGCAAGTTGTGGCCATCATTCTTCAACAATACTATGGCTTCTCTTGCAACATTTAATGCAATATCATCACTAAACTTTGTGCGGGCATTTTGGTGATAGTTCTGTTGGATAATTGGGCCATAGTGTTGATAAGGATATTGTTGACCGTAGGTGTGGTAAGTCCAAGAACTAAAATTTGGAGTATCTTCATCACTTGGTAACTTCAATGTATCAATTGCAAAGAAAGGTGCCAAAATTCTGGTTACCATATCATCTAGTCTCTGTTGTGGTAAGGTATTGTTATAGACCGATCTTGTCAAGAGAGGACCCCAAAACGACTTACCAGACAACCAGTCATCAAAAATTTCACCAGGCACAGTCATATCCAAACCAGCTAAAGCTGAATAAACACCAGAGTGTTGAGCACCCCAGTCTGACACCACGAACCCTTGGAACCCCAATTCTTCTTTCAATAAATAGTTCAAAAGGTATGAGTTTTCACATGCATAGGTATTGTTAACCTGGTTCAAGGAACACATAATACCACCCACACCCGCACGTATAGCATCGGCAAATGGCCACATATAGATCTCGTGCATGGCCCGGTCTCCGATGTTAGAGCTGATAGACTTTTCCAAGCGATCCCATCCATTATCTTCCCATTCTCCAACTTGCCGAAAGTGCTCTTGCTCATTTCCCACGAAACTTCTGGCAATGGCAAGTACTCCTTCATCTTGAATTCCTTCAATGGTAGCAGCACCCAAAATCCCCTGTAAGTATGGATCCGCCCCGAAACTCTCCCAGTTTCTACCACCAGCAGCTTTTAACCCAATAGGACCAAGAACAGGAGCCAAAGCCATATGTACACCTTTCTGTTTGTGCTCTTTTCCAATCGCCTTTCCTCTAAGATAAACCAACCCCTTGTTGAAAGTGGATGCAGCTGCAATACCACTGGGAAAGTTTGTCACAAAGTCGGTATATCTAACTCCATTGGGCCCATCTTGTAAACACAATTCTGGAATGCCCAACCGTGGCACGGACCCAGTATTTCCCACACAGGAGCCCGATCCCCAGCCTGTTCCAGTGGTTAAATTAACCTTTTCTACAATCGACATTTTCTCAACGATCTTTCTAGCCTTATCGTAGGCCTTTTGCCAAACGTGACCAATCCTACCACCAACGGCTGAAACAATGTTAGTATTTTGCCAAACGAATGGCTTGGAGGTTAGTTCATACGTGTGGGATAGTAAGGGTCTGACCAAAAAAACTCAGCGGGATGGCGGTCTTCCACAAAGAACAATGGCGCTTCTTCGTGGAATCCTCGTTTCTGGGGGCCTTCAGACCGGTTGGTAAAAAAGCTAATTTGGGTGATGAGGTCTTGCTCTGTGGCGATATCATTACGTATATCTATATTCAAGCCTTTGCATATGCAGGCAGTGCTTAGTAATAGAATTGCAGTGGTTAACATCTCGTCAAAAGGATAAATCAGTTTTAAACTTTTGATTTTAGCTGCGAAAAACCACAAACGCAAAACAACGAGGGCGGGGCTACGTGCAGGACCAGGGAAAAGATTCGTTATCAGCATTAAAACTACAAAAACATTAATGTGGTTATTGTTAGGTACTCATCCGAGCCGTTACTTGCACCTGTGTCACAACACTCGTGGGACTGTCCTTTGCATCTGAAATGCTGTGGTTGGTCGTGGACTTGGTCAATTTACCCAATTCGACGTTGGTGACGTTTTGGTTATTTGACAAAGGAATGAATGGTTTGGTATCGTCATGGAGGTTCAAGTTCAGCAAAGAGCTCACGAGATCAAGGCTGTCTCTTGAGGTAAGGTTTGATTTGAAAAAATTATGAAGATTTCTGACGGCTGCTTCATTATCTAAAAGAAGGGCTGATTCAAAGTAACCCGGGCGAGAATCATCAATTTTGAAGTTGTTTTTGGACTTAATCCCGTTGATTAAATTGAAAAGATCGATCCGGAAACTTTTGGGAAGCTTGTTGTTGTTGAGATAGACGTTGTTGAACTGGTCATTAATTTGGATGAACAAGTACAATATAGGTTTGAGGGACTTGGTAGAGTCGAGGTTATTCTTCCGCAAATCGATCTTCTGAAGCGACTGGAGGTGTTGAAGGCCTTCGAGGCTCTTGAGCTTGTTGTTGTTGAAATTAAGAGTCGTAAGGTGTTTGAGGTTTCTGGGTAAATTTTGGAGATTAGTGATGTAGTTCTCAGCAAAATTGATATACTTGACATTTATGAGCTGATCTAACCCTTCGGGAATCGACTCAAGAAGGTTATTTGAAAGGTTAAGCTTGACCAAGTTGGCCAACGGCCGAAACGCAAACAGCGGAATCGAGGTGATGGATGTATCCATCACACTCAATTGGCGCAAAAGAGACCATTTGGAATCACCCAATTGGTGTTCCTGGACATCTTGAAGCGCTGTTGGTGATCTAGTAAGGGTCGGATTGCCATTACTGTGATAGCCGCTCAAAGATGTATATGTGCTGTTGATCGATGGATTGGCATTAAACGCAGGCGTCATTGATGTATAGGTGGATGTTGTGGAGGAAGAAGTGTAGGATCGGTGGCGTGTATGTGTAGAATGGCCCGGTTGTTTGAATACACTATTGGTCCCGGGAAGTAATTCGTGATAGTCGTCATGGGTATTATTGTCGTAAGTTCTTGAACGGGATCCGGCTTTGATGGGATTAAATGCACTTCTGCCAGTTTCATCTTCGATGACAAGATTGAAGAGAAATTCAGTAATGTCACTGATCTTCGACCCTTTCAAAACAAGAATCCGTAGTTGATCACTCAAAATATGCCATCCAAATATCTCATTCGGATCGTAGTCGATGATCTCAAGTACTTGAAGGTTCTTGAACATTCTTATCGGAACAGAAGTATCACATGGATATTCTTCGTACCCAGAGATGGAATTTATCTTTGTCTTGGGAGTAATGATCAAGCACGGAAGTTTGGTAAATGAAGAATACAAATACTTGATATCCTTAACAATAACCTTTGGATCCTTGGACATATTACCATTTAAATTACGCCAGTATACCGAGGCAGTGGAAACTATTGATTTCATGGAGCTTATGGAGGTGATAGACCTGGCATCGCTGTCGAAGTGTTTGGAAGAACGGGCATTGTTCGCCATAAACGAAATGAACGTAGGTTCGTGGTTTGGATTATCAAGCCTTATATTCAAAGGACCAATATCCACACCCAACGAAGAATTCTCGATCTTTTCGAGAAGGTAATATAGGTGGTGAAGACTTATACTCAAACGTGAGGGTTTGATCCTATGAGCGTTGGCACTTTTACTTTTGGAAAACATCAATAGCCCATTGGCAAGGTTCTCTTCGTTACGCTTGATATAACTGGATAATTTTTGGACATAAACATCCCCTTCAATTACCCCATCGCCATGTGAAAACGTCCCCATTGTTATTCAAGGATGGTGAGCTAGACAAGCAAAGGTTGTATAAGAGGGTTGTTGACTGGATATAACTTAGTTGATTAAACAGCTAGAGACTATAATTATAAATCCAAACAATTAATGTTTTCATTTCGCGCGCTTTCAGCCTCGTGACATTTTGGATAGGCGAAAGCGATGATACGTAAGCGTATCAACAAAGCAAAGCCCAACAGTCTAGTTGGACTTGGTAACACTTTGTTGCAGGTCGTGATCGTGATCGTGATCGTTAAAGCTATTGGCATAAGCTGAGTTGTTTGTAGTGGTGACCGGCTGGCCTGAGATCCGCTCCATGATGGACGCCGGTGCTATTCCCGCCGTCAGCGAGTTGGTCTCGAGCGACCGCCGCCGTACTCGCCGGGTCGAGCTGGCCAACGTAACAATGCTTTCGCTGTCGCGATCCCGTACCTCGTTGGTGGTGGGAACGCTAGCGGCAAGACTGTCTCTATTTATGGTTAATGGGTTCAAATGGGTACCAGTCCAATGACTTCCACTCGACGGAGCTATCGATGTTTCGGCCGTGCTCGCATCAAGACTGGTGGTATCATGGTTCATGTCGCCACTTAGCACCGATGGTGACTTTGTGGATGGTGCCGATACCATTGATTTGAGGGGAGTAGTGCTGATGTTATCTGAGTTTTCGGTAGCCTGGTCGCTCACGTACGACCCACTGCGTACATACAAGGCCCGACGTGTGTTCTCTGTTTCCGTATCGCTGTAGTAGTGGCCTTCTTGGTCGTCTTCTTCACTGTTGAAAGAAGCGGCCTGACTGCCTCTGGTGGGATGGGATGAGGGCCGACTTTTAGCCCTCGACCCCTGAGGCGTCCGCAGTGGGGCGAGATACGCGGCGCCATACGTGCCGCCGCGGGCCGTTAAATTGGGAGCCATCAATTGTCCTTGCTGTCGATGTTGACCTTGCATTAGTCTTCTGACCCACGAGAACCTTCCTCTGGGGTGCCTGCGATCAAGGTTTTCTAAAGGTCATTAGTATAGGCTAAAGGGATGTGATACGTGGTATGTGTCTCACAGATATGTTATACGTACCCAAAGGCAGCGGTTGGCTCATATTGTGTAAAAATAATTAGTATTTAGAAGGAGTGAAAATGAGTAAGTGGGAATATGTTTTAAATTTTATGCGCTCTTATGCAGCGCATCAGGGAAAAAAAAATCTCCGCGACGGGGAATTGAACCCCGGTCCCCCGCGCGACAAGCGGGGATTCTAGCCACTAAACTATCACGGATGTGTTTTTGAATTTAAACGAGCAACAGAATGAGGACTTGGTGTTTATGTTGTGCACGACCCTGTATCTTTTAGTGTCACTTCCTCCAAACTAAAGAATCGAATTCGTTGCTGTTTCATAAACTTGTGTAAATAACCTATCTCGGGCCAATTAATCATTATATGTAGCCAGTCCCGCATCCTTTTAATATCTTTTGCAATCTATATTATTCTGCTCTACTTTCATCTCATCTCCTTTCAGTTTTTCTGACTTCATATATTTGCAGTAATCTTTTCATTTTCGCGAGAATAGAAAAATTTTCACAACTAATTTCGCCGTTCATTATCCTTACAAGCTAAAAAAAGCACCAACTGCCAGTAGATGCTATCAGTAAGTAAAAACAAGCTCCGCGACGGGGAATTGAACCCCGGTCCCCCGCGCGACAAGCGGGGATTCTAGCCACTAAACTATCACGGATTTTCTTGGATACTCTGTGTTGATGTAAACGTCAACTCGTACAGGCCTGTCTTTAAAAAGATGTTCCATTTTATTCCCTCTAGTTCTTATTTCATTCTTTTAAAAGTAACTGTAGTGTTGAAGTGTTGTAGAGGGACCTAATTGAGGCATTTGTGCGAAAATTTCACATTAAAAGATTTTTCGTAGCATATATATTTAGCATTTTTGCACTCTTATAGTAAACCCACCATCCCAGCAGCTACGGCCAACCCAATAGGTATTTTAAAAGCTTTGTAGGCCCCATCAGATGACGTGGTCTCGTCCTTCTTGTTAATTCCACTCACGGCCAATCGGCTGCTGTACCAGTCCAACTTGGTTGCAAAGTGTTCTACCGATGTGATGGGAAAGTCGGCAGCTCTCAACAAAGTGGTATAGTCATCATTGCTGTAAGATCCCAACTCATCCACGAGTGATCCAAAGTATTTGGGGATGTTGATTCCAGCTGTTCTCAGAAACATGAAATAGGCAGCCCCATGGTTGCTAACATCACTAACCAATTTCGTAAGGAACTCTACGTCCAAGGAATTGACACTAACGGTAGACTCGGAAGAAGTTGCAGTGGTGTGGTCTGCTGAGGCGAACGACGTGAGAGCCAATAATAATGTCGAAAAGGCCAATCTCATCCTGGTGAAGGTTGTTTATCAAAATAAGTGATATCGCGCACTGGGATCTTCGGCTTCTTCAAAAACTAACTGTTGCACAAAGAGACATGGTCGGTTTAAATCCTCGAGATCCAAATAATTCCTCACTGACAGTACTTCGTCAAAACTAACCTAAAATTATCTCTATGCTCAACAGGCTCTTTCTTCATACCTGAACTCTTTGTTTCATTTTCAAATGGGTAAATTCTCAGTAGAATACAAGGTACATACATTACACCATCATCTAGCCCAGTTCCAGGTACTGTGAAGGTATGTGAATACTATAAAATAGGAATCGGGATTAACAGTTTAGACTGTGTGTTCAGAGGATTAGCAAAACGAAGCATATATCATATATAAAACTAAACCAACGCATACCCAAGAGTCTACAAGCTCCAGAACAGAGTCAAGTTCTGACCAGCCCCATTGAAAGCCAAGATGTTTGGACTTTGAGCATCTTCAATATTCTGAATTATGCCCTTGGTACCATACTTGATCACCTTTTGTTTCAAATCAGCAGGCGCTAACAATCCCTTAGAGAATTCGGAATTGATATCTGGTTGTAACGATAAGTAGTAGGCTAATAATCCGGCTACTTGAGGCGACGCCATCGACGTACCAGACATCGTGGTGGTTCCGCCAAAAATATAGGTCGATAAGATATCTTCACCAGGAGCAAAGATATCAACACATCCACCCCAGTTGGAGAAGCTAGCACGAGAGTCTTGGATGTTGGTGGCACCCACGGTGATTGGCCCAGTGGCTCTGGCAGGAGAGTATTCACAAGCATCAGCATTGTCGTTACCAGCAGCAACAGCAATGTGCAACCCAGCATTTGTGGCAGCATTAATAGCCATGTCCAAAGAATCCAGACTGGAACCTCCTAAAGACATGTTGATAACCGAGCCTTTGAACCCCTTTTTCATCGAGCTGACCTTCTCGTTGTGGTCATTAACAACGAATTCAATACCCTTGATGATATCCGATGTTAATCCACTTCCCAATAAGTTCATCACTGAAACCGCTACAAGATTCACCTTTTTGGCCACCCCATACGTCTTGGAACCAATGATACCAGCACAATGGGTACCGTGTCCATTTCCATCGAGCTTTAGTTTAGGGAAAGCAACCGATTCTCCCCAGGTGGCTCTACCTTCAAACTCTTCAAGGTCCGTTTTGATACCAGTATCAATGACGTAGGCAGTTACACCTTCACCACCGTCGTTATCGAACTGGTACTTGGCATCGGCGAAAACTTCACGCTGACTTAACCTGGCAAGACCCCAAGGAGCATCTTTTTGAACATCGTATTCGTTCATCTTCACCTTAGTGTCCTTCTCAATGTAGTCAATAGCATCGTCGGCTTGAAGCACCTTAACCAACTCTTCGTTTAAGTATCCGTAGTAGCCTCTAAACACGTCGTTGATGTTGAAAAAGTCCAATTCAGACGTCTTCAACTGGAGTTTCAAGATAGCAGACGTAGGTTTCTTGTCAGGAGATTCGGCCCACAAGGACTTGACTATTGCTTCACGCTCATTGAGAACCCAGGACTTGTGGGTCTCAACATCATCAGCACTAACATGTTTCTTGAAAACAATAATGTATCTATCGGGAATGATATCTTCAAGCTTCTCTTCATTCACAATAGGAGCCAAGGGTCTTGCGGTTTCAGGAGTCAATTTGACCAGATCAGAGAGTTTGAAAATAGGTTGCAAAAACTTGGCAGCAGCATCATTGGCGATGTTATCTTTAAGTATAGCGGCAGTGGTGGTTCCAGCAAGAACTAATGGTACTAAAGTAGATAACTTCATAACTGGTTAGATAAGATAATCAGTCTTTGCTCCCTATTTTCGGTGCGCGCGGAGCCTCCGCATGACGAATTACACAGTGAGCACACGACCGATTGGCGTGCCACAGAGAAAAGATACTGTATCAATGAGTATAATCAACTGTTGAGAGTGAATGAATTGTCAGGTGAAATCTGATGAGTTCGCATAGTATATGCTTGTTTAGTGAAACAAATTAGTCATATAAATGGCGGAAAGTGACCACTAAAATCTTATGACTAGGTTCGACTGTTCAATTCTCCAATAAGTACACCGTTGTTTGCATTCTACTTTATCGTATTCTGGGCAAACCAAGTCACTCACTGTAGCCTTTCAGTATGAAAGGCAATAAATGTTTTAACTTCGGTTTCAACCTCAAGGAAGAATCTAATCCGTTTTTTTGTCCGGGTCATTTCCATCTCTGAACTCCGTTTTATACCAAGGGTTTATCTTCCAAGAAAAATGAAGAATTAAAACCGTGTTCGATTATTCGATCATCAGCAACTAGGTCATAACTTCTTGGTCGTCGTTGAATAGAGGGCTAAGATGATAACCCAAGGATCTATATTGGAACAAACATCTACTTCAGGTGGTGTAAATTGTCTCACATTTGTTGCGCTTTTGGGAAGACTCCCACGTTATTCGCTGTTCTACGGTGCCGGATATTTGTACCGTTAACCTGGAAAACTTGCGTTATGGTTTTTCCAGTATTAAACCCGTTTTGAGCAAGGGTTGCAAACATTTCACGTCATAACGCGATAAGTTCCAAGACACATACACGGTCCAATCCGCTTCCGCATCACCGAATTTATGTTTTTCTACTGAGCTTGTGGTTCACTTTCGTTGCCAAGCCCCTAGCTAACAAGTAATACCTGTAGCACAAAAAACAAGTTCTCCAGTGTGAATTTCGGGGTACTTGGTGAGATATAGTCAATGATACTTTTCCCATACACTATTTCTGCAACACTAGTATTTGTCCAGGATTATATGAAATGATAGCAGCATTTCCTAAATCTTGGTCGAAATCAAAAACGTCCGGCATTTTGTCCTTTCTTACTTCTACAACAGCATCATATAATACTCTAATGAGATTGTTTCAGATCCACTCAAATTGGAAGACCAATTGTCTCCTGTTCCTGAGGGGTCTCGGCTGTGCCTTTGGGGGTGTTACGTTTCCCAAAGTTGGTGACGTTTATAAAAAAAGACTTGGTTTGGTGATATTGATGGTTATCTATGCTATGGAAATCATCGTGAAAATCATCGTGAAAATCATCTCTTCTACAAAATGGTACCAAATAGCCATTGAAAGAGTTATTACTGGATTGGCAGTTGGATGTGTGACTATGTCTTCTCCTCTATTCTTCAGGGAAAGTGCCCCAAAAGATCATAGGAACATTGGTTTGCTGTTTTCAGTTGTCCATTACTTTTGGATCATTCTGGGTTATTGTACCACATATGGAATAAAGTCTGCTTACTCAAACTCGAGACACGGGAGAACTTCTTTGGCATTGTGTTTAGCCTGGGCCATTCTCTCGACCATTGATATGATTTCCAAGCCTGAATCCTTACGGTATTTGGTTGAAAAGAGTAATATCGAAGAAGCCAAAGCATCTATTGCCAATTCTAGCATCGTTTATTTGGTATTTTGGTTGTTCTTTGTGTACTTTTTTGTACACCAAACCAAAGGCTTGTCTCTGGACAAGGTCGATGAGTACATCTCATCGAGCGTCAAACCATGGAATTCTGGCAGTTGGATCCCTCCTCTGAAAGACGACATGACAGCCCCTAGCCAGAAGAGAACCTTCAAGAGCGGGTGCTAGAGTAAGTAGCGAAAAATTTAAATCTCAGTAGAATATTTCGCAACCTACAAATCCCAGGCGCGGCAGGGCACAAACCTAAATGGCTGCAAACAAGCAATATGCGATATCGCCAAAAACAAAAAAACAAGTCGATTAAAGCTACTAACAAAACATTACACACTAGCAAAAAGGAAAGGTGGAGGCTCAACTCAAATTAATTGACTTAGAGCAAAGCAACAACGGCAGCCAAACCAGCAATAACTGACACACCCTTGATACCAGCAGCACCTGACTGGGTAGCAACAGATGGTTCAGCGGAGGCGACAGAAGAAGCGGGGGCAGAAGAAGCAGGGGCAGAAGATTCATCATCATCATCATCATCGTCATCACCTTCATTAGCAGCAGAAGAAGCAGCAGAAGAAGCAGCAACAGCAGTGTTTTCTTCGGTGCTTGGAGCTGAAGTTGTGACTCCAGTGGTGGCGGCAGCGGAAGTAGCTTCTTCTGTGGTGGCTGGAGGAGAAGAAGTGGTGGCGGCAGCAGCAGAAGATTCAGCAGTGGTGGTGGCACCTCCTCGGGAAGCTGCAGAAATTAAAGCTGCAGAAGCTGAGTCTGGAAGAAACAAGTATGGTGAAGGCACACCAGCAGAGGAACAAAGAGAAGTGGCCAAGGAAGTAAAAGTACCGACTTCACTGCCAGCACAGGCAGAGGCAACACAGTCAGCGACTTCACCACTCCAGTTGGTTATGACACACAAACATCCGGTATCCCAGTATGGACATGGAGTAATACCAGTATCTTGCTTAACACATGCTTGGGCACAGCTTGGCAAGTCAGCGTAGATCCTGTCGGCGAAACCATTGATGGAGGCAGTATGAGGAACACTTGGGAATGTGGCGTATGGATTGGTGGTAGATGCACCCAAAGCGATAGTAGCGGCAGCTAATGAAAAAATAACCTTGTTAGAAAACATAGCGAATGGAATTATTGAAGGGGATTGAGAAGATATTCTCATTGGGCTGGGGGATTGTCGCTTTTATAACAATTTTATCTACCTGAAGCTAATACCAAATATGGTACAACCTTGACTAGAAGCAGGACCAGTGTCTATGCACTCAGCTAGATAGTTTTTTAAAAAAATGCCGTTTAGGAAATAGTAAAATACCTTGTTCCTACACCGATATTCGGGTCAAGCTAGAGGGTCAGGCTGCAACTGAAAAAATACAATTTTTTTATTGAGCTTCATGCATTATGCACAAAGTTGAAAAAGATAAAATCACCTCGAGATGGCTACCAACGCTCGAAATCTAAATGTCAACAACATCCTTTTGTCCTCAATTTTTAGCCAACGAGAGACTACAATCTATATATACATATGCTATAAGGTTTACTGTCAATACCCACTCTAGGCAAGTCAACACTCTCTAATGTAAATATAAGTAATCTTACAAAGGATAATTACCAGCGAATTCGGCGCCAAGAACAAAGCGATCCTGAGTGCGGAGTTATCGGACAGCCGAACGGGTTTTCGATAACTCCAGAGGTTCTCCGACCCTGGCAAATTCGCCTAATATTACTTGAGTACAACCTTGTATATTGAAGCATTTAAGTCTTACATGAGGATAGCGAATAGGGAGCCTAAAATAATCATAAATAAGCTTCCCGTAACTTTAATTTCCATGGCACCATCTCTAGAGGAGGAAGAGCTAGATGTGCCAGAGCTAGAAGCAGAACTAGAACCTGAACTAGAGTCCGAATCGGATGAAGTATTGTTTCCAGTAGCTTCGGCTTCAGCTTCAGCTTCTGAAGTAATACTGCTGCTAGATTGGACTTCGACAGAGATCCCCAACGACCCCAACAAAGAGTTGAATGCAGTTTCAGTAGGAGAAGGAACAGCTTCATTGTATACACCGGCAGCAGCAGTCAATGCAGCAGTAATCGAAGAAGGCATTAACCAAAGATTGGCACCAACAGAAGAACATAAGGAGTAGGCCAAAGAGGTAGCACTAACGACATCTTCACCTTCACAGTCTGCAGCAATACACTGACCGACCAAGCCAGACCATTGTGGCATCACACACAAACAACCGGTATCCCAGTATGGACATGGGGTGTTACCAACAGATACCTTAACACAGTCTTTGGCACAAGATGGTAATTCTGAATATATGGGATCAGCGAATCCGTTAATGGAAGCTGTCTTAGGAACCTGAGGATAAGTGTCCCAGTTTGAAGCAGTAATGACGGATGACAAGTATAAAATCAACAAACCAAATTGCATAATGTAGTAGGTATGGGAAATTCTTAGAGTATTTTTTTGAATTTATTACCAGCTAGTTGGTTAAATATGATTTGAGAGATGAGGCAACTGTAAAATGGTTGTAAATCAAACGACCTCTCACGGGTCGGAAATACCGTACTAATTTAATGTAGGAGAACACAAAACCATTGTGATCAACATGTGCACTTTAATATACGGATGCAGCCTATCAATGAAAATAGCGAAAAAGGACACCAGGGCACTAAATGGGGATTTTATGCAAACTTCAACAAGTTGGTGGCTGAGCTGCTCTCACACTTGTTTGTGTATAAAGGCTATTGGTGGGATACTTCACCTGGGCTCGGAGGAGGCCATATTACAATTTCACTCAACTGATTGAAAAGATAATACCTTCAGCTTATGAATGCACTAGGCGCATTTATTGCCAAGCGAATAATTTTTCTTTGGGTTCGGCTTTTTACTGCAACTTGGGGTAAGTCGCTTATACAGGATACCGCCAGCCCACTTTCGGGAACCCTTAAAGCTCAGCAGCCATTCAACTGAGGAATCAACAGTTTCCATTTAAGTCGATGGCATAGTTATTTTTTTCAAGGGTTTTTATTTCTTATAAAGAACCCACCTAAAGCACATATTTCCTGGGCTCTAAAAAAATGGCTGACCCTGTTCCATTTTACTTACAGCCGTATGTGGAGAATGATAGGAATGAAAAGTTCCAGTGGTTAACGTATGGTGTCGTGTTAATAGCCTTTGGTCTTCACGGAATAATTTTCCACTGGATCCCGATATACTTGAGAAAACAACGATCCGAATCCTCCAACATCACCCCAAGATACTTTACTTTCTTGAGAGGGTGGGAGCTACTCAATGTTTCCCACAAGTTCACCATTCCTTTATTGGGGTCTTTCTACATCCAGCCAAGCATGTTCCTTTTATTTGCAGCCTACTTGGCAATTATGGGTGTATTCTCTATGTCACAAGTGAGCGACATAACTTACCTTCCTCGATTATATGTTGTTGCAAAGAGAATCAGTAAAGTGTCACTTTCGAACTTGCCTTTAATTTACGTCATGATCATCAAAAATGATTTGGTGACCTCCCTCACTGGGATCAAACATGATAAATTATTGTTCTTCCACAAATGGTTCTCCAGAACCATGTTTACGATGATCTCCATTCATGTGGTGCTTGCTTCAAGATACTGGTTGCATTTGGGATTCCCCGTCATGTTGGTTATCCCTCCTCAAATCTTCGGTTTTATTGCCTTTGGATCATTTTTCTTATTGAACTTCGCCAGTTTCAAGTTTATTCGGAGGTGGGCCTACGACTTCTTCTTGGTTCAACACAGAGTATTCTCATTCATTATGTTGTTGTTTGTTCTTTTCCACAACTCTACTAACACCACTGGCGCAGTTGTGTTGTCTGTCCATCAGTTGGTTATCGACAATATACTATGTCGTATCATCGCCTTTGTACATACAAGACAGTCTCCTACCAAAGGAAAGTCCACTTTTGAGATCTTGGATGAAGATACAGTGTTGGTTACGGTCAAGTTGAATGCTTTCCCATACCTGGAGATGAAATGGTGGAGAAGGTTCTTGCCAAAATGGAATACTTGGAAAGCGGGTCAACACGTATACTTGACGGTACCTAAGGTCAAGTGGTTTCAGAAGCATCCTTTCACCATCGCCAGTATCAGTGAGAGTGGTGAAATGAAATTCGTTATTCGCGTGCAAAAGGGTTTCACCAAGAAGTTGAGAAATAAGATTCTTAGGTTACAAGAACAACAGAAACAAGAAAGACATCAGTATAGAGAACCCTCACCCGCTGGATCTGACATAACTTCCAGCTCCATTAACGTAGAGACTGAGCTATTGCCTGCCACCAGGAGAATTGGGTTGGCTTCTAAGGGGATATTTGGGTCTATTGGAGCATTTGTTTCTAAAATCAATCCTTTCAGCAAGGGCGCCCCAGCAGTAGATCATGAGAAGAACGAAGAAAATGAAGACGATGATGTGGTTTTGAAGGCCACTTTTGCAGGTCCTTTTGGGGCCCAATATCAGCCCTTAATCACCTTTGATTCTGTTCTTTTCTTTGGTGCTGGTTCAGGTGCTGCCTTCTCATTTCCGGTTTGTCTTGATTTGTTGAACACTATCCAAAGAAGAAATAGCGTTCATGACTACTTCGGTAGAAACCCTCTGCCCCTTATCAAATTGGTATGGGCTATCAAGAAGAGTGCCAACGTTTGCTGGTTCCGCTTCGTCCTTGATGAATTGGCCCAATATTGTCAAGAAGGTCTTCTTTCCATTGACGTATATGTCACTCAAGAAAAAGATAGAGAACTCTACGATATTAGCGAAGGTTCTTCCTCAGAGTCTTATTCCCAATATGAACCTCATCCTCAAGAAGAAACTGATACGAACAAGTCTACAGATAAGGAAGAAGATCAAGGTATCCTGGTCTCACAAACCGGGTCTTCGGTTACCATTTATGACGTCCCCAATGTGAAGTTCCATTATTCTCGACCTAACATAGACGGAGTGATAAAGCACCATGTGGATCACTTGAAGGATGGTACGAATTTCAGATCAATGGCGGTGGTGAGTTGCGGACCTCTTGCTTTCAACCACACCATTGAAAAGGAATGCCAAAAACAAAGATGGGATATGGAAGCCCCTGATATTTATTGTTATACTGAATCATTTGGTTAGTTTAGATGTACATAATTATTTATTGGATTTTATCACAGCAGTCCTATTATGGAGGTATTCTACTTACAGCCACCTAATTCGCAGTCGCGGCAATAGAACCAGCATAAAATACATATTTACCAACATAAGTGAGTTTTCAATTCAAACACCTATATAAGTATAAAGTCTAACACTTAAGCCATATTTTGGCACGAACTTTCAAGACCAAGCAGCCAGATTAGAAGAAGAACCCAATGAAAGAAACAACCAAGACCATGAAAGTGACAGGTTTGGACGCAGCGGCTTGGCCTTCGAAAGTCGAAACCGCACCAGCACTTTCTGCAGCAACGGTCTGTTTGGCACCAGAGGTGGCACCAGAGGTGGTACCAGAGGTGGTACCAGAAGTAGCTCTGGCTGGGGTGGTGGTCTCAGTAATTGGGCAGTAAGTGGTGTAAGTGGTGGTTTCTTCAGTGACAACGGTGACTCCAGTGGTGACAGGAACTTCACTACACTTGTTTTCAGTACATGATGTCACAGTGATAACTGTAGTTTTGTAGTCACCATATGTAGAAGTGTAAGTGGTTGGATTACCGCTAGCATCGGTAGTAACAAACACTTCGCAGCTGGTGGTTACAGTGATGGTGTCAGTCAAGGTGGTGGTGACAGTAGTGTATGTGCTTGGGTAGTGCGAGCAAATGGCACAGACAGTTTCAGTTTCAGTTGTGGTCTCAGACTTGGTGGCGGTCCCGTTACCGTAGAAACCGCTTGAAGGTGTTACAACATCTGATGATACAACAGCAGCGGATGATGCAACAGCAGCAGAAGTAATAGCAGCCGCAGAAGATACGACGGTCTCAGAAGTAATAGCAGCCGCAGAAGATACGACGGTCTTAGAAGAAGATGTGGCTTCAGAGGAAGATTCAGCCTCATCGGTGATGGCAGCAGCAGCAGCAGCCAAATTAGCAGCAGCAGCAGTACCAATATACCAGGATGGATCATCAAGACCCGCAGATGAGCAGATACTTGTAGCCAAGGAAGTCATAGACACGACATCAGAACCACTGCAAGATGAAGCCACACACTCAGCTATTAAATTAGCAAAATTAGACATTACACACAAACATCCTGTATCCCAATATGGACATGGGGTAATGCTAGTGTCCTGCTTAACACACGGTTGAGCACAGCTTGGCAATTCATCGTAGATCTTGTCCGCAAAACCGTTGATGGAAGCAGTTCTAGCCACGGTTGGGTAAGTGGCGTATGGGTTGGTTGTTGAGGAGGTTGCGTCTGGAGCGGAAGTAACCCCAGAAGAAGATGCAGCAGCAACGGTGGTTGCAACTGCAAATAAAAGACTTAAGTTTTTAACCCACATGATAACGAGTGACTGAGTTTGAAGCTATTTTTTGACTTTCAAAAGATCTAACCAGATCAAAAATGGGCTAACCCAGGACTATATGTACTTGAAGCTGATTGCATAGCGACCAGTAAACATGGAAATGTACTAAAAAATATTTATGCATAAGGCAGGATGATCTGTTCCTCTTGAGTCGGTTTGTAGCTGGATGTTTCCAAAAAGAACGCAGGTAATCTCTAGGATTGTGTGCTTCACGTATAATCATTAGATTCAAAATCGTCAAGGTAAAGATTGAATTGCAAAATAAAAAATATTCTGCCTTTTAGCGAGCGTTTGCAAATGCAAACCTCCGAATTAGCCAGTGATATACCAATAAAAATGCGTCTCATGCATAAGCATAATTGCCAAGATGGAATCTCAGCGGGGGAGCTGATGAAGCAGATAATTTAAGGTATACCAGCCTGCCGTTTTGGTAGCCTGAATATTGTTTTAAGAAATAAGACTCTAATCCGAGGCGGCTTTGTGAAACCGGCTTCCCTAGGATGAAACGATATGTCCGCAGCCAATGGAATTTTTTTCCTTGTCTGTAGACACACCTAATTACCCTGGTGCATTATTCATTTTGAGCGGCTGGCTTTTACGAAGTCTAGACAATAGTTTTAATGCACTAACATGAGACTGCTTACAATAAAAATTCCAATAAGAGCAGCGCTTATAGTTGAATTTTGATACTCTATTTTACTGGGTTCTAATGGGTCAATTATGCTTCTAATTTTTACCGGTATTGTACAAAGAGAAAAACAAGTATTTAAGTAGCAAGGAAGGTAGATGACATGTAGGCAGCGACAGCGATGAATCCGAGAGCAATAACAGATAAAATTTTGAAAGAAACCATTTCTAAAGGTTGAAGAGTGAAACTGAAAATCCCACGCAACCAAAACTTAGACTGCCTCTGATGCTTATTGTTCATATTTGAGAAGTTTTCGTTCCTTGATCTGATGGATTGGGTCAGAACTTTCTGACCGAAATTGCAAAAGGGCCGTAAAAGGCCGACCCTTGTTGCACGAATTAATTCTCATTCGCGGCCGCAACAACACCATAAACTACATAAACTACACGTTTACCAACATTTCTCTTAATTCATACACTTAGATTAAAACAAAATATAAAAGCCACGCTTTGGCACGAACCTTCAAGACTAAATAGCCAGATTAGAAGAAGAACCCAACCAAAGAAACAACCAAGACCATGAAAGTGGCAGATCTGGATATCGCGGCTTGGCCCTCGAAAGTCGAAATACCACCAGTACTTCCAGCAGCAACGGTCTGCTTGGCACCAGATACAGTGCTAACAGAGTTAGTGCCAGCAGCAGCTCTGGCTGGGGTGGTGGTCTCAGTAATTGGGCAGTAAGTGGTGTAAGTGGTGGTTTCTTCAGTGACAACGGTGACTCCAGTGGTGACAGGAACTTCACTACACTTGTTTTCAGTACATGATGTCACAGTGATAACTGTAGTTTTGTAGCCACCATCCGTAGAAGTGTAAGTGGTTGGATTACCGCTAGCATCGGTAGTAACAAACACTCCATAGCTCGTGGTTACAGGAACCTCACTACACTTGTTTTCAGTACATGATGTCACAGTGATAACTGTAGTTTTGTAGTCACCATATGTAGAAGTGTAAGTGGTTGGATTACCGCTAGCATCGGTAGTAACAAACACTTCGCAGCTGGTGGTTACAGTGATGGTGTCAGTCAAGGTGGTGGTGACAGTAGTGTATGTGCTTGGGTAGTGCGAGCAAATGGCACAGACAGTTTCAGTTTCAGTTGTGGTCTCAGACTTGGTGGCGGTTCCGTTACCGTAGAAACCGCTTGAAAGTGCAGCTGCAGCAGAAGATACACCAGATTCAGAAGGCACACCAGGTGTAGAAGATACACCAGATGCTGCAGAAGATACACCAGATGCTGCAGAAGATACACCAGATGCTGCAGAAGATACACCAGATGCTGCAGAAGATACACCAGATGCTGCAGAAGATACACTAGATTCTGCAGAAGATACACCAGTTGCAGAAGGCACTCCAGGTGTAGAAGATACAACAGGTGTAGAGGAAGATTCAGCCTCATCGGTGATGGCAGCAGCAGCAGCCAAATCAGCAGCAGCAGCAGTACCAACAAACCAGGATGGAGCTCCAAGACCTGCAGATGAGCAGATACTTTTAGCCAAGGAAGTCATAGACACAACATCAGAACCCCTACAAGATGAAGCCACACACTCAGCGATCAAATCAGGGAATGGGGCCAAAATACATAAACATCCAGTATCCCAATATGGACATGGGGTAACGCCGGTGTCCTGTTTAACACATGGTTGAGCACAACTTGGTAACCTGCCGTAAATCTTGTCTGCAAAACCGTTGATGGAAGCAGTTCTAGCCACAGTTGGGTAAGTGGCCCATGGGTTGGTGGTTGAGGTGGTTACATCTGGAGGCGTAGTAACTCCAGAAGAGGCAGTAGAAACGATGGTTGAGTCGGGAGTGGAAGCAACTGCAGAAGAAGTAACCACAGAAGAAGCAGCCTCGGAAGAAGACTGAGGTGCATTCGTGTTAGCAGCGGCTGCCGCCAAAGCAGCAGAAGCATTTGGACCAATAAACCATGATGGAGTGTTAATGCCTGCGGAAGAGCAAAGACTTGTAGCCAAGGAAGTCATTGACACGACATCGGAACCCCTACAAGATGAAGCCACACACTCAGCTACCAAATCACCGAAATTAGACATGATACACAAACATCTCGTATTCCAGTATGCACATGGTGTAACACTGGTATTTGCTCTTACACATTGTTGAGCACAGCTTGGCAATTCATCATAAATCTTGTCTGCAAAACCGTTGATGGAAGCAGTATGGGCAAGGCTAGGTAGAGGGGTGGTTGAAGTGGTTGTATCTGGGGCTGCAGTAACCCCCGAAGGAGATACAGTAGCAACGGTAGTTGCATTGGAAGTGGGGGTGATCCCTGAAGATGTAGCAGCAACGGTGGTTGCAACTGCAAATAAAAGACTTAAGTTTTTAACCCACATAATAACGAGAGACTGAGCTTGAAGCTATGGTTTGAAGCTATCGTTTAACTTTCAAAAGATCTAACCAGTTCAAAAATGGGCTAACCCAGGACTATATGTACTTGAAGCTGATTGCATAGCGACCAGTAAACATGGAAATGTACTAAAAAATATTTATGCATAAGGCAGGATGACTGTTCCTCTTGAGTTAATTTTAAGCTTAATCTTTCCAAAAGGATACCAGTAAACACTTGTATTGTTTACCTCATGTATAACTATAAGACTAATAATGGTCAAGTTAAAGGTTGAATTGCAAAAGTTAAAAATACTGTCCTCTTGGAAACGTTCGCAATTGCGGACCTCCGAATTAGCCAGTGATATATAAATAAAAATGCGTCTCGTGCTTAGGCATTGTTGCCAAGATAGAATCTTAGAGGAAGAGCTGAAGAGGTAGATAATTTAAGGTATACCAACATGCTATCTTAGAAGCCTAAATATTCTTTTAAGAAATAAGACTTTAATCCGAGGCGGCTTTGTGACACCGGCTTCCCTAGGATGAGACGTTATGTCCGCAGCCAATGTTTTTTTTTTTTCGTTGTCTGCATACGCACCTAATTACCCTGGTGCTGCTAAATAGTAGTGGATTGTTCAGTTTAAACAGCTGACTTTTATGACAATAGTTTTGATGCACTGCCAGACCTAGCCGGATGCAAAAATATCAAAAACAAATTAACCTTGTATTATCGCACTTTACCTGTGTCCATATATCTGAAATAGTGGATGAGGTCCGGAGATGATCTAAACCATTAGATGGCCCCCATCAATGCTTCTAGTTGGGAAGTTTCTAATTTTGTAATTTCGTGAAATCTTCAATCCCTCTCAGGCGGGGGCCCACATATAGTGAGAAAAGTTTTTTTCCATCCAAAGAACATCTGTACTACTATGAAGGTGTTTGTGTTGTCCATAATACTAGGACTACGACTCCACTCGGTGTTTTGTTTGCAGTATATATGTGGGGTTGATAACTACCAGCAGCTGGTTGATTCTGAGCGTTCTGTGCAAACCGATAACTACTATCCCAGAACCATCGTACCCACCAACAGTAATATTCCAGTCACTTTGGGAATCAATAACTATTTGTACAAGGACCCAGCAGATGATGCTAGCTTGGTATTCCATGAGATAGACGTCAAGGTCATCGATAGCTATTTCGATTCACTTTATGTGGCATACCCTGCGGTGGTGAAAGGAGATGCTAATTCAGTGTTCTACTCCCGAGTTAGAGATAACTTCAACAACCTATTCCGTATAAGATATTCCACCCGATCCAATAACAGTTGCTTGGCATCGAACATGATCCAATTCAAAATGGTATTCATAAAAGAAAAGGTCCTCTACGAGTACTATTTAGGGAATTGCAACTCATCGGAGCTCCTTTATGAAGGGTTCAATCCCAATTCCTATTGTATTGAAACCGATTTTTATTGTTACAACGACGGCATTTGTTCTCCCTCCAACTATTCGCTCGCATATAGAGATGCACTAAGGAGCCCTCAATTTAATGTCATTGATGATGGAACTATATCGGTGACAGGAGCGTATCCCACCGCATCTGTCAGTTGTTTAGATAATCAGAAATGCACCTTAGCTAATTTTCTGACATTTTATTTTTCTGAGGCATCGTACACTCCTGTGTACATTGACCCGCAGATTACTTCAGCACAAAAAACTGCAACTTCATCCCTGGTTTTCAAATCTGCAGAAATGGAAAGCTTGTCGAGTCTAGAGACTACTTCCAAAAACACTTCCAATAAGAATAATGTTTCTAGCTGGATTTTAATTCTCTATTTTCTTGGATTTTAATGAGTTAATTACGGTTTTAATTTTATATATGCATTGCACAAAAAGAAAAACAAGTATTTAGGCTGCAAAAAAGAGACCCTTCAAGCAGCAGCGGCTGCGGTGACCAAAGAATTTGAGGCAGCAGTACCAACGAACCAGTATGGAGAAGGCACACCAGCAGAAGAACAAAGAGAAGTGACCAAGGAAGTGACAGTGGCTACTTGTGCACCACTACAAGCAGAAGCGACACAGTTAGCGACTCTGTCATCCCAGTTTTGCATCACACACAAACATCCAGTGTCCCAGTATGGACATGGAGTAATACCGGTATCCTCCTTAACACATGGTTGGGCACAACTTGGCAAGTCAGCGTAGATCCTGTCGGCAAAACCATTGATGGAAGCAGTATGCGCAACACTTGGGTAGGTAGCGTAGTTCGTAGTGGTGATGGTGGCAGCGGATGTGATAGATCCGAGAGCAATAACAGCTAAAGCATTGAAAGAAACCATTTTTAAAAGTTGAAGAATGATACTGGAAAACCCATGCTTCAAAGAACTTGGACTGGTTTATATAGTTTTTTACCGTCCTTAGCGTGAGAAGTTTTTACACCTTTACTCTAGGGTTTGTATACCCATTATATAGGATATTCTTCTTTCTTTGCTAGGTCGTTTATTTGCAATTGTCTATTTCGTTGATCTAGAATTCTCATAGGCTAATTTTGCTTGTCCGATTCTCAAATCAGGCTCACTCTTTAACCCAAAAAAGTGTTTTTTTCACATTTCTTAAAAACCACTTTCTCTGACATATAAACCTGGAACAGAAGTTATAAAAAAGTTTGAGGTACCTCGCAAGTCTCTTGGTACTTCACAATTGGCTAAATAAAGTACGTTACATTGCCTTGTTATAGTTTTATCTGTTAATATTTACTAACCAGTGCGCTTTGCACGCAGGTGCTTAGGTGAGCCCAGAAGTAATCAATACGCCTGCCGATATCTCCGGGTCATGCGGTTTACTATTGGTTGTTTGGTTGTTTGGTTGTTAGGTGCGTTGGGTACACCTACAACCTTCGTGTTTGACTTTAAGGTCTTGCTTGTCGTGCGGACATGCCTTCGAACACCGTAGATCTTGCGCGGGGCGTCTTAGCTTCTCCTCGAAATGAAAAGTCGCATCAGATTGATAAGGAGCTATGATGTCCTCTTCATCTAAAATTAAGCCCAAGGTTAATTCTAGGCAAAATCACATAAGGTTTATCATTGGGGCCAACTTCCGGTCCAAAACTGGTTGTTTGACCTGTAAGAAAAAGAAAAGAAAGTGTGATGAGTCTAGTCCTATCTGCTCGTTCTGCCTGATTAGAGGCATAGAGTGTGTTTACCCTCATAAGCAATCCACTACCAACCATAAGTCCAACAACAGCACCACGGTCGTCTCCGGTCTTGAACTTATGCCAATTTCACTGGTTGAACACCAGAAAACCCTGAATTTGAACTTCTTTGTGGAACTCGAAACCGAGGCCCCAAGTCCGAGAATTTTTAGTCCTATCGAGACTTTTCAAGATGCATATCCGATATTCAAAACCCCCAATTCGTTTGCTTCTTTGTACTTGGACTATAAAGGTATGTACTACTTGGACTACTTCGAGAACAAATTGTCAGGGGAATTAGCTATCTCATTTGACCAGACCAACTACTTTAAGAAGTTGTTTTCGTTGTTAGCAAACAACGAAGAAACCTTTACATATGTGGTGACTGCTTGGGGTGCCTTGTATTGCAAGAATAGATTGTATGATGACGAAGTAAGAGAGTACATGAACAAGGCATTGAAGAAATTCAATCATATGTTTGGAAATAAAATCAACGGGTTTGATTATTACTTTCAATTGTGCTTTTACCTTATAATATCTGAAATGCATATATGTATCGGGGAGCTCAAAGAATGGCGAGTTTACTTTGATAAAACATGCAGATTGATCAATGAGTATGGGGGATTGCAGAAGCTTTGTGAAGACTTCAGCTACTCTCATGAGATAAGATTCATGGTATCCAATCTACAGTACAACGATATTATGTCTTCGCGGACGTTGGCTGAAGGGACTTCATTTCCTGTGGAAGAGTATGAAATGGTCTTCAATCACCCTAATTTCAAGAAATTTGAGTTGAGCTACGGAATTGATACTTTACAAGGTTGCCATCAGCTGGTGCTTTTATTATTAGGTGACATCATGAACCACAAGGTGATCCTTACGCGTGAATTGATTCTTGTAGAATCAATAGATAAATCCCTGGAACAGAGCTTGGTCGAATATCAAAGAGCCAAAAGGGACTACTATCAACTAGTTGAATCATTCGCTTCAAAATTGAGTGCTAAACTCGAGACTACTAATCCCAATCAAGAGGTTCTAAAATCCATTGAAAATGACCCATCCGAGTATGAAGTTTACTCTAAGACTTACGATCTATACAAACTTTGTTGTGAGTTGTACTTACACTTGTACATCAAGCAAATAATCCCTAGTAACTACCAAATACAGCAGATTGTTCTTGAGTGCTTTGACTTGGTTGACATTTTGATAACTAGCAAAATGAACCTAATTTTGTGCTTGCCTCTCCTCATATGTGGGGTTTGTACTTTTGAGCAAGGTAACAAGGCCTATATGAAATCGACAATCAACAAGGTTCGAATGGTAAGTCCAGTTCAAAACCTTGACAAATGCTGGGTTATTCTACAACGAGTATGGGAATTAAACCCCGATGGTAATGTGATTGTTGATTGGTCAAATATATGTGATGAGTTGGGCTGGGATTTGAATGTTTGCTAACTTTGTCAGAAGACCTATTTATGAACTATTTTTAAAAATTCACATTCTTTTTCCTTTTTTCACCCGTAACCTTCCAATAAGCTACTTTAGAGTAACGATACATCCGTCCATCAATCTCATGGTTGCATTACTAACTTTTCTTGGCGGGTATTGCGGATTATTTCCTGTAATGTGAGGAAACGTTTGAAGAATTCGAATAGTTATATAGGAAGCCTCAGTCAAGGCAAACTGTTGACCCAAACATATTCTAGGACCACTTCCAAAAGGCATGAAAGCCCACCCGGGTTTGAGGTTCTCCCATCTTTCAGGATTAAACTCATCGGCATCTTCACCGTAGACATCCTTTTGTCGGTGATTAGAGTAAATATGCATCATTACTATAGTGCCCTTGGGGACAAATATTGCCGAATCGCCATATTTCCCTCCACCTCTTGGAAGTGTTGTATTTTTTTTTGAAACTCTTACGTTCCTAGAAATGGGAGGGTAGAGTCTCAACGCCTCGTTGATACAGTATTTCAAGTAGGTGCATCTTTTCATAGATTCAAAGGTAATCTTCTCGAGCTCATCACTCGAACCCTGTCCGAAGCTTTCGTATATATCCTCCTTCAATTTAGACCATACTCTTGGATTTCTGGATAATTCAAGGAACAAGAAGGACAACAATCCAGCAGTAGTATTTCTTCCGGCTAACAAAATACTCAATAGCTCATCTTGAAGCACCTTGGGATCTCTAGTCTTCTTTACAAGCTCATATAAAAAAATGTAGTTGTCTTGAGACCTTTCCTGCAATTTCTCTTCCTGAGTTTCAAGCGCCTTATCAACATAAAACTTAACAGCGTCATGAATTTCTTTGATGTGTCCTTGGAATTCCTTGGAGTTAGAGACCCAATGCAATGGTCCAAGCATAAACTTTTCTGTCAAAGTATCCTGAACTTTATTGAAAGCATCGGCAAATTGAAACTTATCATTGGAGGCTGATGTCAATGTATTCGTCGATTCACCAAACAAGAACTCACTTGAAGTATCAATTGTTATTTTGTGAAAATAGTCTTGAATGTTGAACTCTTTCCCGTTGAGTTTCCTGATTTCTCTGGCAAAGTTCTTGAAATGAGGCTCAAGAGTCTGAACGTGCGATACCTGCTCTCGAGAAAACTGTGGTCTAAGCATTTCCCGTGATGCCTTCCATCTTTCACCTTCGCTAGCAAAAATCCCATTACCAATCAATGGCTCTAAAGCATGCATTCTAAACCCAATACTATAATTATTAAATTGGGTAGCAATCAGACTCTTGATATTTTCTCCATTGCAGGTTATAATAACGTTCCTAAGGAAGACTTTGGCGGCTAAAGTATGAGTTCCAGCGGTGCGAAAGTCTTGTAGTTGTTTCTCTAGCAAAAAACCCTGTTTCAGGTATTTCTGATGTTCGGTGAAAAATCCGAAACCTAAAAACCCAAAATCAATCGCAGCTGGTGACTCGAAACCCCAGCTGTAGTAAGCAAGCAAAAGCTTCTTCCCAATGATAAGGCCCACTAGAAGTAATAGTGAGATAAAAAAGAACATAGTAATCAAAAGGCATTTTCACTGTAGTTTTTTGTACAACATTTTATATTCTCTATTGCTTACCGCATGTGAGATGCTTATCCCCGCGGTAGATCTGAGGGGGTGTTTTTAAATTGCGTAAAAAATCAAATGATTTAGTACTGCATGTTAAGCAGCGGCTTAATTTGACACCTGCACTTTTCTTCTTTTACGTTGGGGAAGTAATGTATAACGTTGCAGAAGTAATGCAAGTCGTCATGAATTCATTATTTGTGTCCTTTGCTTTTAGAATGACTCGCCTACAGTAGAGAAATTTTGGCGTAAGTCATAGTTATTTTTGGGACGCAACATATTTTTTGCACAAATAAATGAATTTAGAAACTACTCCATTTCGATATGTAAAAACTGGATTCCTGGTGTGATCCGCAATAGATGGCGACATTGGGTTGAGAGAGGTGAGCAAAATGCATGAGATTATTGGTAAAGGATCTCGTAAACGCTATGGGTCGTGCATGTACCAAATAATCCAATATGTGTCTATTGAGAATGACATCCATCTCTACAAATATATTCTGAACACAATAGAATTGCTCGCAGTACCCTTGAAGAAGAACATTGGTTCTAAATTGCTGGGCAGCTGTTCCTCTACGCGATTAGCTGTGACCGTCAAAACATCACGATTGCGGAGCATTGGTACCAATTCGGCCTGCAACGTTTTTCGGTGAGATTTTCATGATACAGATCAATTTTCTCAAGTATAAAATATATCAACCCTCATCCCTTATAGAGTTATATACATCAACACCATGGGAGATATTAATTCTACCTTCACAATCGACCATACAATTTATGGACCAGAACTCGCAAAGCCAGGCACGACGTGCTCCAAATACGGCCAAGACCAAGAAATCAGTCTAGTGAATATCGTTGTGAGCACTCATCAGCAGCGGGACACAGAAATACCAATCCAAGCTGTGCAGCCTATGACTCTTAGGAATCCACCAAAGAACTTTTGGAGAGTCATAGCTATAAGTATATGGATTCTTGTCTTGGGGGCAGCGGATGCTACTCCTGGGGCTTTGTTACCACAAATTGAAGCTTATTACAGCTTATCTTACAGTTTGACATCTTTGATCTGGATGGGCAATGCAGTTGGCTATGTTTTCGTTGCCTGTATTGCCTCAAAGCTTGATACAGTGCTTACACTTCGAAATTTGTTGACATTGGGAACTGTTTGTGCAATGATGATGTACTCGCTTGTTCTGAGTGGTACAAAATTTCCGGTTATCGTCCTAGGATTTGTATGTGGAGGAATTGGACTGGGAGTTGGAATCTCTAGGGCTAATGTGTTTTTATCAAGTTTTGGAGAAAGACTGTCAATGTACTTATCTATTGGTCAATCGGCTTACGGAGTGGGTGCAACCATTTCTCCTCTTATTGCTACCGGTTTTGTGGGAGCAGATATTTCATGGCATTTCTTTTATTTGGTGTTATTGGGGTGTATGATGGTTTCTTCAATCATGATTTTCATCTCTTTTTCAGGTTCCGAAATAGATATGGCTCCCTGGGAGAATGATGGAAGTGAAGATATACCCAATGATCATAAAGTGAAGCTTAAAGCTGCCTTGCAAACTAAAGCTACTTGGTTGTTTGCAGTCTTTGTGTTTGTGTATCAGGGAGCTGAAGTTTCAATGGGTGGCTGGATTGTTACATACTTATTAGATTATAGAAATGGTGGACATGTGGTCGGGTACGTTGCATCAGGTTTCTGGGGTGGAGTTGCCTTGGGAAGGTTTATTCTTGTTAGACCACTTCATAAGCATCTTGGGTCGAGAAGAAGCGTGATAGTTTGTTCGCTTATGTCTCTTCTTTTTGTCACTTTAACTTGGGTTATATCTAATGTGGTAGCCGCTGGGGTATTCGTGTCTCTTGCAGGGTTTTTTGTTGGTCCAAATTATCCAATTATGGTCACATTGGCTTCCGAGATGTTGCCTCGAAAGATTCAAGTGATATCTTTGACAATAGCTTCTGCCTTTGGCTCTGCTGGGGGTGCTTTTTTCCCATTTTTAGTAGGGTTACTTTCTCAACAGGTAGGTGCCTTTGTGATTATGCCCATGTTTATTGTCTTGTATTGTGTCATGTTGTTGCTCTGGATATGCTTACCTAACAGAGAGAGAAGATTGAGAACCACTGGTGAGTTGAGTCTTTGGCAAAAGCTTTGGTGATTGGATTTGTTGAGGTTTATCACTGGAATTATTAGCTTCTCTGTGGATTTTTGTGATTTGAGGGTTAATATATAATGTATGATGTCACTTAATATGCTTATCAGCTTTAATGAACAGGTAGCAACAATTCTTTGGTACCAGGTATGCCGTGTGCGCACAAAATGTTCAATCAAAAATGTTGTATGTACAACTACAAATGTACAGCTTATTGGCCTACAACTCTGTATACGTACACATATGTATCAGTTGATTCAGTTATCCCATACATTTGAGCTTTCTCCCAGGGTCCAGTTTAGCTTGAGTTCCCATCTTGAGATTTTCCACAAGCCCCCGTCGTCTTTGATTAAATCAATCTTGTAAATACTAGCAGTTACAAATGATTTGTTTTCAGCCTTAAAAGCGTTTTCAGGCTTAATACGATAAGCAAGCGCATTTGCAGTAACAAATGCGGTCCCATCCTCTTTCAACTCAACTCTGTGGTCGGTAACAAAGTGAGTAGTGGCAAGTGTAAAGATTTTGGAAGTAAGATAGATATCTACTATTTTCTAACCCCGAATAACTTTTCCACCAATAACCATTGTAAAATTTTCATTCTTCCAAAGAGAAGATAAGAGCAAATCGTGGTTATTATCATCCAATGCAAGAATGGCCTTGTTAACAGCGTCAGTAGCAGATTCCCGCTCGCTCAATCCAAATATCTTCTCGGTGTAAGGCATAGAGTTTTGAACTAAATTATGATATCTGAGGAAAGACTGAAGGGAATGTGGTAGGTTATATAGTGATTTACTTAGCCACTTTTTTGGCGGCGGGTCTTATTAACTCCGCTTCCGTGAGCTTCATAAATTTGCAGCCAAAGTTTTGAGTTTGCACGACTTGAAGACAAAAACAAAAGTGACATTCAACTAATGACTCTTCAACGCTCCACGTACTGAAACTACACAATTCCATTCTTCATAATTATAATGTAGGCATATTGACTTAAATGAAACCTTTATCGGATGGTCTCCTTTGTTTCTGTAGTTCTCTTTCATTGATCTGAAAACCCGAAGACATGTGGCCCCTGCTCTTCTAATCAACAATAGCGAAAATCTCCTTGAAGAGGAAAAATCTTGGTTACTTAAAAGGCTTTCTTCTTGTCCCTGTACCTCAGGTGGTTACACTTGCTCCTATCTTGATATCCTCAAAGTAGACTTGCACAATTTTATTGAACTCTGAATCCAGTGGATCATTCTCATCTTCTAAAGTATCATGGTACTCTCCAACCTGCTGAATGATTCTTTTCAATAGCCACAGTAAAAACTCCTCCACATAAATGCCTCTTAGTTCCTCCCCCCCCCACAACAGTACAGCACACTGTTTTCTTGCATCGTGTGAGGCTCAACAATTTGGCTTTGTTCTTTCTACATTTTCAAAGCTGTCCACGCATTTTCTTCCACCCGTTACGGGCTCGGTGGCTTCGGCCCATAAATTTAGACGACGCGTACAAAAAAAGTAAAAATGAATATAAATATAAAATAAAGCGTGCCGGCTGTCTGCGATGTGATCGGCAATATCTTAGCAGCAGAAACAATCTATATATGCAGAAATTTAGACCAATTATTTAGCTAATTGGAGAGCAAAACACCGATATCATCAATCACGAGCTGGGGCTCTCTATCAAGGTGGTCAATATTATACCTGTTGTCATGGAAGACCGACTTTGTTGCCTCGTATCACAATAGACTTAGCACCAGTGTATTGTTGCCTCATTTGTGTTAGCACCTCTATTGTTTTTCGCTGCACACCGAATAGTTTGCCGCCTCATCAATTTTCTCTGCAGGTACTTCCATAGATAGATAGTATCAATTAACATTAGTCTACTTTACAAACAGAAACAGTGCCGATCGGCTTAGAGTTACCATGTCGGACAATTGTATTGCCTTTGTTATATTAGGGCTGCATTTCCTGAGGCAACGGTGGTACAGGCTGCATTCATATGATATGTTACCAATATTGCAACAAATAATCAAAACTATACATTCACCAGATGCAGCATACCGACCTCGGGACGAAAGGGAAAGTTTGGTTATTTAAACAAGTCTTGTTTCCCAAGATTGAATTCATTCAACAATGAAAATCCAGAATATCTTACCATTAGTTGCAATAACTCATTTTGTTCGTGCTGCTACAGACGTCGTAGGGGGCTGCAGTCCAACTGAAGTTACCGAAGGTTTATTCGCCGAATACGTTAGTTTAACATATGAGGAATATGGTACGGGGAACGATGAAGCAGCTACTACTGCACTCACAGCAATTGACCAAGCTACAGCAGAATATTCTTGGGGAGGAGTGACAGAGCAAAATTTTGCCTTTGCAGGCGCGGGTGGTTCTAGGAGCCCCCTTGACAAAGTGTTGTATGGAAAAACTGTCAATATAAATTACTTTGGATTGAGGCTTTCGGGATACTTTTATGCCGCCTCTACAGGAGATTATACATTTGAGATTAGTGTTGCTGATGATGCGGGTTCCTTAACAATTGGAGCAGGGGCTGCTATGGACTGTTGTGGACTGGGTCCTGTCACTGGGAATTTGGACGAATATACTTACTGGAATTCTAACACAGGAACCAACGTGCCAATCTCTAAAACTGTTTCTCTTGTTGCAGGAGCATATTACCCTGTAAAGGTGGTTTACTATCAAGCATACCACGGATCCACTCTCACAATGTCCGTCACCTATCCCGATGGAGTAGAACATACAGATGATATTGACTGGTATAGCTCAACCGATAACAGCACAACTTGTGCAATTCCAACCACAACCATTCCATATTTTGGTTCCCAAACAACTACTTTAACTTCCGACAATTCAAATGGCTCTCCAGAAGTGTATGTTGAAGTTCCTGAGAGCACAACAACCATCACCAGCCCATGGACAGGTTCTAAAACAACAACAACAACCATTTACCCATCTAACCCAAGCTATCCAGTCTCGGTTGAAGTTATGGTCCCTGAAAGTACTACAACCACCACTAAACCATGGACAGGCTCAGGTAACTTTACCACTACCATCTATCCTTCGAACCCAAGTGATCCAGTTACGGTTGAAGTGGAGACTCCCGCGAGTACGGCTACTGTTACAACTCTGGGATCTGTGGCCACAACCTTCACTGTTACGCCGTCAAACCCAAATGAACCTTTAACCGTTGTTATTGAGACCCCAGGGCCCACTTCATCGACCATCACAGTGACTACACTTTGGACTGGTTCCTTCACTACCACCTATACTAGTACCGGTTCTGTCAGTGAATATATTGTCATTGTCGAAACACCTGAACTAGAAAGCAGTATTCCCACTACTACGGCCCCCTACGGCAATTCAACTGTGTATGAAGAGGAGGTGATTACCATTGTTAAACCATGTACTTGTAAGGAACCTTCAACCACCACTGAGACAGGTTCTAATGGTAGTAAGACTGTTGTGTGCAACGTTCCGGAGTCTTTGGTCACAACTTTGTTGATTACCGAACCTTGCACCAATGCTGCTGGCGAATCAACTGTAACAAGATACACAACCTATATAATGGCCGCTACTGAAACCACCGCTCACACCGGTTACCAAACTACCACTTCGGCTGCTAATGGATCTACTGATGTACCACAAGTAGTTTCCACTTTCGAAGGCAAGGGTTCTAAGATCACATTTACATTCTTAGGGGTGCTTTCGTATATTTTGTGTATGTTCTTTTGAATCTGTCCTTTGAGATCTGATTTTGATACCTCCATGAACTTTGTTTCATTGAACATCATACTTTTTTATTATTTCTATTTAACTAATTAATTCGTGTACTACCTAGAAGCATCTGAATATAAAGTAATTGTCTTCAATTGGGTCGCAGATATCCCACACTGGACATGCTAGATGAAATAGTCAGACATGGCTCACCAGCTTGAGGGGTCTCCATAAAAAGAGAATCTCCTCTATTACCATGCTCTGTCGTGATCCAAAACAGCTTGGGGGTTATGTCTCTTCTAAGGAATCGAGATAGAATTTTATTTGGTGAACTTACCAGAAATTATATAGCGTACAAAGAGGCGGCGTCTTTCATAGTACAAGCTTGGATGAATAATATAAATATGGGCGGGTTTATACACGAAGGGGACAACGTGATCCAAAAGTATCAAAAAAGAGGTGGGAAGAGAAGTGCCATTCTGCTGTTTCATTGAAAGAGGCTAGTATCCACCTCGGTTGTGGCCGCTTTGCCGCTTTAAATGGTGCCCCTTTCCGCTTCTGCATGTATACAAAGCAGCAAAACTTATAATGCATATACCCACTTGCACTACCACTGGGTCCGAATGGTGACAAAACAGTCGTGGTTCAAGCTCCAGAGTCTCACACCACTATCCCAAGGACCGACTCTTTCGCTTCGACCTACACTACCATAGGTACTGATGGTGAGCCAACTGTTGTCTGTAATATCCCACACTCATTAGTTTCAACTGTGGTGGTCACCAAGCAGTGCAACGATGTCGCTGGAGATGTCACTGCTAACCCTATTGAAACCGCTGCTCCTAC